TTCTCTCTCTCTCTCTCTCTCTCTCTCTCTCTCCCCCTCTGCTCTCCCTTCGCAAGGCTTTTTGCGTAAGGCGCGTCCGCACCTGATCCAAAAATCAACTCACTTCGCAAACTTTTCCAAAAACTTTTCCAGCTTCGACAAAACTTTTCCAGCCAAACGGCGCGCTCGTGCCTCGCGCTAGTGCCTCGCGCTCATGCCTCCCGCAACCGCTTCTTGTTTCTTGTTCCGCAACTGTGGTATCGCGAGCACCAATCGCGGCTTTTGTGGCCTTGCCCTTTGCACTTGTAGCGCTGTATATATAAGTCGAGCGGGTGTATGACAGCTATAGGAAGGAATTAGAGATGGTCGGTCTGCTCCCAACATCAACAATATACACTCTTCTTCCATACCAATTTGAACAATGTCTGGCTCGCTGCACAAGAGCGGGAAAACTTTCGCAGACGTGCAGTCGTCCCTCTCGTGGGATGAAGCCGAAGTCGATGGCGTTTCGCACACGTCCTTAGGCTCGTCCTCGCAAGCCCGCAAAGACGCCGGCAACAATGGTGTCAAACGGCAACTTCGGCCCCGTCACGTGTCCATGATCGCCCTGGGCGGAACCATCGGCACCGGGCTGTTCATCGGTATCGCCAATCCGCTGCTGAACGCCGGCCCCGTCGGCGCCCTCATCGCCTACATCTTCATGGGAACGCTCGCCTACAGTGTGACCCAGTCGCTGGGCGAAATGGCCACCTTCATCCCCGTCACCTCCTCCTTCACCGTCTTCACCCGTCGCTTCCTGTCGCCCGCGCTGGGCGCCGCCAACGGCTACATGTACTGCTTCTCCTGGTGCATCACGTTTGCCCTGGAGCTGTCCATCGTCGGCCAGATCATCGAGTACTGGACCGACGCCGTGCCCAACGCCGCATGGATCATCATCTTTTGGGTCCCACTCTCTCTGTCCAATCTCATCCCGGTTCGCTACTACGGCGAATTCCAATTTTGGATCTCACTCGTCAAAGTTCTCGCCATCATTGGCTTTATCATCTACTGTTTGTGCATGGTTTGCGGTGCCGGTGTCACCGGTCCCGTGGGCTTCCGTTACTGGCGTCATCCTGGCCCCTGGGGTGACGGTCTTCTCGACGCGGTCTCTGGACTGCCCATCTACTCGTCCAACGTGGGCAAAGGTCGCTTTCTCGGTTGGGTTTCGTCCTTGATCAATGCCGCTTTCACCTACCAAGGTACCGAACTCGTGGGTATTACCGCCGGTGAATCCAACAATCCACGTAAGACTGTTCCCAAAGCCATCAACAAAGTCTTTCTCAGAATTTTGCTCTTCTACGTGGGTTCTCTATTTTTCATTGGCCTTTTGGTGCCGTACAATGACCCAAAATTGACCTCCACCGCCTCATACGTCTCCAGTTCCCCGTTCATTATCGCTATTCAAAACTCGGGAACCAAGATTTTGCCCGACATCTTCAATGCTGTTGTGCTCATTACCATCATATCCGCTGCCAATTCCAACGTATACGTGGGCTCGCGTGTTCTTTATGGGCTCGGTACGGAAAGATTGGCGCCCCAGTTTGTCACTCGCGTCAATCGCTTCGGAGTTCCATACATAGCGGTCGGCATCGTTTCGCTATTTGGATTCTTGGGATATCTCAGTGTATCCAGCGGCTCTAAAAACGCGTTTGATTGGCTCCTGAACATTACTGCTATTGCTGGGTTTTTCGCATGGCTATTTATTTCCTTGTGCCATGTTCGTTTCATGCAAGCTCTTAAGCTGCAAGGCATTTCCAGAGACGACCTACCTTTCAAGGCAAAATTCATGCCATGGGGTGCTTATTACGCTGCCTTTTTCATTGCACTCATTATTTTATTTCAAGGCTTCACTGCATTTACTCCTAGCTTTGACGTTTCCAGTTTCTTCGCAGCCTACGTCAGTGTGTTTTTGTTCATCGCTATCTGGGTGATCTTCCAATGTATTTACCGCGGGCGTTTGATTCACAAGATTGAGGACGTTGATATCGATACCGATAGAAGGGAAATAGAGGCATTGGAATGGGATGACCCAGAACCAAAGAATCTATGGGGGAAATTTTGGGCGGCAATGGCGTAGATCGAGCATTTTGATCCGCACGGGCGTTATTCATCATCTTGCATATATATACCTTTAATGATTTGATCCTTGTAAAAGCGAATTTACAGTTAATTTAAGACAATAATAATAGTATCGCAACTGCAGTTCGCAGTATGTAGCATTACAAGCAATTGCTTAGATAAATATGAAGGTTTACTGCAGGCGGAAACCAAGTTTAAATTGGTTTATGCCTTAATTAAAGACAAATTCAGGTATCTACAGGAGAAAAATGTCAGTCGACCCAACGTTTTTCGCATTCCAAACTGCATCACTTTATACCGTTACGTCACTGAAATTACATGTAGTAGCCTTATAAAACTTCTGTCAACCCCATTCTGTCGAGAGACTGCTGAATTTTAACAACCGTAGGTATCTCATGCAGCGAAGAGTTTTGAGTATCTTCATAATTGAAGATTGTTAGATATTCAGCGATAGTTTACAGCCAAGGCCATGCTTAAATCTTTTTAAGAAGTTGTGAGTGGCAATGCATTTAGTCTGGCTGTCGGTGAGCAGTGTTGTGGAACTTCATTCCTCGAGAAATAATTTTTCGCCAAAAAACCGGGGCAAGCTCGAGCAAAAACTCGAGCTGTATTTATGAAGAAAATTCTGATATCTTAAATACAAGTTAGCATCTTGGAGACAGCTCCAAATAACCCTTTCATTAGCGTTCAACTTTCGACAGCAGTTACGCCGGTCAACTTCTTGTCACGTGACTTGTTACTTTCAAGAACACAAACCATATACTCATTGTTTGTAAGTTGTAACAAACAGGACACTTAAAACCACCCGAAAACGGAAAGTCATAGGCACAGAGAAGGTTGACAGGCTGCTATACAGAGCTGTCCCCGGTTCTTTGATTGTATATACACACATCTGGTCTCACAATTCATCTCTGTTTGCAAAAACTGGCCTAATTCCTGAGGGTCTCTTCTTTTGCCCATCAATATTGAAACTGGAATTATAAAGCATCAAAAATTCGACTAATAGTTGAGGACACAGGGCATACCCATGCATCGTTCCAGCAACTCCAAATCTTCCAAGGCGCCACACAACCGTTCTTCCAGCAACAGTTCTGGAAGCGGAAGCATTTTCTCAAACTTGAAAAAACTGACAGGCGGCAACAGCAACAACACGAACAATGCTGATAAAGACCAAAGTCTTCAGCGAGTCGATGTGTCCGACATTTCATCTCCCACTAAAATCAAATTGCCCAACACAGGCGAGTTTTCCCACAAGCCATTGAGCAAGCAAACCACGCTCAATTTGGCGAGTTTATCTGCATACACCGATGTGGCCGGTTCTCACAATCGGTCCTCGTCTAATGTCTCTACTGGGTCTCCCACCAAATATTCTTATTCTCGCAGGGCATCTCAGTGGTCGAACAATCCGACAACCGCTAGCGGGGCGAGGCTTTCGCGGCAACAGACAAACCAGAGCATGTCATCCGCCAGTATCTTCTCTCAAGGATCGTACTCTAACTTATCTAAATTTGTGGGGTCTGACGGATCGATACGATTGGAAAGACCTCGAGATTCGCGCGAAATTGAGGAACTGTTCGAAGAGGTTTTGTATAAGCGGAATGTTTACCAAAGCTTGCCAGCGGCTGCTCAAAAAGAGCTTAACAGTTACGACTTGGACAAAAAGTGGCTCATGGTGAAACAGGATCTCCAATCAGAAATGAAGAAGCTTATGAACAAAAAGGGTTCTAGCAGGTCGCCCGGATCAACAATGGGCGCCACCTCAGTAAGCTCAGACTCCTCGACACCAACCAATTTGACAAACACAATGTCCATAGACGAAAGTTTAACGGGATCCAATCGTTCCAGAGCTACTAACGCCAACGGAACCGACCAAATATATGGTGCTAAAAATGGAAATTCAAGCACCACTACTTTGTCTCAAGACCCATCGCACCTATCACCAGACTACTATGTGAGGAAGATTATATGCAACGAAATATCGGCGAAAAGATTAAATGACTTGTGGGTCTCTCTCAGGACTGAACAACTCGATTGGGTGCTTGGCTTTTTAGAAGCCCAAGGTCAAGTTGCGATCGCCAATGTGATCACCAAGACTTGTTATAGAGAGACACCCGAAAACCTTTTAAATGACGAAGTGCTCGATAAAGAGTTCGCTTATTTCAAATGTTTGAAAACAAGTTTGAACCTAAAAGAGGGCGCCGACGAAGCAGTGATGTCGAGTAGCTCGCGTATCATAATGTCTGCCATAGTAGAAGGATTGTTATCTCTAAGGGTAGCTACAAGGCGAATAGCCTCTGAACTGCTAGTATCTTTAAGTCAGTGGTCCGTACCCAATGGCTTCACACACATCGTGAACTCTCTTGATCGAGAATCTCGATTTTGCGACAATGTACATTTACAAGCTCGCTTACTGTCAAAGGCTTCCGAAAAGGAGGATTTATCGCTTACGCTTTCGAGTGGCCAAAGCAATCAATTAATGAGAAAGTTCGAACAGTGGATGCTTGTGGTGGAGTTCACACTCGACGGGCGCGGCAAAATGGGATCTTTAGTTGGGGCCTCCGAAGATTTTAAAACCTCTGGTGGTGAAAATGCAATTATGGAATATGCATACCTCACACTTTTACTTGTGAACCACCTTTGTAAAACGCCAGTTGATGTCAAACAAAGGACTGTTCTCCGTGCTCGTCTCAAAAACGCAGGATTGCCCCGGATTTTGAACAAAATGAAGCTATTAAATTATGAAAAAGTCGATGAACAGTTAACTATTTTTGATGATTCGACCGCTGACGATTTTGATGCGCTGTACTCTCAAGAGTACAATCCTGAGGGTATTGATATGAAGGACCCAGTTTCCATGATTCAAAATTTATGGAATCTTTGTAAGGGAACGGAAGCGGAGCAGCACTTGACATCTTTGCTACAAAATTTGTTGATCAGTTCTGGCGAGCTGGGTGCTCAGAACAAGGATGATACAACTCAAAGAACGAAACAACTTAAGCTTATCGATTCCCTTGTCTCAAATGTATCTCTGGCTTCTGTGGATGTCCAGTCATCATTTAATAGTGCTTTGCAAAGACTTTACGATGCAATGCAAACAGACGAAATTGCTCGCCGGGCTATTATGGAAAACAGGGACTGGGTGAAGCGTTATGAAGAAATAAAGGCTGAGCGCAATAGCTTGCAAACCAAACTATCAAATGCGGAGGGCGGTCTTGTGGGACAATTACAGGAAGAGTTAAAGCAGCGTGATCATATTTTAGAAAAAAGCCAGCGAGTGACTACTCAGCTACAACAGGAGCTAGACGATATGAAAAAGAAGTTGATACTCGCAAAACATCAGCATGAAGTGGAATTGAGAAAGACACTGACAGCTCTTAACTCCAAGTTGCAAGGCACTTCGCAAGATCAAGCCTTGAATAAAAATGAATTACCAAAGCCCTTGAGGTCAGAGAGAAAGATTGCAATACAGAAAGCGCTTCAAGCGAAACTCGAAAAGACATCACAAGAAATCAGCGTTGAGTCAGAGCGACTAGGAGTTTCTGTCAAGCCTAATAAACGCTTGAGACTTTTGAGGTCCCGCATGGAAGACATAGAAAACCAGGCGAGGGAGCTGGAAATGACAAATTTCTCTGAATACCAGAGAGAAAGGGAAAAGGACGAAGAAAAAGAAGTCAATGATGTAAAAGAAGTGATACTACCTAACATTGCGGACGCTGGGTCTCGAAATGCAAATGAACCCGTATTAAAGCTCGAAGAGTTACGAAGAAAGCTGGCATCTCTTCAACAAGAAAGTAACGATGTTTCCAAGTTTAATGTTGAGGGTAGAATGCATGAGATTTTTGGTGATCAAAGATCTGCAGCGCTTGAAAGACTGAAGAAACTTGAAACAGAATACAAAAGTTTTGGTATTGACTTTGACTCAAACCTCTATATGAATCAATCTAAAGCAGAGCCTTTTGATGGTCATGAGAGAGAAATTAGGACTTTAGACCCTAAAGAACTTCAAAATATGGCCGAAAAAGCGTCAAGAATCCTCACGGATCTTGACGCTTTGAAAGCCAAGGAACCCCCAACGGACAATATTCAATCGGATACAACCTCTACATCAGAATCTTCGGAAGATGAGAAGGATATTTCTACTGCTGATAGTGTTGATGGCCCAAATGTCTCCTTTTTAGAGAGCTTATCTCAAAAATATGGCACTGGTCAAAACGTCAATCCCAACAACCGCTTCTCTCAGAGCGGTAGAGAGACGACTTATCCTGGGAGCGGGTATCACAGAAAGTCGTTTATTAATCGCGTCAAAAAGTCGGACGCAGTTCCTTATTTGGATGAGCTGTCGGGAAAGTTTTGTGCCGAGCCCGTTGTCAATATAAAGACCAACAAGCACAGCGATCCAATTGATCAAAAACTTGGTATCGGAATTCTGGTAGATCAAAAATTGCTAGCGGATTCGCTGAGCGAAGCCAAATTCAACACCACTACTTCGAGAAAAACGGAGCCGAGGAGTGCGAGTAAACATCTCGAGTCTAAGGAAGAAGTTGATCTAGAAAGCTTGAGTAGTGCTGGTTCGAATGTTGAACTCCAGAAGGGCAAGCTCTCAAGTTCCCACGGTAAGAAGCCTGCTTCAGGGAAAGAGGTTACATTAAATGGCCCTCCTCCTCCACCTCCCCCACCTCCCCCACCTCCAATTGATCTATTTGAAAGGAATACTAACAAAACCCCTGATTCTTCTGGGGAAACCGGTGCAGCAAACGGCGAAGTCACAAAGACAGAGCTTAAAACTGTCGCACCACCCCCGCCTCCCCCTCCGCCTATTCTACCACAATCGATATTCGAATCTGCCTCTGCACCCGGGGGACCAGCTCCTCCTCCCCCTCCTCCTCCTCCTCCTCCTCCACCACCTCTACCTCTTCTGCCTTCGAGCACAGGCAATTCATCTGGAGGTCCTCCACCGCCTCCGCCGCCCCCACCTCCCTTTGGAAGTTCTGTATCAAACCTAAGGAGTGCAACTCCCTCTCCAATGCTTCCACAGTCTCCATCGTTGTTCGAAAACTATCCACGTCCTACCAAAAAGTTGAAACAATTGCATTGGGAGAAAATCGACGATGCTGAGGATTCCATATGGAAGGACGCTAAGGCTGAAAAGTTCGCGGATGATTTGTACGAAAAGGGTGTATTGTCAAAGTTGGAGAAGGCATTTGCTGCTAGAGAAATCAAGTCACTGACTAGCAGGAAGAAGAAAGACTCGGATAAAATCTCTTTTCTGTCAAGAGATGTATCCCAGCAATTTGGTATCAATCTGCATATGTACTCGTCACTTTCTGTTGAAGAAGTTGTGACAAAGATTCTCAAATGTGACAGAGATTTCATGTCAACGCCAAGTGTGATCGAGTTTCTATCAAAACAAGAAATTATTGAGGTCTCTAACAATTTAGCGAGAAGCTTCGCCCCTTACGGTGTCGATTGGGAGAGTGTACACTCTGTTGAAGACGCAAAAGTGCCCGAGAAAGATGCGTCAGAACTACAAAGAGCAGATCAGATTTATCTCGAGCTATTCGTCAATTTACAAAGCTATTGGGCCTCGCGCATGCGGGCAGTCAAAGTCATAACAACGTACGAGAAGGACTACAGTGATCTCGTCAATAAGTTGAGGATGGTTGATAAAGCCACTTGTGCTATCCAGCAGTCAAGTAGCCTACGAAATGTTTTTGACATCATTTTGGCTGTAGGAAACTTTATGAATGACTCTTCAAAACAAGCTCAAGGATTTCGTCTGGCTACATTGCAAAGACTGACGTTTATTAAGGATGACAAGAACAGTATGACTTTCTTGAACTACGTGGAAAAAATTGTTCGGGAGACGTACCCTGAGTTTAACGTTTTCATCAAGGATTTGGAACCAGTTTTAGCAGCAGTTAAAATTTCAATTGAACAAGTCGCACAAGACTGTAAAGAATATTCCCAGGCCATCATGAATGTGGAAAGATCTATTGATATTGGGAATTTGAGCGATTCTGTCAAGTTTCATCCTAACGATAGAATCTTGGTGAAAGTTTTGCCAGTTTTGCCAGAAGCGCGGAAAAAGGGTGATTTACTTGTTGACGAAATGAAGTTAACCCTATTGGAATTCGACAATTTGATGAAACTTTTCGGTGAAGATGCCGTAGACAAGTTTTCGAGGAATTCGTTTTTCAAGAAGTTCGCAGATTTTCTGCAAGAATACAAGAAAGCCCAGGCGTTTAATCTCAAGATAGAAGAAGAAGAGAAAGCTTATGAGCGAAGAAAGAAAATGGTCGAAGAGCAGCAAAGAAGAACGCAGGAGAATCATCGCGAAAGTGGCGATCTAACGGGCGAGACCGATGAAAAAGCGGTTGCAGAGGGAGACAGAGATGTTATGGACAAACTCTTGGAGAAGCTTAAGAATGCTGGACCAGGAAAGACTGATTCTTCTTCCGCTCGTAAACGAGCCGTAGCGCGCAGAAAGCTTCTGCAAGGCAGTTCTTCGAATCCTACAATTTTAGACAATTTTGAGGTAAATGAATCAGGTGGTAAGTCTCTGATTTATTCCCCTGAACACAAGACATTAGATAGAGACGATGATGCACTTGACGCTTCGCCTACTCCAGAGTCCAGAAATAGAGACAGTGAAAGGAGCAGCAAAACCGCTAATATGGACGAGAAACCAACTGATCAATTTCAAGATCGGGCAAAAACATTGTTATTTGAGCTGAGGGGTCCCGAGTCCCCTAATGCCAAAAAACCTCCCAGCGATGAGAGGTTGTCGCGACTGCGAGCACGTCGCACAAATAATGGGTCAGACACCAAGCTGGGTTCCGAAAATCGATTGAATTTTGTTGGTCAAATCGAAAAACCGGCTTCAGAATCATCGCCCGAATCAAACATCGACGTCAATACTTCCAGAGCGTCACAAGATGGTGAAAACGGATCAAATTTTGTAAATCATGAGAATAGTCACCCCCCGTCTAATACTGACTTCAAGGCAGATATCGATGAGGATCTTTCAGAAAGTGATGATGCCGAATACCAAGATGCATAGAAAAATACGCCTTCCTTTCCAGGTGCGCCTATAATTTGCCTGATCAAGTACGACGAGGTTTCATTCTTTACGTTGAAAATTCCTCGATACTAGCATGCAATCAGAAGATACTACATTGTTAATAAGTATATTTACGTTCTAAGCGCAGGCCTCAATTTATAGACTCAATAGAAGTTCGGGCGATTCCAGGATAATGTCTTTTCCGGCTGTTGATCTCTGACGGAAAGATTTGTTTTCGTAGCGTAAATCAAAATCGACGTCTGGCAAAATAAACAACAAGCTCACGAGGCTGCCATTCTTAAACTCTGCACAATCCTGGTAAGTGTATTGTTATAAGCCCTTATGACGGAGGAAGAGGAATCCAAAAGAGTTTCCGTGCAAGTATCCTCCTTGTCAACACAACTTATCCAAAGCATCGATAGGCAGTCGCATTTAGAGGAACAGCTCTTACAGGCCCGAAAAGTAATCAATGGTCAAAAGGAATCTCTCGAAGCGCTGAAAAGCCTGGAAAATCAAGTCAAACGTCTCCAAAGGGATGTTGAGGCTGAAAAGGCTTACAACGCCAAGAATTTAAGCATTTTGCAGGCCGAAAAACAAGCCAAAGAGTTGGCACAAGCAGAAAGCGATAGGCTCAATAAAGAGGTTGAAGATTTGACAGCCTCCCTGTTCGATGAGGCCAACGCCATGGTATCTGATGCCCGCAAGGAAACATATAGCTACCAAGTCAAGAACTCTAAACTGAATGAGCAACTCCAGGAGAAAGATTCACTGCTAGATACCCTAGAGATCCAACTGAAAAACTTAAAAGCTGTCTTATACAGTTTAGAAGATGAGAGTATTACTGTCGCCAAATCGAGTCGCAATTCGATTGCGGCTAACGAGAATGCAACACTGTCAAGCGGGTCTTTAGATAATACTATGAACGCTCTGAACGGAACATTGTCGGCGCCGAACACTGCTCTGTTCTCACCATACCTCAATTCTCTGCGTTATGATTTGAGACTGTTCCATGAGTTCTTAACGTTTGTTGCTGTTTTGCCGCAATGTTCATCGATCAAGGAAACCTCATCACACTCAAAGCTTTTAAGGAGATTAATTAATGATGAAATCCAGCCAATGTTGCGACTAGATAATGCCAGTGGCGTTGGATGGTACGTGAGGCGAAATTTAATGACACTTATGATCGAGGGAATGGTTGTTGTTGAACCCGTTAGTGGCATAAATGAAACCTATCGCGTAGGACACTCTACCAACCAGGGAAACAGTTCGCCTCAAATATCTAAACCAGATAAGGCAAGAGACTCGCACCTTTACAACTATCCTCTAGACTCACCACCAGTTGCAATTCAAGACCCCTGTGCATTTTGTTCCGAGAGCCGCAACGACATATTAGAACACGGAAGGCTCTACGTTTTGAAAACCCTACAAAAGAATGAGGATGGAGAATTAGAAACAAGCGCACAGTTCCCATTGTGCCACTACTGCTTGCTCAAAATCCGACAAACTTGCGAGATATTTGCATTTCTAAGATTATTGCGAAGTGGCGCGTGGCATTTAGAAGATGTGGCGTTATCGGACGTTTCTAAGGATGCAGCAACTACTCAGACATCTGCTTTTGTGCCGGAAAGTGCTAAACTCGAAAAAAGGTCGAAACGGATGAGTTTTATGGCGGGGCTATCCAAGTCGCTGCCTTCAAAGGGAACAAATGCTTCAGGAAAAGTGCCCATTTTTTCAGCACAGGGCTCAACCCCAGTCACCAATATCCAGCGGGCCTGGGCTCAGCTTTGCAAGCTGCGTGCTTCGCTGCATTGGGCGCACATCGGAGTTTGGTCTTTGGAAGATAGTCTGGAGACAAAGCTTGGACCTGTTGTCATCGACTCAATGGGAGAGCAACAGCCAGCATCACCACAAGAACGTCTTTTAACAGCATCTGGTCAAACTCAAGATTCGTTTACTATACACAAGGAAGAACATGCTGATAGTGATAAAGAGTTCGACTTCGAACAAATGGCCAAGTCGAACTTGAAGAGCGAGACCAGCCCGCAAAAACTAGAATCTAAAGCGAACGATCAAAATAACAAGCAAGAGTCGCATACAGAAGAAGAAGATGTTGGGAGAGAAAAGAAAATGTCGTCTGATCAAGGTTCTTCAACGAAAAAGGCTAGCAATGAAGTTTTAACAGAAACAAATGCACAGGATATGGATGAATTGTCAACAACTGCTTCGAAAGGCGCGCTAAATATAAACTTGAATGGGCAAGAAATTAAATCAGAAAGCGTTGCCACTGTAGAGCCAAGTTCCATTGACGAGTCCTCTTCTCAGGAAAAAGGACCTTCCAAATCTACGAATGCGCCATCCGTGGACCCTAAATATCAAGCTGAACGCTCCAATGATTCTGTGAACAAGAAAGACACACATGCACTTGAAAGTTCGACTGATTCGGAGTTTAAAACGTCCAGTGTGGCCAATAGGTCTCAGAGCGCTACCGACGATGAAGAGTCTGCGTTTGATGATGCTCGCAGCAATCTTTCTTGAATGCCGATATATACTGGCACATTTATATCAGCTTTAAAACTCGAGTTGTGCCTTTCGTACGATAAGACCGCCGGTTTATTTCACTGTTTCTCAGTTTGAAGATGAACACAAGTGATTTCTTAATAAGGAATAAAGCACATCTCTGTAGCTTCAATTGATGTCCAGAAGCGAGGAACAAGAGACGTTTTTGGATGGGAACTCTTCTCGTGATAGGAAGGGGTCTGATGTCGATGCCTTCGAGCTTTCAAGCTTCGATCGTGAAGTGAAACTTAAGACATATGAGCAGTCTGAGGACTTGAATTTGGACGACGACAACTTCACCGATACTCTCCTGCATGAGGATAGATCCAAGTCGAGCATTTTCATGGCATTCATGAACATGGCCAACAGCATCTTGGGTGCTGGTGTTATCGGGCAGCCTTTCGCTGTGAAGAACTGTGGTCTTATGGGTGGGGTTTTAGCAATTGTTCTTCTCTCTGTTCTCGTTGATTGGACGATCCGTCTTATTGTTGTGAACATGAAAATATCTGGCAAGACCAGCTATCAGGACACCGTTGAATTCGCTATGGGAAAGAAAGGCAAATTACTTATTCTTCTAACCAATGGGTTATTTGCCTTTGGTGGCTGCATAGGCTTTTGTATTATCATCGGTGATACATTACCACATGTTTTAAGGGCTTTCTTTCCGGCTCATGGCAGCCTCTTTCATCGAAATGTCATAATTTTATTTGTTACGTGCTTCGTGTCGTTTCCGCTATCACTTAATAGAGACATTTCGAAACTGTCGAAAACTTCAATGCTGGCATTGGTGAGTATGGTTGTCATTGTTGTCATTGTGTTAATAAAAGGTCTGCTCATTGATGCTGCATATAAGGGGAACCTCGATACCGGCAGTTTGTTTTTCACTTCTAGAATTTTTCAAGGTATATCAGTGATCTCCTTCGCCCTCGTATGCCACCATAATACGACTTTCATTTACTTGTCTCTGAAAAACCCAAGCCTGAAGAGATTTGGTAGGCTGACCCACTTCAGTTGTTTTATCGCTATGGTGTTTTGTTTTGTAATGGGCTACACCGGCTTTTTGGTTTTCAAAAACAAAACTAAAGGAAATATTCTGAACAATTTTCCAGGCAACGACCACGTTATTAACGTAGCAAGATTTTGCTTCGGTTTCAACATGTTAACTACATTTCCCCTGGAAATATTTGTTCTGAGGGATGTTATCAGGGATTTGATATATTTTAACACCCCCACAAGCAATGACCAGCCCATCGCATTAAGTTTGAAGCTGCATTTTATCATCACGAGTATAACGGTGTTTTCAACTATGGTAATTTCTTTCACCACATGTAATTTAGGTGCCCTGTTTGAACTGATTGGGGCAACTACAGCATCTTTGATGGCCTACATTCTTCCTCCTAGTGTTAACTTGATACTCACAGGTGCCAAGAAAACCAGGCGGCAAAAAATCCCTCATTACGCATGTATTTTCTTTGGTTTCGCAATTATGACTGTTAGCAGTACCCAGACTATTGTTGGTTCGATAAAAAATGTTGATCAGAAGCATTGTGAAGTATAGATGAGTCTATAAGTATTGAGATATGTATCACTAGTATACTTATTTTTTTACTCATCGTCATCGTCGTCATCAATTCTCAATCTTCTCCTTTTCTTGAGTTGAGTGGTGTTGTTCATTCTCTCGTTATCGGTCGAAGCGTCGGTGTCATTCTGACCGCTAGCCTCTGTGGAAGAATTCGGAGACAGTGAACGGCTGCTGGTAAGATTCGTTGGCAAGTCATTTGCGAAAGTGTTATCTTGAGGAATTGACAGTGGTGACTTTTCCTCAATCTTTTTGGCTAACGCTTCATTCAGTCTTGGAGCTAAGTTGTCACTACCACAGGTCTCTCTGTTTTTGAGACCCAAGAGGCTGGGAACTGGTCCGTCGAAAAGATCGGTATAGTCGTTGATTGTGTGACCACCATTTTGCATTCTTTCAGAACTGAAAACTGCAAACTGGATAAACTTATTATGTGGAAGTGACCCGTTATGCTTGTCAAGCAGATATCTCATGTACATCTCGTTTTCATAAAATGCAGATCTTACTCCTTCGTCCTCAGACTCATCAGAGTCACTAATAAACTCTGCACTAGTCACCTTTGATGTCCTAGATACACTCTCGCTAATCTCGCCGGGCAGCTCTGGCAATCTGTTTTCATCAACTCTAATCTTTCTTTTCTTCTTGATGCTGCGATCCTTCTTCTCGGCCTGCTTTTTCTTTTTGAGGCCTACTCCTCTCCCAGTCGAGTCCTCGTTTCGGCCTTCAGTAGTCATATTATATGCCAGAGCTTGAAAATATTGATTCTCTTCCTGATCAATATTATCAGCCTCATATTCATTTCCTATAGTATTTCCATTGATAACATCGTTTTCTGGATGGCGTGAGCCTTCCAATGCTGGACGATTCAAATAAAATGAAGATGGCTCACCGTTTGGTGTATCGAAGGTGTTGTTCAAGTATTTGGTGATCAAATCGGCAGCTACCTCAAGTTCTGCTATCTGAGAATTTTCTGAAAGAACACATTTTTCATGGGTTGTCCTCGTGGGCACGTAGCCACATAGTTTTAATAGCGCTCGAAAATCGGGATCTCCATGAACCGCCCTTTGAACAACAGGGTTTGGTGCCTCAAATTTTTCCCGCAGGTTGTGGACAGTATTGTCTCCTCTCGAAGCCTCGCTAAGTAACCAACTCTTCAAAGTATCGCAAGATCGCCTCAAGTTATCTCTCAAAGCCTCCACGCAAGTCTCTTTCTCCTTATCGACAAGCGTTGATACAATAACACCAAATTTTAAATCCAAGACCGCGGAACTGCTCATACCCTCAATTAGACTGGCTAGTCTGAATTCACTGGGTGTTACCACCTTTTCAGTACTGTCTAACTTCAGTTCCTCTCCGTACCTTTGGTAGTGACCAGCTTCTCTGTCGTGTATAGCTGGGAAGAGAATCCCAACGTACCATGATGGTGACGATTTAAGCCTTTCTTTAAACCTTGTCATGAAAATGTCAGCAAATTTGACTACGTATTTCTTCGATTTTGACATCATTGGCAGTCCTGTCGGACTGAGCATCTCCTTCACTAGTATTAGAAAGTCAATACGGTACAGTAATGACTCTTCTTCGATGGAAACAAAGATGCGATAGAGAAACTGAATACATTTCTTGATGTCCTCATCAGCTAATTCTTTGAAGTTTTGAAGGAATGTGATATAAGTCTTTACAGTGCTTTCGTTGGCAAAAGAACGTTGAACTCGTTTGAAGTTTATGTTTTGTCTCCGGGCCATAGGGTCTAGCAATTCAAACGCTTCTTCTAATTCAATACCCTCTTCCTCTGCCAGTATTTTGGCTTCTTCCTCGTACGATACTTCACGGTTGCTGATCGCGTCCGACCCTTTTTCCACAAGCTCTGAAGCTTTGGCCTTAGACTCCAATATTTTGAGAAGAACATGGACTAGCTGAATGCAGCTCCTTACGTAAGAGACGGAATGGTTACTAGCAGTCCTTGGCAAAACTGAGAAAAGCTTCAGACGCTCTTCCTGAAAAATATGATGCTCTATGTGATCTATTATTTCTCTTTCATTTTCTCCCATACTTTCCAGCAAAGAGAAAAGCTCCTTGAAGGCGATCATTCCGGCATGTACAACAGCCCAAATTTTAGTTTCAACTGCCTTACGCAGAAGCTGACCCACCAAAATCAACGCTGTGTCGCGTAGAGCAAAGGATATTGCTTCAAAGCTTGTAATCTTGTTGTCTATTTGTGCAGTTCTGTGATATTTTAGAAACCATGCATAGAATAAGAGGTACTGGATCTGATGCACAATTACCATATTACCATCTTCAGTAGTAAAGTAGCCTGTAGCGCTATGCAGTAATACATTGAATCCTGACTTCATGAAATCATCAATAAATTTTCTAAACTTCAGAGCAGTTGTCTCACTCCAATAAGTAGTTTCTTCACCGAAAGTCATAAAGTTGCTGGGCAGACCCTCGACTGTTTCATTTTTCGAAACATTTCTTTTGTTCCATTTCTTTCTTGAGTCCATTTTCTGAAGAGCAGATTCTCCATTCAGGAGATTCTGGCCACCAGAAACAGTTAATCGTCGATTATCTGGTGTCTGGATCGACAACATTGTACCAAACCGGGAGTGACGAGTGGAAGTATTTTGAATAACATTTTTTCTCATCATATGCTCTTTCTGTAGAAGCTTGGAAAGCTCCTGGCCCGCTTCTGTGGTCCCTTCTTCACGCACGCTTTGCTTTGATCGGCCATGACTTTTCGGGTCTCTGGGTAACAAAATGGAGTGGTTGACGTTTTTCACAAGAAAGAACATGAGTTCCATTAACGGAATGTTTATGAAAGCAGCGTCAAATTCTTTATTGAGTGAGCTTGACAATGTTAACAAGAGGCCAAAGACTTTGTTGGAGCTGAAAGCCTCTATAACAGCAGCAAGAGAAATGTCAGATTTCGAAATATTGGGCGGAAGCATATCCCTAGAATTGATACCCTTTGAAAGTGATTTTTTACTGCTGAGAGTTAAGTCGCTAGGTTCAATAGCGGCTACATTTCTGAGGAAATTCAATACCAATCTCAAAGTTACATTATCTCTCGCGCTTCGAAGGCGTTTCTCTATTTTTATGACTTCAACTGCAAGTCTAACGGCACCTTTTAGTGCCTTGCCATTTTCTGAACTCAAAATTGCCTTCTTGTAAATAACCTGGCTTTTCTTCAGCCGTGAGTAATGTTCGACATGATTCTGTGTGGATTGGTCCGTCAAGATCAATGGCCAGGTCATTAACACCATTAATTGCAAAGCATTAAGAGCTATTTTGTCATTATAGGCCTTGTTCTTGAGGTAATCCTCTATTTTACCACCCCTTTTTCTTGTCAGCGTAGCTGCGGCAGAATATGATTGTTCCCAATTGGTCATGATGGGTAGCAGGTCATCGGTAAAAATGTTATAATGAGCGGCGGCTGCCGCTACATCCCACCTGGACTGCCGTTCGTCTACCAATTTGAACCATCTCTTCAAGTCTTTCAAGCAAGCCAAACAATCGTCTCCAATCTTGTAAGGAGGTGGCTCTATGCTGGAGCTATGGTCTGGACCTCCGATAGCGGTTGACAAGAGCGCAATCCTTGCCTCTAAAATCATAGAAGACTGGCTTTGTGATTCGTAATCCGCGAAGTCCCCGCCATTATCAGCTAAATCTGTAGGTTTCTCCGGCAAAGCTTCCTCAGTGGATGCCATTAGCTGCTTGATCGAGCGCTCTGAGTAGATTGAGTGGAAGACATATCAATGACGCGTTAATAAAAAAAGCTAATGGTGTTTTGACATTTAGGGCATTACGTGTATGACGATATACTTTTAAAGATGGATTCTAAAACCAGGATCATTAGCTTTTTCGCGGCAGGGGGCTGCTTTCATTTCACGATGCATCTGTCAACGTATTGTATTTTATAGTGCTTTTCCAGAATGACCTTTTTTTTTACAGAGCGTGGTTTATGTTTTACTGTATGCCTCGCCCTGGTAGCCCTTCATTGGTTGACTGTGACCATGACATTTAATGCTTCGAAGTATGGTTAAGCACTTTCTACTAATTCATATCTTACGTTAACTTCCAGGCTGGGGCGAAGCCGCATATGCTAAGGTAAATCGTTGAATGAACAATGCACAAATTCTATTCGCACTTAGCTGATATGGTGCTAGGCGAGATGTGACTTATTAAAGTGACCACAATTGATCTATCAACAATTTCAATAGTAAGGACGCCCTCGGCCACCCGATAAATATATGCACCTACAATTATCCTTTCATCATCGAGAAAGAGCACGGAGATATATCTGAAGGCCCAGTGGACTCATACTAGTTAAGGACACTTAATCCACATGGGCACAATATTAAAAGGCTCTAGATCTTTTTTTTTGACACTTCGTTGCTTTCCAGCAATAGCATAATTAAAGTTAAAAACCAATTTTATAGATTCTGTAAAATGGCGTTCCTAGTGGAAGGACACTTTTGAGCCAATTTAGGAATAACATTAGAGGCACTCAGCGTTTTGACCCTATTCACGGCGTCCATTCCGTGGAATCCAAGACTCATGAAATAAGCCACCAGACCAGAGGCTATTCCAGCGCTCACAGACGTTCCACTTTTTTTGGTCTCCAGTGAACTATCTAATCCTATAGTAGAAACATCCACACCAGCTGCAAAAACGTCAATGCATTCTCCGTAGTTCGTAAACGGAGCTGTCTCATCATTTTTAGTAACGTCGATAGCCCCGATTGATAATGCTCCGTAAGCACTCGCGGGGCTCACGGTACAGGCGCTCTGGTTGTTATTTCCACCAGCAACAATCACGGGGATCGATAAGTCTCTTACAACTGCTTCTACAGCAGCGTTGAGAATCACATTCTTAGCCATTGTGTATGGTATCACCACTAGCGATGGCCTGTTAGTGATTGTTGCTAGCTTTGTGACATGTTCCAGTGCTCTAATAACACCAACCAAGCCTGCATTTCCATCCGCATTAGCTATTCTGACATCAAAGAGGTTACATTTTTTGGCCACGCCAAACTCTGAAGATCCAATTACACCTGCTACAGCAGTTCCGTGGCCATGTGGGTCACCCGCCGTGGCGGGGCCATATGCATAATCCGCCACCTTTTGTACCCGATCTTCGAAAGCCGGGTTTTGAGCGTCGATACCTGTGTCTAGAAGATAAACATCAACACCAATCCCGGCGTTCGAGTGATATATGTACGCTTTGTCCGTCTTTCGTAAAGGCGCCTTTTGCGACAATCGCGCTAAATGGGAAGGCGCCTTCGCTTGAACCACATATTCGGCAGGGGTCAGTGTTCTATCCATAGACATGGCAATAATGCGCCCGTCATAGTACATGCTTTCAAGAGTATGGTCCGGGAAGTCACCATAGATAGCCTGAAATGATTTGCTAAGCCTGATGGCTCCGATACCATTATTATCGTCCATTTTTTCGTATTGCTGACCCAGTATTTCATGCACAACCGCAGTGTCGCTAACCTGCGCGATGAACTTTACGGCAGAGACCAAATTGAGGGACAATAATCCAAACGCAGTTCCACGCATCTTGTTAAGTTGATATTGTTTGAAGTGAGGTCCTATCAGAAAAGTAGTATGCAAGAAGTATAACTGACACAAATACTAAAATTTGTTGTACTCCATGCTAGCTGAATTTTGCTTGACATTGGCACTGACGCTGACATTAAAATATGTCAATAAAGTTCAAAGTGATATTTTTGAAAAATACTAGCGTCTACTGAGTACGAAGTGATCTCGACAGTCTTAATTGCAATACTCAATTTATTAAAGTTGAACCCTTGTGGTGTTGTATAACTCTCTTGATCAACTCAGTCACCATCGCTCGTTGTATTCATCTCGTGAGATTGCTGAAACCACTAAAGTATGGCCACAACCCCTTGCTCGCTTTCTTTTGAGATTTTCCTTCGGTAAAATCGTCGTTTTTCCTGCCAATAAAGTTTTATACTTTTATTGGTAATAGACATTACGCGTACCGTCAACGAAAAATATCTCTAAATGCACAGCTGCATTTTATCGCACACTTGGCTAATCACGGTGCGAAGTTTGCAGTAAAGTGCGGCGGATGATTACGGTAAATCGAAGAACGAGAAGAGTTTTCGGCCAAGATTCATTTAAATAGATAATAAATCTCTTGAGGGTCGGGAAGTAGCCATAAGTAATTCAAGGTAAACTTCGGGGCACTACTCTTTTATAGCGGGACTATAAAAATCAATTCAAGGCTGTTCACCAGGGATTAATAAAGTGCTGATGGGTGTCGGCTTGCAAACGGCCGAATTGGCCCTCGCGTTAAAAACTTCGGAGCAGATAGCCTACCAAGTAAATATGTTGGAATACAGGCAGGATATTCTCAACCACATGCATCATATGGAGTGCAACAAATCGGACTATACGGTTGACCCGGTTATGATCGATAGCCAGCCGGAACTGGAGTGGTTTATGAGACCCTATTTAATTGACTTCTTAATAGAACTACACGAGTACTTTAGGCTACGGCCCGAGACTCTGTTTCTGGCTTGCTCCATCGCAGACCGCTATCTTTCAAAGCGCATGGTTCACAAGAAACATTATCAATTGATGATGACCACGGCGTTGTGGATCGCGGCCAAATACGAAGACAAAAAGTCGAGAACCCCGCTAGTCCGGGAGCTCGTGGTGCTCTGTCGTAACGTGTATGACCCTAAGATGTTTGTGCAAATGGAAATGCATATCCTCAGCTCCATGGAATGGAAAGTTGGATCCGTCAGTTCGGAATACGACTGCCTAGCCCTGTACCTGGAGCTGGAGTGCGTGACGCAGAACCAAAACGCTTCGTGTGTAAGAAGCTTGGCCACTTTCCTGATGGAACTCACCATGTATGAACGAAACTACATGTACTTTCCGTCAACCGTTCGAGCTATTTCAGCGGTTTTATTGGCCATGAAAATTCTAGGAAACAGAGGCTTGGCCGAATATATTCAAATTAACCTATTAGAAGGCCAAACCTTGGCCCATCAACAATTGACAGGCTACCAGCTTTCGATGGTAGATTCATCAAGGAGAAATGACCTACCTGCACTGTCCTTGAACGTCGAACTACTGGAAGATATCAGACAGTGTGGACTTCTGTTTATCAACGATATTTTCAAGACAAAGACGCAAGGCAAACCATTTCCATCGGCTATTCTCAAGAAATACCAAAGCATGTCTTTTGAGCCGTTGTTTGATAATTACACTTCGCAAAATATTAGTGCGTATATGACACTGTGCCAACTAACTCAGAATAGGGACTTCAGTCAGCATCAAATGTTTTCGGAACAAACCCTAAGAGGACTGATCGAAAACTGCATTGGTCTTCTTCCAACGACACAAAATCTTTCCGAAGTTAACGATTGTTTTTCCACTTTTGGCAATGTGAACTTGTCTTCTGGTTACAAGGATGCGAGTACTACGAGATTTTCAGAACAATCGTCTGCATCCAATTATTACTCATATCCGCATTTAATACCCGCTCAAATCTCCGCGCAACCTCATGAGATCGAAACTGTGTCACCAAAAACTCCACTTTCATCCTCTGACTCTGTTTTTAGTAGCAGCACTTCCATTCCCTCCCAAATTTCAGTCAGTTCTCCGATGGTGCTATGCAGTTATAAGCCTGCCACATCAAGACTGAGTTCATTCTCTTCAGTACACGTCTCACATTATCAACAAAAAGTGCTGACGAGGTTGAATAGCACTGAAAGCAGTATGATGGAGTGAAGAGAAGTATTGTAAGGTGTATCGAAAACCAGGCTAACACGCCTTATACTCGAAAAATTACTGCGACAACAGACTTCCGATTTGTAAACTTGTAGAATCAATCATCTTGAAAAATACATGTGCAAGCAAGACTCGCCGACTCCATAGACTCATCAGCATTATACATTAGACATTTAATTTGATATTAGACGGAAACTGCTAGTATAGTTAGCAGACTCTCTGAAAGGCCATTATTTTTTTCACGCTCTCATCTTCAGGGCTCCCTGCTCGGTTACCGCTGCTAACAGACCGTTGCTGATTCTTGTTTTATTGGACCATGAAATCGTCGTAAAGTGAAACGGAGGAACTGGACGCCGAAACATCAGATCTATAGCCATTTTCGGATCCCCCATTACTAGCTTCAAAAACCAAAGGTTGTCTTGCAGTGCCTTCCATACCAGTTTTTCTCAAAAAGTTGTCTTTTGCCTTCTTGAGAGGTGGAGATTTCGAGTACCAGCCGTCATCCTCCATTTTCTCGTCTACGTACGCCTCTTTGGTTAACAATACGTATATCAGTAATGTTGCAAAGGCGAAAAGCATAGTATAGGACAACCTTCGTTGAAATAACGCATCTTTCCTGGCACTTTCGAGTCTCTTAAACGTCTCTGCTGCAAAGTGGTCATTCAACAGCTTTTGATCTTCCAGCACTTCCAGTGATGATTCTCGAAGCTGCTTGGTGAAGATGCTAATTTCTTCAAGATTTGATTGAATAGTTTGGTTAAGAGCATTGACCAATGTACCAAATTTCTTTGCCTGGTTTCTTTCGAGATTAGAGAAAGCTTTCGACAACAATTTGCTTTGTTCTTCAACATACCTTAAAGATAAAGTTGAATTAGTCTCCAACAAGTTTAGTCGCTTTATAATGGTCTTGAAGATCGATTCTTCAGTTGAAGATGAAGGGATCGAGCTCGAAACATCCAGCGGAGGTTGAAATTTTGAAGGCTCGCAGGCGCTTTGATTCAAATTTTTCAAAAATTGGTCAAACTCTAAGTGAGGCAAAACAGCTGGGCACTGAGTACCAGCTTGCTCTAAGGCCGGAAAAATGCTTATATTGTCAGTCGATCTAAATCGGGGAAATTGGCACTTGTCTAAGACCTTTCCATTGAAACTAGGGGCTGTTACTTTGCCTTCAGCAAACTCCCCGGACTGCTCTTCAGGAGATAACGGTGATTCCTGCTCATCCAAGTACATCTCATTTGATTCGTCAAGTTTGAAGTCATCCATCATAGTCTTTCCATGAACTCGTATTATGGAAATAGGACAATAAAATTCATGGCCAAAGTGTGATAAAACTTCCACTCTCAAATATCTTGCCCAAATTAAAGGATTGGAGATTTCGAACTTCTGAACGTTCCTTGTATTAGTGGCGTCAAATTCTCCCAGTGTTTTCCACCCATTTTTTGGAGGGAAACGGTCCGATACGGAAAACCTGAGCTTTTGAAAAGTAGAGGAAAAGAATTCGTAGTTAGCCATTGCCACTTCTTCAACTAATATGTCTTGGCATAATTCGATGACGACAAATTTGGTAGGAGCAGAGCATGGAGTCAGAAGATATTTATCTTTGTTCTCGTGTAGTATGGCATTGGCACCCGAGGCCTCCGAATTTGTCTTTACAATCGTTGCCGCACAATCTAGGGAAGCATAGTTGAATTTATCTTTGTAGAGTTTACCCTCTGGCTCTTCGTTGACTACTCCATTGTGCGAGGTGAATAGCCCAACGTCTATTTCAAGATCATCCCCTATTGTTTCACTCTTGCAATATAAAGAGTCAGCTGGTCTATTTAAGGGGGCCCGTGATTGAGGCTTACCACTAGATTCCTGGTTGAGCTTAATTTTCTTCCACTCATCAAAAGACAGGAAGGTCGTGTCAGTTTCATTCAAATCTACGTCTAAATCGTCAGACTCGGGGGAAGCAGTAGACCTGACATTTAAACTTTCAGTATCTGAATCTGTCGAAATAGAAGCACTGATATCTGTTGCAGCTCTGCTTGTGTTCTCGTTATCAATGCTACCAATGCAAGTAGCGTTACCACTACTATAAAACATTAGGGAAACTGCTTCCATATCGCGCTTCGCAATTACTGCTTCCAGCAACAATGAATCATCTCGCGTGGAGAATACGTTAGATGTACTTGTATCGTTTTTAAACTGCTTCTCACTTAGTTCATTACTTGTAGGATATTCAAATTGTTTCTCAACCGTTTCACCATCAAAGCATGCCGCAATGCTTACTAAGCCCAGTATTCGTAGTAGCCAGCAATGAATCTCCATATGACAGCGCGCTGAGGTCGCTCAAAGCTATGTCTGCTAGACACTTACTTGCACTTCCTCTAAACTAAGGAATATTAATGGAGTTTTCAAATCGAATTCAACAAAAGCATGTGATCCAACCTTTATGTAATAAAAATAAACGTTAGGTATATCGATTTAGTTCTGTGCGCATCAACTTATTTAATGTTACAACTGCTTAAACCCTGAGGGATTAGGCATATATCTCTATTTACAGATTCTTTTCTTACTCCTCTTTTTTGGGGATCCTGATTTTAAGCACAAGCGATCTAGCATTAGACTTCACGACGCTGACATTGTCATTAAAGGATGTTGCGGATACGTCGACTGTGCGTTTCGTAGAAGATATTTTTACAAATCTGAGAGGTAGTGATCCCACTTTCGTTATTGAACTTTTCACAACTTTCGGAGTTTTTTTTGGCGATGGTGGGGCGCTGATATTGGCACTAACTCGAGTCTTTGACGGCGTGATAGGCTTCTTGGAGTTCGTTAAGCTCAGTTTCAACTTGACCGAAGAAGTCTTCGGCGTGATAGAAGGCTTGAGTTTAGCGTTGATCTTGATTTTGGGGGCTAAGTGGACCTTCAAGATACCCTCCCTGCGTAACTTTACGACCCCATTGCCAAGATTCCGGGCAACAAGCTTACGGTCTCTTGGGATTGGGAGGCTCACATAGAAACTGTCTTCCATTCTGTAGATGACTCTCACTAGATCGAACAAACTCTTTCTGTGGTAAACGTTTGAGAGCGGCGAGTGCAGACTGTCCCATATTATTTGTTTTAATGGCTCGTAGCTGGCAAATTTTCGGCGAAGGAGTGTGATAAGACCACCGATGCTTGTCCGAAGTTGTGTTTCTCTTTTATTGGCTGCCTCTGCACTAAAGCGCTCCACAATAATATTGGAATTTCCTAGATTTGACCTTTCCTTCTCCGAAATAGGATTGATGGTCGCATGTATCGATTCCAGGTCATCATCTAAATCCTCGAGATATCTTTTTGCTGCTATGAAATCAATGGAGCTTATTAGTGTTCCCATTAGTTTTACCCTAATGTATGGATCGGGATGCATCAGCATATACTCGAAAAATAACTTCAAAGCCTCTCTGTTTTTGATACCACCACCTACAAGCAGAACTTTGAACGACGTCAGCATCAAGTCCTGCATTCCTTCTCGGATGCGTACACTAGTATCTGTGGGTGAGCTGAGTGAGTCTTTTACTGCGAATTCCAGTACACTGGCAATGTCATCGTAGACATAAAACCCATCCATTGCCAGTCTCAAGTGCTGGTTCATAATACATTTTGTGACGAGTAATTGATACGATGGAATCCACTGGTCCAAGTTGTTGAATCGGCGCAGTTCATGGAGCAAGTCTTCGTAAAAGGATACGTCATCTGGATCTCCGAGTGCACTTGTCACAGTACTTGTTATAAGATTAACAACATAATGCGTATCGTTGTAACAATTGTCTGCGTTCTCGTTATATCTTAGAATGTTCAACAAAAAACGTTTCACGAACTTTGGGCACACGCTATTATCATTTTTCACTCGCGATAAAAATTGAGGGATAGCTCTTTGCAAAAAGTATCGTTGGTAGTCAGAAAAGTCATTGTTGAACGGAATATTGGAGTTTTCGTAACAAAAATAATGTTGAAAAATCTTCATCAAATGCTTAGCCCCTCCGGCAAAAGTGTCTGAACTAGACTGAGGAATAATAAAACTGGAAAGAGCCTTACATGCTTCAATTCTCACACCATAAAAATACCTATCATCCATAACAGTCCTCGTAAGAATGGAAGAGTAAACCTGAGATTTCATGTTCGAATTCATCACCACATCTTCAAAAAATCGTATGCTGTCTATCTGCGCTTCTACATCTCGATCTTGCTGCAATTGAGACGCAAACATATAGTCTGGTTGGTTAATATGTATCTTGCAAATCCATTCAAAATCAGCGTCAATTCTGATCCACTCAAATGCTTCATTCTGCTGCTGAAATTCGTCACCCTCACTTGTCATCAGAGGGTCTGTGAGAGTCCACTGGTGGCAGTCTTTCGTGCTTGTAAGAACATCTCCGAGACTGTTCACCAAGACGATATCTTCGTTCTCGTCTTCCGGAACTAAAGCTTCCGCAGCTTCCAAAGGAGTTTGCTCCTTACCTTCTTGTTTAGCGGATTTGTTTATTTTTCTTCTTCTCTTCAACCTCTTGTATTTTGTATTGTATTGAATGTCGAGCTTTGTGAAAGTATCTTTTAGCTCGACTATATGCTCGTAGGGGGTACCGTCAGCTTCGTGAATCCTGATAGTCATTGAACCTGTGAAGATTGGTGTCAGATTCTTGTTAGGATAGCATATATGATTTAAGGCACTGGATTGAAACCCTTCCGTACCAACAGTTTTGTCTTGACCGAGTTCTTGTACTTGGCACTGGCGTATACCCATCTCTACAACCATTCTCTTTTTGTTAAATCGTTGCGTAATTCTGAACACCGGTACACCGGAGCCATACACCCATTCTCTGAAAAAGCTTTCCAGCTTGTTTTTGTTCACCCTCTCACAGACATGCTGAAAATGTGCTGTTGAAAGGGTACTGTTGGGTAAATCCCCTGACATAGCTTGTAGGAAAATCTTAGGTAATACTCGAGACATACCAAAAGATCGCTCAGTTTTGGTCATCCTGCGATCCATAATGAACAGAACGATGGGTGCCTTTAACTTTATGAATTCTAACTCTTTGGAAAGGGACGTGACTGGCATCGACGCATTCGTAAAAGCTTCCGCCATTGGTGGTTTCTCCCAATCTTGGTTGACCACTTGCTCCGATAAAATCTTAACTCTATACTTAAACTCGTTAAGACCAATCAAATGCTTAGAGAACTGTAAAGCCATATATCCAGCCATACCTATGCAGCACCATATATCATTCAAATCCTGAGGAGTTACATTGACACCCGCCCACTGGCAGGCCAAAGCCCTACTTAGTTGGTCGGTTGTGGAAAATGTTAAATCGATAACTTCAGGCGGATACAATAGCCTTGTATTACAAAAGGAAGCACCTGCAAAGTCCATAACATCATCTGGTATAGAGGGAAGAAATAGGAGAGAATAAGAAGTAAAGGAGTATGACCCGAATTCTTTGGAGTAGAAATCAAGAATTTCTTGTGTGACTAGTGTTGAATTCAGAATCGTCCTCTCATCGATATCAGGACTGGGTAGAGTATAGATTTGAATTGGTACAATATCCCTTTCCTCGTCCTCCTGATTTTCTTGAACAGCAAGCGATTCGTCAAGGTCATCTTCGGGCTCTTCTTGAGCTTTAATTTGTGGTAGGGTCCAAGTTTGAAAAGCGCCCAATGCCCATCCTATATGGTGAGGGGCTACTGGATTGAAAATTTGAAAGGAGACCAATTTTCTTGACAAATCGGTGGGGTGGGGAACTTCTTTCCCTGTTGAAAATTCCGAGCAACAAACGACTAAATCACGATTGAGCGGGTTGTCTTCCTCTTCTTCTTCATAAACCTCATCCTCTTCATCATCGTTATGGTTGTTTTCCTGATCGCGGCCGTTGCGGTTTCGGCTGTGATGTTCACCTTGATCATTTTCAAAGTCACCCTTATCGACTGTACTGGCCTGACCATCCCGCAGTTTACGCCGTTTTGGATGCAAAGCTCCAATGATATTGCTAGTCCCAATGTCTTTGACTTTTTTGGGCACACTAAACTCCAGTTCCCATGTACATTTCTCCTCCATGGTATCCACACAAGGCAGCCAACGAGACGCGCTCGCATTCCATTCCGTGTTGGTGGAGCAGGTGGTCCATAGATGGCTTTCGCGAGAAGTGTCAAATTGAATTCCGCTCGTAGGGTTGTGGAGCTGGTAATTTATCTTGATAGATATTGGAGAATAAATCGTATCTTGGGCTGGAGTTCGTATAGAAGGCGTGATTGGAGTAAATGATGTAACCGTGTTAGCTTCTTGAAGCGTAATCTTGACAGATGCTGGAATTCTGATCGTGAGTTGAGAGCGAGTGGTATCTGATGATTCCGAAGGTTGATTGAGCTCTGCAAATTTGTTCCTCAAAAAATGAGCTTGTTCCACAGAGTTGTTGCCAAATAAAGGGGATTCTGTGAGCTTTCCGTTGCTATATCTCTCAGCATACCATCGGTATGGGTCGTCATGAATATAATTATCACACCGCCTATTTTCCACAATCACCCCTGTGACAGTCATTTCTTTGCAGTCCAGAGTCACAAATTCCAGTTTGTCACTCAATGGTATCAGTATAATCTCTGTGGATCCAACCAATGAGTGAGTGGACATGTCTACCTCGATTGACACCCGCTGATGTGCGATTTTGAAGGCCGCCTCAGGAGCCATGGCAAACAGCTGTGGTCCCAATCCAGCCCTGGGAGTTGCTTTCAAATGAGCCATTGTTAAAGCACTGACAGGGCAGAAGCGTTCTGAAGTGCTAAATTGAAAGAATTTGTGAGTTTCTAAACTTGCTATATCGTATGAAGGTGATATTACTGATAAATCTGTTACCTCTAAATACATGGCGTTGTCCACGTGATATCGAGAACATTTACTAATTGGAAGATTGCGAAGTACTTGACACCTCAAAATAATGGCTGAGAACAGGGCTCGCGTCTGGTGGGAGGCTGAACCTCGAGCTGGAGAGTTCATTTACTTGTGTTAAAGCTAAGCTCCAATATTTGCACATCCCCCCGCCTCGAAGAGCATATATATATATAAGAAACCTCGTAACTGAATAGAACCAGAACAGCAAGGTCTCGAAGCAAGGGCGTAAAGGTGCTCTTGAATAGTATCTTGGTTCTTTAGCAGCTTGAAAGGCTCATGTAGCATTCAGAGGTCAATGTGTCACGCAGGTACAAAGTGATACGGGTACCTGCGTAGACAAGGCTCAACCCAGGACGTATCAATAATGCTCTTGAAGCTTCATAAGACCAACGCATGGGCTTCAAGTGTTTCACAACAAATTTGCATCCCATTTCTACAAAAACTGCGGAGGCCTGACGTACACGTTAAAGCTCTTACACATCCACAACCGGAGAGATCAAGAAGCTGCAAAAAACTCGATAAAGTTATGACTATTCACATCTTTGAGAAAGAAAATTTTTGTGGTATCGCCAATCCCCAGGCTTTATTCGGTATCTCTAGTCATGTGAAACTCCTTGACCATCAAAATACCGATTGCCAATTTCTCATATCAAACTTATGTTCTACGTTTGTCCCAGTATATCAACAATATTCTTGATTTCGTATCTCTTCAGCTTAGTTATCTGTGATGTTGAAAAATTTCATCATTAAGTACTTGATGTCAAGTTGAACAAGAGCCTCGAGGTATTTCTGAAAAAGTATCGCGCTCGTGCGCTATGTACCCATCTCTTGTGATTTCGCGGAACTTAGTCGGGCTTCATATGGTCCGCTTGTTATGCTCAGTATCTTGAGATCGCGTTCTAATAGGGCAGTTCCCCCTCTGTAGCTCTTTAAACATTAGATTCGTAGTTGATTCCACTGTAATTCCATAAACACTCTGTTCTGTGTTGCTCCTTCTGCTCTATCGACTGGCTGGCTGCAATCAACAAAGACCATCACCCTACGTAACCAGACATAAGAGGTTCTCAAAGGCCAAAAAGAGAAAGTAAAAGGATAAAGTAGTCAAAGCGTCGGCAAACAATTGAGCGCGGAAACCTACTTATAAAACTGCAGTGGAATTCAGATTATCGGCAGATAAATTCACTGATTCGTAACTAAAGAACAATTCCTACAAAAGACGACACCCCTATATCATCCGTCATGTCCAAGCCAGTTGTTCTGAGACTCGGAAACGTCAAATATGCCCAGGAAGCTTGGGAGAAATTGGGCCAAATCGCTCAAGTTATCACCGTAGATGAATCAAGCACGAGAGCTGATTTTTTGAAGCAGTGTCAAGACAGCTCAAGTGATGTGTTTAGAACTCAGGTTATCGCAAGAACTTTTGCCAGTGTTCAAAACACCGGCCGTTTCGACGAAGAATTAGCCAAAGCCTTACCAAAGAGCGTGGCTGCCGTCTGTCACAACGGAGCAGGATACGATCAGATCGACGTGGGACAATTTGCGTCGAAGCACATCCAAGTTTCCAACGTGCCAGAGTTAGTCAACAACGCAACGGCTGACACCCACGTCTACTTGCTCTTGGGAGCTCTCCGCAACTTTGAATATGGCCACAGACTCATGCTAGAGAACAAATGGCCCAATGCTGGTGCAGCAGCCGGCGCACCAGTTGGTAACGACCCAGAGGGCAAAACCGTAGGAATTTTGGGTCTTGGGGGAATTGGGCGTGCCATTGTCGAAAGACTGAAGCCGTTTGGCTTCAAGAAGTTCATTTACCACAACAGAAATAGACTTTCGTCAGAACTCGAAAACGGCTGCCAATACGTATCCTTCGAGGAGCTTCTAAGGGTTTCCGACGTTGTGTCGATCAATATTCCCTTGAATCCCAAGACTAGACATATCATTGACAGCAAAGCCATTGATCAAATGAAGGATGGTGTGGTGATTGTCAACACTGCTCGTGGTGCTGTTATTGACGAGAAGTCCCTGATCGCGGCTTTGAAATCCGGGAAAGTGAGATCTGCCGGTCTTGATGTTTATGAAAACGAACCCAATGTCCCACAAGAACTGTTAGATTTGCCCAACGTATGTGGCGTGCCACACATGGGTACTCACACCGTTGAGACAATCAAAAAAATGGAGGAATTTGTGGTGGAAAACGTTGAATCAGTGATCAAGTCCGGCAAAGTTTTGACAATTGTACCAGAAATGAAATCAGATTCGTGGGTTAACGAACAAAAGCCTTTGAAATAAAAGACGCCTTGTTGAAAGTCTCTTAGTGGAGAGCGGAAACGGATTATTGGGCTCGTTAGCGACTTTGAGGTATATACCTGTTCCGCGGGCGCTCAAAAAACTACCACTTTGTGATATGCGAGCCTCGGTGTTCTTCTTTGAGATGAGCTTGCTTTCGTTTAACTCCATAGTACACGGTTTATCATTAAATAGGGTATCCAAGACACAATTCTATATACACGAAATCAGTATTGAAGACCCATAGCTCGTCTGTAAAGACCCGGAGCAAGGCTCATAATCATTTGGCTTTCAACTCCTCCTGTCTTCAAACCTTCACGTAGTATACATCGTCTCCATCCTTTTCGGCCTTCGTGCTCGCACCCATATAGCTCCCTTGGACCTGCATGAGAGCTATGTAACATAGCACTGCCAAAACCACCGCTGCAGAGCTGTAAGCTCCGTAGTGCTCCAAGACATGAGACCTCAACATGCTTGGAATGTTCCGTTCGTGGACTTCGCGACTGAGGCCAAAGGTATAATTAAAATATCCCAGTCCATATTTGAAAATGGACTTGAACCCTCCAAACTCTGTGTACGTTTCCTTAGACAACACAATATTCAAATCCCCTATATCTTGGAATGCATGTTCTCGAAGAAGTGCAGGATCAATAGGCTCGGGGATCATTTGGATGAGATTTTCGGGCTGGAAGTGTGCGATGATAATTGTTCATGAAATGTTTACATCATGTACAGATCTAAATTTTTCTCGACTATCATCTAACTTGATGACAACAAAAGATAAAATGACAGACCTGAGGATCAGAACGCTCTAAGTGTCCCAGATGAACTTGAGGGTGGAATTTAGGCTCAGATCGGGGGCAATTATATATTATACAGATTATGTGGAGATCTCTTGTAGTTTCTTCAAAGAGGAGGCTTTGAGATTCTTAAGTGTATATTCTTCTGCGACGTCCGCGTCAAGAATCGAGAGTTGATCAGACGAAAACCATCGGGGGAAAAACAACGACACGATCACTGTAAGAAGCAAGACGAGTGGAAACCCAATTGCACCGACAGTATTCGTGATAGCAAATTCTGCGGCAAATCCAGCAAGACTCAGAGCCAGGAATAACAGGAATTTTCGTAATGGAATTTCATTTAAGTGAAGTGTCGGATCTCTCTTGGATGGCTCTGTGATCATGTAGCATATCCTTTCAACTATTGCGTTCGTCAGCAACCCGTTGAGACCCATGATGAAAAACAGTCCAGAAAGCACAGCTTGAGGAATCTCGCCTAAACACACCAGCAGCGGCCGGGACATCATCACGAGAGTCAGCAGGCCCTGTGCCGTGTTTGTAAAGCGCTGCTCCACGCACCTGATTACGTTTCCATTCTCATCGTGCACTAGCAAAGTTTCGGTGTGCAACGGGGCCTGCGGAATCAGTCCGTTGGGAGCCGGAATGCCCAGCACGCCGCTTACACCTGTAGTTACTCCTAACAGGGCAAAATCGTAATGGAAGGTAGAAGCCTTGGCAAGTTTGTATTGGGATCGTTGCGCCATTAGGGACGAGACATTGTGGTCAAAATAGAATAAAATGGTCAGAATGATACCAAAGGGAAGTGCAATAAATATGTCTTTGGTAGGAATTTTCTCGTATGCAAGCCAAGTAGCGCGGTCTCTGAGGTCTGAAGTTGGGTGAAAGGATTCGGTGATCGGGAGCTTTTGAAAATTCACGTCGTTCAGATAGCCTCCAAAATGCGTAAATCCCGACCAGAACACAACCGAAAGCGCAGTAGAGTAGTCCGAGATAAAAATACGAATTTTTTGATTAAAGAATGGAGTTCGCACCGCCATTTTAGCTGATAGCCCAAAAATGGTCATCAACAGCGCGACGACCACATTGGCATACCCTGCGGTTATATCCTCGGTTCCTTCGTAGTTGAATTGCCGCGACAAGATTTGAATTCCTTTTTGGACGTAGACGACGTTGATGAAAAGCCCGAAGATATCGCAAGGGTAGGTTGACACGTACTGCAGCAGACACACAGCGTTGAACACAGCCAGCAGGAAATGGAATATCATGGACCATATGCAGACCCAAAACATGAACCCAAAGTAGCTTGTCTGTAGCGGCTTTATGACCTCGTAGATTGTGTAGTTGAAGATGGAGATGGGGCCTGTTACGCCCACGATACAAAGCGGCTGGCCCGCCAGCGCCCCGAAAACCACACCGCCCAGCGCGCTGGCCAGTAGCACTTCATTGACACCATAAGAATGATCTGTCCGATCAAACATGTCCAGCGCAAACGCTATGGCTGGTAGCAAATTGTTGAAGAAAGTCTCTACCACGCTAGGAAGCACCCTGTAGTCCCACGAATCCGTCCAGTCCGACCAGTACGTGGGCGCCCGGTCTTTGAGGTCCTGCACAATACCTGCAAATGGACGTGGTATCAGACGTGCCAAGCGCCAGCGTCGTTTTGCCGCTTCATCCACCTTATAACCAGACTTTTCCCCATCAGTAGTCTCTTCACTTTTTGACATAAAAGTTGTCAAGTTCCGAGCAATTCTGAACAAATTTCGACCAAATGATTTTTGATATTGTCTTGAGGTCAACTAAGTTCTTTGATACCTGAATACATAAACGTTGATGCAAACAAGGTTGGGTCCAAAATTTTGTTTAGCTTCCCCACGATGACAGAAAGCATATAATCATAAACTAGTCATGCGATCGAAAAATAAATTATTTACCTTTGCAGGAGAAAATTAGTTACAGAGCTTTTGACGCTAGTGGCTAATCGGCCATTGTTGCTTTAAAAGCAGCTGAGTAGCACTTTGTGGATCTGTTAGGTTAACGAAGCACACAGGACACGCGCTGGCCTTGTCTTGAATAATTGAGGGCTCTACTCCCCGGATATTAATACCTCTCAATCTTCCAATGATAAACTAAATCTTACCCGGTTGGAGGTTCTAACGGTGAATTGCCTTCAGATGCTTCAGTCGACTGTCGCAGCATCACAAGCGTCAAAGTAGCGAAAATCTTGAATAAAAAACTCGTAAAGCTTCCAGGACGGTAGCACTGTACAGGCGTGCCAGATGGCATGGGAGTCGATTTGCCAGTCGTAATTGAAAAAGTCGTAGAGTTCGCAGGACATGGCCAACGCCGTACAAATTACTAGTCCCGTGGGGACAACGCACAGCTGGACAAACATCGATCTGCGGGGAACGTTGTAGGTCTTTCGCGGCTGTCGGCCCGCCATTAGTCGCCTGTAGTTCATGTATGCCAATATCAGCAATAAGATGTACTGAAATACTCCAAATAAAACATTGAAACGCATGTTGTAGGTGTAAGACCAGTCTAGACATTGCCGCAGGATGTGCAGTGTGAAGATCAACAAGACGGCGCCTGAGACCAAGTGCCGGTACTCGTCTTGCTTGTCGAGTCGCGCAATGCGTATTAGGATGGCATGGAAACCGCTCAGCACGGTGGCGCCTGCGAAGAAATAGTCAAGTTTCTCTGTCACTTCCAAGTCACGGAAATGGAATACCGAGCTTGAAAACCACGCCAGCATGCCTGCCAAGGCTACATAGACGTACTTTTGTAGCAGCCGACGGGACTTCTTGTGTTTCGGCACGGCATTGAGCTCTTTCCGGAGCATCTTGTAACCGCGGTAGTGAGGAACAAAATTAGCTACGCTGAACACTGTAGAGAAAAACTCTTGCATGCCCAAAATGCGTTTGAAGGGCCATTTTCCGTGAAACTGCACGACCGTGTCGCCGTCAAGAACCCTCTCTTGGGTAATGAGTTGCTGGCATTGATAGTCGCAGTTCGATTCACAGTCCCAGAGAAGCAAATGGTTCATAATGGGAGAAGCTTGTTGGAAGTTTCCATGATTTTTCCAATCTGCACTTTCCAACCCAACATTTTCGAAACCGAAACATGCCAAGCTCGCCTGACAGTGGTCTTTGCAGGCTTCGAATTCATATAATCGGTCTCCTTCAGAGCCCGAAACAACTTTAATGGCGCCAACCAAGGAGAGTAGACTCCAAAGATGAAGCATAGGTCTGGTCAGTTGCCTTACTTATTATCTTTTAGCCGCGAGCTTTCCAAATTGAAATGTGGTTACATTCGAGGACTTTAGTTAGTATTAGGTCGCTCTGGACGGTAGAGCATCGATCAATGCAGTTCTGCTTGCTTTGAGGAACTGTGCGAGGTCTCCAGTGTTGTTTAGATGCAATTCTAAATCTTGAAGAGCATCTTTGGTCAGCCCTGGCTGGGTTCCGGATAGTCGATACAATTCTTGCGACAAATCCAAACAAATCTCGCAGGTTAGAGTGGGATCGGACTCCGAGACCCTGTGGAATACGAATTGCAGGACCTCTGGCTTAGGCGCCTCAATTGTGAGCCCTAATATTTGACTATATGTTTGCACTTCTGCGAGATCTCGGAGCTGCTGCCGCTGTAATAGCTGCCGTTTGTGGTGAATCTCGTCTTGTTTTTGAGCAAGCAATTGCTGTAACTCTTTGGAATCCGTAGTCAAATTGACTTTCTCGCTCTCTAGTTTCTGCTTCCGCAGACGGTATACTTCCATCTTGGCTGCATTCTCGTCTTTCTGTCGTTCAGATGACTCAATTTCTGTGCTTTTGTTAGTGGCTTCATATGGCGTAATGAACAAACACGGTTTTTTTCAGTCCAACATACCATCTTTCACTGCCTTCTCCTCGCTTTTGAGGTGCATCAACCTCCTCTTTGACTCTTGCTGTCGTAGTTCCAATCTGTCGATGTCCTGTCTGTATTCATCCACCATCTTCATTAGATTCAACTTACGATCCTCCAACGCCAATCGAAGCCTGTCCTGAAATTCCTCCATTTCTTTTTGCAGCTCTACAAATTGATTAATTGCCATCTCGAATGGTTTTACAATGGAAAATGGCAAGGCCTCGCAGTCTATGAAGGCTGTTGTTGATGGTAGTGTTGACAATTTTTGGACCGCTGACATGAAAAACGACCAATTTAAGTTATTGTCCTCGAGAAAAATAAGCCTTGGACTTACAATAGACAGCAAGCCAAGTACCTTTTTAAGATTCTTTCCAACCGTTCTTCATCTTTCCGTATATACACACCTTTTATTGGTTCATTTCCAGAGATTTGGAAATGCACGTAACTGTAGACTCGACAGTTGCTGATGGCAGTAGAGATATCAAGTTCCTTACATTCAACACCTGGGGGCTCAAGCATGTCTCGAAGTTCCGCAAAGAACGATTAAAAGCTATCGCAGAGAAGCTGGGTGGGAAATCAAGTGCGCTGCCGCTGCACGGACTTTCAGCAGTTCACTCAGGCACAGACGACTACGATGTGGTAGCTCTACAGGAAATATGGTGCAAATCTGATTGGGACTACATTGAGCGCAAATGTCAACACAAGTACCCATATCGACGTCTGTTTTACTCAGGCATATTGACGGGGCCCGGTCTGGCAATCCTATCCAAAATTCCTATCGAATCTACATTTTTGTACCGTTTTCCTATTAACGGAAGACCAAGTGCGTTTTTCAGAGGAGACTGGTATGTGGGCAAATCCCTCTCAGTTACACTCCTAAGGCCAGCAACCAAAGATGGATATCCCTTAGCCATTCTGAATAGCCACATGCATGCCCCATATGCGGCCTCTGGAGACGCTGCGTACTACTGTCATCGTTCATGTCAAGCGTGGGACTTGAGCAAAATGGCAAATCTTTATAAGTTAGCCGGATATGCCGTTGTAATTGTTGGAGATCTGAACTCCAAACCAGGGACATTGCCTCACAAGTTTCTAACTAAGGAAACTGGATTTGTGGATTCGTGGGAACAGTTGCATGGCGAACAAGATCTGGCACATATTTCCAAGCTGGAACCATTACGGCAAATAGAGTACGGTGGCACCACTTGTGATTCGATTATGAACACTTGGCGGTCCATGCGCAGGCCCGATGAGGCTTGCAGACTTGATTACGCCTTAATCGATCCTAGTAGGCTAGAAACGGTTCAGGCTTGTGTGAAGTTTACCGAGAGAATCCCCGAAATCGGTAGTTTCTCTGATCATTTTGCATACAACTGCACGTTGCGCTTGCGTCCAAAAGATCTCAACTCGCACACCAACGAGGAAAACGCTCGCGAGTCGATCTTGGAGCGAATGGCGAATTACGAAGAAATGGCCAAGGTTATAGAAAACTACAAGAGGGTGGCCAACTGGCAAAAAGTGTGGCGGGGAACGCACTTCTGGCTCACGATTTTGGGTATTATAGCCGTGCACATTGTTATAACTTTCACTTCGAATCGCGCAGGCTGGTCCTCAGTGTTTTGGGTATTTTTCGTCACGATCATTACGGCTGCGGGTCTTATAAACGGATTGATTGCTTTCTTATTCGGTAGAAGTGAGTTACGCGCGTTGGAGGAAGTGAGCATGGAGGTCCAAGATGCCAAGCGGCACGCCTGCAGATTGTTAGACGATAAGCTCTGACATAGATAGACACAGTTGCTGTTACTTGAGTCCAAATGATATACGGAAGTAACTATGACTCATAGTGTGTTTGTCGTTCTTTAAATATTACCAATTTTTTAATTGTTTAAGACGTTAAGACCTACTTTCAACACTTCGAACTTTAATAACAAGATATTACTGTTCCAAAAATAACAAACGTCTCGTACCGAAATCGTAGGGTGGAAAGGAACCTAACAATACTGTCAATTTCACAAAGCAATCACCAGTGATGGCCCTCGAAGGCTTTCAATTTACGATATTCGGTTCTGAACCAAGCTCTTTTGGAGATTTGAGATACTAATTTGGAGCCAAAATCGACGAAAACTTCACTATGATTATCGTTCGATTAATATTCATAATGTTTGCCATCAAATTAGACGCAAAACCCTTGGCAATCGCCAAGCGGCGAGTTTAACTATTGCTAAGTGTAATAACATCACCTAGAACGGATATCGAAGAGATGGGAACTCACAAATATTTTGTGGGGGACCCTTTAAAGACATAGGGGATTAGTCAAACACAAAACTCCTAAACCATTATATGAACTCGACTGAGACCGAAAACAGGAATCAATGCCTAAGACACAACAGTCCGATCCTGCTGACGCGAATATTGCAGACCAGACGGTGCCGGTAAGTAATGAACGACCTTCGCAAAACAGATGGTTGCGATCTTTATCTCCAGTGGGGAAATTGTACCATTCTAGTGCTGGTCTAGTTCATTTGAGAGGCCGAAACTCTGGCGCGGAAAAGTCAAGCCTGCTGACTCCCAGTAGTAACGAGCCTGGGTCTTTAGACTCTGGAAACAAAGACCAGGATCCAGATTTGGCACGTCCCTGCGGTATGGCCAAAAGCATAGTAGGACTTCTGACTACTGCCAGTGTCTATGCAGGAATGGGTGATTTAGAGCAGGCTGAAGGTATGTGTGGAGATGAAGAATCAAACAAGAGAGAAGATGAGGACGAAGATCAGGAAGAAGCCTCAGAAGAATACGAAGATGAGGTGAGAAAACTTGATGAAGACCAATTACAAGCTGTAGAAGCGGAACGAGTTGGCACATGTGGTAGTGAGAGGGACGACGGGAGTTCGGATAGCCTAAGAACTGCCAGTGACCTTGATTCCCTAGCAGACACGGTAACCCATATCTCAAAGAAGGACTCGCTTTTCGAAATATCCGTGGTCTCCAACAATGATGCACAATCCATAGCGTCAACTGATTCCAGATCGCGCCAATCTAAGATTTATAGAAAACTGCTTTCGAGATTCAATCTGAACGAAGCAGAGGATGAGTTTGTGCTCAAGTACTCTTGTTGGCTTCTAAAAGATCTTCTTATCCAAGGCCATATTCTGCTGACCACTCGACATCTTTTATTTTTTGCCTTTCTTCCAAAAAACACTGGCACTACCAAGATGTCAGGGAACCTATCCACGGTTGCTGGAGGGTTAGGAGGCAGACGGATACGCTACTGGGCAGTGCTGAAGGACCATACATTATCTCTTTACAATTCACTGAGGGATCTTTACTTTCCGCTTTTGACGATTGATTTAAGGTATGCTAGCCGCATTGAACTAACCAGCTTTGACGAAGGAGCCACTGGCGACTTTAAAATACACACAGAAGTTAAAGTGTACAAGCTGCGTGCCGATTCTAAGTATGCTGCAAGGTCCTGGTGTAGCGCACTCAAAAAACAGCTTTTCGCAACCCAAAACTCAGAAAATGACTCCATGTCTATCAAAATTCCACTCGCAAATATTATTGACGTTGACGAGCAGATTGTAGTAGCTCAATCAGTCACACTGAGAGTACGAGTATTGGAAAGCCCCCAGTCCTTTGCTGTAGATGATTACTTCTTCATGTTCCTTAACAAGAAGGACATCGATTTAAAGGAAATCATCAATGATCAACTTTCAAGGCTAGAAAGAACACAACACAGAAGCCAGGATACCGAAGATTCATTTCCATTTGAGGCTAGTACAACAGATGCTACGACCGGCCTAACGAAACGCGTAGGACGAGGCAGATCTACTTCAAGTTCGAAAAAGATCATCAAAAGAGTCTTGTCACCAGTTGCTCGAGTTCACAGACATTCTTTTTCGGTAAGTATGCCGTTCAATCCCAGATCACCTCAGCGCGTCATGGGGCTACTCAGGTCGAAAACCGAAACTCAAGGTGACAAAAGTACTTTGGGAACTGACGCAGAGCAACAAAACTCCCTAGACACGTCTTTAAGCAAAAATAGTGACTCTTTGAGCTCTGAACGGGTCGAGCACCCACTTCAAAGTACTTTCGATGATGAGACGTCCTCGGAAGTTCAGGATGAGGATAAGGGTCGCGGTTTAAAATTGGCCAACTGGGCGCCAAGGCCCATCAAGAATGTGGGAAATATGTGGGGCGCTCATCCGGTGCACTACAAGTACAGTGAAAAAGACATGTTTTCGGATGATGACCAGTATCTAGCAAGCAGCCAAGAACAAGCGATTGCTAGCAAGAGATTCAGATCACACTTTTCTCTGCGCAACGATGAAATGTTGAGAGCAGCATACTACACCCATTTGAACAAAAACATTCCCATCTACGGCAAGTTTTATCTGGGCTCTTCAGTCATTTGTTTCAGATCTTTGATCCCGGGCACCAGGACGAAAATGATTCTACCCATAAAGGACATCGAAAATTGCTTCAAGGAGCGCGGATTCCGGTTTGGATACTTTGGGCTCGTTCTGGTAATACATGGTCATGAAGAACTATTCTTCGAGTTTAGTTTGCAAAGTTCAAGAGATGACGCCGAGTTCGTAATCCTGAAGCAGATTGATGGACTAAAATCCGAAGCAGAGAAATCAGCGGGAGAGGTGGACGGAATTTCGCAAAGATTGAAGGAGGCGGATATCTCAACGGAAAAAAAAATCACAGAGGCTGCGAAGTTGAGGATGTTCGAAGACAAGATTAATGCTGAAGGTTACGACCTTCCAATGATGATAGAAGAAAGTCCTTACTACAAAACAAGTATTACACCCAAAAAATCCTACAAATTCGGCCTTTTAACCATTGGATCCCGTGGTGATGTTCAGCCTTACATTGCCTTGGGCAAAGGTTTACTGAAAGAAGGACATCGAGTTACTATAATAACCCATGCAGAGTTTGGAGATTGGATCAAATCATATGGGTTGGACTTCAAAGAAATAGCTGGCAACCCCGCCGAGCTGATGTCTTTGATGGTACAGCATGGGTCCATGAATGTGGGGATGTTACGAGAAGCATCATCGCGATTTAGAGGTTGGATAACAAAGCTATTAGAAACTTCGTGGTCAGCATGTCAAAACCTAGATATTCTCATCGAGTCTCCTTCCGCCATGGCAGGAATTCACATAGCAGAGGCCCTCATGATTCCATATTTTAGAGCATTTACCATGCCGTGGACGCGAACTAGAGCATACCCACACGCTTTTATAGTGCCAGATCAGAAGAGGGGCGGCAATTACAATTTCTTCACTCACGTCCTCTTCGAAAATATCTTTTGGAAAGGCATAGGAGGGCAAGTTAACAAATGGAGGATAGAGACGCTGGGATTGGGAAAGACTAATTTAGATTTGATGCAACAGAATAAGGTACCCTTTTTGTACAACATTTCTCCAGCTATTTTTGCCCCATCCGTGGATTTCAGTGAATGGGTGAAAGTTACTGGATATTGGTTCTTGGATGCGAAAGATGATTTCGAGCCACCCGCTGCTTTGATCGAGTTCATTGCACGAGCCAAGACCACAGGAAAGAAATTAGTTTACATTGGATTTGGGTCCATAGTAATAAGCGATCCCAAAAAGATGACAAGAGCAGTTGTGGATGCTGTTCTTGAAGCGGATGTGTTTTGTGTCTTGAATAAAGGCTGGTCAGATAGACTGGAGGGAGAAAGCGAAGGGAAGGCGGAAGAAGAATTTCCCAGCTGTATCTATAGCTCAGGATCTGTGCCCCACGACTGGCTTTTCCCACAAGTTGATGCGGCAGTTCATCATGGTGGGTCGGGAACTACAGGTGCTACATTGCGAGCAGGTCTTCCCACTGTAATTAAACCATTTTTTGGAGATCAGTTTTTTTACGCAGGGCGCGTTGAAGACATTGGTGCTGGCATCAGTCTCAAAAAACTGAATAGCAAGACTCTCTCAAGAGCATTGAAAGAAGTCACAACGAATTCTCGAATTGTGAAAAAAGCGCAGCAAATCAAAAGGGAAATCTCGAAAGAAAATGGAGTTCATGTGGCGATAAGCTGTATTTATTCCGAACTGGAATATGCGAGAAGTTTGGTAATGGCCAAAAACAAAGATAGAAAGAGCAAAAACATAGCGTCACCCGAGGAGAATACCTGGTTTCTAGTTTGATCTTCAATCACAATTGCAGTGAATAGATTTTTAATCTCGTAAATTTATACAGTTCTATTTTATTTGTTGAATATTCATGATCCTTCCTTTAATGAGGTCTCCCGTGAGAAACTCTCCATGCACATCTACCAGTTGGTAACTTCTTCCGCTTCTCCAAACAAAGAATTTTTTACAATTTCGCCATCCCATTCGTTTTGCCAAAGACGCGGAGGAGAACTGGTTATCTCCTTAGCATTTTTCTTTAAAAACTCGATGATATACTCATTGATGAGCTTAAATTCAAGAAGGAAGGCATCGTGACCTTCCAAAGAGTCGATCTTTTTGAGTTCTGAGTTTGGGATCTTGGAGGCAAGGTATTCCTGTTCGGAGTACGTAAAAAGGCCATCGGATTTGATGCCAATAATGAGAGAAGGTTGCTGAATAGATTCAAGCACCTCATCAAGATCTTCGTCATATTCGTCGCGGTCTCTAGCGAGATCGTGGGTATCTAACTTTCTTGTGATGGAAATATAACAGTTTGCGTCAAATCTTTCGATGAACTTATTGCCCTGATACCGAAGATAACTTTGTGCAGAGAAATAAGTTTGGGCAGGCTTGATAGCCTTACCGGTTTTCGAGGTCACCGACGATGTCGATGTGGAAGAAGAAACCGACTTTAGAGATGTCGTGGAGGAGGTATCACTGGACACACTATCTTTGCGATCATGAGTTATCGACTGGCGATGGCCATCATTATGTATGGCCAAATTGTGTTCTTGTAAATTAGAGGGTTTGTTTTTATTCTGTTTTCGTTTGGATTTCTGTTCTTGGGCTACAGATGGCGAGCGTCTGGAAAACTTGTTTTCAAAACTGTTTCTGGACCGGTAGGTTAAAAGCGCAGACATCCGGGCGGCAGAAAGACCCACAACGGGTTGATTATCCAGAGAGTAATAGCCGTCCAGGTAGTTGGGGTCGGAGTAGATGGATTGTCTTTGTGCCTCTGACCATGAGATGCACCAGGCAGAGTGTCTTGCGCTGGTGGCCAAGGCTACCATATTCTTTACGTACTTTGATCCAAAAGTAGCGGCCCATTCCAATGCCAGCATTCCGCCCATGGACCCTCCAATGACACAAGCAACGGAACTGATTCCCAGCGAGTCAAGTACTATTTTGTGGGCCCTAACGTCATCGCGTACCGTGCATAGCGGGAACTCCGGCCCATAAACTTCACCCGAATCCGGGTTGACGTTCAGTGGCGAGAATGACCCGTATGGAGATCCCATCGAGTTCAGACACACCACGAGAAACCTCGAAGTGTCAAATGCCACGTCTGGACCCAATAACGGGCCCCACCAGTCGGCAACGTCGGACGAGCCTGTCAGAGCATGGCATACGACCAGCACGTTGTCGCCCCGCTCGTTAAGTTCTCCCCAAGTCTTATATGCGATCGGAAAGTTGTGCAGCGTCAGACCGGACTCCAGTTCAAGTTCCGGAACCTCCACAATCTCCTGGTCCTTAACCAGCTTGATAAACGGGTTTGTCGTTTCCAGCGATGCCAAGTCCACGCTTTTCAGGCTGGACTTTCTCGAGTGGCTCCTTACCATTGTTATATTCTATGCAAAAACACGCTGTTTTTCTTCTATGTGATGAATGCTTCTCTCGCACCAACTGTCACTATGCTGATGCTGAAGCACTAATTTCAATCTGTGCTCTGTAAACAATCGCTTAGTCTTCAAACAAAGCGTTTCTTTAAAGATGTCTCGCTTGATAACGTTCGGATACTAAACGAATATCAATCTTGAGTCGTGGTCGACACTTCATAACTGCTGTCTTATATGTTCTCAACTTTGCATTACTAAAATCCACCACCGCTCTAGTTTAAGCCCACAACTGTGGCTGCCACCACTCCTATAGCTTTTTTCCAGCTCCTGATCCATTTATCGACACGGTCATATGGAACGGCGGATCACATGACTTCGAGATATAATTGCAGGTCACGTGGTATCTCGTTTGGGACCAGCGGATTAACGACTAACGGTTGAAGCTGCCGTTTCAGCGGACGGTTCAGCGGCGTCGGCTTGGTGATAGTGCGGCGCGGGTTCCTGGTGACCATCGGGCGTGTCTTCCTCTTTGCGCAGCAGCTTGTTGAGCTGAGAATCGGTCTGAGAGATCAGGTCGTCGAAAGTGCCGGTCTCGGCCACACAGCCGCTTCTGTCAAGAACAATGACTCTGGAACTGTGCTGGATGGTGCTCACGCGGTGTGCGATAGAGATGGTGGTCTTACCGCTGGCGCTTCGCGCGTACAGCGTGCGGGCCACGACTTCTTCGCTGCGCGAGTCCAAGGCGCTAGTAGCTTCGTCCAAGATCAGCAGCTCTGGTTCTAGCAGAAAAGCGCGTGCCAAGGCGATCCGCTGTTTCTGGCCTCCTGATAGCTGGGTGCCTCTGGGACCAACGAGCGTTTGGAGTCCGTCTGGGAAATTGGCCAAGAAGGCAGAGCAATTGGCCCGCCCAATGGCTTGCGAGACACGCTGCTCGTTTTCAGCTATTTCGGGCGGCACCGTGTAAACAATATTTTCCAGGATAGTGCCGTTGAACAGCAATGGTTCTTGCTGCACTATGCCCAGTAAGCGTCTGTATTTGCGTAAATTGAAGGTCCGTATGTCTTGTCCACCTACCGTGACAGCGCCATTGTCCACGTCATAGAAACGAAGCAGCAGCGACGCTACCGTAGATTTGCCGCCACCCGAGGGTCCAACGATACAAACATGTTCGCCAGCGTTGATTCGCAGGTTCAGATCCTGGAAAATCTTGTGTTGATGACGACTGGGGTACGCAAACCTCACGTTTCGGAATTCGACAGCCTTTCCGGCTAGTGAACCTGGGTCTATACCACGAGTTGGATGGATCGCGGGTCTACGGTCATTCAGCTCAAATACTCTTGCCGCTGCCCCTGCACCTTTCATCAGTTCCGAGTAAAAAGATGACATTCCAAACAGAGAGCTTCCGGTGTACACAGCATAGATCATGAAGCTAGACAAATCACCAACTGTGATAGCCCCAGTGCGAATCATCGACGTGCCGGTAAGCAGCAATGCCAACACCGCAACGTTCCCAACTAAGCCCGTAAGACCAAAAAATCCACCTGAAGTGATTGCTTCCTTAAGACCCACTTGGTATACTTGTCGTACTTCTTTAGCATACTGACGGATAGCCTGCTTCTCGCCACCATAAGCCTGGATGGTCCGAGTTGCCGAAAGTTGCTCTTCTGCGGCTTTGGTTAAACCTCCCACAGACGCTTGTAAAGTTCGAGATAGATTTCGTATTCTTTTCCCGTAGATCAAAGCCATGGCGGCTAACGGAGGTGCCAAGAGCATCATGACGCAGGTCATCTTCAGAGAAATGTAACTCATCATACCAAAACCAACGAAACCTTGAATTAAAGATCGTGTGCCGTCGGACATGTTCTGCGTCAGTGATTTAGAGACAATGCTGGCGTCCGAAGAGAGTCTAGAAATTAGGTCTCCCACTCTATTCTTGTCAAGGAAAGCGGCGTCTTGTTGCAGCGAAGCCTTGAGCGTTCTTGTCCTCAAACGAGCAACTAATTTTTCACCAGTGACCTTCAAGATCACAATCCGACCTGTGTTGGCCGCGGCCCCTACAACAAATACCAGGAACAGTGTGCCGTAGAATTGAGGCATTGTTAGACCGAAAAAGTTTTTCTTCATCAGCTCATCTGCATTCGTATCATCCACACCGTTTGAATCAGGTTTGTCTTCTTTTGCTGCGTCCATGAGCTTTCCGATCACACTGGGAACCAACATACTCACAGAGCTTGTTATAATGATCAGAGCTAGCGCGAAAAACATAGATCTCGATTCTGGCCTAGCCAATTGAAATAGCCGTTTAATGTCTTTCCAGCCTGAAGAATTCTGTTCTCCTTGAGTCAGAGTTTGCTTCGATTTTGGCACATCGCTATGTTGCCATCTTATTTGTTTTAACATCTTCAGGCTATTCACTTGATCTGTAATTCTTGTCCTCGTGAGGCCTCGTGAAGTCGTACTAACCATTCTTACACTTGAAGTTACAGCTGAGCGGCTGATTCTTGGCCCGAACATCCCACATTTGGCCGCATTGTGCAAGCTATTAATGCCTAAAGTCCACTGCCGCATCTGGTCGTTTCCATGAATTTAGAGCGGATGTCTAAGTTGATGTAATTCTGACTTTCCCAATGTTGGACTTATAATCCTGATTAGACGACGGAAACTTGGAGGAATTGCCTGTTTTATATGTCCCAATCTCCAACCTTTTGATGTTGGATCTTAAAGGTGCCAAACTATACCCACCAAATTGATAGTTTCTTAGATATTTAGCTATACGCGATCACTATATACGTGACGTAAAGTTTACGCTATAAATCGACATCCATGGAGCGTCCCGCAACAACAGGTTCGTTCCTACCACTAAAATGTTCTATTAATTAGTTAGCCAGGAATAGAACAGGTAAAGTGATATACCTCGCATTGAAGTAAGCAAGATATGAGTATCAAGCACTTTTAAAAAAGCGAGAAATCATCTTTTCTCGTCTAGCTGAAAAATGTACTGCCAGGTATAAATTTAGATGAAGGCGTCGGGGATGTTCGGACATTCATTACATAGCTTTCAGTGGATTAAAGCCTGTTTTTTGAAAGAGACAACCGGAAAAACATATCGTTACAAGTAAATTGCGGCTTGATATTGATTTGAGGTTGATACCGTTGCACTGGAAACTCTGATTGATTTATATCGTTTTATCAATAGGATCGATATTTGTATGCGTATGGATATGTTGCACAGGCTGTCGTTGTCATGAACGACAAATTCAAAAAAAATGAGTTTATTTTTGCCCTTCTTTGATTTCATGCCTGCGGATTCCTTTGAACTTGCTTACCCCTGCATATTCCATTTTTACAAACGTTCACGTACTCTTATTTTCAAGAACTTAATTTACAATAAGTATGATAAAACGTCACTCTCCGAGGTAAATATCATTTATTGTGGAGTGGCCGACTATATTCTAAACGTACAGAAATAAAGAAAGAGAGGAGAGTAGTGCAGGGCTCTATTATCGAATCAATCATCGACAAGTTCATGGACCAGAGTACTTACTATTGGATGAAATCCAAAATGGTAAGAAATGGCTCCTTGTTGTTATCACTTTATACTATTATGTCGACACCCAAATGACAGTTTTAGTCGAGATACGCAGTATTACGATTTGTAAAGCTGTCAAATTGGCGAGCAACTAGAAATTAAATACTGTATAACCATACCATCAATTTGAGAGCTGACAAGGGTCGAAATGCAGCTTCAATTAATCGGCGTATATAATATCAAAACAGTGTGTTCCCACTGAAAATGATATCAGCCACTTTGAGAAAATGGAATACAATTAATGAGTTATTATGTAGTTTCGAGGGTGATGGGTTCACTTGAGTGACTCATGGGGACGGTGATCAGAATTCAAGCTGGTGGAGGGAGTGTTGGGAGAGGGGGGGTTCTCAAACTTGGCGTTTGATGAGACCGATGGGGTGAACTATTAAGGCTTATCAATATTGTTACACAGCTATTCGGCGTCTCGCACAAGCTTGCGTTGAGCTCTATACAAGGGCGTCAAATAAATAGAAAAAAAACCTGCATATTTAATCCCTCGAGGCAGCTTCATTGCTGATACGGATTAGCGCTGTACGGGTTGGGATTATTGGCGGTGGCTGGCATGAACTGGGAAAACCCACCAGTCATCGCGGTGCGAGGCTTTTGCTTCACAGGGTTTACAGGAGGAGGATGCTGAACAGCAGGGCGCGAATTTTTCATGTTGGGTGGCGGCACAGAACCATACGCGGGACCTCTTTGATACATGATATGGGCTCCAGGTGGAGCGGGACCAGAGTTGGATGGGCCTGGACGGTTGTAAGCATTCGCCATACCCCCCGGTTGCACAGGTGAATACACTCTTGGACCGTAACCCATTTGTTGCGGCATTGGCACTTGCTGGGGAATTGGCATCTGCTGGGACATTGGCACTTGTTGCGGCATTGGCATCTGCTGGGACATTGGCACTTGTTGCGGCATTGGCATCTGGCGAGATACTGGAGGCTGCTGAGGCATGCCCATTGGCGTTCCGCGAGGCACTGGGCGACGATTTTGCCCCGTACTGGCGGGAGCAGATGAACCAGATTGCTTACTCCGCAGCGGCGATCCACTGTCCTCGTTGGCACCGGCAGCATTCAAATTAGCATAGACAGGAGAGTGCTTCATGTTCATCAGCCTCTCAGCCGAACCACCGTTAGGACCATTGACGTTCAATTGATTCTGGTGATAAAATTTTTGAGACGTAGGTGTCACCACCTTGTTTCCTGATCTTTGTTTTGGTAGCATCTGGGACTGCTCAATTCCAGCGGTTTGTCCCACGCGGCTGTGCGAATCAAAGTTGGCCGGGCCTCTAGCAGTTTCTACTCTAGCGCCAGTGAATGATTGTTGACTTAAATTGTCGCTTCCGTACTGGAATTTACTTTCATTGTTTGTGTAATGACTTTCGTCATCCAACATTTGATTTTGCTCCAAGTAATCAGGATCGAAGACGTTGTCAAGAGAGCTCGAACCATTTCCCAAATTCTCAAAATTGAAGTCGTCTGCTATTTCTTTCTGCGAAGAATCAACACCACTGGGACCTTTGTTCTCCAGGCCCATTTGAGAAATCTGTTGTGACAAGCTGTAAAAATCCTCTAAAACGTCATCTTTGACAGAACCTGTCTCATGTGAATCTCTAGTGTCTGAATGAAAGCTGTTGGTGTTGCTCCTTCCTCCGACTTCCCCTGGAACGTGCAAGGCTCGAGAAAAATCTGTTTGGTCTGTACTGTTTGAGTCTCTCAGATTTGAAATATCCAGATTCCTGACTTTCGGAGAACCCATATAATCTTCATAGGCTCCTACAGAATTGCGATATTCCTTGTCAATATTCAGGTGGGGCAGCTCGTGTTCTGAGGTTCCAAATGGTACTTGTGAGTATTTGTCATATATTGTTGAAAGCTCGGATTTTCTTGACGCAGATGCATCTCCTGCACTCGGTTTTGCCGTCCTTTCTAAACCGTCAAAATTGGAATGCTGAATTTCGATGATAGGCTTAGCTGTTTTAGTTTCCCCCAATTCCGCTGGGCTTGCAATAAAGCCCGTAGGCTCATTGTCCGCAACCCGGTAAGAATAACTCGAATCTATTTTCTCCGATGCCAAACTCTCCTCGGCGTGAGAAACGCCATGTAGCAAATTAGTACCTCGCGAATTGGAGGAGGCGCTTCTCAGGCCAGCTTTGGAGGGCTTCGTTTCTGAAGGAAATCTTGATACGGACGCCAACAACGGTGACGTTTGTAAAGGAGTACTATCAAATAATTCATTAGAACCAATGGCAGGCGATGCAAGGGCACCATCCAAACCTTCGCTAGAGCCACAACCAGTGTAGCCAGAATTGACCTTCTTCGAAAGAATACTTTTGATACGATCTCGCCACTCTATGACCGACCAAGTCATGTTAGAGGAAGAAGCGGCTAAAGGCATAACATCTTCCTTTTGCAGAAAATGAACATGTGGCAAAGTTGGTAGAGCGAACAGCAAAGAGTTCAAATCATGTCTGTCTGCAATCAATCTCTTCGGCCTCCCGTAAAGCTGAAAGGCGTTCATTGTCGGTATCAAGAAACGAATAATAGTATCGTACCCAGGCACAGCATGATGCTTCTCGGGCATGATAAAGATGTCAGTAGGCTTAGGAGTGTCTTTTTTTCCGAAGGAAATTTGACCTTCGAGCTTGATCATGGTGGAAGTATCGATGAGCACCGGCGAGGAAGGATATAATGCATATACGGCAGATGCATCACTAACGGTTGTCATAGCCTGCACCTTCTTAGTCTTTTTTTCGTTCTCAAAGAAGTTAATCTCACCACATATACGCTTGTTCTTGCTCTTTTTAGTTGGCTGAGAAATGACGGCGTAACACCGTTTCCAAGGCATCCCGGCACCGAATCTAACGCTTACCCAATCCTCATAATCAAACTTTGTCTCCGCAAGGATAACTCTGATGTCTCCGAGTTTGGCACCCTTTGTAGATAGGAAAGCCCCTGTGTAAGCCTCTTGAAGAGCAGTAAACTCGAAAGCACTTAGCCTAAATGAAGCGTGCCAATTAGCGAAGGCTTCTTTATCGCTAAATTGAAGAAAATATCTATTCTTCAGCGTAGTAGACACTACTACTGTATTTTGGAGCTGCTTTTTGCCATCTGCAATAACGGCCTCTTTAGGATCCAGAGGACGGAAAGAAGCGTCCGTAAAATTGATATAAGTGGGCTTTGAAGTGGCCTTCATGAGTTCATCGGGTTTGTCGCCATTTTCGGCCAAGACGCGAGCATCCCATAGGGCCAGTTGGGTTCCTATAAGAACACCATACACTTCTTTCCAAGTACGTGCAGCTGGGGAACCATCGCTGTTAAGGTCCTTGAGAACCAGGAAAACGCCTTCGTGGTATCGTCTGTGTGCCTGGGCCGACAGAAGCGTTACGATGGGCACCAGCTCTGGCGGGATCGCCGCAGTTGATATCTCTTCGAGTGGCGGCGCCTTTCGGCGCGGTGAGCTGTCACTGGATGAAAATATCCGCGAAAAGCTCGACGAGCGTGAGCGGGAGTTCTTATCGTCGCCATTTTGAAATGTCTTGGGTGGTGCCAGAAGACCCTTCGTGGGGGAGAGCTGTCCTAGTTTCATGGTTGTAATATGTGTGTACTGTAGCGCTTCTAGATGTAGTGTGTTATCAATGGATTAAACTGTTGTTTTGTTCACTGTTGCGCGCTTCGGGGCTGATAAAAGGGCAAGTTTGGACGGGAAGAGAAATTCAAAATCACTCGCAAACCTGTTTGTTTCAATAGTTAACACAATCCAACTCTGCTGATGCTTGTTCAGACCTATCAGCTAAAAATTAGACACACAACCACAGTTTTGGTTCGACTCCAAACTTTCTAAGTTTTCGACCTCACAGCTTCTATTTCGGCTCAAACAAAAGATTTGAGAATTTTTTCAGAAGCTTTGCACCCTGCTTATGACAATAACAATCAGACAGGTCTTTAACAATGTCAAAAAATGCTTCTCAAGCCGTTGAACCTGGGATTTTCAGTTAATCATAACCTAAATAATTTGAGTAGGCTTTTTTTTAATTACCAGGAGGTGCAAATCCACGAATTACCTAAGCTGTCAAATATACTTTGAGTATAGCGATAAGCCACTGGATAAGCCATAAACCGAAGAGAACTAATGAAATAGTAAGCTCGAGCATTGTAGCAGAGCGGAACTGATTCAACACACCTTTCAGCATTTCCTGGGTATCTAGCGCAATTTTGTGTGTCAAATTCGAAATTTCTAGCGCAGTAGAGGATGTGGTGTTCGACTGCCGCTGAGAACTTGGGTCACTTTGATTCAGCGCCCAGTCCTGCAAGGCATTGGCATCTATTAGCGGGATGGGGAACTGTAGATTTTCGTGGATCCAGGTAAGCGCTTTTTGGATTTTATAGAGCTTGTTCTCTATGGTGCAGCGCACTACGCTCGTCATAGGTTTGTACAGTAAAGTGCCGTTAAAGAAATCCGCCAGAACCGTGTCAATGTCATGAATGGCAGTATTAAGAGTATTGTTAAGTGAGACGGTAGTGTCCTGCGTCCAGCCGAAAACCTCGCTGTTCAGTTGGTTTTTGGTAGAGTTGATGTAACTGTTTGTTGATGCAGTCCAGCGCACCATGTCTCCGTTTAAGCTTGAACTGGCACTGCTCAAGGCTGCATTTGAAAAGTTTTGGGCGTCTTTGCCAGTCATAGCTCGTGCGGCGGCTGCCAGCAGTATAAACTGGCATATGCACATCACGATTCCGGCCAATGCAATTCCGAGAACGGTGAGTGCCCTAGGTGACAAAGCGTACGCCACACACCACCGTATTTTGCGTCGAGTGCGCATGCTGGTGCTAAGACGTTGAGCGAGCCATTCACCAAAAGCTGTAGGCCATTTTGCGAAGACACGCTGGTAATTCTCAATTACATCAGATCCGTAGTCCGGGCCATGTGAAGGCAGCTTTTCTCCTACCATGACTTGCAGGTTTCGCAGCCTAGTCCATTGTTTGTATTCAGACCACACAGACGGACTCATAGCTATTATTGCGCCAATAGCTAGTAATGTCACTAAAACGATTACTAGCACATTTATAGTCTTTGAGACGCCTGCATAATACTTTAAAAGATCAGGTTTACTCGAGGCACAAATACCAGAAGTCACATTGCTGGAGTTTGCGGCTGGCATATACATTGTTTGATTGCTAGTCATTAAACGAGACACATTCACAGCCGTTACCTTAGAACGTACTAACTCGAAAGGCTTCGAAATTTCAGAGTGAGTCTTGTTCATTACCGTATCAAAATTAGGGGTCTTATCGGCTAGCTCTGAAAGTTTGGCATCGATTGACGATGGAATATGTAGATCTCGCAGCTTCGCAATACTCAAATTTACAGATTTGACTGAAGAGTCAACGTCATCGGCGCTCCCACCTTTAAAGAAATTCTCCACGCTACTAGCCGCCTTCAACATTTTATCTATAACTTGAGATAAGTCGTCAAGTCCTGAATCAACGTCATTGCCCACTGCAGTGACAGTTTCATTAACGGCGCCTAGTAGTTTTTTTGTAGTATTTGTTGCAACATCCACTGCTCCATCTACGGCACTTGTCGCCAGGCATATGTATGTGCCGAAATAAAAGTCAAATAAGAATAAAGCAATCTGTTCACCTGCGCCTATCAACAGAGATACCGTTTTCAAACTGGCTTTCACTGATTCTTGTATGGATTTTTCAATTAAATAATTGCCGAACTGACACATATATGCAGGTGCCGAGTTCATGAATTCGGAGTAGAAATAATCAATAGAGTCACAACTACTCAAAGCATAGTCTCTAGAAGTTGCAATCGCATTTTTTAGTGACAATGAGAACAGCACAATTTTAACCATTGTCAATATTAGCAGTATGGTATATTGATTTAACCATACCTGAGAAATTCTATCTCGCAGTTGCAAATATGGTTTCAATGACATGACAATGCAAGTGATATACTTCGCTACAAAAGCATACGAAGTCCTTGCTGGTGGGGAAAGAGTTCATTTTTTTATACAAGTCTTCGAGTCAAGCACTTTTCTGAAACATGTCTCAAACAAAAACTGGGAATTGTTTGAATTGACAAGGGAGAAAAAAGGATGCGAAATGGTTCCAAGTATGTTACAGATATGTTATTACGTATGCTACTTTACATGATACCCCAAGCATCTTCAGCACCGTGGCAGAACTTGGAACAAGCAACAGATGCGGAGAGGGGGTAGTTGGAGAGACCAATTTTCTCGTCGACAAACTCGTCTGCGAAATTATCTTTACCTCTGGCCATGGCACCGACAAAAATACATATACTTTCGTCGTCAGCCAGCTTTTCGATGTGATCTTGTGCACGCACCACTGGCGCGTCAAAAGATAAAGTTACTTTACGACATTTGGTAGGGAGATGGTCAGTAATTGGATTCTTGATAACTCTTAGAAGTTTTTCTTCCGAGTTAACAGATCTGATGGAAAGCTTATGTAAAAGCTGGACCATCAAACCAGAGAATCTTTTGAAAGTTCTTGGAATCCGCACCGTAGGGTTCACTTCAACCAAGACCCCGCGACTAGTTTGTATGTATACTTGCAATTTACCCGCTTTGTTGATAGGGGAGTCCAACAGCGTTAGCAGACACTGGTGTGTGATATCTGGTCTGGCTTCGCTGATGTCTCTGCCCATTTTCTTCAAGAGACTTTGATGGTCGTCACAATTCAGTAGGACATACTTGTCACCACCAGGCCCTGACGAGGAAATCTTATGTGTCTCCAGCGACGCCATCGAGAGTACCACGATCATTCTCTGTGTTACTTTGTCCTTTGATGTCAGAACAGCTGGTGCCTGAGGAACCAGCGATACAGGCAGCGCTTTCTTCTCTCCTGATCTTAAAGCATCCCTAACCTTAGAGTCTTCAACCATAACGAATGAAAGCTAAGCAATGCACTCAATAATAACGCCAATGAGGGGAAGTGCTCTGTCAGTTCAATTCTTTTTGAAGCTCATCGCTGGAAAATTTTTGATTTTTATTCAATTTTTTTAAATCGAACCAACCGCCTTTGAGTTCCTAGTGTGTGATGATCCGTCAGAATTTAATATAATAGGTTAAGAAGCTCTGCTTCACCAAACATGTGAACAATGGTCATGACTCAAGCCGGAGGCATTCTTGCCTACTGTATGTAGCCTAAGAAATGTTTTCTTGACATTGTGAAAATTATTGGTTGGCGACACACGAACACTCAGGGAGTGATCATGCGCCTGATGTGTGTACTAGTGTCAAAATATCAAAAACAAACGCAAGATAATTGTGCTCTTGACTGACAGTTGTATACAGCTGAAATCCTTTCTTTAGCTAAAAAATGAGCAGGGGTTTTAACGTCACAATATTTTTAAACTACGACTAATTGACCAAAATTCTTAGAACCATGCACTTGCTGATAATGAAATGGCTGAACATACTCACGGGATCGGATCAATGCTAAAGGAGGAGTCTTAACTGGCGTGCGTTTAAGAGTGTAAATCGCTATCAACGACGTAAATAGTGCAATTATTGGCGACTCGCTTGCATCGCCAAAAACAATGACACAAAGTGTAATCAACACATTACAGATGAAACCCTCAACATGGACGATTGGATTGACGATGATGACGATGATGACTTTTTAGAGTCTCTTTCCAACAAACCACCTAGAAGTGCCAACGTTTCTCATGCTACCCAGGATTGCTGCGAGATTGCTAAACCGCAAGAACGAGATGCAGAATCTCAACTGCTTAAAGCCCAAGGCGAAGCGAGCATGCTTCGAGACCGGCTCAAGCTGTTCGAAGCGGAAAAGGAGCAGGACCGAAAATCACAATTGCAAAAAAATGCAGATAAGAGCACACAACATCAACAAGAAATTGACGCTTTAAGAGCGGAGCTGCAAAGACTTGAAGATGAGAAGAAATTTCTCACGCTTACTGGCAAGTCTCGCTTGAAAAATGGAGGGCCTTCAACTACAACGGCTACTCCAGACACGTCAACGGCCTCTCACGATGGCAATCAAAGCAGCAACCTAGCGGTAAAGAAGAGGAAGCTTCAAGAGAGTTCTCGCCAACTAGTAAGCCTAAAGGCCAATCGGGTCATTTCAGATGAAGTTAGTCTTTTCGTCCAATCAGTGATTTCTCACCGTCTCAAAGACTCGGAGATGACCACATTGGACATTTTAAATCATATAACGTTAGCGGAGGTTCGGCCATTCAGGTTTCGAGATTTTGAAATTGCCAGCGGCGACCCAGTCGGACATGGTGTTTTCGAGCTTTTGCTGTCCCGCAAGAGATCGGGCTACAAACTGGATCAATTTATTGACTCATTACTTGAAAATTTGGCAGTACTAATAAAGGAGATCTCTGAAAGTACTAAAGAGTGCAAGACTGCAGTGCCGTTTTTAGTGGCACTCATGCACCATTCCATTACGTTCCGTCCAAGTGCGGTACATGCATCGGCGCTGAAAGATTTATTTCACTTTATGGTGGATCTGGTTCGTACCCATAGAAGCGTTTTAAAAAAACCGTTGAATGAATCACCACAGCACCTAGACGTGGAGCCCAATGTTTTCCAATATGAGTTTATTCGGGTTCTGACAGTGCTATATGCATTTGACACGCTTGAAGATAGTTTGAAGACGCTTCAATCACTGTCGCCACAATTGCAGCTTGCATTCATTGATGACACATTTTGTGAGGCGTTAGATGATCTATCACGCTATTCGTTGACAATTTCCTATCAGCCGGTTCTGAACGTCATTTACAATACGATGGAAATGCTAAATTGTCTGGCGAATATGTTTTTAGAATTACCACAATTAGCCGCAAAAGTCCCATGCAAATGGTGGGATAACATGAAATGTCGATTTTACCACGTTCTCAACAAAACGACTAGCAACAATAGCCAATGTGAAGTTGATCCAGGATCCTTGTTTATACCTGATGAAACAAATGTTTACGGCTTGATCCGAAATATGGGTGATAATTACAATGGTCAATTTATATCTCAGCTGGTGATTAGAAACGAATCTCAATCTATACCCCAGGTAATCTTAAAAGAGTTCCCTGCGACTGATGGTATTACTGAAAAATCAATCGACGTGGAGTGGTGGAGCTTGAGGCTTAAGAAGGGAATTGTGCACCTTTTTGGTAAGTTAGCTATCATCTACAAAGGGGAGCCAGTTGAAAAGAACATGATCAAAATTTTAGCCCGATTAATGGCCCAAACCCAGGAAGTTTTACTCACGGTGCTTTTGGGACAAGACTCAGAGAACATACACTTGTATTACGAATTATTTTCAGAGCTACTCAAATTGATATTCCAAGTATGGCAGGCGAAAGAATGTGACTTGGGACTAATACGAGAAGTTGAATGTGAACTTGTAGTTTGCTTATGGAGAGTTGTTTTTGGTACGACCACAGAGGAAGGTGCAAACAAAGTGGAAATGAAAGAGCACAAGACTTTGGTTGATCGCTTTGATGAATTGAGGATTCAATCAGATATGGAGCTGTTTGAGGATGCATTTGATAATGAACCAAGTGATTTTATACTACAAGAAGTGGAGTCGCAAAGTCTAGAACGATGCCGAGAGATTATGGGCATTGGAGTGGAGGATATTTTGAAAGAAATGGCTAAAAAAATGTTGGAGGGGATAACTTCAATGGAAGATGCGGATGCCTTGTATTTAGCAATGAGAGGCAGTGATGAGGAAATGACTGCCGATGTGTAGGAAGATATTATTCTAAAAAATAGAAAAGAAATGAGGACCTCGTTCGTATTTATTATAAACTTCTTGGTTTATTACGAAACGAAAGGGGGGCTAATTTCGTCCCGCAGATTAACACAAAACGGTCTTATTGATGAGTTGTATATGGCTATAAAAGTACAGAGTCATCCGACAGAAGGGGCACTATGCTTACTCTATGCGCGCACTTAGGCGGATTGAGGCTTGGCGGTGCCGGTTTGGAAGTCGTTCTTGAATCTTCTGGATAGGTGCTTCAAGTGAGCCATTCTACCGGTACCGGTGGTTCTTCTTCTCTTAGCCTTGGCACCCCAGTTGAAGGATCTCATCTTAGCGGCTGGGTAGCCACAAGAAGCGCAGGTCTTCTTTTGAATGTGGAACGAACGCTTACCGCATCTGTTACACAAGGTGTGAGACTTGTTGTGACGCTTACCGAACGAAGGAGTACCCTCTGTGATAGTGATGTTAGTAGCTGGTAATGATGATTATGATGGCGACGGCGCTGCTAAATTACCAAAAGGGAAGCGAACGGTGTAATATACAGCGACAGGATTGTCCTGGCGGGCTGCCTAGCTTGTCTCAGTGTTCTCCCATAATGTGTTTGCACAACGACTTTCACCCACCGCTATGCGCACTGTTTCCTGGCTGTTCCTGCTCTCATGGCGTTCTGGTCTGATCTGTACTTTCGCGTCCCTCGGATCGTGACTCGCAAGCCGTTCCCTCTGGTATTAGTGTTCCTTCATAGCCCAACGTGTGTGTCTCCCTACATACTACTCATTTTTGCTGATGTGTTTGACTAAACCTGTGTATATTCCGACAAACACTTGTGAATTTGCAATATCTTTTACCGAATTATTCCCATAGGCCTAGTTTCCGAGAATTTGAAAAATTCCAGCTGGTGTGTGTGAGTCGGACCAGCGTCGATCATCGTGTACGCACATAACATAGTGAGCGAGCTTTTCTAAAGAAAACTACGGGTCATCGTACCAAGTGAAGTGGTAATAAAATGCCAAAAAGTTGAATTTTTATTTTATTTCTGAAAAAAAAACCAATAAAAAAATCCGAGAAATATGTGTGGGTGTGAAATTAGCAGTCACCGATGGGAACTTGACGTGTAAAGGTACATTTGATTGCAGATTATCAACGAGCGGCAGTAAATTACGTTTGTCGCCTTAGTAAGGAAGCTTTCGGCCTGGCGGTATTGGTCAAGAATTGCAACGTTAAGCGCGTAGTGTTTGGAGCGCGAAGTGTTTTGATAAACGAATTTCGTTGAGATAAATTCCGATTGCTACCAAAGCTTCAAGTTCTGAAGGTTCTCTACGAGGCACGTGACCTTACCTAAGCATATCAAAGGCTTGGCCAGGTGGTGCTTGATCGAGCGGGTTCAACGGCACCTATGGCCAATTTCTGGAGCGAGCCCGCTGCCGTATGCTCGTTAAGAGGTCGAGATAAGCTTAGCAGAGAAAGAGTCACAGTTTCAAGCGTCCTGTTCTTAAGTCCTCCGGAGATTCGTTTAGTATTACCCTCTCATTTGATCGAGAACGTCGTCTCTGCTTATGTATAAAAACGATCATTTCTGAACGTGCCTTAGTCTGAAGGAAAAAGTCCGCAGATCCCTAGCGGTCCTTTAATTACCTTACAAATTGTTACAAAACCCTGCATGAGACCAATTTCGGACTTCGTCTTAAGAGCTGTCTCTGTCGCCATAGGCGTTGGGATGTCCAATACTTATCCGCTGAACCTTAAAACGTGCCACGATGGCGTTCATTATTGTAAGTGCGGACGAGAGCACAAAGAATCTCTGTAGAATCTGCGCGACTGGAGGATAAGTAAATATTTCGCAAGAGAGGGATAAGTTTCAAAATCTGCGACATCAAAGGATCCCGTTTCTATTGCATATCTGTAAATAGCCAACCTGTTGAACATTAGTTCAGATTTAAACCGCGTTTTGTTTTTCGTGTCAATTGCCACACGGCTAGCAAATGAAGAAAGTATCTAAGGATATCCCTGTGCGCAGCAATGGCCCAGAATTTACCCTAGATATACTTGTGCCACGAGCTTTCGCTATTCGATGTACTCATATCCACCAGTTTCAGGGTAATAGCATATTGGATTACGGTGTCTCTTGACTTGTTGTGCTGTCCCCCTTATGAGTGTTTGCGCAACACTCAACAAATCATCAAGATTCAGAGCTGTGGGATATCCTGGATCGCATGTCAATTTTGTCGCCCAATTGCCAGTCGAGCTCATGCAAGAATTGGGAAAAATCATAAGATAGCTGTAGAAGCTCATTGCGGAAACTCGTCTCTACGATGAATTTTAAAATTGCTTAATTCGGTTTGTGGATCTTGCGATTTTTTTTCTGTCTTTGAGACGCTGTATTCATTCTTGATCGGTTTACCGTCCAGCGATCTCCGATCTTGGACACTGCCTTTTGAAGCCACAGATAACGATATTTTTTGGGGACCTCCTCGCCTTTGCTCCTGGGAAGCAGAGCTGAGAAGCGGTGTCATCAACTTCGCCGCACACCATTATAGTTAAATTTTGAACAGAGTGCAAAATAGACACCACACTGGTTTCTGTCCAGAATTAAAACCTTAAGTATTGGCTTACTACTCGAATTGACGCAATAAATTCCGTCCAAGACAAAGTAAATCACTTTGTACCAACGTGTCGCCCACAATGAAAGAGTGTAAATAAATAGACCTCAATTCTCGAAATATGCCATTCGAAGTACAATTCGTGCGTGCGATCTTTATTTTTTAAGCACCACTACGGTCTATTCATGTACGCCTTTCCATTCAACCAAGATCTCGTAAACTGTCAAAAGGCTAATTGACAAGCTGTATAACACACATACATAATAAAAACTACCTGCTTCAAAATATCCTACTTGATGTCAATGGGAAACTCTGTCGGATCTTGCTTGTTCCAAGTCACGACATCGTGCGAATTCGGTTTGTCTAATGCTTGCCAAATGTCATCGCTCAGAAAAACCTTCCTGTCCTCACCCTTCTTGGGTAAAACTTTCAAGTTGTCCAAAATTCGTTTAGGCTTGGCGCTTTTTACCAGCACTACGAAACCTTGCAAGAAAGACCAGTTGAGCAAAAGTTCCGCCTTTGAAATACCGCTCTGAGTCTCAAGAGACAAAAGCTCCGGATCTTGCAGCTTGACTCCCTGTGTCAAAGGTGAATATGCCTCCGCTAAAATATCATTATCCTTTAGAAATTTGCGCAGCTCAGGCCGTGGTAGCCAAGGGTGGAGTTCTAACTGGTTTAGAACTGGTTTGATTCGCGCCGCGGCCAGAAGTTCTTGCAAATGTGGCACTCCAAAATTAGAGACCCCGATGGCCTTGATGGGAATGGCACTTGACTCCGGCTTGATAACCGCCTCTTCCAAGACCTTCCAGGAATCTAAACGTTTCCGAGAGCTTGTTTTTGGCGAGTGCAGTAAAACTAGATCAACATAACTTATGGCTTCCGCGACATCTTTTGCTATTTCTTTCAGGGCCTTTTGCGTTTCTTCCCAACCTTGTTGTTGATTGGTGAGCTTTGTGGTACACCAAACGCTTTCTCTTAGAGCACCAGTCTCATTCAAAAACCTGCGAACTCCCAGTGCAGCCTGCGCTTGGTTACGATATCCCACAGCAGTGTCAATATGCCGATATCCTTCCTTCAGCGCCTGGTAGACCAAGTCTGCGGTATCCGCTGCTGGAATCTCGTAGACCCCGAATCCGATTATCGGGATTTCTAGTCCATTGTTGAGTTTGTAGCGGGTTTCTTGATTGATCTCAGTAGTCTTGGTCATTGTGCTTGGGTTCACTTCTATTAGTTTAGGAAAAAGGGAAATTGATTTCAATCCATTTCCTTAAGTTGAGCAAGCAACAAGGGTTTTATTCTGTTCTCCAAGACATAACTATGGCTTTTTTTCCATGACTCGAGCCCACAGTAGTGGTTGTCACCTTTGTCTCAAGTCATAAGGTGCTGGACTTTGAGTCTTCGAAATCGAATTTGATGCTTTAACTCTCCAAGACTTTGTCACTTGAGTCAAAATATCCAAAACTGGTTAAACATAACTACCGTACTTTCAAAACTAAACGAAATATTTGCTTTCACTCAAACGTCCTCAGTTAAGCTGGAAGGATAATAAGTGGGGTCATTCAAGTACTTAGGATCTTCAACAGGTCTTTCGCCCTGTGGCGTAATCCGGAAAGCATGTCTCAAGATTGGTTCTTCCCAATCAATCACTGCCGAATGGTTAACCCTGCGGTTGTCCCAGATAACCACAGAGCCTGGTCCCCAGTTTGCTCTCAGTTGTAGATCTTGGGCGTCGTTTGTCAGCCTGTAGAGAAACTGTAGTAAGTTATCGGACTCAGGCCTCTTCAACTCAACAATGCGACGAGAAAAGGAAGAATTGACATATAGAGTCTTCTTTTTCAAAACTGGGTGGTATCTCACCAAAGGATGAATGTGTGTGACCGGCGCACGTCTTTGTATACCGCCTTGACCCTGAGAATTGGCAGCCTGCTCTTTCGAACTGTGAACAACATGTAAGGTACTCAGGAAATCTTGAAAAGCAGGGGACAATCTTTCGAAAGCAGTTACCGAGTCGCTGAACAGGGTGTCTCCGCCGGCTTCAGGGCCATCCAGCACAGAAAAGAATGTGTAAGATGGAGGTTGTAGCTCGTAAGACACATCTGTGTGGAATGCAATGGACGAAGTGTTGTCATGGAAAACACGGTTGAACTCTTTGCGGTCTGGTCTGCGGAATGTGATATGCAATTCTGGGTGGCCCTTGGGAGCTCCAGATGTCTGGTGGACGTGCAGCTTCCCGAAATGCTTGCCGTAGTCAACAGCGTACTGAGGACCGTGCTGGGCGAAATCCTGGTTGCGGAAAATGACAACCCCGCGCTGGGCGACCAGAAGGGCGAGCTCGTCCTTACCGGCGTTTGAAAGGCTGCTGAGCTGGATTCCGTCGATCTGCGTGCCCAGTCTAGGAGTGATCTTCTTCACAGACGCCTCGGCTGGCGAGAAGTCTGGGAGCAAGTTTGGGAACGCCGGGTCGGCTCGCAACGCAGGGTCCTCGTACTTGTGGAAAACCAAAGGATCGAGCTTGTGCTTGGGATCCCACTCGGGCAAAAAAGGCGTGAATTTCGCCTCTTCCCGGACCTTGGAGTTGAGCCTCAGCGTGCCGTCCTTGCTGACCTCGTCCTGGCCGTGGAAGAAATGTGTGTCGAAATTACCGTACGAGGCCGTGGCGGTATCTTTCGCAAGTGGCTGTGCGACGGGCATGGCTGGAGGGGAAGTAAAAGAAGGTTTTGTTGTTGTTGTTGTTTCGCTTGCTAGTTCAAAAATACTCGTCCTGCGCTAGGAAGACGGGGTACTGATCAAGCTGGCTGTTGTTTGAAAAGAGAACTGTTCCACCATACTCGAGCTCATCCTCACTGGCTGTTTGTGGTCGCCTTAAATATCTGTCTTGCCCCTACTGAAAGCTTCCGGTCCCCGACCACAATTTGTCAGACTGTTGTCACAATCCATAATGTCTTGACGACACACACCACCCGAAAGACATTGTGTCGTGTCTTATCTGCCACCATTTCACCAGTAACAAGAAAGCGTCATTGTCTCTTTTCAAGCCATCTCCGGTGATTGGCTCGATCCACGCCAACTAGCGATGGTTTTTTGGATATTTCAATGGCTTTCTTGTCAAAGTCATAATGTCTCTTCAATGACTAAAGTCACTTAAGGACAAAGTGACAAGACGAACGTCAGCGAGGTTGTTCGAAAATACCAAGGCGCCAAGAAGCCACACGGCAGGTAATTTGTGGAATGGGACCTGTCAAAACTTCTCTGGAATGGTATATTAATGAATGAATTCGCGCTCTGCAAATTGATGGGCTTCCTCTTCTTTTGTAGAAGAAGAAACTAATAGTGAACTCACAAGGAATATTACCACGCGATGACTAGCAGGAATTTCCAGACCGATCTGGTTGTCGAGACCAGTTCAGTAGACAGCCGGTTCGAGGATCTGGCAGAGAACAAAGACTTCGGTATTGTAAATCAGACCGATATTGAGGTCTCGTCCGCGGAAAGCGCTAGCGAAAAGCGCAACCCGTTTCTGGACCCACAGATCGAGAAGCACTACCGCGGCGTGTACGAAAAGTGCGGGTACGAGTGTGCCGGCGTCTTCGATCCAGATCTCACTTGGTCGCAGGCCGAGGAAAAACGGCTGTTGCGAAAACTAGACTTGCGGGTGGCCCTTTCGGCATGCCTCATGTTTGCCGCACTGCAGATCGATCGCGGCAATCTTCAGCAAGCTGTTGCAGACAACATGCTGGACGACCTGAATTTGTCGACGAACGACTACAACACAGGACAGCAGATATTCTACGCGGCATTCACCATCGCGGAAGTGCCCTCGCAGTTGCTGTCCAAGAAAATTGGGCCCGATCTGTTTGTGCCCATCCAGATGGTCAGTTGGAGCATTGTTGCAATGGCGCAGGCCGCCATGAGTGGCAAAGCCGGATTCTTCGCCACTCGCGCTTTTTTGGGGCTCTTAGAGGGCGGTTTCATCGCAGATTTGGTGCTGTGGCTCAGTTATTTTTACACTTCTCGTGAACTTACAATTAGGCTGTCGTGGTTTTGGACTTGTCAATCGTTGGTGCAGATCGTCACCGCGCTGCTTGCATTTGCCATTCTGAGAATGCGCGGAGTTGGGGGCCTCACAGGGTGGCAGTGGCTCTTGCTCTTGGAAGGTATAATCACGTTTCTCATCTCGGTAGCCGCATTTTATCTAATGGTCCCCTCAGCGGTCCAAACGAAGAATTGGCTTCATCCGAAAGGCTGGTTCTCCCCGCGCGAAGAGAAAATTGTTGTCAACAGAATATTAAGAGACGATCCTTCCAAGGGAGACATGAACAATCGCCAGGCACTCACTCCTAGGAAACTGTGGGCTGCAATCGCAGATTATGACATGTGGCCCATATATGCCATTGGTATTATCGCCTACATCCCAGTCGGAACATTGACACCCTATTTGACTTTGAACTTGAAGCAGCTCGGATTTTCTACTTTGAATGTACAGCTACTGTCGATACCTTATAATATCTTGCACATCATACTTTTACTAGGTATCACTTGGGCCTCCGAAAGATTCCAGGAAAGGTCTTTGGTGTGTTTGCTGGCGCCGGTTTATTCTACTTTCTTCCTAGGACTCATTAGGTGGTGGTCAGGTTCCATGAAACAGGCATGGCCCACGTATGTCCTGACCACCTTATTCCTGGGCCAACCGTACATCCACGCCATTTGTGTGTCGTGGGTATCTAAAAACTCAAACTCCATCAAGAGCAGGAGTGTTTCTTCAGCCATGTACAACATGTTTGTGCAAATTGGAACAATCATTGCAAACCAAATTTATAGAGCTGACGATAAACCATTGTACCATAGAGGCAACATGCAGCTCTTCTTTGTTTCTCTATCCTTGATACCTCTACTGATATTTACACGCGCGTACTATGCTTATCGTAACAAGCAGAAGAAAAATGCATGGAATGCGCTCAACGAGGAAGAGAGAAGAGACTACCCTTTAACCACAACCGATGCTGGCAATCGTAGGCTAGATTTCTTGTTCGCCTACTAGTAATAAATATATACATGACTATACTCGTTGATAGACGAAAGTCGCTAAGCAGCGTAATTTATGAGAACTATTATCGTTATTGAACTACTCCCAAAAAATTCTTGCTCGTATCAATAAAGGGTATTTCATCAAGTCATAAACAGATTTATTCTTTAAATTTCATCGTTACGTGTAACGAGAAACGCGTAAATTATTTTAATCTTTTATTATTTTAATTAATGTGATACTTTTCGCGTTTACGCGTCATGCCCTCGCTCACGAGAAAGCTAAGACGGATGAAAATGGCTTCTTTTACAATTAAATCTTGCTAAGCTTGATGCTTCTCGTACGTTCGCAATCCTATACAAGAACAATCTCGACGTTTTTGTTCAAGCAATAGCCACTTTCTACAACTCAATATGTCTGGGCAATATCCTCCTTCATCACCAATTGCAGCCTGTGATGCAGGCCATGACGACCCATTTTATCAACCTAACGGAAAACATTCGCTTTCCACTCTCAAGTTCTTCAAGAAAAAGCCAGCAACCAACAATGCGCTTGATTACCCAACTCCAAATCCATCGTCGACTCTCGACAGATCATCGCCAATCAAAACACGCGTGCACCTCCACAGCTCTCAAACCCCCTCCGAATGCGAGCTTGAACAGGAACTACGCCACGAACTAAAATCCCATCACAACCTGAGGACGGAGCCTTTGGAGATTTCATTGGACGCCCGTTTCGAGACTAGAGTCACCGTAGGGCGTAAGAGCTCGCTATGCGATGTGGTTTTACCGCGTCATAAAAATGTGTCACGACTTCATGCATTTGTCACATACTCGCCGGAGACCGAACAAGTTAAAATAGAGTGCAAAGGTACAAATGGTTTAATTGTTGTCTTCCCTGTTAAACTTGACGTGAAATTGCTTGCCTGTAAAGACCGCGCAAATACCTACAACCTTGTGAACTATCATTCTGACGATGCACAGACGGCAAACAAAGAACTTGTTCGTGAGACAGAGCTCACATCATTTGTTTTGCTCCAAGAAGAAACCGTTCATATGCCATATGTTGAGGGCACTATTTTGGATTTCAGACCAGTACAATGTGAACTCATACTGGAGGAATATGCAAGTGAACAATACAATGATCCACAAAATGAGACTGAGACAGAAGACGAATTGCAAGCACTGCAAATTACAAGTGATGACTTCCCCCAGGACCCGCATACTCCCACTAAGAGATTAGTGCAAATGCCCTTCCAGGAAAGATCATCCGTATCATTGCAATCCAGACAACAACCCAAGGAACAGTGCCCACCTCTTCTATCTCAAGCAAAAGACAAAAATTTCTTAGTGACCAAGCTCGAGAAAACTGAAGTACCCGCTATAACAGAGCTTAAGGAAATTGTTATCGAAAAAGGCGCCGAGAAAGATTCAAGGAAGGAGGAAAATAGAAGCAGTGAACAAGATGCTGAAGTTAAAAAGAGTAATCCCGCTGCCAATGAAAAGAGCGCGACCAACAATACAAAAGCCATGAAGAAACAGGTTGACATAAAGATTGAAGGCGTGAAACCCCAAGTAAATCAGCACAAATTCGAGACAGGAAAAGTAGCGTCTGAACGAATTGTTCCAGCAACACCGCGGAAACAAGTTAAAGAGTCAAGCCTCGTTGACTTCTCTAATCTCCAACAACAAAAGACTGATGAAAATGGGCGTCGCCGAAAATACGCATCACCATCTCCCAAGAAAACTCACAAACGAAAAAATCAACCCAAGAAACCGATCTTCTCAAAGGAAGACATTCTCTTGCAAGTTGCTTCTAAAGCTATAGATATTTGTGAGCTTCAGCACGTCTTAGCGAATCACTTAGCCTTCTCAAATGTCCAGCAAGTCCCTTTGTCTCAACTTCGAGACGTCAACTCAATTATCTCAACATTGAAGCCTTACGAACTGCGTGCGCTTTTGGAAGACGAAAAATGTATAGGTGTCATTTATCGTGAAGGCAAAGACGCGGCTGGGAAACCTTTGGACGCAGAATATTATTACGACTTGGAAAATGACTCGGATGAAAACAGGAGACAGCTGGTGTCTTCTTTGAAAGGTGGTCGATCAGGATTGAGAAGCTGTCGAAGAGTGCATAAGCAGTACTTTTGGAAAAAGCCAACAAAATAAGTATTAATTGAATTATAATGATATAGTTTTAATTCCACCTAAAGTCTATCTAGAATTTTCACTCAAGACAAGAATAGTATTTAACAAAATCTATTTTTTCAAAAGCTCCATGACCTCTACTAGCCGTGAGTTAAAACTTCTTTTTGTGTTAGGTGACCATCTCATACCGTGTGCTTACTTAAAAAGGTTTGCAGTTCATCAGTGTCAATGTCTTCCGGGTCTTCAGTTGATATAGCTTGTAGCAGACCATCAAGCATACCATCGACCTTATCTTCGTCAACCTTCAAGCAAAGCGAAAGAACACGTCTGAATCTCCCCTCTAGGTGAGCTTGTTTTTCGCGTACGGCTTGTAGAGACTCGTTGAGCTTATGCTCATTCTTTTCATAGGCACATATTCTCGCACGTAGCAAGCCTTCGGGGGGGATGCTCTCTTCTTGTCCTGAGTTCTCGGTCATTAGTTGAGATAAAAGGCTATTCAATGAAGCATTGTCTAAAAATTGTTTGAGATCCCCAGAATACTCTGATTGTAACTTTTTCTCCAAGAAATCGTAAATGAAATCAATGCGAAATGGCTCGTCAGCATCGAATTCTGCCATGTCTAGGGATTCATCGTCGATTCCCAGCTCGCCACTAACCTTCTTAAAGTCGGCATCTTCTTCCACAATCGCCTGGTGAATATTCGAAATTTGTTCGGTTAGCTGTGTGTGATCATCACGAAGCTGGCGGCCTTGTGCCAACTTGTCTCTCGAAGCTGTTAACAACTTTCGTTGATCATTGAGATCTGCGTGTAATTTTGACAACTGTTCCTTGTGTTGCTTGATCTCCATGTCGTAGTCCTGAGAAATTGTGTTTATCAATGTCTGAATGTTGTTTATTAGTACTGTAGAATCAGGACCCGAAGCAGCCATTGACCTGTCTACATCGGCGTCATGAGACTGAGTGGCTTCGAGTTTTGTAGCGCCCGCGCCAAAATCCACTGGCCGCAAACCAGAATTGTTAGAAATTCGAGGGTCTGCTCCGTAATCTAACAGAGCCTCGACTATTGATACATTACCCAAACGCGAGGCAATATTGAGACAAGTATCACCATTGATATCGCGGGCGTTGAGAACGCAGTTAATGAACCATTTGAGGTCTAAAGTTGACAGTATAATGTCTCTTTCGCCGTCAAATTCGCGTGCCTGCTTTTTGACAATCCACCCCATAAGAATGTCCAGATAGTATTTTGCAGCCGCGGCACAGCCCGGCATTCCTGAAGTAATTACAATATGATGTAATACAGTTCTTCCCATATCATCGACCACTATCAAGCAAGGATAAAGGAAATCTAACAATTCCTCAAAAGTACCCGAGTCGTAGTTATTAACAGATTTCACAGCTTTTACGAGGGCCGATTCCCCAGTTTTATCTCCAAGAAGCCTCTCAGCACCGTTCCGTATCAGATCCTTCGTGAGTCTCACGTTTGCTATCGAACACAACCAATGCAGCGCGGTATTCCCATGCTCATCGATGGGTATATCGAGATTCAGTCGCGTTTGTGAATATGAATTGCCCATATTTGCGAGGGCGGCTTCGAATTGAACGGATTGGCCATCCGGAAATAAAATATGCTGTAGTAAATGCTCCAGCTTAACACGGTCATCGGGCTGAAAGTCTGTTAGAGGCTTCTTGGCTGGTTGTACTGTGAGTGGAGACGATAGTTGCAGATCGTGGGTAAAAAACTCTGCCGAATTAAACGTTTCTGCCGGTTTCAGCTTTTTTAATGGTGAACCTAATTTGTGGTCGTTTATTGCTCTCTTGAGAGGAGAGTCCGTGCTGAACTCTCTGGTTTCCAGCTCTTCACCCCGGATAGTATTGGTTCTTATAGCGGCACCGTTGCTAAAATTTCCCCCTCCTCCTTCCTCGCCCGCATTGTCTTCATCTTCTTCTTCTTCGTCGTCGTCGTCCTGATCTGTGTCGTGTGTCTGCAAATCTTGTCCGAGTCCTAAATCGCCATGAAAAGAGTCCTGAACCCCCAATACTTTTAATAATTCCCAAGTCTTCTCACGCGAAATCCACTTGTTATTGTTCTCGTCTCTTTCCACAAGCACCCCAAACTTCTGGAGAACTCGGCTCTTCCAGTCACCAGTCGACTGTTCTTCATCAGATTCCACCGCCAACAACGGTATCAGCCCATCAACTGAAAACAAATCTTTGTCTGAATCGTGTACAAGTTTCACCACGCTTTGCTGGCCATTGTAATTGCACTCTCTTTCAAGCTCCTGAACGGCCATGCTACACCCGTTTAAAATCACTCTAGCTGTTCAAACAGCCGCTCAAACACCACAGAAGCACCACGGTTTACGTCTTGTACCTGTAAATAAACTTCAACACGTCTAATAAGGCTTTTCTCTGTTCATCACCGAAATATTTTTATTGGCCTTACGCGCTCCCTTCGTGTTTAATGTCATCGTTAAATTAGGAATATGAACCTTGAAATCGAAAAGCTAAAGGAAGGACTAAGAAAGCCGTTGACCTGCCTTCAAAAAAGTTTGAGGTCTCAATATCTACTGGAAATGAGTATCCCAAGCAGTATTAAGCGTGTTTTGAGGCTATGCGATGATTTTGAGTTTGCTATGCCGGTTATAGCATATTACACCAAGTTGTACGTGGTGGAAGAACTCTTGGCGTTGAAGGAGAGAAACGAGGACGTTATAGCAAACGCGACACGTCTTATGAACGAAATTGAGGACTTCAAGCAGTCTGCTGCAGGAGAAGCAGAAAAACAACTTTTGCGGGACCAACAAAAGGCCAAGGTCTACTGCATGAATTTTGCAATGTCGCTTTACAACGAGCAGTTAAATAGGATCCAAAAAGGTGCCGTTGCACCAGATCTATCCAGGGCATTGTGGTGCTGCGCAGACCTGTTCGGAATGATTCAGGTGCTTTGGAAAAATACAGAGGCCACTTCGGAAGAGGTTCAACAATGTCAAAAAAGAATCAAGATCTGTAAACTGTATCTCAGTAAACTGGCTCGTGGAGAGCTGGGAAAGAGCGAAAGCGAAGAGCCGAAAGTAGTAGCGCGCGATTCGGATGCATTTTTGCCCAACCTGCGACAGACTGATTACGAATCCGAAGAAAATGAGCAATCGCCCGAAAACCAAGCTGAAATCGATCCAAAAGAAGTAGATAGCTTCATCAAAAGCTTAGAACAGGACCCCAGCTTAATCGACGACGATGCTGTAGAAGAAACGCAGCAAGATGAATCTCGTGAACGTAAGGATACGGATGAACTGATACGCAAAATGCGCGAACTTGATTCGGATCCTCTGCCCAATCGTAGTGATTCAGAGCCAGAGCTTAATCTGCCCCAGGCCCCCACTGAAATTGGTAAATTGCCTGCCTTCATTGACGTGGACGAAAGCGATACTGAGATGACAAACTATAAGGAAGAGCAGGTTGTGAAGCCACCATTAAAGATTCCTACCGAGGTTAAACAAAAGCCGGTACATTATCAGGCTCAAGATCTCAAAGAAATGTGGAACCGTGAAGACCAGATAGCCGAAGTCCAAAAAACTGCAAGATTCGCCATTAGCGCTTTGAATTATGAGGACGTGAAAACTGCTAAACAAGAACTAAAAAAAGCTTTGCAACTACTAGATGAAATTCAATGATCAGTTCTGTCCGTTGAGGGACTCTTTAGAGTGGGATATGATCTATATAGAAGTATCAATGCGTCTATAGACAGAAACAGGGATGCAAGTAACAATCAGCCATATTAATCGATAATACAGTCTGACAATAAACGTATTCTACAGGGGGTGGAAGGTAAATGAGTTATGATGAATGGGGCAGATGTGAGTAAAGCGGTGGAAGGGAATGTGAAAATATGAGTTGAGCATATTAAATCTCAATGAAATTGCTGGTAGAGTAATTCATTTCAGAAATTTACAATTTCAATTCCTTTGCCTGTTCCCATGGGTACTGCTGGTTGGTGAAGTGACCGTAAGAAGCAGTTGGCAAGTAGATAGGTCTGGCCAAGTCCAACTCTCTGACTAAGACACCAGGTCTCAAGTCAAAGTTGTTCTTGATGATTTCGATGACTTCTTCGTCTGACTTGGTGGAGGTACCGTAGGTGTCGACGTGGAGAGACAAAGGCTCGGCAATACCAATGGCGTAAGAGAATTGAACTTGAACTCTCTTACATACACCGGCGTTGACCAAAGACTTGGCAACCCATCTGGCAGCGTAGGCGGCAGAACGGTCGACCTTGGAGTAATCCTTACCGGAGAAAGCACCACCACCGACAGCGGAAGCACCACCGTAAGCGTCGACGATGATCTTTCTACCGGTCAAACCGGCGTCACCTTGAGGGCCACCGATGACGAATCTACCGGAAGGTTGGATGTAGTATTTGGTGTTGGCGTCCAACATGTTGGCGGGACACACTTTTTCAACAATCTTCTTTTGAATCTCGGATCTGAGGTCTTCGGTAGAGATTTCGTCAGCGTGTTGCAAGGAAACGACAACGGTGTCGATTCTCAAAGGAATCCAGCGACCCTCTTCTTGCTTGTATTCGACAGTGACCTGAGTCTTGGTGTCAGGTCTGACCCAAGGCAAAGAGCCGTCTCTGCGGGCGTCGGCCATGGCCATGTTAAGCTTGTGGGCCAATAGGATGGTCAATGGCAACAACTCTGGGGTCTCGTCCGTGGCGTAGCCGAACATGATACCTTGGTCACCGGCACCGAGTTCTTCGATAGCCTGCTCGTAGTGCAGACCCTGTGCGATGTCTGGAGACTGCTGCTCGATCGCAACCAACACATTACAGGTCTTGTAGTCGAAGCCCTTTTCGGACGAGTCGTAACCGATCTGTTTGATGGTGTCTCTGACGATCTTTTGGTAGTCCAGTTGTGCCTTGGTGGTGATCTCACCGAAAACCATGATCATACCGGTCTTGGCAGCAGTTTCACATGCAACCTTGGATAGAGGATCTTGGCGTAAACATTCGTCCAAGATAGCGTCGGAAACTTGATCGCAGATCTTGTCTGGGTGACCTTCACCGACGGATTCACTGGTGAACAAAAAAGTCTTGGCCATTTTATGTATTATATTGAGATAAGTGTGGTTAGAGCTTGAAGGAAGTTGAAAATTGAAAAACACACCCGGCTCATCAACGCTCTGGCTTTTTATATCTGAAATCTTTTCGTGAGCCATACGGCTCGTTTCTGGTGCATCTTTTCAAGCTTTCACATGCGTGTGGAGCAGTATCTACTGTATCTACCAACTGTTCACACTTTTCACCATAACAAGCTAAATAATCTTGAAACATCACGGCTGCGAGCCACACCTTGCAAGCCCCGAGCAAGCCCGCTCAACTCAAACGGAGGTAGCCCGCCTCATTCACAATGCGACCTCTACTGCCAAAACTTTGCCAGCCAGTATATGGTTCGTGATCATGGAGGAAGCCACACAGCGAAATCACCTGGGCTCTGGCAAAGTGCTAACAATTTCGTTACGAGTTCTGACTCTGGAACTGCTTCGTACGGCATCGCGAACTAAGAACTTGGCAAAACAGTGATGGAGCGGCAGTTGCGCGCCAGAATTTTGCGAGTTTTGTTGTTAGTGAGAGAACTATGTAGTGATTGATGTGTGTAAGTGGGACATGTAAGGGTACCAAGAAACAGGCGTGAGGACGAGAAGGATACGGTGGCCGCTGAGAAACAGGGTTCAGCGAGGCTCGTCATGGGGCTCGAGGTGTTTGTTTGATCTGGACAGGGTTTCTGATTTAACTTTCGCATGAGTGTGTATGTCTGATATTAATCTTAAAATGTAATATAATTTTAATTCGAATGTTTTTCATGTTCGAAAATCTCTTGGCAGGTTTAGTGTGGGAGAGAGAGAGAGAGAGAAAGAGAGAAAGAGGGAGGTAATGAGAAGATGGAAGCGGTGAGTAGTAGTGGTATGGTAGGAGGTTTTGTGCGTTAAATGGAAACGTAGGGAATAATGTGGGATGAATGTATAGAGTTCTTTATCACGTGATGCATGTCAGGGTTGGACAAAGTGATCTGGACGAGGGACCTCGCGCTTTCGCTTTCGCTCTTGATCTCACAATGGCAGCAGTGTTGGGACATCCTCGCGCATTAGACTGCGCCACACCAGTGCGCATACGCCCATTCCCAACAAACATCCCGATATCACATCGTACCAATGGTGCCGATGATCTACCACTCTCGACACCATCACCAACAGGCACAGCACAGGACACCAAATGTGACGCAGTCGAGATACACGCGTGTGTCGTACCTGCCACATGTACAGGAATCCCAGGCCGGCCGCCGCGAAACTGGAATGACCACTGGGAGTGCTTTTCAGTCCTTCGTAGAGTATGAATTTGTCCTCTTGCGTACACTGCGCGGCAGATACGTACGGTGCCGACGAATCCTCCGGTTTGCACCGGGCGATAAAGTCGGGTCTAGCATTTGAGATGAGTAGTTTCAACGCGTTGGTCAACAGCCCGTTGAAGCCCAATACCAGTACCAAAGCGACGCAGCTGGCGTGGTACAAGTGGTATTTCGCCGCCAGCCAGTCTGGTTTGGCCACACCGACGTGCGAACGTGCTAGGAAACGATTTTGGACCAGCGTATCGCTTCCCACCAAGCACCACCAACTCAACACCAACATCGGCAGCGGAAACGCAATCAACAGACACTGCAGGTTGGTGATGGTCTCGTTGGGTACATAGCTCTTGTTTATGGCAAGATCATCGGTACGAAACTGTTTCGACAACCTAGGGTGCAGGAACAGCTCTGATGATACGAAAGCGCCGACAGTTACAGCACATGTAGCGTATAGTGAGCCAAAATCCGTAGTATACGCGGCCAATTGCTTAATAGTGGGTACTCTAGAGGTGGCCATGTTAGGTTGTGAGATGTGCAAAGACGTGGGGTCTTAGCAGAGACGAACTGGTGTAAGTGGAAAGCTGCTTTCTCGTTGGGTCAATTTTTGGAACTTTTTCAAGCCGATGAGGGACGGTAAGCGTAGTGTTGACACAATTGAGCAGAAGCGCAACAAAAGGACCGTGAGAGCAATTAGAAAATGGCATCCATTTCTCAACTCACCAGCTCCAGACATCAGTTTGCACAATAGTCCGTACTCAAATCGCACTACAACCACTGTTACCACCACCGACCAATAGGAACCGTCTTTTATTCGTTATAGGTGATGCACCGCTATACAAACGTCAATTCGACGCACGTGACCCTAAGAGCAACGGATCGCTGTCGACGATAAAGGGAGCGCACTCTATACGGCATCTCATCTTTGATTTCTTCTTATCGGCAAAATGCCGAGACAGTTGTGGCGCCCCCCGGCTTTTTTTTTTTAAGTTTTTTTTTGTTTTTGCTATAAGTCCATCGCACACGTGATAGGTGGATTTTCGTCTTATATGACACAGCCATGTGATCTTGCAAAAAGTCGCACCTCTGTTTCGTATGATGTGATATGTAAGTGGATTTGGCGACTTGGCGGTGGAAGTTGAGAAGTGTGGAGCGTGGACATTGAAATGAGACATACTCGCAACGTTGGCGAACGCTTCTTAGTGCTGCGCTTCTTCCCTCGAGCTTTGATGGTTACGTGTGGAGTGATGTGTCGTTTCAATTTAGGCTTATAAAACCTAGCGCTACACTGTCAATCACTACTATCCCAGAAAACTCAGGATTTCCAGACTGTTCGGGTGTGTACTTCAAGAAATGCCTCTTACGGGGCACAGGGACCGTCCTCTATCCTCTTGCTTGGCTCATGATCTTCGCTGTCGCAAAACTTTGTCAATAATTACGAGTTGTCTCTGTGAGCAAACAAACAACCCTTTAAATCTAATCTGATGAACTATAAAACTCGAGTCTCGTTTAGGGAAAAATCCCAATCTTCAGTTAATCTGTCCTGTAAATTCGACTCTTGGCGTAACGACAACTGTACAAGCGCAATTGAATCCGAACACTTCTTCAAAGTACTCCAAATGAACTACGCTATCAACGTTTCACAAGTCGCCACGGACGCTCTCTCTACGCATGGGATCATCCCAGATGTGATCAAAGCATCGGGTTTCAAGCCCTGGGGGCTTTTGGCTGCAGAATACTCTGCAAGTGCTCCCGTGGCCATGGGTAACACTCTAAATGTGGAGGAAGCGCAACTCAAGCCCAAAGTGCACTTCACGCTGGACCCCAAATCCGAATTCAAAATCAAGGACTCCGATCTGTTCACTTTGGTTATTACAGACCCAGACGCTCCTTCCAGAACCGACAAGAAGTGGAGCGAGTACTGCCACTATGTAGAAACCGACATCAGGCTCCCCTTCGAATACTCTCACGGCACTAGCTCTGCAGTGCCCGATTTTGTGGCCTCTGAATTGACTAACGGTAAAGCACTGGTAGAGTATCATGGTCCAGCACCTCCAAAGGATACGGGTAAGCACCGTTACGTCTTTCTGCTATACAAGCAGCCTGGAGACTCTTCTTCGTTCACAAAAATTGCCGACAGACCCAATTGGGGCTTTGGCATTCCAGCTACGGGTGTTGATAAGTGGGCCACCGAAAACCATCTTCAACTGATTGCTGCCAACTTCTTTCTTGCCCAGAGCAAGTAAGGAACCTAAGTAACTTAGCTAAAAGAAACCCTCCCTAATTAATGAAATACATGATATTTGAATTTTTTTGAAACTTCACAGATATTCTTAAGAAGGTGGTAGTAGATCATGACGAAATTTTGGTCTGGCTTATGCTGAATTCGTTCATATTTCATTCTTCGTATGTTAATAAACTTTTGGCTTCAATCTGCAGTATCAAAACACCTATAATATCATTCCTCATCACATTTTTCATTGCTACCTAGATTTTTGTAACCTATCTGGACCTGACCTATACAGCGGATGGGTAATTCTCCGCCCTTCGTCTGTATTGATTTTTATTACAGTACAGAATTGTTACCATTTATTCAGGGTCTATTTCTTTCAGTTTCGGTACTCAGAATCGCAATGAATTACCGCTGGTGCGATTCTCACTTTAAGTTTCTCGAAAACTATTGATTGTTGTTTGTTTGAACATACTGCTTGAGCGCTATGCTCAAGACTGTGATGTCCCTGTGAGATAAAGTACTCTTATCGTATCGTATATGAAATCTATTCCAATGTATTTATATAATGGTAACTCTTGAAAACTCCTAAATTAAAACTGTCATATTCATTACTCGTTCCTCTATCTTTGTGCAAACAACTCATTGACAAGCTCTTTGTATACTCCAATCTGAAAATTGTCCAGTGATATTGAGTTGAGTGCTGGCGCCACGACAAAGCCAGATCCGGACCCGTTGTCCAATATATCTTCTCCAGCGTAGTGCTGCATCATTGACTGATACATTTTTATTTCTTTCAGTTGCTTGTCGTAATATTTTGACTCAATGTCCAAGTTATTCGGTATCGCGCACAACCATATTCTGGTCTTATAGAACTTAAACAGTTCTTTAATCAACTCACGGAAATCGTTTCTTTCTTGACACACGTAGTAAAAAGTTAGCTTCTTGCGGTCAAATTGGAACTCGGCATTTAAAATCTTAATATTCAAATTCGAGCGCGGCTGTTGGTGTTGATGGTGGGATAGGCCACTATTCAAAGACTTCAACTTCAATTGCGCAATGTGTAGAGCTTTTAATTCATCCTGAAACTTGTTATGCAAGTTCGTGGTGACTTCCCAAGAGGTCGCAAATCTCAATACTTGCTTGGACGGAATTATGAGCTGTGTAAGCTCGATCACGTCATATAGTTTAGAATTTAGCTCATCCGTATGTCCCTGGATAGTGTCCACCAATGCTCTGATGAAATCGTGATTAGGAAAATGCTGATCCCTATTAGTTATCAAAGAGTCGAAATGTATCTTTTTCTTCAAAAAATTGATGAAGAGTGCCAAGTCCAACTCAACGTGAGGTTCAACAACTAAGGCCAAGTCTTTGCCGCGATCTCCGTCTATTACAACTAAATCTTTACGCTCCATTGCCAAGTTTGTTGTTTGAGGGATGGACAGTAGTTCCAATTTTCCATTTTTTAACGCAACCAGTACCAAAGGCTTGTAATGTAGATAGGCACTGGTACTGCTATTTCTTCTGGTCTCATTACCGGATACAAATGCATCTGATTGAGGATTGTAATTCAGATTGGAGCTCTTCAAGAATGTTAAAAACTTAACCACGTTGCCCGCAATACCGCTTGACTGGCCGCCAGAAAGTAAAGCCTTAATATTATCCATGAAACCACACGCTTCTTCACTTGAAAAGTAGTTTTTGCCACAGTCTTCGTAAAGAGTCTTGAGCTCCGCAGAAGCTACAACTTGCTGTTCACTTGTCAGCTCCAGTCCATTGTCCAATTGGTGTGAGCCAGGCTGGCCCAAGTTGGAAGATTGCATCAAATGCGATGATTTATAATTCACCTTAGGAACGGACTGTCGTTTCGCAGGCATCTGCAAATAGCGATTCTTGGACATATTCGCAGAGTTGTATAGCTGTTCCAAGTTTGATGGTAGCATATTGTGAGAGTCTTGGTTCATAGGGCTGTGTATAAGGGTATCAGAAATGTAAGAAGACCTCCTGTCAGCATTAAATTGCTGCTGCTGTTGTTGTTGTTGATAATACTGTTGAAAATTCTGTTGCTGCTGCTGCTGTTGATGTTGGTGGTTCTGTTGTTGCTGTTGTTGCTGTTGTTGCCGATGTTGTTGCTGTTGTAAAATTTGTTGTTGAGGGTCAAATCCCAAATAAGTGACTGCGCCAGCACTATTAACAGGCGACAGGGCGCCAGTAGGGCTTAGTGACTGCTGCGTGAGTGCCGCATAATAACTCGTAGGGGAAGCTAAGATGGTGGAGCCTGACGAGCCCGAAGAGCCAACACTGTTGTTGCGGGAGTTAGCTGAACCCACCGTTCCTGCGACTGGCGCCAGACCCGCTTGAGGCGGAACTTGTGCAGCGAAAGGATGTGGGTTTCCAAACTGAAAAGAGATACTTGACATCCCAGAACGGTCTTCGCCAACCTGAAATCCAGGTGGCATCCTCAAGGGCTCCGAATTAGAAGGTGTCATCTGAACGGCACGCAGAGCTGCCTGTGCACTTGGCGCAGCACTACTTTGCATGGTATTGCCCCGAGGCCCAAACCCGAGCCCGCTGACAAAATCTACATTGCGTGCTTCCATCTCTGGAGCTCTTGGCATCGCCTGGCGCGGCAAATCTGTCAGGGATTTGCCACTGCTGTTTTTGAATAAGAGCTTGTCATAGTAGTTGCGAAACACCAGATTGTCCGAAATACTTGTCGTACTATTTATCGAAGGCAATTCTGCGCTGAACTCTACCCGTTTGTCTTCCATTGTGTAAATTGGGTCTATTGGCGCTTCAAATGTTTGGTACTTCTTTTTTTCACTTTATATCCGTTTTCTTTGACCCGCAGTCTGAATGTTTTTGGAATTGAATGAGCTTTGAACGTTATCTATAGCCTGTATCGTATTTCGTTCGCTTTTGAGCTTCTTTCAGCTTTCAATTATCGTAATAGGTCGTGAGCAAATTGTGGTAAGCGTCTGTAATTAGTAGGCTATAAATATTTCTTCTCTTTTTATAGTTTCTCCGAAACTTTGTTGCCCCTTGTTATAACCTGGAGACGTCATAGTCGACGAGTGCGTCACTCCCAGTGCTCCACCGTGAAAGAGAGCTACGACTGTAAGACTGTAAGGAATGAGATTGGCATGAAGTTCTAAATGAGTATTGCGCATAGATATAGATCTGAAATTTGTATTGTTTTCGGTTGGTGGCTTTTTGATTTAGTTCGAAGGTTTATGAAACTATCGTAATCAATCTTAGTGACCATGTCCTTGAGGAACTAAAGTGGCTGATATGTAGTGGTGCCGCGCCCACAAAACAAGCGAGGTTTATTATCAGAAAAATCGAGTATTGATTATTTCGGTGACATGGGCACTTATCGCTTGCTGGCCTCTGCACGTTACAGATAGGAAATAATTTATAGCGCCATCACATTGTAGCCGATGAGTGATGCTGCCTTCGGGTTCTGCACACTCGGTTTTGAGAATAGTTTCTAGTTTAGGGTGTGAAAACCAAGATTGAATAAAAGTTTTAAATCAAAGCACGACCAGCAAAGCCTTTTCGAAGCTACTCCTTGTGCTTTCCTTTAATATACATTAGCAACTCTGATGCTAACGTCACGAAGCATGTAGCTATCCTCCGTTTATCTTACGTTTTATAACTTAAATGTACTGCCTAAGAATTAAACTGTTGTTGATGCTTAAAGTGTCATATGCACAACAAATCATTTAATGTTGCCGATTTGACATTTTCCAAACAGCACTCTGCCGCTGTCATTTCCGATACCTAAATATATAGATCAAAGTGTATTTGTCAAGCACCTAAACCAGAGGTCAAACTGGAGCTTTATCGGAAAAAGAACAACCAAACCACCGCGTTAAACAAACACATAACCAGCATGTAAATGATCAACACTTTCCATTTGGACGTCGGTATTGGTTTGGGTTCTACTTTACTATCGGAGGAATCTGTCTCAGCTGTACCCGTGTCCGCTGCACCCGATATGGTTCGATAATCATCTGGCCTTTGAAAAGCGTTTGGAACCGCAGCAATTTTTGCATTACCCTCGGCTAGTACGACTCCCAAGCCTTTGGACATATGCCATTCTACATGACAATGTAACAGCCAGAAGCCAGGATTATTGGCTAGGAACCTGATAACCGCGTATGAACTACCTGGGATATTGATGGTGTCACGAGTCATTGGAACTTTCCCTTCCCATGCAAAAAGGTCTGCCTGATACCGCTTCATAGCTGGAGTTTCGAGATCCTCAAAGTGCAGCGGGCCATCACGACTCTGCCCCACAGATATTACTTGAAATGTATGACCATGCATGTGCCAGGGGTGTGTCATGTGGTCAATAGAGTTTATGGCTATCTCAATGACTTCATCGCTTTCAAGTTGTATCGGCTCGCGAACGCCCCTGGCACCTTCTAGTAGGACACCGTCAGGAAGAAATTCAGGCATCGTGTCCCCGTTAACAGCGTACATTCCAGTTTTGAACTGCTCTTTAAAATCACTTTCATAGGAGTAATCTAAAGAGACTTGCTGACGCGGAGATGGAAGTAGTTCACCATGCATTGGCACAAACTCTCGAAATTTTTCGTTTTTGTCTAGTCCAGGCAGATTTCTTGGATCCCCCCCGAAGTTCTGGCCAATTTCTTTTCCGGGTCGTACTAGCCAATGTGTCTTGGTAACATATCCCATCATTTTGCCGCAGCCGTGGATTATGCGCGCCCGGGGTGTGCTTAAGTCGAGCTTTACCAAAACTGTAAATCTCTGACCAACAGCTATGGATAATGTGTCAATCAGGTAAGGTTTCGTGAGAACACCATCCGTTTCAACCACACATAAGCGGTGTCCTTCAATATTGAGGATGTTGGTGCCGCTCATTCCGACGTTTATCACCCTAAGTTCGACATATTCGGTGTTCTCAGTTATTTCGAATTTCACTGAGTCTTGATCTCCATTAAGTGTAGAACCTTCCACGCGCGGATCCGGCCCTCCCGTTGGACTCATGACGTCGGCCAATATTTCGACGCTAGATTTACTGTACCAGTCTGAGACAGCTACTATAACTTCTTGTATAGATTTTTGGGACCCGGTTTCCGGTAATCCTTCGAGCAGAGTACCACCTGTGCCAACCGCATCTAACTTGGCTATTACTCGGCTCAAGTAGGTTTCCCGAGCGCTCGAATCTACCAAAAAGACGCCTCGAAGTCCATCTCCATACTGCACTGAAGAATGGGAGTGAAACCAATATGTCCCTCCCTCCATACTTTCTGGTATCGTGAAGTTGTACCAATACGACATTTGTGGAGGAATACTACGTTGGGTAACCTGCGGTACTCCATCATTCAAGGCCCCCAGTTTTCCGTCATCATTTCCCAACACTAGACCGTGGAAATGTATAGAAGTATTGCAATAATCTTCTCCGTACTGTGCCAAGTCCTGTTCATCACAAATTTCATTGTTCACTAACAGATTAAGAGTGTCTCCAGCTTGCACTCGAATTGTGGGACCTAATGAGTTAATTTCTCCGTTTAGGGAGATGAGCTGCTTTCCACTATCCGAAGTTGTTCTAGATATATTCAGCTCACGAACAATGGTCTCTGACAAACCCAAAGGTAGAACCAAAAGTAGAAAAGCTGCATAGAAGAAAGGCGCTTGCATGTTTTCTAATTTTCGACTTTGGTATGCAAGAGTGTCAGGTACCTAATATTTCAATTTTCGAAAAAAAGAGGCCTCTAAGCGCCATCCCACGAAAATTGTCTTAACTACCGTTGACTTGCATTCAGGAAACGCCAATGATGAGCGGTAAGCGAAAAACTTTAAAATAGTATATTTAATATATTGTACATCGGTTTCTTTACAGGGTATTGCTCAGTTTTAAATCTTACGTATGGTGAAACCGGTGCTGCACGAGACTCTTGCAGAAATCTGAAGATACCGAAATGTGTAACGACATTTTATATGTTTCTCCCTGCTCTTTACCCCCCCGTCTCGATTATTTGTTCCTTTCTTGATTGTGACTCTTCTTGCCAATTATGCTTCAAGCAACGAGTGCTTTTTTGCTCTCCAAGATCTTTTCGATTTCAGCAACCAACTTTTTGAAGGCTTTTCCTGAACCAGATAATTTTTGAAATCCAATATCAGACCCATTGCCGCCCTTGCTCTTAAAAACCGTTATTTCAAACAATGTCGATCGCAGGGAGAGAATATTGTCACTGCTCAGTTTGCCTCTAATTTGCTTGACCGAGGGTAGCGCTCTCACATCTTTCAAGCCATAATCTCTCCACGCGACTAGTAATTTACTCAAAGCATTGAACATTTGAGTTTCGTCAATGTTTGTATGTGTTACGGCATCAAACCCTTGGGTTTTGTTTTCATTATGAGACTTGGACGAGAACTTCCGGAAGAAAGATTTATTAGACTTCTTTCTCTCCGCTGGCGTAATGTCCTCCAATGGCTGCCTAGCAACTGTGAGTTTCTTTTCCTTAACATGATCTACTGGCGCCGCTTTGATGCCCGAAGATGGGGTTTTATCTGGTTTTTCAGGTCGTTGCTGTTCTGTAGGTACCATAGAGATTATATTCGCGGGCGGTGTGTCCCCCGAGCTTAATTCTGCCTTTGCCTCGGTACCTTCAGACACCGGTTGATATAAGCCTAAGCCTGTCATGCCGTCTGACTTCTGTTGGCCCAAGGGCGGCAGAGTGGGCAACTTTATTGTGGAGGGGTCTTCAGCATTACTGGTGACCGGAGACGCAGCTTTATCAAATCGGTCTGCAAAGTTGAGCTTTACTCCGGATCTCGATCTGGACTTAGAGTCTCGGCCTTCAGCAACTTCATATAAGCGGCTATCAGCAGAAGTTTCAGCTGTCTCCTTGCCGTCCTTGTCCACGTTTTCGAACATGAACTCGGCTTCCTGATCAGCTTTGGAGGTGGATGGAGGACTGGCGTTCATCGAGCTTAGATCACCGTTGCCCTTGAGGTGTTCCGCTAAATTTGTGAAAGAGGCTTTAGTCGAGTACATTGAAAGGACAGAGAGTCTTTTATTTGATGCAGTAAAGTGACGCGACCGTCTAGTGAATTGAGGAACCCTGACCTCAGAGATCTTGCGTGGGTCGTAACTGGATTTATCATTCTGTGTCGTAATCTCTGTATTATTTTTAGGAAGTGTCTGTGACTTATAATCCGTGTTTGTACCCGATGCAACTGTGGCATTAGATACTATACGCTCTGATTGATCACTTTGTTTGATGTTGGACGCTTTACTTTCCTCCTTAAGTCTTTTCTCCCTCGCGAGCTCTTTAGTAATGTCGAATGATGATCCCAAAAATTTGGATCTGCGAATAGTCTCCAAGATATTCTTCTTTGCGTCAAGTTCTCTTGCTTGAGCTTCTGCTTCTGCTTGAGGTAGTTCTTCAACGGTGTAGATTCCTGGATCTAGTCGCGATACGGGCCTTGTCTCCAAAGAGAATGTTCTTCTTTGTAGTAAGTCCTGAATATCATTTTCTAAACCAATAACAGAACCACGCTTGTCGACTCTCAAAACATTCTCAGCAGGAGCAGAGACGGACCGATTCTGAGTTGGATCACGCTCACCTCCATTCTCTTCATTTGATTTCCAGATATTCATTTCCTGATCTATTTTATCCAATGCTGCTTTTTGTCTGCGAGCGTTTTCGAGATCCACTTGCTTTTGCTTCTCCAGTTCCTGTTCGCGCTCTCTGCGTTCTTCATCTTCCTGTTGTAGCCTTTCCCTTTCTTCTTGCTCTCTAGCTTCTCTGACCCGTCTTTCGAGCTCTTCCTTTTCTCTTCTAATCTGCTCATACTTCTCATGCTCGAATATTTGATCACACAAGGTGGCAAAGTCTGCACTTGTTCTTCTGGTTTCCTTCTCGATGTACTCCCAGTCGTTGTCCTCACAAATCTTTGCATACGTAGAAATCAGCTTGGATGTCGTAGACCCACGCTTGCCACTACCAGGCAAGAAGGATAATCTTTTGGAAAAGCGAGATGACTTTTTGTTGGATTTTGGAGCGGATTGATTATAATCTTTCAGCATATCGACTGGGATTGGAGGTGCTGCAGGATCTATTTCTCTCAGCGAAGCCCTTTTGTTGGCAGGTGTCGGAGAGCTGTTGGTATTTATTAAGGCTGAAATCCTCTTATTGGAGGAAAGGTTGACGGATGTTCTTTTGCTTGGGGTAGGAGACTTGTTCTCAACATTGCTACCGCTAGTAAACGAAAGTCGCTTAAAAGAGACAGGTTTTTTATGAGACGATGACGCGCTTATTACAGGGCCTTTAGTTTTCTTTTTAGGTGTGGGAGTATTGACAATGGAACGGCGAGAAACAGAATTGCGCAAATTGGTCTTTTTGGGTGAGGTTTGAGACTTTCGGTTCTGCTTCAATTGGTCTTGCTGACTGTCATGTTTAAAACGGTGCAGAAGTGCGTAAAAGGTCTTTTCCAAATTCGCGCCGGGCTCTTTTAATTTAGATATTATCTCTTCCCTATTTCTTCCGTGCCATAAAACCACCAGGTTATTGACTATGGAGTTGTCTGTTACTCCGTCTGCGTTATCAAGTGGGTTCAAGTACATGTCTTCACGAGGCAAGTTCCGTATACTTTTAGAATCTTTAATGCTTGGGTGTTTTTGTAAAAGCGGATGTTTAAGAATCCCTCTTGCTTTGATTCTAGCAGCCGGATCAACAGTAAGTATTTGAGAAATCAAATCTTGAGCTTCTGCTGAAATCTCATCAGTACCGGGCATTTCGAACTGCCCGCTTTGAACTTTCAGCAGCAGGTTTCTTATGTTGCCATCTTCTTCATCGAACGGCAATCTACCAGTAAGCAACGCGAACAAGATGACACCACAGGACCAGACATCGCTTTCGAAGCCATGATATGGGAGTCCTGAGACGATTTCGGGTGCAGCATAGTGCGGTGAACCGCATGAGGTTTCCAGCAACTTGTCTTTGCTCTCAAGCGCCGCCATGCCGAAATCTGCGATTTTGATGTTGAACTTGTGGTCGAGAAGCAAATTCTCAGGTTTCAAGTCTCTGTGAACAATACCAAGGGCATGGCAGTAGGATATTCCAATTATGATTTGGCGGAAAAAACGTATGGCTTCATTCTCGGGGAGAGGGCCGCGCTCCACGAGAAGGTTGAACAACTCGCCTTTCTCCACATACTCGAGGACCATGTAGAGGCTCGAATTGGTCTCCCACACGTCGTACAGTCGCAAAACATTGGGGTGATTCAGTAGTTTCATGATGATGATCTCGCGTTCTATGCCGTAGGGCAACATGTCTGGCTCCGAAGACCCAATCATCGTGGAGGAGTTGCCGTTGCCCTGCGCGCCGAAGATCGACTTGGATACGATTTTCACCGCAGCTTGTTGGCCAGTGGACTCATGTTGGGCCATTAGCACTTTTCCTGTGCTACCTGCTCCCAGTGTGCTTCCCAACTTCCAAGGACCAATCTTGTCGTCTTTCATCGCGTTGAGGCTGGTTTTCACCACCGAATTTTGCCTGGAGTGCGCCGACATCTCTGTCGAATCACGGTTAGCTTGAAAGTCGAATTGCTTGCAAAACCTGCTATTCTAGTGGTCAAAACGAGCTAGGTAACAATTGGAAGAGTAAAAGTAACGCGCTGTAAGCTCGCAGTCTCTGTTTTTTTCCCAAGTTCCAACTTGACCTAACTCAACGCGTTATGCTCCATTCCCGCTAAGTTCAGGCCAGAGCTCTACAATTTACATACAAGTTCCTCAATAGGAAAGAGACATTCCGAAACTGTAATTTTTCGTGTCGATGCGAAAAAAAGGCGCGTAAAGCTAGCGGAAACGGGAGCAACAGACAAACAGAGGCGTTAATTTAGACTCTGAAACCGAACAAATGTGAGACCAGCCTTTCGTGGAAAGCTTAATCGGATCTGACACCGTGCGACGCCTCTTTTTGCACGCCTCTACCGTTATGAACAATGGCCGTGTACCGGAAGTATTTGAAACTTTTGACAGCATGAAAGTCACATGACTTGGGCGAAAGTGCATCTCTGCGTTGTCTGTTGTTTGAACTAGGACATATCTCATTTCATTTGTGTATCTGTGTGGATCGGCAGCCAGTTAGTGGTGGCTGTGCGCTGATTTCGATCTCACCTGCGATATGTAGAGGCGGTTAATATAAAGTACAAAAGGGTGTTTGTCACGTTGGACGCATTAGTGTGCGCAGCGGTGCTGTAGGAGCCGAGGCGAGTGTGATAATGTGCACTAGGGGTTTGACCTACGTGAGAAGGTACGTCCGCAGTTTTTATAGTGAAGCTCCTCCGATTTGCTCTCTGTGAGCCTCGATGATGTCGTTGTCTTCCATTTCAAGATCCTCGGGGGTCTGATCGGCCTGGATTCTCACACCATCGTACAGGAAACGCAGTGAGTCCATTTCTTTACCTTGTCTCTTTGCAAATGCCTCCATTAGACGTCTCAAAGGGGTGGTTCTTTTGATCTTGAAAAAAATCTCTGACGAGCCGTCAGAGACCTTCAAGTTGATGTGGGTTTCAGGCTTAATGTCGGGTTTGGTTTCTTGCTGTGGTTCAGACATGGCTGAGTGGTCGATAAAGAACTTTGTTGGGGGTTTGAAGGCGCTGTAGTTCTTGAGAGAAAGTGGCAAGGGTTTAATGTCTAGTTGGTAACAATTTTTGGTCCAAGACACGAACGAGGTGTAACCCGGCCGAATGAACTTCTGGGAAAGCGCGCAGATGTGACCACGATGGAAGCGAAGGTAGATGAGCTGTGGGCGTTACGGATGTCAGATAAAACATATGTGGACGCCTGGGTGGTGCATTTTCACTGTAGGCCTATTGGCCTGCGGCTATTGAAATAGTTCTTGGACTAACAGAAACAGATTTCAAGACACGTCACTATGAACGGAGAGAGAACAACGCTAATTTACGCAAATTGAAAGGGCAGGAGCATGTGTGTGTGTGTGTGTGTGTGCTTTACTACTATTTCAGTGTGTTATGGACGCGCTCCTGGAAAAGCCTAGGTTGCTAAATTTCTGGTAAACCTGTTGGAAAGATTACAAGTTGTTCGCAAGCAAACAAGCTTCCGACAAGATCCCCGGCCGCCGTCAGCTCGCCAACGAGATTTCCCCATCTTCCAAACGGCTTCGTTACATCTGACCCACTGAATGTTATCTTGCGAAACTGGTCTCTTACCGTCATTCCACATGCGGGGCGGCCATGACGAAAATATGACCAAAAACTCCGAAAAAAAGTAGCGCTTTTGAAGCCAATCAGTTTTTGATCTTTAAAGACTCTGCTCTTACACGAATGGACAATAGAGGCGGAGAGAACCGAGGCAATCCAAAGAACCCTAACTACACGTAGGCCACTAATAAACACCAATCGGCGGTGAGACCAAATAACACCATAATATACTTCTAATCACCATATACGAACATCTCCAGGGAAGCCGCTTCGACTCGTAGCATTCCACCAACGCTGTGTATTACAGCAAGAGTCGCGGCCGTCAGTCTCTTGCTCCCACGCCTGCTCCTCTCCGCACAAAAACGCCAAGACACCCACACATCACTACACACGGCTGTGTCGCACAACGATATACTTTAGCTTGCCTCTCTGCTGCTGCCACTCGCCTCAGCCCTTTGAAGCATGAACTTGAACATGAATAACCCACTAATGTTTCAAGTTCAAAGTGGTCGGGTAGTTGAAGCTATGAGTTTCTTTAAACTGGTGCCAGCCAGAGGCCACTTTATTCCATTTTTTGCAGTCCACGGCGCACAGACGCCGTAACCGGGGTTTAAGGCGCTAAAAGTTTTTGCACGGCGACAATATTAGTGAAAAGCTCTGGCAACACCAGGCTCCTAGACTGATAGCGGCCTACAGGCATGCTGTCTCTGATGAATTGCCTTAACAACTGAATATACGTAAGACCAACGAGATTTGTAGAGGCATTTGATAGGCGCTCAAGAAATGAGTAAGCCCATAAAAGTAAGAGAGCGGAAGCAATGAGTAAAAATGCTTTCAAGTGCTTTCCGAAATGGTAAACGAATTGTATGTGGCATTTGTAGCCGGTACAATTAGCCGCAGGACAGGTGTAGTAAAATTTGTCTTGGCCAACGGCTAGCGAAACTTCTGCTTTCCGCTGGCTAACTGTAATCATATATATATATATGGATAAAGCTAGCACATAGTCTAGTGCGGGGGGACCATACTTCATCGAGCCACGAATTTGCAGTTTCAAAGGTCGCTCTAGTGTAGTGGAGAGCGCTGAAGAGTAACCAACTAGCTATGAACATGGAACTAAAAAGCCTAAAGAGTCCTGACCGTGGGACGCCAGTCTCGCTCGAAAGTGTCGAAGTAGTCAAAGAAGCTACTGAAGACCTGCCGCAGCAGCGTACAGGCGCGATGCATCGGTTCGTGGACTCCTTCAAAAGGCCCATCGAAGAATCCACGGAGGAAACCGCCTACGGCGAAAATGATAGCGACCAGTACAGACGCACATCGGACGTCAACTCAGCAAGTAAACACAAGACGCTAAAGCAGAACATCAGGCCCAGACATGTGTTGTTGATTTCGCTGGCCACCGGTATCGGTACCGGTATGCTTGTCGGTAACGGTAAGTCGCTGCACAACGGTGGGCCCGCAGGGCTGGTCATTGGTTATGTCATTGTGTCGACAATGCTGTACTGTGTCATTCAGAGTGCATCTGAGCTCGCGATGGTCTACACATCGCTCGCCGGCGGCTTCAACGCCTATCCGTCATTACTGGTCGACAAAGCGTTCGGATTCTCCATTTCATGGGTCTACTGCCTGCAATGGCTGTGTGTGCTCCCACTGGAGCTTGTTACTGCGTCGATGACCATTAAATACTGGAACGATGATATCAATCCAGACGCTTTTGTGGTGATTTTCTATGTGTTTCTCGTTGCCGTCAATTTCGTTGGATCCGCTGGCTACGCAGAAGCCGAGTTCTTCTTCAATACCTGCAAAGTGCTCATGATAGCAGGGTTTTTCATCCTAGGAATCATCATCAATTGCGGTGGTGCTGGAAATAGTGGCTATCTTGGAGCGCTGTACTGGCGCGACCCAGGGTCGTTCAGAGGCCATAACGCCATAAACCGCTTCAAAGGTGTTATCGCGGTGCTAGTAAATGCAGCATTTGCATACGGTGGTGCTGAGTTTTCAGTACTAACCGCTGCAGAGCAGTCCAATCCTCAAAAGTCAATCAGAAGTGCATCCAAGAAACTTCTGTATCGGATTGTGGGCATTTATTGTATGACAGCTGTCCTCCTCGGATTTTTAGTGCCTTATACCTCAGACGAATTATTGGGCTCAGGTGATTCTGCCACGCATGCCTCGCCTTTTGTGATTGCCGTGGCATCTCATGGTGTAAAAGTTGTTCCTCATTTCATTAATGCAGTGATCTTGTTGTCGGTGTTGTCTGTGGCCAATTCTGCCCTATTCTCCTCATCTAGAATCCTGCTGTCGTTATCTGAACAAAATTTCGCGCCTCGCTGCCTAAATTACGTCGATAGAAGAGGTAGACCAGTTTTCTGCTTGTTGATAGGCTGTGTTTTTGGCTTGTTATCGTTTGTCGCGGCCTCTCCGAAAGAAGAGACCGTCTTCACCTGGCTTTTGGCCATTTCTGGGCTCAGTGAGCTGTTTACTTGGTTTGCCATTTCGATGTCGCAAGTGAGATTTAGAGCAGCCATGAAAGCTCAGGGCAGATCTTTAGGCGAACTCGGGTACGTTCCTTGGACAGGTGTTTGGGGTGCATACTACGCCATGATCATGATCATAGCCATCCTGGTAGGTCAGTTTTGGGTTGCTATATCGCCGATTGGGACAAACGTGTTGAGCGCCAGCAATTTCTTTGAAAACTATCTGGCCATGCCAATTCTCATTGTATTATACTTAGGTTACAAGGCGTGGTATCGCGATTGGCGATTGCTGATTCCTGCGGAAGAGGTCGATCTTGTATCGAGTAGAAAAGTGTTTGATGCTGAGGTGCTAAAACACGAGCAGATGGAAGAAAAGGAGAAAATTCGCAATTCTTCTTGGGCAGTCAGGATGTCGAACTTCTGGTGCTGAATTTTATGAATGCGAATTGAAGTCAAAAGTAACGAAATAATGAATTATCAGATTTATATTGAATAGGAGTTCTTGATATTTGCGGACGGCTCGAGAGTCGTAGTAGTTTGTGCTCACCTCGCGAATTGTGTTTTCGAGCGCCTAGTTGACTGAGAGTTCAGAGCGTACGGTAGCAAATGTTGACGATTTAATGTCACGAAACATCAAAAACACCTGAATGAACGATGAGGCTGGAGCTCGGAAGAACAGTCGAAATGTCAAAAGATGGGCAAAGTGAGACTGCCCGAAGATGAGCTAAGTTATGAAGGAGAGAGTTTGCTTTGAGTTAGTGAACCATGCTGTAAGAATTACGAAATGCCCGTTTAACGAAGAGCCGTGGCAGTGTCCGCCCAGCTGACGATAAAGAATGATTGGCTCCCCAAGGCACGTTTCGGACAGAAATAAAGACTGTTCAGCAGCATTTGGATGTCCGATGGTCTTCTTTTACTATGTGTGCTTATCACTGGGGAGAAAGGGCGATTTCTCCAGACTGGCACGAGAACAAGAGCGTCCGCGCCAAATATCCAGTATGATTTTCTAACACACCAAGAAGAGCCAGAGTTTCGGGAAACACAACCGTTTCCTCAGTCATGTCGTCGCATTTTAGATGCTTTAAGAGCCGACATTGCGCACTGCCCAGTGCTGAATCGCTTCCGAAATCAACTCAAACTACTCTAGATCAACTCGCAAGTCTCCAGAGCAACTTCAAAACCTTCAGGTCTCTTTAGAACCCAAGATCAACTCAAAGCCCCCCCCAGATCGGCTCAAAAATTTCTGGACCAGCTCAGAAATCCCCAGGTAGCTGAGAAATCCCCAGATAGCTGAGAAATCTCTCACATAACTCATACATTTCTCACACAACCCACCAAATTCTTAGGACGCCCGAGATTCCAGATAAAACACAATCCCCAGATTTCACCATTGTTCTCGCTTTTGTTCCATGCATCGAGCTCTTCTTCTTTTCTTCCTTCCTTTAATTTTTCTTCTCCTGCGTCAAGGGCTCTCACTCGATTTCTGTTTTTTTGTTTTTTTGATGATTTTTCTTTTTGGTGATCATAGCGCCGTTCAGTTCACAGCGGCTCGAAATGAAATCTCGAAGTCTGCGTTAGCAGGGAAAGGGCTTTCTCGTACGGCTCTTTCACCAAGACTGGGATGCGACGCCTTGATGTTTTCGCTAATTTTCAGGCTAAGGGCTCTTCCCGCTATTAGCGCCTGACAACTTATTTCAGTTTCCTTTCACATCTTTCACTGGGTTTCACCAGAGGGCTCTGCTAGCGTTGACGCATGTTCGGCTTCGCCCGCACTGCATGGTGCGATTGCAATTATGGCCGCGATGAAGAGGAGAAACATAACTTTAGTTATCGACGTATATGAAGCAGGCGACCAAACTAGACCTGGGGTATTTCCATCCTTAGAAGGAACGTGTCATCGCTAAGTCATAATAACTCATCTCACGCTCTCGTCGCACTAATGACAAATCGTGAAAAAGCTTCCAACACGCCGGAGAGCGACAGCATCCGCATGCAAAAGCTGAACAGTCATGGGTCCGTCGATAGCCTCGACAAGGTCTCACTGCCAGGCAGCGGCTACGATTTCCACGAGGGCGAGCCCCGTACTATGTTCCAGCGGTTCAAGCACTCGTTCAAGAAAGCGGACGAGTCCACCACGCGCCACGACGCCGAATTTGGCACCGATGTGGCCCATCAACCTGAAAATAAGCTCAAACAGACCATCAAAGCCAGACACGTTTTCATGATTTCGCTCGGGACCGGTATCGGAACCGGGATGCTGGTGGGTAACGGTAAGGCCCTTCACAACGGTGGGCCGGCCGGTTTAGCAATCGGCTACGCAATCATGGGTTCTTGTCTGTACTGTATCATCCAGGCTGCCGGTGAGCTTGCCGTCACTTACAGTTCTCTGACCGGTAATTTCAATTCATACCCATCGCTTCTGGTGGAGCGCGCGTTTGGGTTCTCCATCGCCTGGGTCTACTGTTTGCAATGGCTTTGTGTTTTCCCACTAGAATTGGTCACTGCTTCGATCACCATCAAATACTGGACGACTAGTGTCAACCCGGACATTTTTGTTGCGATCTTCTACGTTTTAACAATCCTGGTAAACCTTTTTGGTGCCCGTGGGTATGCAGAAGCTGAATTTTTCTTCAACGTATGTAAAGTTCTCATGATCGCTGGGTTCTTCATTCTGGGAATTGTCATCAACAGTGGTGGTGCTGGTAATGATGGATACATTGGCGGCCGTTACTGGCGTGATCCAGGTGCGTTTTACGGTACCAAGCCTATCCACCATTTCAAAGGCATCATCGCCACTATGGTCACGGCGGCCTTCGCATTCGGTGCCACTGAGTTCATCGCCCTAACTGCGGCTGAGCAAGCCAACCCAAGGCGCGCCATTCCCTCTGCCGCTAAGAAAGTTCTCTACAGAATCTTACTCATCTTTTTAGCCCCCATCATCCTGATTGGATTTTTGGTTCCATACACTTCTGACGAACTTATGGGTTCTGGTAGTTCAGCAACTCACGCCTCTCCATATGTCATTGCTATTGCCTCGCATGGTGTTAGAATTGTGCCACATTTCATCAACGCTGTCATTTTGCTGTCGGTTTTGTCGGTAGGTAATTCTGCATTTTATTCCAGCTCTCGTCTACTGTTGTCTCTCGCCGACCAGGGCTATGCTCCATCTTTGTTCAAGTACGTGGATCGTGAAGGTAGACCAATCAAGGCAATGGCCGTCTCTGCTATATTTGGTTTGATTTCATTTGTCGCTGCTTCGCCAAAAGAAGAGACTGTCTTCACTTGGCTACTAGCCATTTCCGGTCTCTCCCAGTTGTTCACTTGGATTTCTATTTGCGTTTCTCATATTCGCTTCAGATATGCGTTGAAAGTCCAGGGAAGATCAGTTGGAGAATTGGGATATAAATCTCAAACTGGTATAGCAGGGTCATACTACGCCACCGTGATCATGTTTTGCATCTTGATCGGTCAATTTTGGGTTGCCATTGCCCCCATCAGTAGCGCTGAATTGGACGCCAACAATTTCTTCGAGAACTACTTGGCGCTTCCAATTTTGATTGTGCTATATTTTGGATATAAGATCTGGTCCCGCGATTGGAGACTATACATTCCTGCTAAGGAGATCGATTTAATCAGCCACAGAAAAGTATTCGACGAGGAATTGATCAAACAGGAAGACGCCGAGTACCAGCAGAATATAAGAAGTGCTGGAATGTTGAGTAGGATTGGGCACTATTGGTGTTGATCTTGTATTGCGCCAACAATTTAGTCCTTCTTTTGGGCTTTCAATAGATGTTTACATGCACAGCAGGCAAGCAAGCGGAGCGCACATATGTATTATTCTATATGGTAACGGGGAATGATTTTGAAAGTAATATTTTTACGGGCAGTTGATTGATATGTTGGGTGACCGAACTACGATCACGAATTGAAATCTTGAATAATAGACGCTTATAAACATAGAGATCGAGTCGGATGCTCAACTAGGTCCTATCACAAGAGAATTTCAACTGAATTATGAGCAGGTTATGAAAAGCACATTTTATTTAAGTCGGATGTTCTAACCTTCCCACTCGTGTCAACATGCTCAATGCTAATAATTCGGAAGCTTTAAAATGGCGTCTAATCTTTAGGAACGAGAAAAGGCCGCCTAGAGGCTAGGCAGCATCCCTCATGTCGATATAACAATGTTTATTTTTATTAATCCGACATGATGGAATCGAAACAATTACGTAACAGAATGGGCTAACGTCGTGGGCGCGGCATGATGAAAGAGTGGAAGTAAACGGGTTTACCTTGACTGAGCAGACAGTGTTTACGAGAAAGACGATTAACTAAAAAACGCTTTGAAGCCACTCACATGCAAGTAGTTCTTGGCACCCTGATCAGTCAGCCTCACTCGAAAAAATTGTAATTTCGCATATGCTTTACCGATTTTTTTATCCTGATCTTGTGTTCAGATTACTAAAATCGTAAAATATTTGTAAAACTTGACTAAGGAAGGGTAAACAACAATCTGAGAAGATAATGCCTAATGCTACATAGCGCAACGCTTAAACGCGGCAATTATGCAGCTTCAAGTTCGAGGATATATATAAAAAGCTTCAATTACAACTCTTTTTATATTATCTTGATGTTTAATTCAGATTGATGTTTTAATCCGAACATCACCCACCACTCGAACCACTCCAACCCAAAAGATATGACATCTAAAGTTGCGCCATTCTTGGACACCATTGCTTCCCGCCGCACTATCTACGCCTTGAAGCCTCAACTTCCCGAAAACATTGAGCTAAAAGACGTCCAAGATGTTGTGCAAGCGATCATCAAGCATACACCAACTGCTTTCAACTCTCAGATCAACCGCGCCATGATCTTAACTGGCGAAAGTCACAAACGGTTATGGAATCACGTCTACGAAACTATTCCCATCGAAAACTTCAAAAAGAGACCGCTCTCGGCTAGGGACGAGGCATTTGGGACCGTCGTTTTCATGGTCAATGATGCCAAGACCAAAGAAATGCAGCAACAATTTCCCGCTTGGGCAGAGACCATCCCGGAATTAGCGGCTCACGCCTCGGGTTCTGCTCAGATTTCAACCTGGGCTGCCTTCAAGCAGTTGGGCATCGGAGCGCATTTACAGCATTTCAACCAGTTAGTAGCTGATGCGCTTCCTGAGGGCTCTATTATGGAAGATTGGGAAGTCCAGGGTCAATTGGTCTTTGGTCTGCCCGCTGGCTCACCCAACGAGAAGACATTCATAGAGAATGAAGTCAAAGTATTTCACTAGTTAGATTGAGAATGGATTTATACGATGGGAAGTGTTGACATCATAACAATAAGTTCTCAACTACCTAAGCGTCTGTTTCTAACTCCTTTATACATGCTCCAGGAACAATCCCACGGTAGTCGTTTAAGTAATATTCACCGTCAATTTCACAATGCCTGGGATCATCGCTAGTGCCCAATGGGCTTCCTGTCAATTTACACTTTTCGACCAAGCACCATCCATCAGTGTGCTTAGCAAGCAACCGTACACAATCGTCTCGTCGAATGCATATTTCATCTGTTAGGTTCGGTGTGTAGTCACGAACCACCACATATAATTGATTGAGCTCTGTTTCTGCAGTGCCCGAATTTAGTACTGACATCTCAAGCTGAGACCAATCTGTGATAGAAGCTGCAGTTTCGGATGCTTGTTTTGATTTTGGTGTTAGAGGCAAAGGCTTGAGTGAATCAATCAGGTCTAAGTGCTCTTTAAGCTTTTCAGTAATGTGTTTTGATTTTTTCTCACCAATATTACGTTCTCTAGAATCACTGTTCTTGCTAGGAACCCTTTGCGGCGGCCTCAATAAGGCGATAGCGTCAATTTTAGACTTTTCTATGAACTGAGGCTTTATGACACTTTGAGACGTGGTTGATCGCGAGTATGGATTGAAGTTTGAGATTTGCTCTGAGTTCATAAATCGCGTCTCTCTAATCGTGACAGAGGACTCTTTCCTGTTCGCAGAGTGTTTAAGAGAAGAGCTGCGGAAGACCAAGGGATCCAACTGGCTTTTAACATATGAATCCTGGAATATGGGGGGCCGTGCGCTCAAAATAGGTGAATTTTCGTCTGGCAAAAAGCTCTGTACTCGATTTTTCGAAACTCTGGACAGTATATTCAGTTGCTTGAGTTTAACAGTTGAAGATTTGAGCGGCTGCTTTACCTGGTCTTGAAAGTAGGTAGATTTGGTGAGAAACCACCGGGATAGCGGCGATTCATAAGTCCAAGTGCCATTGTCCGGTGGTATGGTAGGTTTAGCATACGGCATATCTGAAGAGGGACTAGCAGTGGGCAACGCGGAGCGGATAGATTGAATGTGGGGCGGCTTCGTATACAGGAATGTGTCGATCTGGTTTGAGCTGAAACTTTTGTTGATAGGAAAAGCCACCTTTTGTGGAGTTTGTATGTGCTGCGGTATAGGATTTGATTCGGTATTGATTGAAGAAATCTTGTACCTTATGGTTGCACCACTGTCTTGGTTAGAAGCGAATGAGCTAGATTCGTATTTCTTATGATAATAATGATGGCTTGGTTCTTGATTGAACAATCGGTTCCAAATTTTGGACTGCGGGCGCGGAGCGGGTGCCCCCGATTTCGGATAATAAGGCGTGGGAGGGTATAGCCTAGAATGGCGCTTTCTATGCCAGAGATAAAATGCAATGAAACAGAAGCCCAGGCAGAACACGCCCAAAGGCAGGCCTATGGCAAGACCGATGATTGTTGAGGACGCATTTTGACTTTCAGAAACTTTATCTAATATCACAGAGCTTGTTTTGGCGGAAGAGCTAGCAATAGTACCAGTCGTGCTCAGTACTTGTAAAAAAGTCGCCGTTGATACTGTGCCGGAGTTGGACGTTGATTGAAGGCGAACATTCACTGTGTTTACGCTAACAGTAAGTGTGGAAGTTGAAAAGGGCGTAGCACGATTGGGCGAATACAGGACATCGACGAATACGCTTTCTACCGCTGTGGCTAAACGCGGAGACTTGTTGTCCTTAGAGGTGCTACTCATGTTGAGTTTGGTTTGTAGGAAGCTTGAATGAAAGGCATTAGATGGTAACGGACCATTGCCATGGTCTTTTGGTGGAAGATGGAGAAGTATATAAAGGTGTAGGTGTGGAACTAAAAGTGTCGAAGTGTTTCAAAGTGGATGAAACATATGTAATGATGTTTCAGGTGTGAGAGAGAGAGAGAGAAACGTGTCACGTGGTTTAAGGGTTTGAAGTGAGAAGTGTTTCGGAGTTTACGATAGAAGAGGTGTGGGAAGAGTAAGATAGACGAGTCTGGGAAGAGTAAGATGGAAGAGCTTAGGGTTGGTTTGACTTGGCGAAGGAAGGTAACGTGTTTAGCTGTAGTTCGATTTGATAGCTCGGAAGAATGACGAGCAGACAGGCAGAACTGTAGTGGAATGTGATTATAGGTGCGGACAAGGGTTAGAGTAACAAGTGTTGGGTTTTAGGTTGAAACATAATTCAGTAGACCTCGATTGTTGAATCTCGGTCAATCAAATACAACTTTGATTGTTAATTGTCGATTGTTAGGGTAGATTGTCAGTCATAATTGAGTATAATTGTCGATTGTTAACTGTTGATTGTTACAAGTCGATTGTCGGTCATAATCGAGTATAACTTTGATTGTTAACTGTCGATTGTTAAAGTCAATTGTCAGTCATAGTCGAGTACCACCTTGATTGTGAACTATCGATTGTTAGGGTAGATTGTCAGTCATAATCGAGTATAACTTCGATTGTTAATTGATTGTTCCAAGTCGATTGTTTGTCATAATCGAGTATAACTTTGATTGTTAACTGTCGATTGTTAAAGTCAATTGTCAATAATAATCGAGTACGACTTCTATGTGTTCAAAGTCGATTGTTTGCAGCCGATTGCCAATGATAATCGAGTACAGCCTCTATGGTGAAACCTCGGTTGCTGACAGTCAATTGTCATCCAATGTTAAAGTCGATTGTCAATAATAATCGAGTACGACTTCTATGTGTTCAAAGTCGATTGTTTGCGGTCGAGTGCCAATGATAATCGAGTACAACCTCTATGTTGAAACCTCGGTTGCTGACGATTGTTAAAGTCGATTGTCAATAATAATCGGGTACGACTTCTATGTGTTCAAAGTCGATTGTTTGCAGTCGATTGCCAATGATAATCGAGTACAACGTCTATTGTGAATCCTCGATTGTAAAACCCGAATCTAAGACTGGCTCCTGTAGAGCCCCACTGCAAGACACGCTCCTGTGGAGCCCCACGCTCGAGCTTTGTCCCACCTTATCGCTGGCGCATCCTCAAAAGGCGCTCCAAATTTTGAGGTTCGATTTTTGAGTCAATGATACCGTGCGACTCGATATATAAAAACCGAACGCTATGAGGAAGCAGAGCGAAACCGCCGTCGTGAACCATTCGGCTCCAGGGTTTTTTTCCCCCTCCAAAAGACGCCAATCACCACCGGAACATATGCCGGATCACTAGCCGTAGCGCACCACGCTCCCACGCTCCGCCCACGGGACCACATGGCCCGTATATCCCAAATCGACACCATCGTCTTCTACGGCCCGCGTCGATTTTCCCAGGCTCCTGCATTCCACAGCCACTGGCAACAACCGGAACAGCTCTGTTTACCCTTCCCAACGATCTACAACACCAGGCTACAATATCCAACAACACGCAAACCCTTACGTTACCAAGATTTTCAACCTCTCACTTCGTATTCCTGCGTAGTATGGTTCCCACGATGCCCAAAACAAACACCAGTCTTGCTAGTAACACCGGGATCTGCCATGAGATGCGTGCATTGGGTATGCCATTGAATATCCCATTAGGTATGCCAGTGACAACCGAAACCAGCACGCCACTAGCCTCCCTGATTGTTTCCTCGGTGTGCCCGACACAAACGCGAAAAAAAAAGCAAGAACACCACAGAAATCAATAAACACCCGCCCGGGACACACTTTCCGACCCCGTGACACGGTCGAATGCTTAAGACCCGGATCGTTGAACGGGTAACCGAGATCTTCGCTCTGCAGCAACACGCGTCAACGCGCATGTGCAGATCACCCGTGACGCGCCTCCATGCACGTGTATGCACAATGCCAAAATCTCGGGTTCGGCAACTATGGGATATACGAAGATATATGTATGTGCCAATGCGGGAGAGAGCCGCTGTGTCACTTAAACCGCGCGAACCGCGTAAACGATCGTGCATGCGCGCCATGCACCCACCTGCAAGCCTGCCTACAGGCGCATGTTGTTGATAGCCGAGGAAATCGCAGGCTGGGCGCGAATCACAGTACCCATTACCTTACCATTTCGGATAGCCCAGCATACAGGAGCAATCCCAAACACACATGTGTATATGGCAGAGGGTAGGTGTCAGCACTGGTAACAATGTGGAATAGCAAGAGGCGTTTGGGTATAAGTAGAGCGAGAGAATGCGAGGTTGAGGGACTGTGGAAGACCTGGTTTCTCAGTTTGGACAGATCCGAGAGCAAGTGTCAAGCACCGAGTACTTTGAGAAAAGCACACACACATTCATTCGTTTCCCGCCTAGAGCAGAGAATATTTCCCGCGCACACACAGAAATATCATGAAGTACGCGTTTGTCATGGGTCTGTATTTGGCGGCCACTGCCGCCAGTGGCGCTTCTGCCCCGTCGTCGCAAACGACCGTCACCGATGACGTGACGGCCACGGCCGTCGAGCTCCGGTTCACAAAGACCGAGTCACTTCCCACGGCGTCAAGCTCGGCGCCGGCGTCGGGTTCGGCCGCTTCGTCCGCAGTGACCTCGAGTCTCGCGTCTCTTTCCACGACGCTCAGCGGCTCCGTTTCGGGAACCCCAGGGTCCGAGCCTTCGAACTCCGGCTCCGCCAGCGCGACCTCTGGACCCGTGCCTACCGGTTCTGCGGTAACTACGCCTGAATCCCAGGTCTCTACCACGACTGGCTCTGCCATTAGCTCAACTGGCTCTGCCATTAGCTCAACTGGCTCTGCCGCTAGCTCAACTGGCTCTGCCATTAGCTCAACTGGCTCTGCCGCTAGCTCAACTGGCTCTGCCATTAGCTCAACTGGCGCTCAGGCTTCTGGCTCAACCGAATCTCAGTCCACCACAACTAGCTCTGCCATTACCGTTCCTGGGTCTCAGTCCACTACAGCTGGCTCTGCCGTGACCACCCCAGAATCCCAGGTTTCTTCTGCTACTGGCTCCGCCGTTACTACCCCAGAATCTCAAGCTTCTTCTACTACTGGCTCTGCCGTGACCACCCCAGAATCTCAAGCTTCTTCTACTACTGGCTCTGCCGTTACTACCCCAGAATCCCAGGTTTCTTCTGCTACTGGCTCCGCCATTACTACCCCAGAATCTCAAGCTTCTTCTACTACTGGCTCTGCCGTTACTACCCCAGAATCTCAAGCTTCTTCTACTACTGGCTCTGCCGTTACCACCCCAGAATCTCAAGCTTCTTCTGCTACTGGCTCTGCCGTTACTACCCCAGAATCTCAAGCTTCTTCTGCTACTGGCTCTGCCGTTACCACTCCAGAATCTCAAGCTTCTTCTGCTTCTGGCTCTGCCGTGACCACCCCAGAATCCCAGGCTTCTTCTACTACTGGCTCTGCCCTTACCACCCCAGAATCCTCTGGTACTGGCTCCACCATCACCACTCCCCAATCTCAATCCACATATACCCCAGTTTCTTACTCGTCCTCTTCAGTGTTGTATGCAAACACTACTAGTTCCCAATTCGCTAGCCCAAGTTTGGCCTTTTTCAAAACTACTTCATCAGAGTCCTCTAGTACCTCTGCATCTGGTCCTAGTTCTACAACTGACAGAGCACCTGCGTCAACTGTTGTGCAAACTAGTGCCACTGAGACTACTAGCGACACCTCTACGTTCGGACCCAGTTCTACAACTGACAGAGCACCTGCATCTACTGTTGTGCAAACTAGCGACACCTCTTCGGTCGGACCTAGTTCTACAACTGACAGAGCACCCGCATCAACTGTTGTGCAAACTAGTGCTACCAAGACTACTAGCGACATTTCTGCCACTAGTTCTTCGACAACGAGTACAACTCCAGCCTCAACGTCTGCTACTGCTGTCACTACTCTCGCCGCTGCCACTGCCTCTGCGATCCTCAGCGAGCATAACGCCAAGAGAAACCTGCACATCGATACACCAGACTTGGTATGGGATGATGGTCTTTCTGCATTCTCGTATGCCTACGCTAACTCTTTGAAAGGTACCGATTATGATCCATGTTCTGGTAATTTGATTCACTCCACCGACAGAGGCAACCAGGGTGAAAATATCGCCTACGGTACCACTTTGGACCCAAATCTGCTTGTGGATTTCTGGTACGATGAAATCAAATACTACGATTACAACAACATCACAGGTATTGAACACGATGGTGAAGAAGTCGGCCACTTTACTCAATTGGTGTGGGCTTCAAGTACCAATGTTGGTTGCGCTGTTATCCAATGTGACACAATGGCTTCATTAGGTCAAAATTCGATTTACTTGCTGTGCGAGTACTCACCTGCCGGTAACGTTTACAACGGTACTCCAGGACAAGACGAATTCTCTTTCTTCAAGTCCAACGTTTTGGAACCCAAATCTCAGTGAATTCAATCAAATAAATTATGGCGTCAAGATAAATAAAAATAGCTAACTCAGGTTCGTAGCTAATAAAATAACTGTATTATCATCAGAAAAGATAGTAATTATATTGAAATTTAAAAAAGGATGGGTATTTAGAAGCCTAGTTCCCACCTGGCATAAAGTTCCCGGCAAAGTTAAAGCTCTGATTTCCTTGGTTTCCTTGGTTTGGTCCTTGATTGGGTCTTTGATTGGAGTGGTTACCTTGGTTAGGACGTGACTGATCGTAGTTGCTAGAGTTTTGGCTATAGTTACCTTGATCGTAACGTCCTTGAGAGTTCTGTTGGCCCGAATTGTAGCCACCTTGTCCTCCTTGGTTGTAGTAGCTTTGAGCTCCTTCGTTGAAACCACCTTGGCCACCTTGATTGTAGCCACCTTGACCGCCTTGGTTGAAGCCACCTTGACCGCCTTGGTTGAAGCCACCTGGACCGCCATGGTTGAAGCCACCTTGACCTCCTTGAGCGTAGTTTCCGCTGCCTTGCTGGTTATGGCCTTGTGGTTGTCCGAGACTGCTGCTGCTACCATATTGACTGTTGCTACCATATTGCTGAGCGTTTTGAGACTGTCCAGATGGTTTGCCTCCTAAAAATGAACTTGCCATGGAGGCTAAACCTCCAAAACCGGACTGGCCCTGTGAATTACTGTGACCTTGGTTCTGGTTTTGGTATTGGTTTTGGTTTTGGTATTGGTATTGATTTTGGTTTTGGTTTTGGTTTTGGTTTTGGTATTGGTTCGAATTGGATTGTGCGCTTGATTTACCAAAAAACTGGCCCGCCAGAGCAGCCAAACCCGCACCACCTAAGGCACCAGCCGCAGAGTTCGAACTCCCATGACTAGGCTTACTACCGCCACCAAGCATAGAAGCAACAGAGGATAGATTAAAACCGCCAGAGCTCTTGTTTGAAGAACCCATTATTTTGCTGAGAAGTGCGAGCTTGCCTAGTTGAGACTGAGAGCCACCGTTCCCGCTTCCACCCATGAAAGTGCTGAACAAACTACTTCCAATGTCACGAGAACCTGTCCCGTCACCGTTGTTCACCACATGCTGGCCGATTTTCTGGATGAGGTCCTCAATAAAGGACATTTGACTTGGACTAGGGTCCTGCTTTGCAGCTGTCGTCAAAGAGTCCACAGCCTCTTCGTGCCTTCCTTGTTGAAAGTAGTTCTCCGCTTGACTGATAAGTTGATTAACGTCCATGTTTGCACTTTTCCGATTAGGCTATTGAACGAATTGTCTTGTTGTTCTTGATTGAATTTAACACCTGTGCTTAAATTTTAAAATACTTGAAATGCTTTTACGGTCGGTCCTTCATGAAAATCGAGATTGGTAAATTAAGTACACGCATAATGATGCCAAAGAAAACTAAAGAAACATCAAGTAAATATTGGCATTTAAATGGACAGTTACGAGCGCAAGATCGGGTGCTTTATCCAAATTCCGAACGTTGGGCGTGGGCAATTAAAATATGTGGGTTCTGTAGAAGGCAAACCAGGAACATTCGTCGGTGTCGATTTATTGGCTAACATTGGTAAGAATGATGGGACTTTCCAGGGAAAACGTTATTTTGAGACCGAATATACCCAAAGTGGGCTTTTCATACAACTTCAGAAGGTATCTGGGCTCATAGATGCTGCGACTAATGGTGGATCATCAAGACGTAGCACTTTTGGAGACGCCCACAGCGGGAGTAGGCCAGCAACTATTTCAACAACAGTGCCAAGATCACCGACACCAGTTCGTACGGCTTCTAGACACAGCTCGACGGCCTTTTCGGATGCAATGGACGTAGACGGCGAGGACCGCCGTCATTGGAGCTCAACTTCAACCAGCTCGAGCCGCCCCAATATCGAGTTCAAATTCCACCAACAGACGCAGGAGCTTTCTCAATGCAAAAAATTATTGAGCGAGCAAAGGATAGTGTTAGAGGAGATTCAGCCCGCAATCGATGACTACGAGGCCAAATTGCAAGAAATGGAGATACAAATTGGAAGTCTACAAGCGCAACTGGCGAAAGAAAGAGAATCACAGAGCAAGCAAAAACAGTATTTTGAGACTGAGCACGAGCAGCTGTTATCTGTGGTGGAAGAACTGCATATGGAGATTCGTGAAAACGAAAAACGCATGCTAGACGTACGACAACTGCAACAAGCTGAGAATGCGCTGCCGACAGATTCAACGATTGCCGAGCTTCAGGCCGAAAACGATTCTCTGCGGGAAAAACTTGATACGCTTAAAGAGCAAGCAAGTTCCGAAGCCTCCGCTGCTGTGAAATGGGAGAAGGAACGAGATCAGTTGAGGCTACAAAACGAGTCCTTGAGCTCTGAGTATCAATACATCTCCAAGGAACTGCGTGAAACGCAGATGAAGCTAAGCGAAGCACAGACAAACGTCACTAATATGTCCCCGGATCCAAACCCCGAGATCGAGAAACTAAAATTACAGTTGGCAACTGCAAACGCCAAACTGATCACATTGGAAAGCCCCCCATCACCCCAACCTAGCGCCTTAGCTCCAACGACTTCTTCTGACCCCACAGAACATGAGACGGAGTCTTTGCCGCTTTATATACCTAAAAAGGCTGATCGTGCCGCTGGAAGACAAAAATGGTGTGCCTTATGTGAGAGAGATGGACACAATAGCTTGGACTGTCCGTACGAGAACGATCAGCTATTTTAGAAAACAAGGTTGAAAGTAGTGTAGGCGGATGGATGAAGGGAGCTGGCGTTTGCTCGCATTACAATCAATTGAACCTTGAGCTTTTCGAATACTTTAGTACTCGAGATTCAATCGGTCAAATTTTTCATTATTCTCCATCTCATGATTATTGAAATCTGGAAGTCTGTTTCTGACTCAGAGATTAGAGTGCGTATATATATCATATTGCCTCTAATTTGGAATCTGCAGCACTGACCGAGTTCCAATTTGTTTGGTTACTGATTGAAAAACCAAACTAGACGAAACAATAATCTTTTGAAGGCTAAAAACATGGTTTTCCCGATTTTACCTCTCTTCAGCAGAGGTGAAGAATTGGCAAGCGTCGTTGAAGCCAAACCGTACGTTGGACTAACTGGTCAGGCTTTACTAAACTTGTCTTATACTAGTGTTGAGCAAGCCTCTGCATTCATTCAAAACAACATCTCCTTTAGCTTCGTATGTGGTCTTCTCAGTGCAGACCACAGGGTAAGTGATGATGATATTGTGCGCTTTGTCAACAGCGGTATATCGGTTCTGTTTGTGGCTAGCAAAGAACAGGCTATTAGCTTAGAAGAATTAGGTGTGCCTAAGGATAGAGTAGCTATTTTTGACGGTTCCGCTTACACCAGCAAATTTGGAGTGGTTCAGAGATTTTGCAAAGACAACATTGTTGAAGCCAAAGATCTTTCTGAACAGAAATTGACCCAGGCCTTGTTGTCCGCAGCTAAAACTGACCGCGAAGATAAGCTTTACACTACTTTAGTTGTAGACACTCACGAGCGTTGTCTAGGTCTTGTGTACTCTTCCAAGGAGTCGATCAAACTCGCCATTGAAAAGCAAGTAGGCGTGTATTTCTCACGCTCTAGAAATGAAATTTGGGTCAAAGGTTTGACTTCCGGAAACACTCAAAAACTAATGTCCGTCCAACTAGACTGCGACGGCGATGCCTTAAAGTTTGTTGTGGTCCAAGAAGGCAAAAAATCCGATTTCTGTCACCTAAATACCGCGTCCTGCTATGGTGAATTCCAACAGGGTCTGGTTGGGCTCGAACAGCTCCTTCGTCAAAGATTGGAAAATGCACCAGAAAAGTCATACACCCGTAGGTTGTTTAACGACCCAGAGCTACTTTCTGCAAAAATCAAGGAGGAAGCTGAAGAATTAACAGATGCCAATACTAAGAGCGAAATTTCATGGGAAGCCGCCGATTTGTTTTATTTCGCTATGGTCAAATTAGTATCTAGCGGTGTTTCTTTGGATGAGGTTGAGAGAAACTTGCACACCAAACATCTGAAGATTACCAGGAGACAAGGCGATGCCAAGCCAAAATTTTTGAAACAGGATCCTAAACCTGAATCAGTTAATGAGCCGGAGACTCCAACTAATGGTAGTATCAACCTAAATGTAGTTTCGGCTCAGAACAAAGCTGCAGTAGCTGCAGCTCTGAGTAGACCTATTCAAAAAACCGCTGATATTATGCACTTGGTTAATCCTATCGTGGAAAAGGTGAGGAAGGATGGGAATAAAGCTTTGTTAGAGTTCACAAGTAAGTTCGATGGTGTGCAACTAGAGTCTCCCGTACTAGAAGCTCCATTCCCAGATGAATACTTAGAGGGCCTCACCCAGGAAATGAAAGAAGCTTTGGATTTGTCGATGGAGAATGTTCGTAAGTTTCACGACGCTCAGTTACAGAAGGAAACTCTTCAGGTCGAAACTCAACCTGGTGTCATGTGTTCACGTTTCCCACGCCCAATTGAGAAGGTAGGTCTCTACATCCCAGGTGGTACTGCTGTTTTACCCAGTACTGCCCTTATGTTGGGTGTCCCTGCGCGCGTAGCACAATGTAAGGAGATTGTCTTTGCATCTCCTCCCCGCAAATCCGATGGTAGAGTCTCCCCTGAAGTTGTATATGTGGCTAAGAAAGTCGGCGCTTCCATGATCGTGTTGGCCGGTGGTGCGCAAGCCGTAGCCGCTATGGCTTACGGTACAGAGTCAGTTCCAAAAGTGGATAAGATTTTGGGTCCCGGCAACCAGTTTGTCACGGCTGCCAAAATGTATGTCCAAAATGATACCCAAGCCCTGTGCTCTATCGACATGCCAGCTGGTCCAAGTGAAGTGTTGGTGATTGCCGATGAAGACGCTGATGCTGATTTTGTGGCATCAGACTTGCTCTCACAAGCCGAACATGGTGTGGATTCCCAGGTTATTTTGGTGGGTGTTTCTTTAAGCGAGAAGAAACTCACTGAAATTCAGGATGCCGTCCATCGTCAAGCAGTGGAACTACCCCGTGTGGACATTGTGCGCAAGTGTATTGCTCACAGTTCTGTTATCGTATGCGACTCCTACGAGGAGGCTTTCGACATGTCCAATAACTACGCCCCGGAACATTTGATTTTGCAAATCGTTAATGCGTCCAAATACGTTGACCTGGTTTTCAACGCCGGTAGCGTTTTTGTGGGTGCCTATACTCCTGAGTCGTGTGGTGATTATTCTAGTGGTACCAACCACACTTTGCCCACTTACGGTTATGCCAGACAGTACAGTGGTGTGAACACTGCTACTTTCCAGAAGTTCATTACCTCACAAAGCGTTACACCCGAGGGATTGCAAAATATCGGCCGTGCTGTTATGAGTCTCGCTAAAGTAGAAGGTCTTGATGGTCACCGTAACGCTATCAAGATCAGAATGCAAAAGCTCGATATGCTACCGGGAGACTTCCAATAAATCTAGATTCACAACAAGCGTAACGAAATTCAATGAATATTAAGGATAGAAAGATATTTACAGTAATAGAATTCCATTATCTTCAGTAGAGAAATGACTTGGTTGCCGGTTACGTGTTTTCTGTCACGAGTGGAGATCAATTTTCTATAAATTACAGCGTAGGCTAAGAAATTGAAATCTCGAGACGAACAAACGTCTTGAATATAAGCATCAAATACAATGGGTTCTGCTACTTTAGGACTTCAGAAACATGCAAGCAGGGTTCTAGCACGCAATAGAAGGGCAACACAGCCTAACAAGCCACTTTTGCCACCTTTGCCGCTTTACAGACGAATTTTGAGAGTGCACCAAAATTTGCCAGCTCCCCAAAGAGAGCTTGGAGACCAATACGTGAAAAATGAATTCAAGCTCCACAAAGGTACCACGAATCCGCTACACATTGTAGGGTTCTTAGCTTCTTGGCAAGACTACCTGCATGTGATCACCCAAGGACAGTGGCACGAAGCTACATTATCCGCAGAATTACTAGACAAGATGTCACCGGAGCAAGTAACCCAGCTGTACGAACTTATGAAAGAAACGGAGACACTTCGTCTACCAGAGGACAATTGACCGAGGGTGTGGTAAGATGTTGCGAACTTTAGTCGTCTAGATTGTCCGTGAAAGATGATCGTAGGATTTTTTCAAATATCGAGTTTTCTTTCCATGGCATCTCTGCCCGCCGAAAACTGGTGCTACAAATCGGTACTAAGCGCAGCACAAGCCTTTACTGTTCCGTGACTAGTATCGAACTGAATAAGCTAGTCGATAGAAAATGACTGCTCGTGTTGATTCGATGAAGAATGGGTTCTTGGTTATCCCATTCAAGTTGAACCCATCTGATAAAGTGAAAAATGGACTGAAAGATAGCTCAGACAGAACGGATTCAACAGAAGCAGACCTCGTAGCACATTATATGTTTATGAAGAAACATCTATCTAAGAACAATGAAGAGCAAAACTGTCTTTTTCTAGCTAATTTGCCGCTGCTGACGCATGCAGAAAATCTGAAAAAAGCTTTAGCCGAGATTTTAGAGCAACATGGCGCTGTAGCGCATGTCTCGCAACTACTCCACCACGATGAGTTCGGTCTAAACGATATTGATCTTTCAAGCCTCACTTCGGATCTAATGTCGACCGGGAGTGCAGAGGAAAAACGGTTTACGCCAAGAAACACCGCTCTGTTGCAATTCGTGGATTCCGCAAGTCTTGAAAATGCTTGGAGTGCATTGCGCAAATATTCTCAAGAGCGCGAAAAGGCCAAGCTTGTAAATTGGAGCTTTGAGTCTCCATCAATGGAGACTTTCACCAATTTCTACAAACCTTTGGACTTGGACTACTTGAAAGAAGATATCTACTCTCACATGACGCTATTTGAGCAGCGAGAACAGCAGGCACAAGAAGAAACACAATCATCAATTGTGGATGAGGATGGGTTTACATTAGTGGTAGGCAAAAACACCAAGTCGTTGAACTCTATTCGTAAAAAGATTCTGAATAAGAATCCTTTATTGAAACATGAAAAGATTGTCAAGCCTCCCACGATGGTGGACAAGAAAGCTAAGCAAGATTTTTACAGATTTCAACTCAGAGAACAGAAGAAGCAAGAAATTTCGGAGCTACTAAAGAAGTTCAAACAGGACCAAGAGACGATCAAGGAAATGAAAAGCAAGAGGAGATTTAATCCTTACTCGTGAAAGGTGGAATAGTACAAACAATCGAGTGTAAATACGGTAAAAAATAATTGACAGTTACAACGCATCTTAATGATTATGGTCTTGATATTAGTAAATACTAGTTACAATCTGCCACCAGGCGTGGTCAAGCCGCCATTTACTTCTTCGAAATCACCACTCTGCCGCAGCATAATGGCAGGGTGCAGGCCTTGCTGCTTAAGGTTTTTGAAAATCTGCACGGGCTTCTCATCCAGCTCCAACATTCGTTCTTGGTCACCATAACATATGACTAGGACGTATTGCCGCCAGTCTTGCTCGCTTAGACCGTGACGTTTCATTGCACTTTTTAAAATTCGTTCGCAAGAGTCTTCCTTAGAGGCACGCATGTGTTTCAAAGGCTCACTACCAGCATTGCCGGCATGCTGTGTAGCAGACAATGTGGTAGGAGTAGTGCTATTTGCAGCGGTCAGAGATTGCTGTGAGGCGGTGGTGGAATTGTTAAGCCCTTGTCGTACCGCTGGCGTGTTGGGCGACCCGGGAGTCACCACGCGATGCCCTTCAAAGTAGTCGTGTTGAGGTTGTTGGTGCTGGGACTGGATTGCGCCACTCTGTGTCGTTTGAATTTGCGGTGCGAGGGAATCCTTCTTGACTACTTCGAGCACGTCAAGCCTGAGCCGCGCATATTGGCTTTGAAAATCCTGCAGCTTGTCGCTTACAGTCGAATACAGCTGGCTCAGGACAGTCAAAATCTCATCCTCCTGAGAACGTTTTTGGTGTTTCAATCGATTGATCTCCAACTTCAACTGCACTGCCAGTTTCGAATTGTTGTCTGTGAGCTGCTTGCAATCGTTCAAATCCAGCTCTAGTAATGACGCGCCGTCTATTTCGTTCTCGCGAAAGCTGTCTCGTACTTGATCTAGCACGGCGTCGCTGCCAAAGCGTACTTTCTGCTCGCACCATATCAATACTTCTTCAATGCCCCATTGAGTGACATCTTCGGTCGTAGTAGCATCAGAGTCATTCGTAATAGATGTCATACTAACGGTGAATGCAGAGAGTCAAGCAGGAATGAGCTTATAGCGTCTTTGTTGGTAAAGATGTTTGTTACCTTGGCGAGATCAAGTCAGTACATTCCGTTCTTAGTGAACCCCAGAAATAGATTATCGAGTACCGCGTATACAGTGATATCTGATTTTCGTGTAAATTCTAATCATTAGACACGAACGTGTAAAAAGTTCGTAGAGCATGATGGATACATGCTCAAATTCGTCTTTCATTTCAATTATATATACAGAATGCTATGCGATGATACAGGATTTGTGGAATTTTCTTGGTCTCATGCTTCTCTCTCCTTCCAGATGTCGTCCGAACTTCCCCTGTGCTTGGCATTTAGCTCAGCCTGGTCGCGGTACCACTGCTGAATCTTGACCGGGTCTGTGCCGTGTAAAATACAGAACTTGAACTTTTCCAATTGCTTGCTGCACGCATTAAACTCGCCGTAGCGATAGTAGTTCCGGAACTGGCCTCCGACCGAGTAGCAAGCGCTGAGCTGGTCAAAAGCCTCGGTACAGCTCATAGTAGCTGGATACTTGGTCGTCATGGCGCGAACGGATTTCTGGAAGCAGCGTTTCTTGCAAATATTAGTGAGCAAAAAGAGCAAAGTCGGCTTTTTTCAAGATAAAAGCGACAAAGGATAGATCTTTGGCAAGGGCTGAGTCAGGACCAAGACTCCAGAAGTATATGTTTATAAGGCTAGCAGTAGCGACTATCAGAAGTTCTAGAGCTCCGGGACCTGTTTCTAAGACGTTATTTCAAAGACCATTTTCAATTACACTGAGTAAGATGAGCGAAGGCTGGAACCCTAATTTAACTGCCGAGCAGCTCAAGGTGCTCAGAGACAAACACACGGAAAGACCTCATACGGGTGCCTACTTGAATAGTAAGGAGTCTGGGATCTATCACTGCGCTAACTGTGATTCTCCACTCTACAAGAGCGACACCAAGTTTGATTCGCAATGTGGATGGCCGTCATTCTACGAAGAAGTGAAAAAAGGTGCCATCACATATCACAAAGACAAGAGCATGTTCACGGAAAGAACCGAGATATGCTGTAGCAACTGCGGCGGCCATTTGGGCCACGTATTTGAGGGCGAGGGTTGGAAAGAGAGGTTGGGTTTGCCGCAAGACGTCAGACACTGTGTGAACAGTTTGTCTTTGAATCTCAAGAAGAAGGAGTAGGCGGAGACGCGCCATGCTCTCTATCAGTATCCGAAAGGGAGTTTCAGTGATCAAAAGGTTGCGCTGGAAGTTGCGTTGCAATTAGTTAGAGGTTGTAATAGTGCGTAAGCGTTTACAGAGTTATTATATCAAATGCCATTGCGATTAGCTCAAAAGCTGAAGGTCTTTTAATTAGAAATTACACAGGGGCCATCCGTATGATTTCCCCACATTGTTGATCGTGATTTTTTATTAATACTTTTTAGTTGCTTGTCATTGCCTCCAAATAGAGAAGTGAGAGGCCTAGATGTGATTTTGGTCTCCAAATGGATCGTTTGAATCAACTGGCTCAGGGTTTCCGGAAAAAGTAGAAGATAACGCAGAGCCATTATCGTCTTCGTCTTCGTCGTAAGCCGAAATGATGGTCTCCTCGTCAGAAATTTCACCACTTAATTTATCATAATCTGCCAAAGCTTTCACTAATTCTTCATTGGCATGGATCAAACTGCCCAAGAATTCTCCTTCGGTGACCAATTGTAAATATCTTAAAACTTTGCGACGCACAGCGCGAGCCTGGACAAATTTAGCGGTGGCCTCTTCGCTATTTGTGCTTTGCATCGAAGATGGCAATGTTTTCAAGGTGTTTTTAAGGGAGATGGCAGAGGCCAGAGAATCGCTAATCAACAGTCTAATGCGAGGCCCTTCCTCTTGCATATCGATTAATGGGATTCCATAGCGCTCATCGGGAGACATAAACGAGGCGTCGGCCTCATCGTTCATGAAAGTCGTGCGCCTCTTGGCACCTGTGCGGGCTTTGGTGGTATATTTGGTCCTAACCTTGCGTCCCAATTCGTAAAGACCGTCATAACTATGACTGGGACCCTGTTCTTCGATCATTTCATACCACCCCAAAATGTATGCAATGCATTTCTTCACAATTTTGGGATGGTAACGAACGCCACGGCCGTCCGTATTGGATTGCAGCGCGATGACTTTCAGTCTGTCCAGCAACTTGGCGTCATTGTACACCTCCGGGAACTTGATGCGTTGCGACACAAACAGGTTCAAAAGTTCCAGAGCACGCGACTGCTGGATTCTATCGCCATATTTCAACTTTTTGCGCAGACATCTGGCCGCTTCACCTTGATTATTACTGTAGGCATAATCCCCCTTTCCAGACCGAATTTGCTGAATGAGTGACGCAAGTTCCACTTCTAAAGTAAAGTTCTCCGACGACACAACTCGGTCAATCGTATCTGTAATTGAGGTGTGCTGGTGATCCGTCAGAAATCCCATTATCGATTAACGTTCAAGGATAGATGCTGGTCAATTTTCTGTGTCCTATTTGTGCCCTACTAAACCGCAGAAAAGTAATCTCAACAAGTGTTGATTCTTACGCTATTCAATTGCAATTCAAAAGCTGAGAATTGCTCTGTTGGTCCTGCTTAACTTCACGTCAACTTAGGCACACTCATATGATAACTTCGGCTCGATTTCAGTTAGGGGAGCGAAAAGTTTATCTACTAACCACATGTGATTACCCGTCTATGTTGACAATGGGAAATTAGTATATAAATTCATCGAAAACATTTGTAATATTGCAATCGGACTTATTTAATAGAAAACTTTCTTAAATGGATTTTACCAAGATATACACATTCGTTGGTATACTATTCACAGTGTTTTTATTCCGTAGATTCTTCGGCTCCTATTTTAACACAATGGCGTCTCCAGAAACTGTTCAAAAAGTTAAAGCTTTGATCAAGGACAACAAGATCTTTGTTGCCTCCAAGACATACTGTCCATACTGCCAAGCTACTATCAAGTTGTTGTTCGAGGACAAGAAACTGAGCAAGGAACAAGTTCACTTGTTGCAGTTGGACACAATGAAAGAGGGTGCCGAAATTCAGGACGCTTTGCAAGAAATTACTGGGCAAAGAAGCGTGCCAAACATCTTCATCAGTGGCAAACACATCGGTGGCAACAGCGACTTGCAAGCTTTGGAGTCTAGCGGTAAGTTGGACGCTCTTTTGAAGAAGGCTCTTGCTTAGTTATATAAGAGAGTGTACTTTTTGTACCAATACATGAGTCTATATCCATATGTGAGCAAGAATTAAGTGTGAGCTTAGCAATGTTTCAAAAGTTTTACAAGAGGCAAAAAGTTGAGATTAACAATAGTTTTAATAGCTAAGCATACATGTATATATGTGCTCGTAACAGCACTTGACGCATTTATAAGAAGGACGCAAGGATGGCAACAAAAGCGATGAGCACACGGTTGGTGGTCAAAATGGCACCAGCACCGGTGTACTGACTAATGGTGACAGAAGTAGGGCTAGAAGTGGCAACACCTGAATTGGCCGAAGCGGCTGCAGCGGTATTTGTAGCCGATGATGGGGAAGATGACTTTATCACAGTAGACATGCCCAAAGTGGTAACAACCACCGAGGTGGATTGCGAAACTTGAGACGTTTCTTGAGCCCAACAGGAGTGTTCCGAACAGGAGGTAATGGTGTCCACAACGGTAGTAGGATGAACAACAGTGGTAACAATAGAAGTCACTGCAACAACATTGGCCTCAGAACTGGAAGTGGAAGCGACAATAGAAGTTGATTCTGGAGCCACTGTAGCAGATTCGGAAGTAACTGGACAGTAGGTAGTGTAAGAAGTTTCAGTGTTATCAATTGTAGTAACAACGACAGAGGTTTGCATCTCAACGCTAGAACCAGCGGAGGCTGGAGCACCAGAAGTAGTTGAAGTCACTGCCGAGGAGGTAGTAGTAGGCTCAGAAGTGGAGAGTGGGCAAACGGTGGTGTAAATGGACTCGACGCCGCTAACAGTGGTGGTGACCAATGATGTTTGTAGAGCAGCGCTCGAGGAAGCAGAAGTGGTAACAGGAACGAAGCTTGTGTAGGTAGCTTGTTCACCGTTAGTGGACGTGGTGGTAATCACGACTGGCGAGGATGAGGGTGCGGTGGACTCTGGACAGACAGTGGTGTAGATGGTCTCCTTACCGCTAATCGTTGTAGTAACGATAGAGGTTTGCACTTGAGATGACACTGGGAAAGTGGTTGTGTAAGTGCTGGAAACACCGTTTTCAGTAGCAGTGATAACGGAAGTTTGTAATTCAGTTGAGGATTTTGGCATGGTTGAAACAGGGCAGTAAGTAGTGTAAGAGGTGACGGTACCACTCTCGGTGATGGTAACGACCGAGGAAGTGTAGAGACCAGAAGCGGCGGCTTGCGACGAAGAAGTCTCGGGACAGTAGGTAGTGTATTCGGTGGAGGTACCGCTGATGGTAGTGGTAACCACGGAGGCGGACATCGACGCGATTTGAGTTGGACCATTGGAGCCGACAATCATGGTAGAGATTGGAACGGTGCCGGTGAAGGAGCCGGTAGCGGTTGCAAAAAAGGAAGTCTCGGCAGAGGAAGCCATGGCTGAGGAGCCCGAGACGGTGGAGCCCGAGACGGTGGAGAAGGCCGAAGAGGAAACGGAGCCGCTGCTGCTGCTGCTGCTGCCAGTGCCCAGGTCACACGACTGCACGTCGACGCTGGACCAGGTCAATTCTTGGCCCTCTTGGTCCTTCAAATGGAACACTTCGTACTGGTTCCACGTGACCAGGGTCTTCTGGGAAGCGCCGTCGGCGCTGTAGAGGAGCATTCCGGAACGCAGGATCTCGCATGCGCTGGAGTCGACGGAATCGGTGTTGACGGTGACGTCGAAGCCGTCGTTGGAGGACGTGACGGAAACGAGATCGTTGTTTTCGCGGAAATAGTACGCCACGTCCAGTTCGTGCTGGTAGTCGATGGCGACCTTGAAGGTCTGGGCGGCGGCGGCAATCGCGCTAGAGGCCATGAGCCCTAGAGCCAGTCTGCAGGAAAGCATGGGAGGGAGACGCGGGGACGAAGGGGGGAGACGGAGGGATCACGTGCGCGGCAGTAGCTGTAGCTGTAGCTGTGGCAGGAGTTTCAGTCGTAAGAGCTTCTTCGAAGTGCAACACAACACAGGAGTGAGGGAAAGAATCTACCAACCAACCCATTCCTCTCCCACGCGTCCCGCTTATATACAAACTTCCCCACTTGCCAGGGCGGGTCTTTTGCCATAGGACCACAAACTCGCTCTCGTACACACGAAAACACAAGCTGTAAACAAACAGCATTAACCCCGAAGCGCTGGGATCTCGATGTTTTGGGACAATTGAGCTGCTGCATGCATGCACAGGGTGCATGCATAGTTTACGACGCACGATCATGCAGTGGGATGATCTTCGGTGGCGCTGGAGATCCCGTCAATGCGCACATGTGCATATCAGACGCACGAGTGCATGCATGATTTACAATGCGGATATGCAGCTCGGCAGTTGGATTCCGCGTAAATGGAAGCACGTGTGGTTGCCGGGACGACGCGCGGCCCAAAGGTTTTCGTGTCCGGGAAGCGGTTGTCGTAGTGATGGAGGTGGCGAAAGTAGCAGTAGCCGTTGTAGTAGTGCTAGTGCTAGTGCTAGTGGTATGTGTAGTGGTAGAGGTAGTAGTAGAGGTAGTCGTATATGTAAAGTAGCGGCAGCTTTACTATGTGTAGTAGCGGTAGTGGCAGTGGTATCTGCAGCTTTAGTATGTGTAGTAGTTGTACTTTTGTAGTTGTAGCATCCGCTGTACCAGATCAGTAGTAGCTTTATTATGTGTAGTGGTTGTAGCACCAGGAGTATCTGTAGTAGTTTTTGGCATCCGCTGTAGTAGTTTGGGCATCCGCTGTATCACTTGTGCTGGCTCTCTCACGTGCTGGTTCTCTCACCTCACCGCCCATCGCCAATCGCCGGACCACGTGACATGTCTCTTGGTTCGCCAAAAGCTCGCGCTCCTTTGCCGCCCACATCCTTCCATCGTTCACTGTAGTCCAGCACTTGCTCTCGAAAAGGTTTCAATCCTTCCTTTTCACGCTACGACATCGTTATGGCCTGGATCGGATTGTCCACCCACACACACCCGCCAAACTCGGTCTGATGTACCGTCTTCTTCTTCACCGTATGGTCTGTAAACTCAGCAGCGGCCTTCACGTACGACAAGGGCAAGATCTTGGCCTCCGAAGAGTCCCGTTTCGTCCAAGTCTCGATTTTCGCCATCACCGCGTAAAAGTCGTCCATCTGCATCTGCTTCCGGCAGTGGATGTCGCACATGTGCAGCAGAAGCTTCAGCGTGAAATACGCATCGTTCCCTGCGTTGTGCAAGAACGCGTGCGGAACCTCGAACAGCCGAAGTATCTTGCCCAGGTTTGCACCTTTGCTTCCGTACGAGCCCTTGAACAGCCGTTCCGTGTCAAGAACCAGCGCTCTGTTCGTGGTTTGTGGTTTATTCTTCAATTCGTAATCAATGTCTGTAGGTATATTCACACCAATGCTTTCCAGCCACTTCAAATCGCCCTTCACGTTGTGACCCACAAATGCACGATCCCAACTCCGCTCCGCGGCCGTTTCCGGAACCATGTAGTAATTGATGAGAGTCTGTATGAATTCAACGCAATTATTCAACGACATCACATAGCTTTCGCCCATGAGGAAGCAATCCTTAAGATCACACACGAACTTCCCGTTGCGTAACTTCAAAGACTCTGCAACTATTAAGTGATACGTCCGAAACTTGGGAATTGTAGAAAACAAGCTTTCGCGCGGGTCGTAGATCGAAATACCGATTTCAGTTACCACGTTTGTGTTACGTTCGAATGCCTCAACGTCAACGCAGAAACAAACCGTCCGTTGTGCTGCCAAGTGGCGGATCGCATTGCTCAGGTATGCAAAGTTCGAGTTTCCGGGCACCGCACAGACCTTCGGGCTGTGTTCGTGTGTGGTTTTACGCAGCGCTTTCTGCAGTAAGGCTTCGGCCTTGGCAACCGCCTCGGCATCGCCATTAGCATCTGCTTGAGGTTGCGGTACCACATCTATGCTCGATTTGACCTTCTCCAGCTTCTTTTTTAGTTCCTTGTTGGACCGCGATTCCTGCTGTTGATACGAAATCCCGATAGTCTCCAAATAGTTCTCGATATACTTGGCGCGGGCCTCGTGGGGCTCGTAGGACACTGCGGTAAGCTCGCGAAAGTGTTGGTTCTCTAGCATCCGGCTTTTAGACAAACCCACATCGTTTACAACACAAGCCGCAGCTCGGAAATATGCACTTGCACTGTGAGGGGCTTTGGGCACATTTGGGCCTCTCACAAAGATGCCACTTGCCTCGTGGCGCGAGGCCCTCTTCCCGTTCTGGTGAAAACTCATTTGCGTTGTCTTGTAATTTTTTAGATCCAGTTTCACTCTTTTAACAGGTGTACAATTCAAGTTCCTGAGCATCAACTGGCACGCGGTTAAATGACGCTGTTAAACCTACCAAATTTGAACCTCTATATCAAATATTCAAAGCGCAGTTCTCAAGCACTTTCAGAACCCTAAAAGTCTGATCTATGTCTGTATTGTTATCGTGTTACCGTTAAATCATCTTCCGCTGCTATTAGATCGCATCTAATTATTAAAATTTCAATATCCAAGCCAGACGACGATGATGATGATGATGATGATGATCGGTTAAAAAAAATTGGAAAAAAAATTTTGAAGAACTGTTCTTCAGCGATGAGCTAGCGAGAAGAGAGGAAAAGAACTCTTTTAAGTGTGCATTCACTATTGTTTGAAAAGTAATATTCAATATTTCTTAAGGAAGTTTGTGGAGCTTGAATTGAGAGGATACTACGGAAGAAAGCAAATTGATTCCAATCAAACATCTCAACAGACTTTTTAACACGCAAATCAGTTCACATCCAATCATGTCCGAGCCTGTTGATATTGCACCACCAGTAGTTGTGGAGTCACCTGCAGAAGAAGATCAAATTGTTAAACAGCCCGTACTTTCTCCAGCGCCAGTGCCCACAACATCGCCTTGGAAAGCGGTTCCCGTCGTCAGCTCAACTCCCATTCAACAAAGCAATGGCTCTAGCAAATGGCCATCGGCTCACGAGGCCGTGGGGAAGCTAGAGAAACGCGATAAACCGGCCGCTCAGGCTCCCGTCGTGAAGTCGACGGGTAAAGAGAAATGGGTGCCCATGAAGGCGTCTATCGTCGTCTCTGGCTCTAAAAAGTTTGGTAGCACTAGCAATGGTAGCAGTGTTGGCAGTAATGCCGGCGCCAGAAAAGGACAAGCTGGTAAAAAACCTCGCAGGACCGCCAGTACCACCGGCGCCGCCACTGCCAGAACCAAGAAATCCTCTCCGGTCGCCAAGGAAGACGCTAAACAGGACTCATCTTCTGGTTCCCAAGTAGCGGTTGATGACGAAAGCAGAGATTCCGATGCTGACTTCGGTAGCACAGATGTCGTGGCACCTGCAGACGTGGACAATGCTTCTGAAAATTTGTCTACAGAAGTATCAAAGTCCTCTGAGCTTTCACAAGCTCAGTCCGGCAATGACTCAGACCATTCGTCCAATATCCATCAACAGAATACAGATGGATTTCAAAGAGGGGCACAGGTTCAGGGCCAAAACAATGGATACCCAAGAAGACGTTTTAACCAAGGCCATCACGGCGATAATAACGGCTCTTTCAAGCCTCATCAGCCTCACTCACAATACCCAGCTAAACAAGCGTACGGATCATTTCGTCATCAGCAAACGAACCGTCCTTTCAGTCCAGGTTATCGCCAAAAATCAAATCAAAGAAATGGGCCCAACGGGTTTTACAATCCTCAACCCCCACATCCATTTGTTGCTGTCAACAACATTGCCAGGCAAATTGAGTACTACTTTAGCATTGAAAATCTGACTAAGGACGAATATCTACGTTCACAATTAAATGCTGAAGGATTTGCTCCACTGTCGCTCATTACTAAGTTTTACCGAATTGTTAACATGTCGTTCGGCGGCGATGAATCCTTGATAATGGGGGCTTTGAGAGAAATTGTTGCCAACGAAAATGCTACTGTGGATGTTGCAGAATTGGAACAAGACGAAATTGAGAACAACGTTGCCAAATACCTCGTGCGCTCTAAAAGCTGGCAACAGTGGGTTACGAAAGATGAAGCTCAACAAACAACTGAACCAGAATCTAGCAACCAAAAGATTCTTGCTAATGACGACCTCGACTCTTTCCGCATCCAACCTCCGGTCTTTGAATCATCCCCAATGGAACATCAGCATTCTAATACAGAACAAAATACCGAAACTGAAGAGTGAGTGCAGTCGCCACTACATTGGTCATTTTAAAGAATGATGAAAAGAAAAATAATAATAAACACCAACAAAAAATCGTATTTGTACCATACCTGCATGGTCGTGATCCTTAAAATGTTTTATGCACGAACCAAGAATTATGACCTGAAGAGCTGAGACTTTTCAAGCTTCAAATCTGGAGCATATTTCACCTGTTGAGTAATTGGTTATATTATAATCAATTCAGCATTTTTTTTTAATTGTTTTTTTTTTTCGCTGGGTTCAAAATCCGTAGGGAAGAGATCATCATAATTGCTTAGATAGTGCTTGACTTCTTCGTTGTTCAACACATCGAACACTGTAAAGACTCAAGCCGTTTTTAAATCCCAATTTTTTTTTTGTTTTTTTTATCCGCTCGCAAATAGTGTGTCCATGTATCTAGCGTATTTATCTACCTTATTCATAGCCCAGTCGTTTTTTCACATAGCGGTTTAAGAAGTTTAGATCAAAACCTCATTCACAAATCGATCAAGTACATTTCGCGAACTTTCTTAGCTAACGTCGGTAATTTAGAAGTGTCTCAGGTATTGTTTTCTTAGCCTATTAATAACAATAATGCAAAGCTTTTGTAGACAAACGACGTTCTTGAAGTTCGAGTTTTTATGAGTAGGGTAGAACAAAGTTCAATTGGAAAGATGCATCTTCTCAGCACTTCTATTTTTCTTAAACTTGGGACCAATCTGCCTTTAGTTCACAATATCCTTGCAGGCTGCAAAAAGATTGGTCGGAGCTGCCGAACAACTACCGTATCCCACCTTTGGTCGCTGTAACTTTAATTCACCAGATGCATCGTCTTGTACTTCTATCTCAACTATGTCGACAGGTTTGAGGAAGACCAAAAACTTCCTGGACCAAACCAACTTTCGCCGTCATATTCCAAGAACAGATCCGCGCATTTGACTCTTCGGCTGTTGCAGATCAGACATGCATCCGTTTTTCTACCTGTTTCTCCACTTGGACCTTGAATTAACAAGGATATATTGAAATGAAAATAATCCCATCAATATATTTTAGTCGTCTAGCATCCCTTGCAAAGAAGACCCTGAAAAGTAAAATGAGTTATCAAACGTTAACATCAGATGAAGAGCTGGTGAATCGGCCAGAACGCGACCTAAGAACCTCTAACAATATTTTGGGCTGGTATCTGTATTGTTTTTCAAGCGAACCTTTCATAGTCTCTGCTGTTTCGACATATGTGCCCTTGCTGCTGGAACAGTTTGCTAGAATAAATGGTGTTTCAGTGGATGATCACTCGCTAAATTGTGTTACACCAGACCAAAAATGTGTACTGGGTATATTTAACAATACGTTCTACATCGATACCGCGAGTTTTGCGTTGTACACGTTCTCTTTAAGCGTCCTATTTCAGGCTATCCTGGTGATCACAGTATCTGGTTTGGTCGATATGTGGAACTCTGTTAAGCTTAGGAGTAAAATTATGGTGGTTTTTGGAATTATTGGCGGTGTTTCTACCATAGCTATATCGCAGCTCAACTCGTCGCAATACTATTCTCTGGCTCTCCTGGCAATTGTATCCAACTGCTGTTACGGAGTAGTTAACGTGGTCGGTAATTCTTTGCTGCCTGTGTTTGCGCGCGATTTGATTCAATACAACTCAAAGCACAAAAATGGAAATTTTGAGCATCTTACTTCGATTACCAGCGGGCGAGGCACTGGGCTTGGTTATTTTGGGGCCCTTTTGGTTCAAATTAGCTCTGTTTTTTTAGTGAAGATGAGTAAAACACACGACAATATTCAAATTGCCGTTCTGTTAGTCGGAATATGGTGGTTGGCGTGGCAGTTTCCTCTGACTTGGTTACTCAAAGACATTTTACCACCACTTGTTGATACTCGTGAGATGCATATGCTGTCCTCTGCCAAATATCTGACTTATGGGTGGTCGTCTCTTTTCGAGGCTTTGAAGCATGCAAGATTGCTGAAAGACGTCATGATCTTTCTAGTTGGCTGGTTCATTATGTCCGATTGTATTGCTACTATTAGTTCGACAGCAATCTTGTTTGCCAAAACGGAGTTAAACATGGGTGCGGTCGGGCTGATTCTTATTAGTATACTAACTCTCATTAGCGGCATACTGGGCGCGTTTGTGATTCCACAGCTTCTATCATCATATTTCCATCTATCACCCCAAGGTATGATGATCTCAATAATTTGCTGGGCGGGCTTCATTCCATTGTATGGAACTCTTGGATTCTTTTTTCAATCTATTGGCCTGAAACATTCAGGTGAAATGTACATGCTAGCAGTCTGGTATGGTGTTGCAATGGGTGCTTTGGCTGCAGTATCCCGTTCCATTTTCAGTTTACTTATTCCAAGCGGAAAAGAATCCACCTTTTTCAGTATTTTCAACGTTACTGATAAAGGTTCATCGATTATTGGACCTTTCTTGGTCGGTCTCATCATCGATAGAACTCATAGCATCAGATACTCTTTCTGCTTATTACTAGTTCTGTTGTTGGCATCGTTGCCAGTCTTTAGAATGCTAGACGTAGAGAGAGGTGAAAAGGAAGCTAAAGAAATGAGCAATCTCCAAGCTTTGAATGATTGAAGCCGAGATTCAAACCTATATAACTAAACAAAAGGATATGGACGCAGATTGAATAACTCATTTTCGATTAACCTCTTACAACCTTCCATATTTTGATGAGGCCATCGTCTCCACCAGAAGCAAAAATGTTCTTGTTTGCAGGATTCCAAACAACTATGTTACAGTTTCGCCCGAATGTCTTTGTCGAACTTCGTGCTGAAGATGAGGGGCGCTCAGACTCATGTCCATGTAGAACACTGATTATGTTACCATGATACCGATCCCAGATGTAGATCTTGCCGTCCTCTGAACCACTCGCAACTAACTTATTATCGTAGCCGAAGCAAGACCTTATGATGAACTGTAACTGTCTTTGCCCATAATATTTCTGAATAAGGATCTGCTCCTTGAAATCCCATAATTGTAACTCATGCGGTTGAACGTTGATTAAGATCAAAGAACTCTGGTCTTCATATTGGTGCTTTACTTGGGGTATTGTCAAACACGTCATTCTCTTTCCTACGCTCAAGCGCGAAACTTTGAATAAATGAAATCCACTTTTGTCTATTGCGGGCTCGCTTAAACTGTTGTCATCGTGTCTTACTGGAGGTAAATTGGAGACGTCATAAGTATCAACAAAAAATTCATGGGCCATGATGATCAAGTACTTGTCATCGTAAGTTATCTTCAAATCATGTACTCTTGGAAAAGGTTCCGTTGCCGATGTGTTATTGGAGTTCAAAACTTGGGAAAGCTTGCACAAAACGGATCGGGAGGCTATTTCATAAATTATGACGTCTCTGTCGGGAGAGCCTAAGGCGAAACGACCTCTATTACGTTCTGTGTGAAACCAATCACAGCACCATATCCGAGGAGAAGTGCTATTCGATATTCCTTCACCCTCACAGATTTTGAAGGAGTCATACGGCTGAATTATCTCCGCAATAATAGCACCTTCGAATTCTTGATTTATACTTGTGGGTTCTCCCTTTTTGTGAATATCATATATCTTCGCTTCTTCGTTGAAGGGACACGAAATCAAATACTTGCTGTCAGGGGAAAAAGACAGATATAAGACACACTGTTCGTTACCGCCAAGTACTTTGTATACTTGAAAGTCATTTTCAACATCATAAATAAGCACTTTGCGATCCGTGAGAGAGTCGGCAGATGCACTAGCCAAGTATTTCCCATCGGGAGAAAATTCAAGGTACCATATTTCATCAGCGTTTTGCGCGAGTTTTTTTTCCGCAGTAAAAGAGATTCGGTGTGATGTCGAGCTGTTATCTTGAAGTAAATTGTACCGCCGGGAGCTGTTTGCTGCCATGTTTTCATCTTCTTCGCACTCGAAATTCAGTACATCCTGGGAGTTTTGATACTTGATAGCCTGACTGAGTAGAGTCAATAATCTACCGCGTGGAACTAAATCGTTTGGGTCAATATACTTCGAAATAGACCTTATCAATAACTGTCTTGACTTCTCCGCATTTCTTGGCCACACATCTGAGAGTTCAGCAGAGTCGAAGGGACATGTTAAAACGCTAGTCATTTGTTTTAGTAAAGCATCTGGTGTTAATGCATAGGAGCTCTCTTGATACATGAGCAAAGATTCCCAAAGCTGAATGAATTTGCGGAAAACTGTTCTCAAAAAAAACACCGCCAGCGATGAATCTTGTTGGTCGAACATGAGCTCCAGAAATACTTCCCTGTTGATTAGTACCAGAATCTCTACAGTATCCAGCAAGCTGGTGAGGGCCTTTACGTCAAAGCTCGCCATACTTTGAACAAGGGTTTCCAGTACAGTCAGTTCCTTTTGCATGGTGGAAAAGAAACGGTTCCAGTCTGCATTCTTGACTATGATGTTATCTATTCTCATAGCATCCTCATCATCTTCATTCATCGCTGTGGTTTCGGATTCTACATTACTACCTTGCGACGAGGGATGATTCGAGTTGCGCTCCGAAATGTAGGTTTTCAGGTTACCGCGTTTCAGCGGTAAGCTCAGAAGCATTTCTAAGTCAATATGTTCAAATTTGCCCTGTTTGATGGCCGCAAACAGTCTTTGCACAGCGCCAGATTCGACTTCAATTCCGCCACTTTCCTGCTGTAGTGATATTGCAGTTTCAGCATACCCCATTTCGTGCAGCGTATCTATGAGCAGCTTGGTCAGTTGGACTTTATCGAATGGACTTTTGGAGAAGTCTACGTCGCTGCTCATAGGTTTCATGTTGGATGTTGGAAGTCGCGAGTTCTTACCTGTCAAATATGACGGAACAAAAAGCCCCTCTTGCTGATGGTTTTGGGTGTTAGCATTAAATTCAACGGGCATAATGTGGTATCTAGTGGAGCAAATACCGCGCTTGGCGCTCTGTACAACGAATAAAGTGTCACTTTCAAGCTTTTTTAAGGGAATTCTTGTAGCTTTGGAAAATGACTATTTATCAACATAGAAAAGTCCGGTTAACGAAGTGAGGTAACAAGGCGTCCTAACCAACGAGCACCTCAATATTTCAGCATGTAGCTTAGGTTACCAGTTGCTTTATGCCTCCAAGCAGTGAGTGGCTTGTTGCTGCAGGCTTACTGCCTACCTTGCCAAAGAAGTAGTTACGCATTTCGTCACATTTTAATTATTTACTTATCTACTGATGTCATTATATTTCGGGTAGTGTTCCATCTGGACATTTGCGCGAGGCTACAGATCAAAGGTAATTATGCGACTAGTGCACACAACGCGGCGCCGACTCCTGACCCATCTTTGGCAATGCACAAATGGGTTTTCCGCTCTCCTTCAGGACCAATAGGGCTCAAGGACAGTGCGTGTCGTATCATAGACCGAAATCCAGGATAGTATTCGACCACAGATCCGTCGCAGCCGATTTCCACCTCTCCATGGTATCTTTTGTTCAAGGCGCCTGTCTTCATCAAAATAGCAGCAATGGGAACCGCGGCAAGGTATGCAGATCTGCGGGAAATGGCACGTACAAGCTTTTGAATCTCGATACGTTCTTCATACGTCGTAGGTAGTCTCATGCTCTGTAGGATGGACAACTCAGTTTCACGCAGTTGCGATGAATCATCAATCTCGATGTGCGACAATACCTCCGAGGAAAGCTCGAATGGAGTTCTGAGCCTGTGGGGTAGTTTATCCTCTGAAGTGTATTGAGTGAAAACAGCGCCTCTTTCATACAAATCCACCAACACGTTCCTCAATATCTCGCCTAAAAACATGCCTGAAACACGTTTCTCAAAGAGATGAAATCCAGGGTTGCTGGAAAACTTTTGGTCAATGTCGATGTCGTAGCGCGTAGTGGGCAAGTGTTTAAGATCGTTGTCGAAGGACCCCCACTCAGTGTTAATGCACATGTGGGTTTTGCCAGCCTGTAACAGCTGTGCACGTTGTTCTTCTGGCAATTTCTGGATATTCTCAATCTCTTCCATGTAAGCGCCATTAGTACCAGTGCCAAATATACAGCCCATTACTGGTTCAACGATTTCTCCAGATGTCAGGGACCCGTTGTTTTCGGAACAGTAACAGTGCGAGAGGAAAGTGCCAACGGTGTCGTTAGCCAAGGCAACCACGCGTATCATGGACATTCCCTGAGCTTCCAAGTGCTTTTGGTACAATTGAACAACGTCTTTGCCCAGCGTGTCCTTAATCTTGAAGCCCTTGGTCCAACGGATCAAAGTGCCCGACGACAGCGACGTTTGTTCAACTGGGTAGGAAAATGTGAATCCTAACCGCAGCCGTTCCCCGTTTTGCAAATACTCCGGGTGGTATTTATTGACAAATGCCAAGGTCCGGCGCGCAAGGTATCCAAAAAGTTCATCGCTCGTAACTGACTCGTCTTCGAGCAGCTCTTCCGGAATCTTACTCTTCATCTGTTGCAGCGCGAACTCGTGGTTTCCCTTCAAATCCACTGAGCACACCCTGAAATTAGTTCCGCCAAGATCTGCAGCGAGCAACATCCCGCTTTCGGTTCCATTAGGCTTGCCCGTGACAAAAGTGGGGATCATAGGCAGGCCACGATACTCTGCGTCTTCTTTGGTTTGGCCAAGTCCTTTTTCCATGCTTTCCACGAAAAAGTGGGTCAATTCATGCAATTTCTCCGACGTCAACGTAAAGTCTTGGCATATCTGGTCCACCGCTTTGCACAGCAGCTGTTGCTTTTCCTGGTGAACTTTGTCGAACGACATGACTGAAGTGACTATAAAACTAGCGAGTATCTAAGAATCTGTACTAGGCAGTTGGGGCTAAATAATACCCTATGAACCTGAGCGTCTTTATCTTTCCAATGTCGCTTGCAAGAGATCTGCTTGCACAACGGGAACTCTAAATACACATCAATGCTATGGGACTGTTTCTAAAAAACTCACCTCCCTTATATACTTCTGCGGGTAAAGCATGGTGCAACTTATCTGTTTACATGCTGCTTTCGTAGGGCAGTCACCGGGTGGATATAACTCCTGATTCTACTAAGAATTATCTCATTATACAAGAGGACCGACCACCTGAATTACATATGCTCCTGTAGTCACCTGTATGAAATAAAGGCATCAAAGTACTTTTGGACTCGTGTAGCTCATCCCGTATAAAAGTACTAGCATATATTGTTCGTATTGTGGGACTTTCTGAGTAACAGTGTACGTCTTAAGTTTGAAGCATCACAGTCCATACCAAACATACTCAGTTGTTACCAGGCTACTCCCAAAAGCGTTCTCTATTACTGAGCCAGCTTTCTTGTATTCGCCGTGATATCTCAAGCTAGCCATTTTTGCTGCTGAGAGCCCCCAATTCAAATCATAAGGGATGTTCAGAATTGCCAAGAGCATCGTCAAAACTTTTGAACAAAGCGTCTCTGATACCATTGGCGCCGGTGGTCGTTTGGACTCATACTTTGAGAGCATTCCTCCTCAACTACTGGTTCCCGGGAACGACTCAAATGAGTCATTGCACGGACTTCGTATCCTGAGCTGTGACGAAACCCAATTGCAATTGCAGTCATTTTTTGACTACATCGTTGGTATCGAAGATCAGCCCTTGCCTCTAGCACAAAACCAACACGGGTATCTATACCCGGACTTCAGCTCAATAACACGCATTTTGAACTCCGCGAGCGGGTCCAGCATCAGGCTCAATGTATGGTCAGGTAGGGGCGGTCTATACCGGACCGAATATATGCACATAGAACGCAAGCAGAACGTGGAGGACGTCCCTCTTGACACTGTAGCAGGCCAAGAATACCACGAGTTTGATCGCTTGGGGTTTGCTGTCCAATGGACCCCACTTGTTGCCGCCACATACACTTACCACGTCCTGGAGGTTTCAGACCCTGTGGGCTCTGCTAGCCACGCTGGACTAGTGCCACGTGAAGACTATGTGATAGGCTGTCAAGACGGCTTGCTAGCAACTGGTGGAGAAACTTTACTACAGGAAATACTCAGATCGAAGGCTAACCAAGATCTAGTTTTGTATGTCTACAACTCCGTCAGTGACTGCATTAGACCCGTCACAGTACACGTTGACGGCAATGGGAGACTTGGCTGTAACATGGGGTATGGGTACCTTCACAGAATTCCTGCTCCAACAGCCCAGAACTCAATTTACTCCGCACAGCAGCTCGAGGGGAATAATTCATACTCAACCACAGAGGCTGCAGACTTTAATGAACATGCACCTGCTGGGAGCTCTTTTGTACCAGCTGGGTCACCAGCGGCAATCTCGACGAATACTGAAGCGGCCCCTACAATGACTACCACATCGCAGTTCATTGTCCCTCCTCCGATCCACAAGCGTAAATCAAAGCACCACAACTCCGCTGCAGCCGCTTCTATACAAGACTACTTTCACGAGGGAAAAGACCCCAGCCCTGCATCCTCCAGTAAGAACCTTTCAACTCCTCCTCCTCCCCCGTTGAAGTCGCAGAAGGCATCTGAGGACTAATCTCAGGTGAGAAAATGGTAAGCGTGTACACAACTACTTCTGAATGCATCAAGTTGCTGCTACAACCAGCATTGAAAGGATGATAATTTGGTGCACGCGTCTCATGATATAATGCTACGGTTCGAGAAGGGGTTATCGCCGATGCATTAAAAATCGAAACGCACGACTTCGGTGAGCCCATCCTTGTGCAACGCATGTAACGTTTTCAAGATATTGTGCTATTGAATATAACCACAGCGGAATAGTTTTCACGGTATGCATTTTTTTTACTTATAGCCGATGAATGTTGATTTTCGCTCAACTACGGCAACAATTCTCAGCCTCCTCGTCGATGTATTGTCCACTCTTTAACACGAAGTACTTAGGCTCGCGCTTTAGATACCCACGGTTCACATTCAGCAGGTTTATTTATTTATCGCTTACGACGAATAATCTTAATTGTTACGTGGCGCCAATTTTTCATATAAATTAAACTCGCGTTTGCCACCTCTATTGTCAAGTAGCTTCCCTAACCATAGTTGCTGATTGATCGACTTTTCAACGACACAAACACCCAAACGATAATGCAGTTGTCCAAGAAGGTTTTTCTAGGAATCACTGCGCTCACAGCGGCAATTGGTAAAGCCCAGCAAGATGCCACGGCTCCAGAAGACTCTGCGGTTGTGAAGTTGACGTCTGAGAACTTCGTAGAGTTCATGAAGGAACACCCTCTGGTATTGGCAGAATTTTATGCTCCATGGTGTGGCCACTGTAAGACTTTGGCTCCTCACTATGTAGAAGCTGCTGCCGCTCTCGAAAGCAGTGATATCGCATTGGCTCAGGTGGACTGCACTGAAGAACAAGAACTGTGTATGGAGCAGGGCATCAGAGGCTACCCAACTTTGAAGGTATTCAAAAGCAGCCAACTCGACGCACCAAGTGAGTACCAGGGAGGCAGAAATGCCCAATCCATCATCTCGTACATGACTGCCCAGTCCATGCCACCCGTCACCGTGATTTCCGGTGAAGAGGGCGCTGACGACCTCAAAGATATTTTGGTTGAGGCTTCGTCCGCTGTAGTTATCGACAGTGGTGTCGCTGGACTCAATGAGACCTTTTACGAATTAGCGGATCTTTTCAGAGATGATTTCACATTCGTCAAATACAACCAAACAGAAGGTGAGCCACATCTATCCATTCACTTGCCTAACGACGTCGAGCCTATCAAGTTCACCGGCAAAAACAACACACTCACTCACCTCGTAGAATGGGTCCAAGTTGAAACCAAGCCTCATTTCGGTGAAATCAACGGCGAGACCTTTCAATCATATATGAACGCTAATTTGCCAATCGCTTACTTCTTCTACACCAGTCCAGAAGAGCGTTCTTCTTACGAACAGTTTTTTACCAAACTCGGTAAGGAACACAGAGGTAAAATCAACTTTGTTGGTTTGGATGCATCGATGTTCGGAAGACATGCCGAAAATCTCAATATGAAGGAACAATTTCCTCTATTTGTTATTCACGATGTTGAAAGCAATATGAAGTACGGCATGCCCCAATTGTCCGAGGAAGAGTTTTCCGCTTTGACGAAACCATTGGAATTAAAAAGCGCTGACATTACTAAGTTCATCAAAAACTTCACCGCTGGTAAAATTGAACCAATTGTAAAATCTGAAGAAATTCCAGAAGTCCAAGAATCCAGTGTTTTTAGAATTGTTGGAAAGACTCACGAAAAAGTTGTTAATGACGAAAAGAAGGATGTTTTGGTTAAGTACTACGCTCCATGGTGCGGACATTGCAAGAAATTGGCACCTCTTTACGAAGAAATGGCTGATATTTACGCCTCTGATAAAGATGCCAATAGCAAGATTGTTATTGCTAACGTAGACGCCACTTTGAACGACGTCAACGTCGATTTAGAAGGTTACCCAACCTTGATGTTCTATCCTGCTGGAAAGAAGTCAACTCCTGTTGTCTACCAGGGTGCCAGAGACATCGAATCCTTCATGAACTTTATCCAGGAAAACGGTCACCATGGAGTGAATGGTTCTGCCATCTTGGAAGGCAGACAAGCTCAGGAAGCTGTTGAAGCCGAAAAAGAAGCTGAGGCCATCAAGGAGGAAGAGGTCGAACACGACGAATTGTGAGTTAATTTTTAGATAAAATTCAATGCTCCTGCACTTATCATTTATATAGTTCAAAATAACATCTTATATTTGAAAACAGATGTCACACTGTAAATTTCGTCAACATTCGACTCTTTCGTTACTAAGATGGAAAAAAAATAAGAGGCAAGATTGTAAGTCGAAAAGTGTGTTTGAAGATAATCAAGACTTGGCATCACAATGGGTCACTATTCGCCGCCAGATGGATCGAAGAGTCCCAATCTCTCGCAATTGGCTCAGAAAGAAGATCCTGAGAAGCCAAGTGACGATAAAGCGGCACAGTTTTATGCGAGACCCAGTCTTGGCTTAAGACTTTGGGGCCCTTTCGTTCCTGCTTCAGACAATAGAGCTGGGCTTTGGTCACTGGTTGGAATTCAAACTGCGTTTGGACTGCTCTGCATGCGAAGGTTCAGAACTTTGGGCACAAAGATCCTCAAGAGAGATATTTCCCAATTTCCAAGTTTAAATCGATTTTCAGTTACTCGCGGTGATATATATTTGGCCAATCATGGCGGCACCGCTTTTGGAGGTACGCACTCTTTTCGCAGAGTTGGACCAACAGTTTCTTCCAGCTTTTTCCAGTCTGCTAAGTTCACCACGTTCAAAAGAACTATGTACTTACTCAGCGGCTCGCTACTATTGAGCCAGTCGCTTTTGGAGGCTTGCAGATTGACAATTCTGAAATATGATCCTTGGTATGAAGAAGTCCACTCCGCTCGCGAGAAGCAATTTTTCAACGATATAATAAAATACTACCACGAAGGAATTGATCCTACCAGATTTAAAGTGAAGGACGCTGTCAACGGTAACTCATTGCCATTGAATACACCAGAAGTGAAACAAAGCGTCGCGTTTGTACGAGCCACAGCCGAGGCTGATAGTTGGATAGTGTCTTGGTTTGGGCCACTTGAATATAAGCCTATGACCTTCAGCGAGTACCTGGACAGACTAGAATACCACTTAGAGATGACAGACTTTTTGAAAAGCAGGCATACGAGAGAGGTTACGACTCAAGTACTTGGAAGAACTATATCGCATTTGAAAGAGGAGTTAGACGAACTGATACAGAAAAATGTGCAAACGAGACGAAACGTTCACTCACTTTTGGAATCTGCACCGGCACGCAGTATGCCCGTAATACATGGTCCTCGTCAGGGTTCATTAAAGGGTATCCTTCTAGATCCTAATTATAAAGCTCCAGAAGACATTGACCTTGCGGAAACATGGTCGACTTTTAACCCGTGGTTAGATTTAGCATTGGAAACGTCGCTGAGCATCAAGTTTCTGCCCACCGCTTTGATGGCAGACGATTCTCAAGATGAACAAAATACCAGCAACTCGCCAACCAGCGACGTTGACACAGACAACGATAAAAAATGAGCCTAGAGGCCCTGCTATTAGGGTGCTAAAGGACTTACGTTTTTGTTATTCGTTATGAGTGATATGTATAAAATAATTCATTTTGGACGAGTCTCATCGCATCAAAATATTAGACTTAAATCTTGAATTAAGGTTGGTAGACATCCACCTCTGTTTCGCAGAATTCCGTGTTTGCTAAATGGCTAGATTCTCGGGAGTCATTCTAGGTCTGGCTTTATTAGCAGCGACAGCTTTCCGATCAGTGAACGCCATCTTTGATGATGAAGTCAATGGCATAGATTGGCAGTTGAGTAATATTGGTGACTATAAATGTGTCGTACCAGCTTCCAGAACCACTCACAATGACCAGTTTGTTATATTATCAGATTTAGGTGATCATTCATTACTGTCTTGGGTTAACAAGACAAATGGGGAACTGCTCGACAGGCTGCCGTTAAACTATAAAGTTGAAGATATTATGGTAACCGAAAAGAACGAGATCATTCTACAAAAAGGTGATGCATCGTACTTTGCAATTGACTCCCTCAACGGGTTTGATATCCAGTACGATGCTTTAGGTTTCATCTCCTCTTGTAGTCCTGACCTGTCCTTGGTACAGGTCAGAGAGGGGAAATTAAAGGTGTTAGACAGCGACAAGGAGTATGTCGTCTACCACCGCCAGCTTCCCGAGAACTTCAGCGGTATTAAGTATTTCGAAAACCGCGAGGATGGATCATTTGATCTTATTACTTCTACAAGTGATGGAAAATATCAGTTTTTAGAGCTTGACAACAGCAATATCACCAAAGAGTGGGAAAGAGATGAATCTTTAGCTAATATCAATGCATTTGCATTCGTGTCTTCTAAGGACCCCTTAACATCTAAGATCTTTTCGGAAATTTCCAAGGAGGAGTCAATGAGCGTATTGGACGCTTACAAGTTTAGGATAAGCCAAACTTCTCAGCGATTGAAAGATTATCTTCAAGAGCGAAAGTTTTCAATTGGCACTATCTTCAAAGAGTTTTTTCAAGAGGATGACGACCTTACTAAGCTACACAGGGATATAAACTTCGGGCTTTTGAAATATTTGATTGTTGCCACTGACAAAGGCAAGATTGTGAACTTAGATGTACGCAATGGAAAACAGTTATGGTCAGTTGAGACCGGACTGAAAGATATTTACAGAATGGAGGCATCTATGTTAGATTCCGAGCTTTTTGTGGTCACCAAATCAGGGCTCTCGATGCTTTTAGAAATTAGCGCCATCGAGAAGGAGCCATTCATTCTGAAAAGGTCAAAACAATTAGACGTCGAACTCGCAGAACCTTTTGACAATGGCAATTTTCTTTATGTGAAATCAAAAGATGGCGCGAAATCAGTCATAAACAATCGTGTAACGTCTGGCGATGAAGAAATATACTTTTTAGACCACGACGACAAAAGACTAAGCGCCTCTTTCTTAAAAAACTCAACCATTGAAGATACATGGAATGTCGAGTTAAGTGAAGATGAGGAGATTAGAGCATTTTCGTACAGAGATCAAAGTCCCGTGGTGAGTTTGGGTAATATCTTGGGTAACAGAACAGTCCTATACAAATATCTGTACCCTCACTTGGCCGCTTTTGCTACGGTTGATAAGTCGAGCAATTCTTTGACTGTCCGCATCATTGACACTGTGACCGGCGAGTTGGTACACACAGTTCTTCACGAGAACAAAGTTGCTTTAGCATCGCCTATTAATGTGGTCTTTGGTGAGAATTGGTGTATCTACACTTATTTCAGCATTGAGCCAGTTCCAGAACAAAAGATTGGTGTCATTGAACTTTATGAGTCGCCAACACCAAATGAAAGACTTTCTGAAACTTCTTTAGAAGCCGACGCTATCTCCCACGCAGACAAGCCACATATAATACAGAATGCGTACATTTATCCGGAAGTGATCAAAAATTTAGCACTAACACAGACTAAATTTGGAATAACTATTCGTTCAGTGATCCTTGAGCTTGAAAATGGTCAAATTGCCTACCTCCCCAAGTTCATACTCAACGCACGCAGAGTAGAGGAGTCAAAGATGACCGCGGATGACAAGAAGGAATTCATGTTCTCTCCGTACGCCAGTAGTATTCCCATCAACGACCATACCATATTAACTCACCACAAGCGAGTTCTTTCGGGACCAAACTCTTACCTTGCTTCTGTGCCCACAAACCTAGAGTCTACGAGTATTGTGTGCAGCTTAGGCCACGACTTGTATTGCACAAGGATTTCACCTTCGTCGCAGTTTGACAAGCTAAAGCCCAGATTCCAGAAGGGCAATCTTCTTTCGACTATTCTTGGTCTGCTTGTTACTTGCTTCTTTGTCAGACCAATGGTTGACACGAAGAAGCTTAAGACTAAATGGTTGGTCAAGGATTGATGGTCTGTGCATGCATCGCACCATCTCTCAACGGCTCACGTTACTTGTGATCGTATATTTCCCTGTACAAACAAATAGGTATTGAAGTTAGGCAAGCAGATCTTCAGATCTGAAACTTCGTTAAGTAAGCGCCCCAAACCATCTACATAATCACACTACGATCATGTACTTCATCAAAGCTCTTGGAATTTTAGCTGCGTCCAGTCTTTCTCTCGCCGGTAACTTGACTGTTTTAGACGTCAAGGTCGTCAAAGACATTCCTGCCAGTGAATGCAAAATACAGGCTTCAAACGGTGACATCGTCTCAGTGCACTACTCCGGCTCCTTAGAAGGATCCAGCGAGGTCTTTGATTCGTCTTACGGAAGAGGCGTTCCTATCCAATTCGAACTGGGATCTGGTCAGGTCATCCAAGGCTGGGACGAAGGTATTCTTGGCATGTGCATTGGCGAGGAACGTGAACTACGTATTCCAAGCAAACTAGGTTATGGCTCTCGTGGAGCTGGTGCGGTGATTCCTCCAGACTCTGATCTCTTCTTCCGGACCTCTTTAGTTGATATCAGGAGACGTGACGAACTTTAAATTGTATAAAGGTTTGAAAACATGAATGTTTTAATACATATACGCACATAAGAACGCAATACACAGTCGACGTTAATGGTTCAAACGCCATCGACGGGTACCTGTTTACGAGTGCTGAATCGCTTCTGCAAAACGAACTCAAATTATGAGCTCTTTTATGGTAGTCGGATTCTAGACAGCACGCAGAGAGTGCTTGTTCTTGATTCTTCCTTCAACCCACCGCACTGTGGACATCTCAATTTAGTACAAAGAGCTGTTAAGCACTTCGGAAATTGCTCTCTACATGTCATTCTATTGTTGTCCACGAACAATGCAGATAAACTAGCGCAGCCTGCTTCGTTCGACAAAAGAATGGATATGATGTGCATCATGGCAGATATACTCGAGGAGGATTCTATCAGAGCTTCCGTGGGAATTACCAAATTTGGTAAGTTTATTGACAAGTCGGACGCAATGCACAAAGAGTTGGACCCGAAGATTATAATTACCTATCTGTTGGGATTCGATACGGTTGTAAGAATATTCGACTCCAAATACTACAAACCGTTATCAACAGCAGAAGCCTTGAAAAACTTCATGGAGGGGACCGATTTCTTTTGCCTTACCAGAAAGGATGAAATTGACTGCACTCAGCAATTGAATTATGTAAGAGGCATTGCCAGCGGCGATTTTGAGCCTGACATTCCTAAATCGTGGCATTCTAAAGTAGTGATTGAGGAGAACGATTCTCACACGTCTGAGATTTCATCTTCAAAGTTAAGGAAAGCCATTCGGAATCCAAAGCAAGACGTTTCGTCGTTCATCCCCTCGGAAATATATAAATACATCACGGAAGGCCACGACAACGAAAGCATTTTCGATTCGTGATAAAGAAATGGGCCCGGTAATCAATGCGGACCATGATTGATGGAAGAAAATATGGTTTGCGTCGTTGGTTTCAGATTCTCGAAAAAATCTTGAAAGAAGTCTTCGAACGAATTAAATTGGTCGACATCTGGCATGTTGAAGCTAGCTGCTGTTGTGCTTTCGGCTCCACTAGCATGTGACGTTGCAGACATGACACTTTTCGGAGACTCGACGTTATTGAGAATAGTTTGCAAAGGTGCGTAAGGGCTGCTATGCGTTCCTAACAAATGATTATCGGTGGAAGCAAGCGCTTCGCTTCCTGTATTTACCTTTTTCTTCCCGGTCTCAATTAGCGACTTGATAATCTTACCTACATTTTCAGTGGCTTCATTCAATTTTTCTCCTATGGTGTGCAGGTGCCAATAAATCCTTGTACATAGGTTCAGTATTTGCTGTCTCTCTGAAGCATTGAAAAAATGCAAAAAGTCACATAGCGTTAAACATGCAAAAACCAGCTGGTAAACGGTTATTACGGGTGCACCTTTTATCAAAGAAGATGGCAATTTAAGGAATCCATCGAGCAAGGTGAAGCAATAAGTCTTCATCGTTTTTAAGACAGATTTGAAGAAATATAGGTCGTTTTGATACTCCTCATAAAACTCCGTTAAAAAAGATCGGCAGATCATAATGTAATAGTAATTGTATGCAAACAATAAAACTCCTCCACCGTCTTTGGAGAGAAGTTCATCCCAATTTTTAAGCCAGTATTCCAGCTCCGGGAAGGTAAGAGGATCATCCGGAATTCTGCTCGTTGTTCCTTCGCTAGATTTAGATCGTGGAGTTGACTTGCTATCTTTATGCTTTGCTTTAAATGCAATAGTGAAATTCTTGAAGTAAGACTTGAAATTCAGAAATATATGATTAACAATCTCGCTCAAATTGATTTCACTAATTTTTATGTCATCGCCAAAATTTGCCTGTGGATATCTTGCAGTAAGATTGTTGAAGTCTTTCAGTAGTTCGTCAGGAACCAGGAAGCTCCCGTATCCAATCGAGTATTGCAATCGGCAAGCAGTCAGGGAATTCAAAATTCGCAAGTGATAGAGATCTAGCGCATCATAATCTTCCTCCATCAGCACTCTTTCCTTTATTTTGTGGAAGTCGACAATATTTAGCAAGCTGCTAATCGCGAAATTAGTCAGTACCAGAGAGTTGAACTTCATTTGCCTGTGTCTCTTTGACTTTCGAGACACGTTGAACATACTACAATACAGAATAGCCTCGATATCGTGGTCTGTCAGCCTCTCGAACATTGTTAAAGTATTGGTCAATAGTCGCTCAACAAGTGGATACATTATTTCTTGCTCATCTTCGTATTTGTTATTTTCATCGAAACCCATGGCAATGATAGCAAAGACGCTTGTTATGAATACATGTCTCTCGACGTAAGGACGATTAATTTCTTTCACCCCTCCAGGAATAATCCAGAAATGTGATTTGACTAGAAAGTCCCGCGAAAGGTACAAACAAAGTTGCTCATGCTGGTTGAAGAATTTAAAAAAATTGGATCTCGCCACGACGAATGGTCTTTGAGTTTTTGCAATTCTGTCTTTCTCTGACTTGGCCTTCGTGGGAAACAGTCGCTCGTCAATATCGCTTATGAGCTTCAGTGGTGGCTCTTGTAGCTTAAGACCGTTAAGGTCTACCTTGTGATAATCTCTTGAATATGTATGGGAGTCCTCTTTGGTAGCTGGTAGCAGAGAATCTCGATCGTCAATCCGATCATCTGAGTCGTCCGACTTTACAGAATATTCATCTCCAGTAGAGTATGGTTTGTCCTGGAGATTGGAATCTGCTAAATTTACAGAAACCTTGTTTTTGGTAGTACTCGTCGTAGCTGCAGAATTAGTACCCTGAGCAAGCATCACAAGTAAATCCAACTTGCTATTGAGGCTACTAAGGTTTGCTTCAAGCTTGTTGAGTCTATTGTTGAGTGTGGAAGCAACCGGTTGCGATGCCCATGATGATTTCTGAGCACTTTGTTGCGTGTGGGAATCTGTACTGGCGGTGGAGAGAGTAGTTCCGGAAGAGGTCTCTATTGCAGCCAAAATTTCTTCTTCACGCTCTTTTGTTAGAGAACACTCTAGATTCAAGACATTACAGCGATGGCAACGTCCTATCATGGGTTCGAAATCGCATCTGGTTTTGAACTTGCGACATACACCACAACTGTATGTTTTCCGTTTCTTGCGTGGTTTACGGGTTGATTCTGAATCCGGGTGCCTTTTTATAGTGATACCAACATGATCTCCGTCTGTGTTCAAACCGATTGTCGATTCTTGTTCTTTGGTATGTTGAAACACTTCATGACTTGTCATGCTAGGCAGCAATTATCTCGGTCAATTTTAAATTGAACTAAGTTGAGCCCTCACCAGGCGCAACGCTTAGCAAACTAGCCTCGAGAACTTTCTCAAATACTGAACAGTTTGGAAAAAGGCCCTTCTATGCTGCTTTGTTGTCAATAAGAGCTTGTAAGCGGTATTTACGTGATGAGATACCAAATTATTTTCCAAGATTATTCAAATAAAAGGTAACTTAGATAGCGTAAAAACTAAACTATGTGGCCTTCAAAAGAGGAATAAATTAACATTAATCGACCCTCGAAGATAACTAAAACGCTTTTCGAACGCCGTTCGAAAGATTGCAATTGTAAGAAATTAATAGGTTGTATGTTCACACCTCTTCCAGCCCGCTAGAAAATGACGTCCATTTCAAAACAATCAAAATAATCAGACAGCTGGCGAGTAGTTTTATATTTCCCTGAGCGCCCTCGACCGCGACCAAATTACTGGGTAGTTGCAAGACAGATGAGTGCTACAATCCACCCGAATGCCAGAGACCAACCGAAAGTTGACAATTTAGATTTATCAACGATCGACGAACCCTGACTCGATTTTTCAGTAGTAGAATCAGGCTTAATGTCAAATTGCGTCTCCTGGTGATCCAAAAGCTTACCATCCTCACTTACCCGGGCTGTGTTTCTCGTTTGCCCAGAGGTGCACACAATTCTGCCTCCTCTGATAATGGAGTTCCCGTTTGCAGGAGTGATCCACTTGCTGCAGTCCAAGACACTTGAGGTACTCTTCACCATAGCACTGCCCCTAACTAACCTCAGTTTTGGAAGCTCCGTTTCGTGGAATGACCCAATGAATTGAATGGCACCTCCAATCTCACGCAACTCCGGTAGAAAGTCAATCTTTTCGATGTTGGAATTGTTTGCAATCATCAGACCGCCTTGAATGGTGGTCACATTAGTGAAGTCAACATGAACCAATCTTGAGTTTTGGATAACACCTAACGTACCGCCCACGGTCTTGAGTAAGGGAGCTTCAAATGAGTCAAACCTGTTTTCAATCACCTCCAGAGACTGATTAACGTATTGCAAGCTTGGGAAAGTAACCGATGCAACATCTCTAACGGTAAGATTGTTTGCCCAAAGCAACGAAGGGAAGTCGATCTGAAGATCCCTGGAATTTGAAGAGATGCTCAATTGTTCATGAACTTGCTTTAAGCTAGCTTTCACATACTCCAAGTATCTGTTGTTGTTGATGTTGAAGATTTCGAGGTCTTCGACGTTTTCTAGGACATCAATGCCAACCAGTGAAGTGTCCGAAATAGTTATGCGCTTGGCATGACTGATGTTTGGAGCCAAACTCAACGAAGTCAAAGTTGGCACGACTTTCCATTCGATGGCATCGAAATGGTGCAAAACTGGAAAGTAAATACTTGTCAAGGACGTCAAACTATCAACCTTAAAAGTTCCTCCAATACTAGCAAGATTATGACCTTGGATTCTCACAACATCAGGCAGATTTTCAATTATAAAATCACCGTTGATGCTTTGCAAACCGCCGAGATCAATGACAGGATCCATAAAGTCGGTTATTTGAACGGTTCCAGAAATGGATCTACAGCTTTGGAGCAGCTGGTGTAATTGTCCGGCTGTCTCAATGTTGTGAACATCTTTTTTGCAGATTTCGGCTATAGCCGTAGACTTCTCAAATCGCAATGCCTGCACACCCACAACATCGGCAGACCACTCATCTTGTAAAGACCCAAACGCTGGAGCCGTGTCTCTCTTGTTCAAATTATATGTATCAGCCTTGACCGCGTGTGGCCTCTTAAAGTCTTTGCTGTTGTCAAACACTTGCTGGACCGAAAAACCAAACGCTAGGTGGCTGCTGCAAAGTGTCGCGAATGCTGCTATTATTTCTAGAGATCTCATATCGATTCAGTCTTTTCAAATGTGTTCGCACTGAGTAAATGTTTCTTAATGCGTGGCCAAAGTAAGTACAAAGTTTTGAATTACGTTGGTCATTCCCGGCTTTTTATAGTTAGTATTCGTGAGATACACAATAACATTGTTTATCCTATATGTGTGCGCCTCTGCGTCAAGCGTCAGGATCCACAAAAACGTTGTGATTCTTCACAGCCTTAATTTGAAATAGCGGTTATTATTGATGTGCCTTTAATATTTAAATAGACGTTTCTACTATGTAGTTTTTGATCTCTTCCATCCTGATGTAAACTTCTTCGACAAAAGCTTCGCTTAATCCAGGTTGTGATTTTTCAGCTTCTTCGAAGAGATGTCTTAAGCGATTCACAACGAGTTTCGTGTCCTCTGAGCGCGCCCTCTCGAAGATCCTTTCAAAGCTGTAAAGAATAATATGCCTATAGTAATTGAGTCCTTTGTCTGCAATTTGCTGAGTATGTTTCTTTGCAACCTTTCCTTCATGAAGTCCCATGGAGACATCAAAGTCCTTTTCTTGATTATAGTGTCTCAAACTTGGAGATGTAGCGTTCGTCATTGGAGTGATCGCCATTGGAGTATTAATATCAGCGCTTTGCATTGCAGAAATGGGACTTTTTTCAGTCTTTGGAGACATTTGTTCCAGTGCTGCCGATTTGATTTCTGGGTGCTTCATTTGCTGCCGACTTTGGTACTTGTGCTTCTTGACATCAAGTCTCTGTGTTTTCTCAAAGTTCCAGCTCTGTAGATGTGAACTCGCACCCGTTGCGTACACCTTGTCGGAAACCAAAAAGCGAGGCTGTTTAATGTAATTCGTTCGTATTTTCAAAATCTTGACAAGATCAACTTCACGCTTCAATGTTCCGATACCGCGCCAAGTCGGTCTATTGAGAAACTTATGGCTCAAAAGTTCAGCTGCATCTGGACGTGATTGTGGATCTTTGGTCAGGCAAAGTGCGATAAAATCTCGAGCTGGACTAGTAAAACGGCCCTGCAATTTTGGTGGCTTCCTGAGAGGTATGTTCAACAATACTTTCATTGGGTCATGCTTGGCGTAGGGCGGCTGGCCGGTCAGAAGTTCTATGACGGTTATTCCTAATGACCAAATGTCTGCCTTTTCATCATAACCGTTGTCTCTTCTAGCAATTATTTCTGGTGCCATCCAATATGGTGTTCCAACAAAGGTAGTGCGCTTCAAAGTGGCCATAATTTGACCGCTTACTCCAAAATCACCCAGCTTAACCTCGCCATCGTTCGTGACCAAAATATTAGCTGCCTTGATATCACGATGGATCTTTTTTTGGCTATGTAAGTACTCAAGGCCACAAAGTACTTCCCTTATAATATACGCAACTTTGTGTTCAGGAAATTTGTGTTCAGGGAGATGTTTCAGAAGATCAGCACAAGATCCTCCCCCGCAAAATTCCATCACAATCCACATGGAGACGTCCTCCACAAAAGTCTGGATGTAATTTGTAATAAAAGGGGCCTTTAGCTCTGACAAGAAGTATATTTCCTGAGCCAAAATGTCTATGTCGTCCTGAGTTTCTTCCAGATTGATGATCTTGATGGCGACAACATTTCCACTTTGCTTATCGACTGCGCGATAAACATCGCCAAAACTTCCTTTTCCAACGCATTCCTTAATATCGTAAAGTTGAGATGGTGTCTCGGATCTCGCATCTTCTTTGTTCATATGTGATCCATATGGCTCTATAGAAGTGTCTGCTGGTAGCAGTGTCGTGCTGGCGATCATGTTTACAGTTTTTCTAGCAAATGCTTCAATTAATCACAAAGTGACAGGCCGGGAAGCTATAGAGCAAATCAGTTAGCGAGGTTTTATGAATTTAGCTTGATCCACTTACGAAATAGTAGTTTTGCAATTGTGTCTTAATTTTAAATGGCTAGACACAAAATGTCAGTTTAGAGAAAATATTGTCAATGAAGGAAAAAGTGATCAGAAGAGCATATTATTATGGGCAAACAAAGAATTTGGATTGCGCTATTCTGGAGTTGTGATTCTTTTACTGGTTCTTTCCTCCGTGTATCTTTGGGAATTTAATTCCTCTATTTTTAGAGTGTGCAACAGAAGCGGATAGTGGGGAAGAGAGGGGCAAGCTCCCGCCGATACTCCATCTTTTATTATTGTTGTCGGAAGCATCGGAGGCCGATGAAATTGTTCGAGGAGTTGTTGAGCCTGTCACCGAGGTATCTATTCTAGCAATGCTTGTTACTTTCGAATTTTTAATTGTAGCTCTTCTGTTCACCGGATTGTAAACTCCGTTTGTTTCTGCTTTTGATCTCCAGTAATCATATTCACACTTGGATAAGGTAGAGGAATCGCGCGGAAGTTTTCCAACTTGTAACCCATTAAGCAATAGGAATTCTGTAATGAAGAAAACTGGATCAGCCTTTGTTCCTTCGTAATGTTTTAACGAATACTGAAACACCGTTTCCCCGTGTTCGAGGTGGACCTTGTTGAGGCTTACGCCTTGTGCGATGCATTGTTGTAAAAGGTAAATGCTATTCAAATGAATAGATTTGATGAGGTTATGATTGAGCCTCTTGTGAATGCTTTCCGGTTCCTTCTCCTCCAAGGGTGAGACAAACTTCTTGTTTAAGTATTTATCTGTGATGGTCGAGGTACGGATGTCGGCTGATGAACTTGGTTTGAGGTGCTTCTGAGGTAGCTCTGCTTCGTAAATTGAGTTCACGTTATTATTGGAGACAAATTTCATCAATTCCACAATTTCTTTAGATGTGAAGGAATCGAGTCTCAGAGACCGTATTTTAGAAACGTGTGCACCCAGCGATCTATGAACTGCCGAGCAGTTGATGCATACAACGCACAACAAATTGATGCTAATCCATTCTACTTGATTTAAATCTCCACAATCGCAACAGGTAGTATTTGATTTATCGGTGCTGAACACAAGGTCCGATATTGTATTAATTGCCACTGACTTCGTTTTATCCGACTGATCGGGTACTTCTTCCACACCGACAGCAATTTGCAAGTTTTGCAACCATTGCTCAAGCTCACTTTTGCTTTCAGCTCTAAAAGCGCGCGTTATTCCGTTTGTGGTTATAATTTCAAACCCATTGTAATTACCGGAATCCTGTCTCCTAATACATGCAAACGTTAATCTCAAAGGAGTATGTGACAGTTTTTTACCTTGAGTTTTCCAGTCAGAAAACTCAGAAAGAACCGAACCTTTCAATACTACCCATTGTTTGTGCCAACCTGAGGACTTACCAAGACCTTTGTAAGTCCAAAGGATGCCTTCCTTATGTACCTGACGGTGATCAGTAGACACTTGAGTAGAAAAATCCGAGAAACTTTTGGAACTAGATATTTTGTCTCTTTGGGCATTTATCTGAGACTTGGAGAACCTGGCATTGGCTTGATATATTTTAGATTCGTTCATAACCGAATCGAAACTCGTGGAACCCAGTTTGTGAGGAACTTGCGATAAATCGTAGATAAGCCGTCGAGCTTGAGGGCCTTCAAGCAGCTCTGTTAAGATAACAAAGTAATCGAATCTTTGTAACTCGAAATGCACTTTTTTGGCAAAGTTAGCAGACTCGGCAGTCGAGAGGTTTTTGCCCATGTAGGAGTAGAACAGCTTTGCCTGGTCGTGATATTGCTTGCGACGAGCAGACAGTGTTTTGAGGTCAATAGCTGAAATGTAACTATTGATTGGACTACTGATGCGATGTTGTAGTATGGATTCTAGACGAGACTGGGTTTGTAGCTCGGAGTTTAAAGTCGTAGCCAGCGCGAAGATGACCTTGTGAAACTGGTGAGGAAGGCTTGCAGAAAATTTATCGAGGTCTTGAACACAGGAAATTAGGCCGGCTAATTCCTTGGATGCGTAATTGATGGCGTCAGCGACCTTTACAGATTTCTCTTGGGTGTATTTGAAGGACTGTCGTAGCGCTGGGAGTAAGTTCTCACAATGGGCTACAAAAGTTCGAAATTGAGGTCCATCAGATTGGAACGGATATTGCAGGGAAGGGGAAGTCGGTGACGGTGATGGCGATGTAGATGGAGAAACCCCGCGTTGTACTGGGAGGTCTGACTCGACCCAAACGGCTAATGATGCCAACAGGTTGTTTCGTATGCTGACACAGACTGTGTGGAGACCGGGGGACGCTTGGAGCAGCGGCGAAATTGAGAGTGTGAAGGAGATGAAAGATTGATCGTGAGAGACAACATCAGAAACGGGAAGAGTGCAAGTGGTGGAGGCGTGCGAAGCCACGCATTGGATTTCTTCGGGGCCCGTAACAGTCGTTTCATCGGATTTGAATTTGACGACATACTCGGAGTTAGAGGATAACGAGGCCAAAACGGCAAGTTGTTGGTCAGGTTGGCAAAGGATGAACTTGGTGGACGCTGAGGACGAGACGGGATGTATATCGACAAGGCAGTGGCCGACCTCGCCGCAGTTTTTGAGCAACGAGGTGTTGGAGCCCATGGACGGCTTGTATTGAGTATGTGAGGGAGGAACTAAGTCGGTAAGAACGAACTGCGATGGGCTAAGTATATAAGTTTCCAGGCCAAAAAAGTTTATGCCAGATTTTGAACAGTCGGCAAGAGGGAAAAGGCAAGTACAAGACCAGACAGTGCTGGGAGGTAGGCTAACCAACAGTGTAGATGCGTAGCGTTTGTCCAACTGCCTACAAAAGGAGGAGAAGAAGAAGCAGAAGTATACGAACTCTTAAAACTCAGATACACAGATATTTGATTATGTGTGGGAAATAATTACATACTTCTGGGGGACCAAACCTATGAGACACACACATGCGAGCTCAAGGCCTGCCCTGAACATTATTAGGAGAGTGAGAAAATGAAACAATTTTTGGATTAGAGATTTTTTCCGAAAAACAAAAGTGCTGGTAATAAGTGTAAAAAAGTCTTGCGAAAGGAAGCGAAGCAAAATAGTAGGCTTCTGCTTCCTCGCTTGCGGTCAGACCCGCTCTATAATCCGAGGCGCAAGGCGCTTAGAACAACAAAGCAACACCGGCGGCAACAGCGGCACCGAAGACACCAGCGCCCATGGCGTTGGTGGCGGCGGCACCGGTGGAGACCTTGGTGGAGGTGGAGTTAGAACCGTTGGATCCGTTGGATCCGTTGGAGGCGTTAGCGGCCTGGACGGCGGCGACGGAGGCGAAAGTGGCGACGATGTTCTTGAATTGCATAGCGAGTGTTTAGTTGGGAGAATAAGAAAACCTAAAAAGATATACAAACACAAGCTCAAGAATCCTCAAACCTGCTCCGGGGGGTCCAGCCTTATATACCCATGCCCGTCTTTTTTTTTGCGGGTACCCCCGAAAATTCCCGCAAAAAAGCAACCGTCCACAAAAGAAGGAAAAGAAAATGAGGAGAAAAAAAAAGAGGAGAAAAAAAAAAGAGCGAAAAGAAAAAGCAATTACGCCAACAAAGAACGAGTCCAGGCCCGGCTACGAAGCTAGCAAGAAAAACCACAGTTCGGAACAATAGCGAGCGTGGAAAATAACTAACGGCTGGGGAGATCGCGAACGGTAAGTAGAAGTGCTGGTGAAGGGCGCTAGTAGACGGTGCTAATACTTGTCTTTATTCGCGATGAGGTAAATACCAGCATCACCTAACTAGGCCAAAGAGGCTCGTTGAGAGGAGCGCCATGCGCTCGTCTACGGTGAGGAGATTGGGAATTATGGGCAGAGATAGATAGACAGGCGCACTTAAGGGGTCTTTCCGGTGTATTTACGGAAGGATTCGATGAGCTGGGCTTTTTCGTGACGGTGGGGCTTTGCGAAAAACGCGTCAGGACGAGCCGAGGAACAATTGGCAAGCGTAGCGGGTAGTTGTAAGATGGGCGCCGGTGTTGAGGGTGGGTAGTGGGGCTTCTGTATCGGGTTGTCGGTAATGGGTTGGCTACACACGTCATTTGAGGTTGGAGTGTCAGTCTTGTCTGTATGGTGTTTGGAGCTTTTCTCTCACGTAGCCAAGTAATTACAGGGAAATCTCACAACACTAGAGTTTGGTTTCCCATTCAAGTGTGATTTTAGTCTTGTCCGAAGGGTCTTCTAAACTCGAATTGATTCCAGAGAAAATGGCCCGGTTAGCGTAGCACAACATAACCTTTGGTTCCCCAACACGAGAAAAGGTACAATGCACATTCAAGATGAGAGGTTGGATATTAGAAAGGTAAACAACGCATTCCTGTAGAGGCCTTTGTATACCACTTATTCCTCAAGCTTACGACTGTAAATAAACCTAGTCCACGATATGCTAAGGTTGCCCATGCTCCGGCAGCAGATTACAAGCTACAATGCCTTCTCTGGGACACATTTGCCGCCGACGGTCAAAGTGCTTGATTGGGGGTCCGACGATGGCGTTCTAAAGCACCCGTAGTGGAGGTATATATGGAGGACATCTGGAGGAGGAAGACAGAGCATTTCTTAAAAAGGACCAATTTGAAAATATCCGTGGAGGCAATGATGCAACTAATGTGCTGCCAAGACGATCCCAGGTTCAGAGAGACTGTGATGATTAGAATGGCCTTTCGGAAAGCCATAGCGAGTGCGCCAGCTGCGTGCAGCGAGCGCATCGACAAACTATTTAAAAAATGATTCATGAAATATCCCTTTCTGACCAGAGCTGGTACCAGGCACGAGAGAAATATTTCAACGTATGCTCGATCAGGCGCAAAGCACGGCGGTTCTCCAGAGAAGAGGAGATAGTGGGCCTTCGAAACAAGAGAAGGTCTCTACGACAGCTTTGAATAAATGTAGGAAAAAGATCCAAAAGACAGGAAGTGGGCTTGGGAACATTAAGGAGATAAGGGAGCTATGAAGAGTCAAGTGGTATTTACGATAATCACAGTGCGGTGGAAATGGAAGAGCGTACAGACGTAGATGGGAGGCTGAATGACAATCCAGTCTTGTCTGTACGATTTCAGTGTCAAACTTATTCACCAACTTGAACTCTTCCAGATTACTTCTTCACAACATTCAATTTCCGTAACAAAGATCACTGCAACGTCGTCACCTCAAGCCGCTACGCTACACTATGCCACCTTTGTACAATACTGGCACATTATTTGCATGCTCTTGTGCTTGCGGCTCTCCTTTTTCCCCTGCCCTTGCTAATGTTCGTATCTCGCCGTGATTCGTCATCCGTGATCAATCCTATTTCAATCGTCAGTGGTCAATAGTGCTGGATTTCGCAGGCTACTGCCGACCTTGTTTCAAACTAACTAATAGCATTCATCTCTTCCTTGATCTTCTTTCGTAGAGCAACAACCTCGATCGCAACGACCCCAGTTCATGCGCCTGGTTCTTACTAAATCTAACAATACAGAATCAACTACTCAACCCGCTCACCATAGACCCAAACTAATGCATCTGCTTCTCGTCAACCCTAACAGCACAGAGTCTATGACTCAGGCCGCCGGCCAACAGGTTGAAGCCTATCTGAACAAGGCGTACCCTGGCAATTTCCGAGATATCGAAGTGTCGCTATTCACGGGACCTCCGGATGCCCCGCCCGAGATTGATGGCGAGAAGACAAGTTACGAATCCGCTCGCAAATGTCTGCCCCTACTGTGCGAGCGCACTCTTGACACTCAGAGGAAGCAGTATTTTGATACTTTTGATGGCGTGCTGGTTGCTTGTTTTTCAGACCATCCCTTGGTACACCAATTACTAGCAAAAACTGAGAGTTCCACGCCAGTTACTGGCATTTTCCATGCCTCTATGACCACTTGTCTGTCCCGGCCGGGAGCCGCCTTTTCGATCATCACCTCAAATGACGAATGGGTCGAATTGCTCGACGCCGGTGCCGAGAAGCTGTTGGGCGCTCCAAGACCCTACGCCGGCTCCTGCTGTTCCTTCAAGGGCACCATTGCGTCTTCATTGCCGGTTTTGGACCTACACAATCCGAAAAACTTGCACGCTATTGCCAAGCGTATCTATCAAGAAAACGTTCGACGCCTCAACACTACTACTGTGATACTGGGTTGTGCAGGGTTTTCCGGCATGGAACAACCTTTGCAACAAGAAATTCGCAACATTGCACTCGAACATGATTCCAGCAGTCAGTTGAATGTCACCCTACTTGATAGCGTGGTTTGCGGTATCGAGACATTAGCCCTGATGTGCAGATTGCAATTTAACTAGGGGTGATTGCTAAATTGTAGTGACATGAAAATACATATATATATGCGCATATACAGTGACCGATATGAAAATGAATTGCTCTCGAAAAGGAGAACTGAAGAAAACTAAGAGAAATCGACTATTCTGAGATGCACTCACGCGATTGGTTTCTGGTATTCGTTTCGATCTTTCTACCGCCTATTGCCGTTGGGCTGAAGAGAGGATTCCTCACCAAGGATACTTTGCTCAACGTGTTGCTATTCGTCCTAGGTTATTTCCCAGGTTTAATTCACGCCTTGTACGTTATCAGCAAACATCCATACCCAAGCGGCCATGGGGACAGCTTGACACGTCCAAACGACGGCTATGGGTCTTTAAGCTAAAGAACAAAGTAAACCGCTTATTTAGCACTAGATACTTTAATTAATTATGCAGAGAAAACAACAAGATATTTGCAGGACATGGAAAAACAGCGTGGGTAGCAAGCGGTCCATTCGAAGTACAGCAGACTGAACAATTTCATTCCTGGTAAACGGCATTACATAAAAGTATTCTTTTCCCTTAACTCCATCGATGAAGTCTTTGCTGGTGCGTTCTTTAATAGCAGCAGCTGGAGTACTGGATTTGAACAAAAGTGGAAGAAACGTCGTTTATTGGTATTCCGGTCGCACCCAATGCAAACAATGCCGTAGTTTCAACCAGTGCTTGATAAAATTGTTAAGTCAATTGTGTGCACTCAAGTTACACATTCAAAGCGCGTATGATGGTACCTGTCTCTTCATTTTGCAGCAATGCCGCTTCATGTGCATGTAACATGAATTAGAGTCTTTCGACGCCGCTCTATATATAGGTCGTGTATTCGCCAAAGTACGGTTGACTGGCGCAAATTGCCTCTTGGACTTGATCAAAATTTAATGGCGATAGGTAGCGCTTCCGTTGCATAAGGACATAGAGAACGGTTGGCGAAAGGAAATATATAGAGTTAGGCTTTGCAGAGAGCTCCAACTTCGCAAATGCGGTTGAGGCATTCCGGCATCGAAGTTAGTCCGTCTATTTTCTTGAAGTGATCACAATCACTCCAAGAACACACCCCATGTTCCGAATAAGCTCGATATTATGAATGAGACCCTACACCTCCAAAAGTTTTAACCCTTTTAGAGAAAGTTCCCAAACTAATGCACGATACCTGGAAATTCCGTAATTATGAGCTAGTCTCATTGATCGAATCAAAACTCTTATTCTTCTTGCAGAGATTTCGGCACCGTAACTCGTCTCAGCTCACCATCCTTTGAGTCAAGACCGTTCATCCATAAGATTTTCTAGCTACTTTTAATACCTGCTTCATCTTATTTTCACTATAGTCAGCGGCGGTTCACAGAAATTTATAATAATAAATCGGTTATCAAAAGCTTCACATAAAAGAACTACTTTCTACTCCAAAGAAATGGACTTACTAGGGGACATTGTTGAAAAAAACGTGGCAGCACCATGCGGTGTGAGTTCTGCGCCTACAAGTGGGTTTCCGGAGCTATATGAGCCAGAGAAAGTGTCATCTTGGAAGACAAGACTACATAAGAAAAGACAAAGTAGCAAATTCAAAGCTGCCACCACCAACGCAGATACTTTGAAACCCAAGTTAGATATTAAGGAGCCAGAAACCGAAGCTGATCGGATAAATCATGAAAATTTGGCCCGAATGCAACAGATGTCCGCCCAACAACTGGAACAAGAAAAACGAGACATCTTGGAGTCTTTGGATCCGAAAGTAGTACAGGGACTCATGAAGAGGCTATCCAAGCGGGAACCACGGGATGGTTCGGGAAATTTGGAGGACTCATTTAGGTCAGCGCCTCTTTTTGCGGAAGTAGAGGGCGCACCTGGGACCTGGATTGGTGGATCTCACGAGTTTCCTGACCTACCGCGCCTCGACGACGACGCAGTTAACAAGGCCTTAGGTATCAAGGAAATAACTGCAAAACATGTCAAGTTTGAGGGCGTAGATCACGAATCATCAGATGACAACCCAAGCGACTATTCGAAGCCTTTGCCAGACGATGACGATATAGCTCCTCAGGAGTATCAGTTTGTGCAGCAGATGGATCACATGAAAAACGAGGACCTTCTGAACGACGTGCATTTTATGAAGCCTGTAAAAGATCAGAAGCCAGAGTTTGAACCTTTGGATATAAATGATCCAGCGTTCGACTCCAAACTGCACGAAAAGTATTTTCCTGATCTACCGAAAGAGACAGACAAACTGGCGTGGATGAAGCCGGCCACTAAGAGTGTTTCAAATGAGATTGTACAAGATGTGGCCCAATGTAGGTTTGATTTCAAAGGTAATTTAGTACCACCCAATCGTGAGTTCAAAACCACAAAAGATGGACTACATCATCATGCCGAGGACCCTGAACTTGCTGGTTACACGATTGGCGAGCTACAGCATTTGTCGCGATCGACATTTCCACCACAAAGGTGCATAGCAATACAAACATTGGGTAGGATACTCTACAAACTGGGGAAGCAAAGTTACGCGCAATTGATACCGGAGGTCGACGCAGAAACTTACGAAGAAATGGGAGGTACGAGTGCGATTTTAAACCACATCTACGGAATGTTTTGGGACTTGTGCAAGTCCCACCTTGTCATTGAATCACTAACCGAGGCAGCAGATGGTGCCAAAACTCAAAACCTCTCAGTTCAAAATTACGCTATCGATGCCCTCTGGTTATGGAAGGAAGGCGGAGGAGATTTCAGAAAGGAAGTGAAACAAACTAAGTAAAAAAATGTCTACGGCTTGCAAGAGAATGGAAAATAAATGTAAACCCCAAAACCGACTGTCGGTCTTTCAATGCAATTAAGACAAAGGTCGAAGAAACGCAGAGTACAAAGAAAAACTCTTTGAAATTAGCAATCATCTTCCTTGAGATTGGGAAAGCTTTTTGTGAGAAAAACAAAAAGGAAAAGATTGCAAAAGTACAAATTGAAACTGCGGGTCTGGTATCATGGAATTGGTGGCTATGGCTCGCTTGAAACGTATTCTCTCGGAAAGACCATGGACCACGATCGTGCTGCGCTTTTCCCGCAAGAAGTGGGGTGGCACGTAGCTTCTCTAAAATTGAGGTCTCTCGTATCGAAAAACTCAGTACTCAAGACGCAAAATTTTTGAGAAAGTGCCGGTAAAGCTTCAAGAGGGCGCAGACGAATGGATCCATCAGTTTACGTTTTCAGAAAACGGGGTCCTCTTATGATTTTTCTCTGCACAGAGACACATTCACTGGATATCTATAGCCAAAAAAGGCCCATCCAACCAACTTAAGTTGTGCAGGTTCTTGAGAGATCCTCTTCAAGCAAGAAACACCAACAACTCTTGATTCCAAATAATTCACATATTTCGTCGCATGCACGGCATCAACTGCCAAACTCAATAATGAGCTCGGCAAATCCTAACTGATCACTCGGCTTTTCCAATTGCCCATCGCTCAGCTTTATCAAAAGCACATCATAGGGTCTGAACGTCTTTCTGGAAACGGGAAAATTTTTAAAGTCAAAAAATTGAACCTGCTCATCGCGAATACTATCGTACTCGCATCTTCAAAACAGAGGTTTGAGGGCTTTGACCATTTGAGACTCTAAAATAGGCTATTGAGCAATGAACGGTGAGTCTGCCTTGCGTGGGCTGGCCAACCAACTCGGATCAATTGAGGAAGAGACTACGACTTTAAGCGAGCAAGTCTTGCAAGATCAAGAAACGCACTATGCAGAAACTGTTGACCAAGTGAAGCACAGCTTGAAACAATTAGTGGAGGATAACGAGTTCATATTTGAACCAGTACCGCAGCCAACGGATATAGACTTGAGATGCATTCCAAAACGCATTTCTGATCTCGGCAAGCTCGCTGAGCAGTTGAAAACAACACATCTAGAACAGGAGATGCTGGACAACTTCCTGCGCTACACAATTCCATCGGCAGATCTTTTGCAAATGGAGTCATCGCAGGACGAACGATTCGTTTCGCTTTCAGAAAATGTTCACCATTTGCGGGACGAAGTGATCACAGAATTAGATTCAGATGTCAACGAGCTAAAACACGAAATAGGGCAGGCTAGTCAGAAAATTGCTGATCAGCGGGAAGTCGTAAACGAGTTATGTCTCGATACGGGTGAACTTGTTGATCAGTGCCACACATTATTGCAAGAACTAGAAAATTCAACGGACAGGCTAGAAACTGAGCAAGAAGGCGAGTCTCGTGAGATCTATGACGTGCCGTCAACAGAAGAAACTTTGACGATCTTACAGTCCCTCAAAGAGAAATTAAGTCAGAAATCTCATCTTGAACATCATATCGAGCATTTGGAACAAACGAAGACCTCTCTGAGCTCAATCTTGGAGACAAGAGATCAAAATGTTCAGGAATCGAATTCGGCTTTAATTGACGCGTGCATGTCCTATGACGCGCTAATTCAATTTTGGTCAAATAAATTGATCCATAAGGAGATCAAGAATCTGGAGGTCTTCCCCAAATCAGGTAAATTCCAATTCACATTCCAAAAAGTTGAGATTGTAATTTCATTAAGTCACCTTGGGACCATTTCGAAAGTTGAACTATACGGAAATGGGATACCGCTCGACAAAGTAGTTGCGGCGCGACAGCATGTTAATCAAGTTGCTACTAGTGGAGCTCAACTTTATCGCCAAACTATCAGAGTGCTGAATATTGTAAAAGAATATGCAACAATTTTATAAAGTGATGTTAACTAGAATAAGGAAGGTCAAATTAGGTAAGTTACAAGTAGGTTTTATGGCCTTCACGATGAATTTTGGAAAGTCAAGAAAGCGCCCATGGCTCCCAAGTACCCTTCATGCTTCAGAAAAAATGCCTGTTTCTGGCTGTTAGACCAAAAGTTTATAGCGTAGCTTAGCGTATTCATCGTCATAAGATGGCCGCGAATGTAAGAGCCGCCGAAGTAGATGTTAGGCACATTGTGTACTTTTGCCTGAAGATATGCAATTTGGCCTATGTTATTGGATATTGCGTAAAGTAAACTCTTGGAAATATCAGAATTGTTAAACTTGCGATTGCGGGACTGAATGTCATCCGTGTTTGTATCGGGGTGGAGTATACTATCCGCTGTGGATTCTTTTATCGGGCTGTGGGGGCCGCGCTGAAACACTTTGCCAAAGGAGCTCGCAATATGACTAGATTTGAGCCCAATTTTACCATAGTCGGCTCCGTAGATATCGCCTACGAGCATGTCGACGTGGGTGTTGTCGCCGCCGTGCGCCCAGCTGAGCATCTCATCATAGGTTCGGGCGCCGGTAATCAATGACAGCAGCCCCCAAAGTGTTCCACCGCCAAGCGACGAGCCTCCAACACGCGTGTATTGGGCCGGAGAGTCAACTTTCAGGATGGAAACGCCGGATCCAATGTTCACTAGCATATATGGATACACTTTGGCGTGTTCGGGGACCACTATGTGTTCGCCGTCGAGGTCGTTGTATGTAAAGACTTCTTCGGGCACCTCATGGATAAAGTAATCTAGACCTTTGATTAAACATACCATTTCGTCGAGTCTGGCGATCTCCAGCACGTCGGGAAATTCTGTACATAGCAGGTCGTGGAACTTATACGCACCGCCACCCGTGGCTACAATTCTGACATTACTCTGGGAGCCCCCGTTGTGCTTCTGTATGATCTCGTGTATTAAAAGCATGAACTCGGCAATGTTCTCGGTTTCGACACTCTGGAATACCAGTTTCCCGGCGTCCCTTGCACAGAACACTACTTTTGCCAGCGAGCCTCCAATATCCACCGCAATTGTGAGTACCTGGAGCCGTGTCCAGCCCTGATTCGAACATTCAATGCTCTGGCTCATCGTCAGCGGTTCCTGTGCTGGAGCTAGGTCCCTGAACTGGCATTGTTCAAGTAATCGAGCTACAAATTGAAAATTTCCAAGCTATAAACGAGGTCACATCGGACTCAAAGAACGACACGAAATTATAACAGGCTGCGGCTCAAAGAGTCCGATCCACTTGCTACGTCTACAGCATTCTAATTAATGACTACAAAAGCTAATATTGTGGCTCGCTAGAAGAGTTGATGCGGCTGGTTATTGCACTCATTCCACTCTTTGACATCGGGTGATCTATATTTGAAAGATTTATATTGTTTCGAAATTCTACATTTGAAAAGTCGAAAACCTTGAATTGACGCTACAAACCATTTAGTGAACCATTAATAATCCATTGAGTGCTGAAACAACTTTGCTATAGACTATAGTTTTCATACTTTCTAATGAATCCAGAACTAACAGAAAAGATCGCCGCTAAGTATGCGAAAGGTGTGGAATCCGGCGACGTACATTTTTCCCAGTCCGATTGCAAGAAACTGAAGGATCCAAAAACGGGCGCGCAATACATGGTAACACATGCGCCTAGCTTGTTGAAGAAGCCCGAACGTGGTGACAAAGAGACCAAAAACCGCAACCCGTTCGCGGAACCCGAGCCTGAGCTCACCGTGTGTGACGATCTTTACGATCTTGGCAAGTACAAACTACTGCTGAACAAGTTCCCCGTGGTCCCAGAGCATCTGTTACTCGTGACACGTGAGTTCAAGCCCCAGATCTCGGCGCTGGATCCTACGGATCTGCTCACCTCCTACCGTTTGCTGCAGGACCTAGACGACGATGACGAGCAGATCAGGAACCTCGTTTTCTACAACTGTGGGGCTCCTTCGGGCTCCTCACAGGATCACAAGCACATGCAGGTGCTCAGGTGGCCTCAGAAGTTTGTAGCATTTCAAGACCGTTTGTGCAGTGGTAAAGACCACTTTATCCCGGACATGCGTACTGAACCACTCCAGGACGCTAAACTCTCATTCGCACACTTTGTGGTTCCATTGCCAGAGGACGAAGAGACCGTGGACGAGGATCTGCTCGCAATGACTTTTGTTTCGCTGCTGCAGAGAACTCTTACGTTTTTTCAGGATTGGTCAAACGAACACCCTGAGTTGCAGACCGGCTACAACGTACTTTTGACGCGTCAGTGGATGTGTCTTGTTCCGCGCTCCAGCTCCAAGAGCTCTGAGCTGGACATCGGCTTCAATGCAACAGGCTACGCCGGTCTCGTGCTCGTTAAGCACGAAGATGTCTGGAACAAAATTCTAGAAGACCCACACGTAGTGGACCGTATGATGCTCGAATGTGGATTCCCTAACACGGCGGGTACTTCTGCCAACGAATATAACTACTAAGAATGCCAACAATCACCTACTAGCGCTGATAGCTCCTATTCTATATAAGTTTATCTCCTCTCAACCAATCAGATTCTAGCATGCATAATGATGTCGTCTTGTACGTCATTTCAATTTTTCAATATTCACCAAGTTCAACCCAAGTAATTAAGCAACTTGGAAGACATCTCTACAAAGGACTTTCGGATTTCAAAAGATTCAGGTCGTAAGCGCTGCCATACCCATAAATTACGATGCCTCAGACTTTTACCTCTATTGCTAAGATGGGTGACTTCATTTTGAAGTCGCCAGCTTTGTCCAAAGTTGTTGTCCCCGTAGCCCACCAATTTGTTAAGTTTGCTGGTTACAGAGAAATGGGTTTGAGATTCGATGACATAGTTTCGGAAGAGAATGATCTGGTCCAGAAGGCTTTGGCGAGACTACCATCCGATGAATCCTACGCTAGAAATTTCAGAATGCTCAGAGCCCATCAATTGTCATTGACGCACCATTTGTTGCCAAAGGCGCAATGGGTTAAGTCGGAGGAAGATAAGCCATACTTGTTTCCTTACTTGTTAGAAGCTGAGGCTGAGGCAAAGGAAAAAGAAGATTTGGACAATTTGGAATTGGTCAAATAAGGGAAGCTTTCAGAAAAGGTGCAAGTCATTACCGGGGCTTGAATTGTATTTGCTCTAGCCCTGGCTTTGTTGCAACATATATTCGGCAGTTTTTTCGCCAATCACTAAAATTTATTTATGGTATTCCCGCCAATCCGCATTATTTAATGGCCAATTATGAGATAACGGTGGACCGTGTGTAGAGAAGTTCGATAGTTTAAACAACGAAACCGTTTGACGAAGTGGGTAAATGAGGAGGCAGAGGCCCCCACAAGATAATCATTGCGTATATAGTACATGAGCGCCGCAGGGCATTAATTATTAGATATGTGTGTCGTCAAAGCGGGCGTTCTGATGAAAAACAAAGAGTGGATTGTCATCTCGGGCTCTTGAACCGCGAAAAGATATTTGTGATGATGTTGAACTTACTTTTCCGCTTTCCAGCCTGGGAAGAAACCTTATCGCGTGTCACAGCGCCATCGCTTATGCTGCGGGTTTCATTTGCGGCTTGGACATTACTAGATCTTGCTACAGCTTTTATCGGTGATTTAGGCTGCGCAGAAAGATCAATACTACCGCCAGGTTCACCTAGTAGGATCTCTTTTGGGATCCTATAAGCTTCAAGATTATCGCACGCAGCGGCACTTTTTGACCGTCTGTGAACTGGCTCATAGGTGGCGTTCGTCGTAGTGCACGTTAGAGTATCACCATCATCCACATTACTGTCAGGTAGATGCAAACCCTCGTCAATTACAGCGCTGATATTAGAGGGTAAATCGTAGACTTGACTTCGGAAATTGAAAGAGTTGCGGGGGCTGGGAGACCCATTGGTAAACTTGAGAACCGAAAATACTGGTGTGTTAGGAGAATTCGTGACTGCAGGAGTCAGTATCCCAGAGGTCAAGTCGGACGATAATGATGAGGATGATGGATCTTGTGGGTAAAGTTGAGTGGGCAACTGTGGGCTTGCCGCTGGGAAGTGCTTAGTATAATTCAGGTATCTTTCTTTCTGCTTGCTTATCTTGAGTGTATTGTTATTATACAGGCTTCTCTTGGCGGTTTTTGGCGATTCTGTCACAGTTGGATTTTTCAAAAACGGAGATTGGGACTTAGCCCGCAATGGCGACATCAACGCGTCTTGAGATGTGGGCTCGCCATCACTTTCTGAGTCCTCTTCTTCTATTCGTAGCGGAGGTTTAGATTGTGTTGAAGGGGGCTCAAGTTTGAAAGGTAAAATCAAGTTTGCGGGGGCAGACTCGGCTCGTCTATGCGAGGTGAAGGAGCGTGGTTTTGTGGTAAGTGCATCGTCTAAATCAATGATTGCATTTGGTATATCATGGGAGTAAGTAAGTTCCTCGCTCATAAAAAACCGCGGGCTTATGTCCTGATTTCGTACGGGCGATGCAGTGGTGTAATCTGGTTTATCATTGGGAGTTCCTGGACCTTGTTTGACAAAATCCAAGTCTTGTGAGATAGCAAGTGACCTCTTATGGCGATGTCCCCTCCTCGATGGCGTGCGATCGCTGTTGTGAATTCCGAAGTCGCCAATTCCTGAGTCGCTATCGACAGGAACTTTCAATCGATCTGGATTCATGGTCATCTCGAGCTACTTCTGCGTGTCTCACAAACGAGTGACTAGTAGTTGGGTAAGAGAAACGCACAGAATTGAAACAACACGAGCTCGAGCCTGAACCCGATTGGTGGGTTTGCGGGATAATTCGCTGATTTTAGCTCGAATTCCAGATTCTAAAACTCCAGAAAATAGCAAGTACTATCAAGAAAAGCGGAATACAATATATTCAATGTTCTTACTCAAGAGCTGGGGGCTCTGAACGAACTCAATTATGATATTAATCAAAAATCGATTTCTTTCGCGCTTGTCAAAAAAGAATTGGTTCCCGGGAGTTTCGACACTCCAAAGCGATCCAGAAGTTCCAAACTCGTGGGCGTCACCGCAGGCTTTCCAACTGCTCACAACAGGTTTCTATCCGTTGTATAGCTTCAGTTTTTGTCAAATTATTGATATGAATAGTTGAAGTTTTTTCAACTTTCAGCTTGAAATGAATTCAGATACGAACTAATTAAGTGAGTCAAATATCAGGCGAGTTAACGGGGCTCCTTACGCGTACTAGTATTTATATTATGAGCGTCGTAAAGTCTAGAATCACTGTTCTTTTCGACAGTTTGCAAGACCTGGAGAAGATATCACAGAACGCGCTAGGTTCTGATGAAAGCTCCGAGAGTCTAGTAATTGAAGGGTCTGATCAGCTCGTGCAGCGAAGAACCACGTTGGACGTGTTTGACGATTCAGGACTAGTCAGAATCACTTGGAAGCGGAGAGGTGCTGATACTTCTGACTTTGTCTTGGCTGCACCTTTATCTGATGGACTGAATGTTTACGTTTCTCGGTACCCTAAATCAAAACCGACTATTCGAGGTGCCATCAATTCCGCAAAATATCACCTCCTGCATTCCGACGAATTTGACAAAGAACTCCTGGGCCAATTTCTGCCTTCTGAATTTGACGGGAACGCACTAGATTGGGAAATTAAGAATTACGATATCTTTGTTGGCCATGGAAAACTCCGTGTAGATGAGTATTATAATATAAAGAAAGGTCAAGACGAAACGCTGACTTATGACGCGGCCCTTGGTAAGTTAGAAGTTGGATTTTTCTTTGTAGAATCGAGCGACGAATTTGATGTCAATTTGAATGGCGCCAGGTGCATTTGGAACAATGCAGGTTTTATTGAGCAATGCCAGAAAACGTACCTCTTTTTCCAGCGGGCGCACTCTATGTCACTGAAGCCTTCCGGCACCTTGCTTGAGCTTCTAGAACCGACAGGTCTCCACCCTATAGTCTCTGTCGATTTGACAAACGAATTGCCATCTGACAATTGTGACCACTTTATGTATTTAACGGCGCCTGCAGATCTTTTCATAGACAAGTTCGAGTCCTCTCCTGTTTTTCTGGCAGGTGCGGCTGACTTAGAAGCACCAGAGTATGCAGTTCGGAACACATCATGGGGTATGGAAACATTACTATTATTGGAGCCAGGAAAGTTGAACGAAATTAAATTACACACGAGATACGTTCAGCCACAAGAAAAGGGACAGTTCAAAATGGTACAGTTCACGAGCTCCGTATTTCAGGCATGCGATTCGGGCAATCACAACATACACGAAAATCCTTTCTACTCGAAGTCTCTGGGCTTTGAGTCGCTCTTCACTAACGATACCACGTTCAGACACCTCAATTCTACGAATTTTAAGGTCTCGATTCCCGTTGGGGACACAAGTGACTACGAAGTGGTAAAAATAACTACTTGGTCGTGTTTGATTCTCGCCACAGTTTACCTACTAATGAAAGTACTGAAGAGATAATAAAAGGAGGGTAGATTAGTTAAAAGTATCTGGTACTTATAAAGTGCTCTATTTCTTCTTGTGATGTTTTTTGGCGATACGCTTCAAAGCTCTTTGTTCATTCTTCATAACACCGTCTACCATCTTATACTTACCCTTCACACCCTTTGGTCTGCCTGCTAGGCCTCTGTTTTTACCTGTTGCGACAACCACCGTTACCTTTGGTTTCTGTCTTTGCTTCTTGGTAACCTTTCTCATCAATTTCGCAATTTCGTCAGCTTTGTCCTTTTCAGACTTGTCACCATCATCGTTAATGAGACCTGCCTTCTTCTTAATCTTTTCTAAACGACTAACTGCACGCATCTTCTTTCTCGCATGAGCTTCGGCTACCTTCTTGATCGGTCTGGCGTTCAACGCTTTCATTTTTTCCTTAATTGCGATCGCCGCTTCCTTGGTAATAGGCCTATTGATCTTTGAGTGGCTCTTCTCATCTTCCAAAAACCAGTCAGGTAGATTGTCAGAGTCGCGGAATGCGTACCTGTTAAATCCTTCATCCACCAGATCGTGCTTCGTTCTCTGCCCCAATGCTAGCTGATGAGCTAGAGTCATCGCCTCGACCGTTGCGATATCGATGTCTTCTGAATACTTCTCTTTTTGTGAATCCTTCTTTTCATCTTCTGAGTCGTAGTCTGAGTCCATTGATTGATCATCATCTTCGTCTCTCACAACAATTTCAAAATCAGACTCTTCAGATGCGTCATCCTCACTGACTAACTCAGGTTCTTTACTGTGTTCGTCAGAAGACTGAGAAGAATCCTTTTGACTGGTAATCTCATCCATTGGTTCACTTGATTCTGTTGGCAGATCAGCCTGCACGCCTTCGAAAATAGACTGATCAAACAAGGATCTCGCTTTAGAACTGAGTTGATCCTTTCCTGTTTTCTCTTTCGTTTTGGCGATCAACCGGTTGATAGCTTCATCATCATCCGAATCAGACAGATCAGAGTTCTCATCTTCGCTTATATGATTCTTCTCCTCCTCGTTGTCGCTATCATTTTCTTTATCAGAAAGCCCGTTCCACTCTCCGTCAACATCCCCGCCGCGAGCTTGTTTGGCACGATAGTTGGCATCTCTTTCAGATTTCTTCTCCTTGTAGTTTTGATACATGAAATTTAGCTGTGACTCTAATTCGTCAGCATCGGCAGATTCATCGCGGTCTTCAAGAGGAGCATCGTCCGCAATATGAATATCGTCTTCGTCGGCAGCATCGTTTTGAGAAAATATCAGTCTTCTTTTACCCCTGGCTAATTTATCCAATATGCCTGTCTTTTCCGCAGATTTGAGATTGAACAGAGATTCTCTTCCTAGCTCCGCAGATTCAATACCAATGTCCATGGGCGTCAACATGTTCATTTGCATTCTGGTGAGCTCCTTTTGCTTCATTTCGTTTTTCTTTCTCTTTTCACGTTTGTGAGACAACCGCTGTTTCTCCTGGAGTCCTTGAAGTTCTTTTTGAATTTGCTCTTCCTCTGTTAGCGGCACTGCATCTACATCGTCCTTGTCCTCTTCCTTTTCTATATCCAGTAGTTCTCTCGCGGCTTTTCTCCATTTAAGAATCATTTTGAAATCTTTCTTACCTAAAACTCTCAGATCTTCTATGCACGCCATGAATTCGGTTGTGGTTTGTTTTAATTTCTTCAAGATTTTCCACTCATGGTCGTCAGAATCTATAATGAATTTGTTGAGATTACCAAGCATGTCAATGGGATCTTCAGTTTTGACAAACTCCATAATAGGTTTGGTATGGTATAGTAAATAGTCGCCTTCTTCATAACCTTGTCTCTTCCTTACTTTTTTCTCCGGGTTGAAAATTTTAGCTTCGTTGTTTTGAGGACCATCAGGTAGTTCTTCGAAAACTTCTCGAGGGTCTAAAATTCGGGGGTCAAGTTTCTTTGGAGCCTTGAAGCCTTTGCAGACTACGAAAATTTCTGCCGAAACGTTTCTGGACGCGGGTGGCTTAGTAGCTTCGACCTTGTCAAAAAGCTGACCAAAAACCCAGATCAACTTGTTATAATCTTTGGATCTGAAAATCTTGGTGACGAAAGTACCGCCAACGACTAAGTTTTCAACCGCTAATTTCAAAGCCTGCAGTGTCAAATGAGATTGAGTATAGGCGTCTTGAATCCATCCTAGACCAACGTTAGGAGCACCATCATGCAGAACTGTATCGGCTTTCCACGTCTTCATATATCCTCTCAGCTTGGAACGGCAGTCCTCAGTGGTAATATCACTTTGAAAAGTAATCACATTGGGCATCGACTTCATTGGCACAATATCCACACCGATAATCAGGGAATTTATCGGGCACATCTTCGACGCCACTTGGCACCAGGACCCAGGCGCAGCACACAGGTCGATCACGACCTTGGACTTCTCTAAAAAGTGCCCAAACTTTTCATTTATCTGAATAATCTTGAAAGAAGAACGAGCACGATAACCTTTCTCTTTGGCGAGAAAGTAGTACTTGTCTAGACGACCTTTACTGTTTTTCTTTTGCGTCTTACCCATTGCTGTTAGGGATAGTCTCACAGAGATAGGCTTTCACTCGACTATTCAAAGGTTTGGATGTTTTATTAGTTTATAAGATGCTCATCTCATCTCATCGCATCGACTAAAATTTTTCCAGTCACTTTTTGGAAATGACAGGAAAAAGTAAAACTTAGCGCTAACCATATCAATCACATGAAGACGTGACTTGGAAGTATTGATTGGTGCGACAGCTACGATGATATATGAGTTGAGCAATCAATCAGTCTTTAACATAAATACCATAAGTTGCGCCTGTGAATACCGTTTATGTTAGCGAGTTAATTCTCGCGAAACCATGTTATGTGATGTCATGCGATGTTATAGCTCACCGATACGGCCCGTCGATTGCTCCTTTATCTTTGTGTGACCCATCACACTTCCCTGGTGTTGCGATGATGATTGAACGTCTGCGTTGATGCCTTTATAAAAGAGGCATCAACTCGAATGGGAACTAGGAGTCTTCTCCCCCAATCGAATGGAAACACGCTGCTCGGAACACTCAAAAAATATTGATATCGAAGCTAAAAAAATCTGAAGTGTATCACTACTTGCTTAAATAAACAGCTGGAATATAATATAGCCTCCTATTAACTATCGAACCTTCAACCATCCACATCTCAAACGCTATTGCTAATTCAAATGATTCTTATCTGCAAGGTTATTATATGCGAAATTTAATGATTGAACGTTTTCTGAGCGACCTTTTTCGCAGTCGCGAAGCCTTTCGTGTTGTAATACGTTATTCAAGCGTCTAAATCGAGTGCCCAAAAGACAGAACAATATAAACAACGAAAAACGATGGGTGATCAAATGATGTCATCCGCGATGTCGAGTTTTCACAAAGCAACCACGCTGCTTTAAAGTTGCGAAGCCGTTCATTCTTTGGCGAGGGTGAAGGGCTGTTATTCTCCTTCTTAGCTCATGAAACTATGCCAACTCTTGTCAGTGGATTATCAGAGATGTGCTCTTTTCCAAAAAATCTCCCATTGTTCTTGAAGAGCGCTTCAATTCCTTTGCAGCATGCATGGTCCCCAAGAGTACATAATGTTTGTCTATTGCAAAGACAGGAGTGGGTTAAAATGATCTTCTCGAGACGTGAAAATGAAAAAAATGTGAATAATTTTTCAAACATCCGACTACAACCCTTTGCTTCGTGTCAGCCTCAAGCGCGTTTTTGGCATCCATCAAGAACTCAAGCAATTGGATCTTCCAAAATGACTTCTTACCCTTTTGAAGGTGTTAAGTTTGTGGACACACCAGTAGTTCCGAAACCAGAACCTTCAAACACCAAATACGGTGTGAGAACATCAGATTCGCCTGCCATCAAAAATGCTCCATTGCCTGCTGAAGGTCCCAGTTCAAAGCATTTCTCGAATTGGACTGTGCTTGCGCTCATCATCGTGATACCATCTTATGTCACCAGAAAGTTGGGCGGTGGGATAAAAACCTTTGCCTTTTTCTGTTTACTTTTCGTGTTACCCATTCTCATGGCCTATTGGACTTTAGCTTCCACATTTTCACCTCGTTTCAACGAGAAATGTAAGCTGCCAGGAAAACCTATCGAAGACTATTTGACCTTCCATGATGAAAAGCTGGCTAAGAAATACCATGGTAGAAAAATCCCAATGGAAACTTTCCATGAGCTGTATTTCGCTAACAAGGTCTCATTCAATGGTGACGCCCTGGAAATTCTGGAATACAGACACGACTGGGCTCAATTCTCTTTCACTTTGTCTTTGTTCAGATTTTTCTTGTTAGGTATGATTCCTGAAGTGATCATGCACACCAGATCCCAAGACGAGGAACAAGTCAGGGACCACTACGACCGCGGTGACGATTTTTATGCTTCGTTTTTGGGATCAAGAATGGTCTATACTAGCGGTGTAATTTCTGACATTGAGTCTGAAGAATCTCTAGAGCAGCTACAAGACAATAAGTTGAAAATTGTTTGCGACAAGATTGACTTGCAACCTGGTGAGTACCTATTGGACTTGGGTTGCGGCTGGGGTACATTGGCTACCTATGCATCTAAGGTTTTTAACGCGAAGGTGACGGGTATCACTTTGGGTAGGAATCAAACGAAATGGGGCAACGGCAAGTTAGAAATACAGAATATTCCGCAAACTCAATCCCGTATCCTTTGTTCAGACTATAGAGACACACCATTGGCTACTCCAGAGGGCAAGAAATACGATAAAATTACCTGTTTGGAAATGGCCGAGCACGTTGGTATCAGAAAGTTTGGCTCCTTTCTCGTGCAAGTATATAACATGTTGGAAGACGATGGTCTCTTCTTCTTGCAAATTGCTGGTTTGAGAAAGTCATGGCAATACGAGGATCTCATTTGGGGCCTCTTCATGAACAAATATATTTTCCCAGGCGCTGATGCCTCTACTCCTTTAGATTTCGTTACCGCGAAATTGGAGGGTTCTGGCTTCGAGGTTGTGTCCATTGACAACATTGGTGTTCATTACTCGGCCACTCTGTGGAGATGGTACAGAAACTGGATGGGTAACAAGGACACCGTTATCAACAAGTACGGTGTCAAGTGGTTTAGAATCTGGGAGTACTTTCTCGCTACATCCACGATCATCTCTAGACAGGGTTCTGCCACATGTTACCAGATTGTCTTGAGAAAAAATATCAATGCTTATCACCGTATTGAGTACGTGCCCAAGCAAAAGGGATTGTTGACGCCTGTCAAAGAAGGCGTGCAAAATTGGTTCAAATAAATTTCGTGCTTCACGTATAAGTAGCAAGAGCCACTATTTGATATAACTATACTTACGCAAGAGAAGACATTTTCGTAAAGATCAACTTGTAACTTTTTTCAATGGCAATTTTTGGAAAACTACATGGGCTTTTTTTGAACAGGACTCTTGGGCCTCAAGGTCTCTATCTCGTTCTTCATTGGGAGATGGGTCCCAACCTTATTGATGTCCTCCTGGTATCTAACGCTGTCAAAATTGTTGAGGATCACATCAGGACTCATTATCACCCAACCGGGCCTAACTCTCACGGGTGTTTCAGTCCCGGTTCTTGCGGGAATGATATGCAGTCTTCTTGTCGCTGTGGAAAAGTTTTCGGCAATTTTGTACAGATGTGCAGGGATTGCGCTGTTCTGCGAACCATCCGATTCGATCGTTAAGTCCGTGTCAACATTACAATGTATCAAATGACCATCCGTAGCCCTTCGAACAGTTCCTGTAATACACATCCAACAATGCCATTGCATTTTTTCGAACAGTGCTTGATCGTCGTTATCAAGCCCCGGATAAAAAGGTGAACTTTTGTCCACAGGAATAAAGACTAGCTCTTCACTCTTTCTAAACTTTTTGGCCCAAGTGTCATTCTGCAAAAGCTTAGTCAATTCGTTAATTTTCTGTGCGCTTCCCCAGATAAACAAGAAGCCAGGCTTAGATATTAACCTGTCGATAGGTAGAGACGTCAGTAACGGGTATATAAACTGATTATCTGTCAGGCAGCCAATCATAACAACATCAAATATTAACTTGTCGTTGTGTATCCAGCTATTCAAAGTTGGCACCATTTCATCAATATTGATCCTGCATCCGTAAGGGGTTGTGGCATGCCTGGCGACATGCTTTTCTTTGAGGCGAAATAGCTTTTGGAGATTGGGATAGCCTTCAACTTGATTTTCTGAATTTTTGACAAACCTTTGCGGCAAGATGTTTGTATGTACGTAGTGCTGCGTGTAATCGTTGGTATGGGGTTGAGTGGCAGGCTTGAGAGAATTATTTCTCTTCTTCCGCCCGTTTTCTGCGCCACTCTTTGGTTTTGCTCGCTCTGGATACATTTTTTCAGCTACCAGATTACTGAGCAGTAATTTTGTAGGGCATTGGGTCAAAAACACCAGCTTTCGTAAATGTTTTTCCTACTTTTATGTGTCTTCAACTTAACAATGTTGCATCTTGAAACAGAAATCATTAATACAAAATGTTTCATCAAGAGACAAATCAACGGCAAAGCTTTCAGATAATGATATACCAACTGCGAAGGCGGGATATGGGCCTAAGCAATTGCAGTGCGGTCTCCAGGAATAGACATATGAAAGTTTGAAAGGCGTAGGCAAGCTATGGGACCGGCATCAGAGAGCAGTAAGCAAGAACGGGAAGGGTGTTTAGTAGCTTAAAATTGCTTCAGGGCAGGCCCAGCCAGTCGCATACATGGTAAAAGCTAGTATTTCATGAATTTCGGCAATTGTATTAGATTATTACTTGAGCTGCTCATTCAAGAAACTAATTATGATATGTATCGCTATCGCTTTCTAGCGCTATAAATGTATGGAGCATGTTGTACATACTTATCCTTGAGTCAATCTAAACACACTCTTACTTACTTGTCAGAATTCTTTGGAGATACAAAATTAGTAAAAAGCCTTGTAAATTGTGTCGAAGACACAGATGCAAAAATTGAGTATTTAACTAAAGCTGCCTGTCTTCACGTCTCTGGTGCACATTGCCCAGCTATCAGAGATAATGCGTTTTTTGCACGACGAGCCAGCGCGGGTTGGTACTTGGAGATAAGGAAAATCTTGCGTCGGTGGCTTCCCATTCTCAGGTAACAGCAATAGACTGTAGAGAAGGGAGGTGACTTGCCTAACCATCATTTGCTTACTTTCCTTATCGAGCTCAAATTAATGTTTTTGAAATCTTTGTTTACTTTCGAAATGATGAACGTGTGTTTCAAGTAGTGAAAATTACAACAAACTTAATGGGATTTATAACCTACAATAAACAGACACAGACTGCATTAAAGTAGTTTAAACTTTCTTTATTTGCCTGTCACCTCATTGTATCCTTCAACGCTAAACAGAAGGCTTATCGAACGCTTTCGGATGTTATGGCATATAGATAGCTCTTCAAACAATTCATTTAATACTATACACGTCTATGTGCTGAGAAACAAGCAAACTTGATTCAAAAAAATTGAGGCTACACCAGTGAGTAGCTTTGTGTGGGGATTAAGTTCTTCGGCCATATTTCCTAGAGAATTCTTTTGTCTCGGCAATGGTCAATGAAGCTTTTTTTATGAACTAGTCCCACAAATTCACCCTTGTCTAGTATTGAAATTGACCGATTACCCAACTTTGTAAATACCAGTTCGACCAGTGACAATGGGGAGTTAACATCGAGCATTACTGGCGAGCGTTCGACAACTTTGCGAAGATCGCAAAGGCCGTTGAGCATTCTTTGAAGAGCTTTATTCTCGTTACTATTAGGCAAAAATGTGTTCCAAGATGCTTCATTGGCCGAGTAATGACTAGATCTAGTGATACATGAGTTACTCGATGCCTCATCATCGTCCAGCAATCGAACTTGGAAGTCTCCTGATAGCTTGTACTCGTCAGAAAAACATTGAAGTTTGTCCAACGCTAATTCTAAATCTGGTGCCGGTAAAATGCCTTCCAGTATTCTTTCTTTCAGGACTGGCAAGCAACCATCAACTAATCCTTCTCTTTGAAGCTCATTAAGCATTTCTCGTAGAGAGATGGAAGAGAAATGGCTTGAATTTGTCAAGTTTATGAAAGCGCTGCTGCCACCTTGATCAACCTTGGTAACTATATCTTTCAAATCAAATTCATGCCCACCGAAATTCCTTATTTTATGATTGTCGAGAAAAGGGAAATCGTTCTTTCTTATCAGCATCTCATATAGAGACTGTGGCTCTAGCATATGTGCCACGAGGTTGGAGACGGCAATAGCTATTGAAATAGGTACAACATAATTGTAAGAAGATGTCAGTTCAAAGATAATGACTGCTAATGTCACATTCATCCTAGTAATTCCAGCCATGAAAGCTCCTGCGGAAATCATTGCATAGATTCCCAAGTCTATGCACACACCGTTAGTGCTTGTCTTATTACAAATTTGAGCGAATAATGAGAAGTCGGGAAACATGTTCGCCAAATAATCGAAACCCATTGCAAAGATTCTACCGAACAATGCACCTATAACCATTGAAGGTACGTAGATACCCGCGGGTACCTTTACGCCAAACGTGATACTTGTCAATACGACTTTTATTACTAGGGCAGTCGATAGTGGAATTAGCTCGTTCGGAAAACTTCTTTTATCGACTGGACACAGTCCGTTAGTCCCTGTAAAGTCATCTGGAGAATAACATGGCGATGCTAGATTAGCCAAAAGCTCTGCAACTGAAATGTTAGTATAGGTATTTGAAAACGTAAAAAATGCAGTTACGAGTGCGACCAAAACAACTTCTCGAAGAGGTCTACCAGTAATAAACTTATTTCCCCGAAACCAACTACCCCAAAATGATACGAATCTGCAAAAAAAAGCTCCGAAGGCACCGCCAGCAGCGCCTATTAGTACCACAAGCAAAAGTTCCATGGTCTGCCAATCTGAAGAGTAGTTAACCTCAAACAGCACTGCTTTTCCAGTTCCATACGGATCAAGCAAGCGCAGGAAAAGGTTAGCCATGATCGCAGCGAAGAATGTTTTGAACAATTGGTTGCCAGGCAAGAAGTAACTAACTTCTTCGAAGGAAAACATAACGCCACCTAATGGGGAGCCGAATGCCAAAGTGACACCAATGGCCGCTGAAGCAGATAATACGACACGTCTTTCAATACCGTTAAACTTATATTTCTCGAAACATCTGCTAACGATATTACCCACACACGTTGCTAGATGAACGTAGGGACCCTCTTTCCCAACAGACAGACCGGAGGCGATGGCGAGAATTAAAGCCACGGTCTTGGAGAAGAGGGTGTACGTGCCAAGGAACTTTCTAATAACGAAACCAGACAAAATTGTTTTGACTTCAGGCACTCCGCTGCCATAGGCGTGATACATCGTCTTGAATTTCTTCTTGTCCGTTTTTGTAGCTAGGGGATTGATATATTTAGTGGTCAATGTCACCTCAGCAGCTATGAATGCCAGCAATAAGCTTAGAACCAAGTATACGAGGAAGTCAGCGCGCAAAGTCCCCCCGTGAAATGATGAAAATACTTGTGGCCACAAAGTCCATTTGGCACAAGTGTAGTTGCTGCAGCACTGCTGCTCATTAAGTAAAAAATTAGGTTTACAATAGCCTCTCTTCAAATCTACCAAAAGCTCCTCAGATTTATCGATCACGAAAGCTAGTAATGCGCAACTCAATGCAATAACTATGATTAAGACCCAATCCTGTAAATAGCTGTAGCACCTTCTGAACTTCCCCGAGAGCCCCTTCAACGCATACAGCTCTTCCCGCTGCTGGACATCAAAGAGGTAGTCCCTCACCCAATCCACACTCGTAAAATCATCGTAGTAGTTTCTCGTTAAGATTGGTATGTTTTCTTGTTCTAAATGAGACCCCTGCGCTTGACCCCCGCCAGGAGTGTCAGCGGCCTTCGTTGTGCGTTGTTTTGATGAGGGACTATTTTGAACAATACTGCCGTAATTTAATGAAGATTCTCCATGTACTGAAAGTCCGAAGTAATCCTGAGATGTAACTCTTCTGATAGGAGAGCGGATACTGACCTCGCGACCTAATTGACGCAAAGTCTTGGAAAACTTAGCTATCGACTCATCCGGCTGACATGAGAGGCGGCTACGGTTCACGTCCAACAAACCATCAAGAGGTTCACTGACGGGAGGCGTTTCGATTGATTCTGTGCTATCTCCACTAGTGGCTAATGGCTTATCGCCTCCTTTTTGGTCCGAATTAGGATGATCGTTGCTAGCTCCGCGATCAGTAGCCCTCGACTGTGGCATAGAGCGTTCTTCTCTCGCCTCGCCTATGATATCGACAACGCTAAAGGATCCCTAGTAAAAAGAGTGTGCTATTCGACACTTTATCTCTTCTGTGTATTTTTTTCAAACACAAGATAATAAGTAAAGGGAAGAGACAATTAATTGTGCTAGTGATAATTAGATTACACGCTTCAAGGCATTTCTTATTTGATCTGTCATTCATTTGGAATGACTCAAGCCAGAAAATGGTCGCTGTAAGAGCACGCCACGGGACGAAATTGCACAATGACAATCAGCCATCAAGTTGACTTGGTATCGTCGCCAGCAGATCAGACAGTAAAACGTGCTCCAACAGAGAAAGCTTGCCGAGGAGCACACACGATCAAAATATTAAGATCTGATCACAAAAAGCAGCTCACGAATCGCAGCATGACATATTTGTAACTTTCGATACCACAATTGCATATTTTGTCCGTTGGCCGTTTGTCAATTGCCGAAATAATCTCAAGATATTGATCTCTCCGAAGGGTTCTGGAAACATAAAAACCGCCCAAATTTTCCGACAAGGCGAAAATCAGAGTAGAGGCCAAGACAAGGTAGAAGTGAGTTTACACACAGCTCTTGTGCGTAAATTGTTTGGTTGCGTTGATAATTCGTAAAAGTTACACTACTTATCTTTACTATACATGTTTAAAATCAATTTAACACCAGAATTCCATTTAATATCAATATCGCCACGAGGAAGTAACACATGGGGCACACGCAAACACAGCACGCTCAACCAGTAAGGATGCGGAGCTTTAGTGCCTTCGAAACATCTTCCTTGCTCGATAATACTTTCTTCAACTGAAGAACAGTTTCACCACTAGTTAACGAAGCAACGGCCTCTTTCCAGCTCCTCAATTACAGATTCGATGACTTCATCATCGTCATCTTCTTCCATCATTTCAACAGCGCTATACTTTATCATATCCCAACGCCTCCAGAATCTGGCACAATCCTCGTACGAATTGGAATCGTGTAAACCATCTAAATCGTTTTTAGCTTTGCACAAGCGATCTTTCAGCGACTGCAAGCGAACGGAATCTGGTAATTTGGAGATTTTGCGATAATCACAATCAGTTTCATATTCTGTTGGGTTAGTGATCTCAGACTTGTAGCCACTGCTGTCGTCACTGTCATCATCGGAAGCATTGTTGTTGCTGCTGTCTTTGTTGATCGATGTGAATGAAAGCGTCCGTTGACATTGAGGAGAACTGGGATTGGATGAGCGAACGACACAGGAATCATCGATAGTAGGAGAAGGAGATTCCGAATACTGTGTCTGGGGTTTGCACATGTTGTCGTAAACTTTCACTTCTGCCGTAGATGTGGTGTTGCAGTACCGTGCCCATACCTCATCGATCGATTGTAAAAGGTAGTCAAAACATCTTTCTTGAGCAATAGAGTCTGAGTGCGGCACTGACTGTTTGCGGCTTATTGAAGAGAAGGATGCGTGTCTAGATAAAGATTTGCGTCTTTCGAGCGCGTAGTCATTTTCAGCAATTTGTTGGGCCTCTAAAGAAGCATTAGAAACAGCAGGTTCCCGAATTGCGTATTCGTTTGAATTTTCACATTCATTGTTGGAGTGTGCGTCTGAACATAGGTCAGTTTCGGTATCCGAGTACTTGGAAACGGCTTCTAAAAGCATCGAGTCCGCACTGGGAGAAGACTTGAAATGCACGGCAGGCCTCTTCGCGGAGTTGGTATGATACGTGGGGGTGTTGGGGACATCGAACTCGTCGCTGGAAGAGGCTGCTGACTGGTTGGGACATTTTTTGTCCGCCAAAAATGAGATTCGAGGCACGAACGACCGTCTGCGAGATACCATGGGAGGGGAAGTGACGGTGGTGTTCAGAGCTCTGCGTTTCAGCGGGAGACGCTCCGAATTGGGACTCACAGCGGAACGCGCTCTTTTGGTGTGGAGCTCCATGATGTATATATACGTCTGGGGAAGGAGCGGGCAAACTGGCGAGACAGATCAAAGAGAAGGCAAGCTGCTTTTGAACGCGGCCGTTTAGTTTTTGATCTGCGCAGTGAAGGCGTCAAAAAAGAGGTATGGAAAGCTCGAACAGACCAACAAGGCACGGTCTGTTTGACACGTGCGATTAGCTGAGGAGGGAGAAGTAGCCGCCGAACGGAGTTTTCTTTTAATATCCCGTACGCAGCGATGCTTATCTGGTAAAGAAGCGAGTACTTTCCGCTTATCAAAGCTTCTCGTGTAAGGAGATATCGAGATTGAGAATGGGATACCGTCGACGTCGGTAGTGATACAAAGATGGATTTACGGGAAAAAAAAAAGTTTTTTTTTAATCGAGAAGAAAGTGGTGAACAAGATGGAAAAAAAGACCATATCTACAAATATGTTTTTTTCCGGGACGAAATGGTTGGCGAAATCCGACCTGTGATTGGACAGTGATCACGCCTAGAGTAGGGTAACGGGCATTTGTGGAGATTGCAACGGTGGCAAAAATTCTACCAGGGAGGATTGAGGCCTTGAGACAAGAGGCGAAACCTGTAAAAAAGATGGGATGACGCCGAAGCTACGAGCCTAAGTTACAAGATATTAGTATGATTGTATAGAGCGCGAGTAGCAGAGAAGAATGTGACCCGTTTGGTCAAATTTGGAGGTGAGAAATGTAGTACCGTGGCCTTAACCAGTCGCAAAGTGAGGAGTTTGGTCCACAAAAAATCGCGACAGGAGAGGGTAACGAGTGAATTTCGAGAGAACGTCACATGATTTGCGGTCACGAGATAAACACGAGGTGGTCGTTAGATGCTGGCATCTGCATTGTTTGTGAAGTTCTCATATAGACCAAAACACGACGCCGAAAGGTCAGTTTCCATGCGATCAGGGCCTGATGAAGCAGCACTCATCGTGCGTGGTGTGCCCAGCATGAAAAGTTGCCAGTTGAAAAAAGCAGGCTAGATTCAGACAGAAAAAGCGCCTGCAAACGCCTCCAACTGTCGCATTGCTGTACTCTATGCTCTGCAGCTGCAGGTATGGTGTAGCCTGGACTGGCAGTCCACTTGACGCACCAGTTGGGACTTTGTGGAACATATCAATGAGCGTTGCTCGCAACACAACTTCTTCCAGCTTCTTCCAGCACAGCACCACAGAACAGCAAAACTTATAGAGCCATACGCACGCAAATGCAATGGCCAAAATGCTCTCTTATTCTTGTTGCAAAACAAAACATCGTGTCTTGCAAGTTTTACAAATACACTATTGGATGTTGTGTCTCGCACTTCTAATGTGTAGTTCACTTGCTGAGACTTCCTATTCCATTCTCCTATGAATTCATCATTTTCCGCCACTCCTCGGGTTCCATTTGTTTTCAGAAGATGAGGGTACAAGGAAGAGTTGAGGAATTTTCATCGGATCCCCAAGACTCCACTAATTGTCTCAGTTGGCGCTGTTGAGAGTTGTAACTTTGAACGGCGATGGATGTCAACCATGGAAGCACTGCTAAGCTAAACATATGTAAGCCGATGAGGCAACAAGGAAACCAAAAAATTATAGGCCTAGAGGCTCTCCAGATGGACCACGGCGCTGTCAGACCTTAACCGTACACAGTAGGCGCTAATGGTTCAAACAACTGATGAAAAACTCGAAAAACTAGGCCAATTGTTCCCACAAAGTGACAAAGAAGGGCTTTTAGACGTTATCGTGAGTTGTAACGGATCTTTGAAACGGTCAGCCCAGTTGCTAGGGTTGGAGGATGAGGATGCGGTTTCAGCAAGCATTTGCGGGAACGTCAAGAGATTCAAATCGCAGCAAACGCTGTCGCGCTTCATGAGCCCATCTGCAAGAAGCATTCCGGCAACAGCACGGTTGTCGCCACACTCGCACTTGCAGAAGACGATTGAGCTCCATACCAAACATGAGATAGAGGTCACGCTAAAGTATTGCACTTATCACACCGATGTGTTACCTCAGGAGCTTGCCGAGGAATTACTTCGGACCACCATGAACGATCCTTCTTATAAGGCGAGTCAATTTTACCTTTTTGGCAACAAATGCACCTCGAACCACAAGTCTCGGCTCTTTTTGCCAGCGGCCCGTTCCGACGCCTTCTACTATAATGGCAAAGAGGTGAAGGATTTCAGCCTCTACTCTGATGAAATGATGCTCGCACAAGTTCTTATAGAAGACGTTGTTAACCAGGCACTTACTCAGAGGCCACAATTATCATTTCAGATTAATCCAGGTCAGTGGGAAGCACAAGCAGCACTTTCAAATCTTTACGAAAGTAATAGCAATCTGGACTGGCACTCAGATCGCTTGACCACTATCGGACCGCATGCGGTAATCGCCTCCTTGTCGCTCGGATTTTCCCGCGACTTCAGAGTTCGCAAGACCTACCCTTCGAATTCTCAGGTTTACTCAATAAAACCAAAACATAACTCCTTAATAATTATGCACGCAGGATTTCAAGAAGAATACAAACACTGTGTACCACTCCTGCCGAAAAAGTACAATATTCCGACCGATGATTTGCACATCTTATCTCAAGCGAAAAGAGTCAACATCACATACCGTAATTACCTGTTCAAGGAGACCGCTTTTTGCAAACAATGTGGCTCACCAATGGATCTTCGTCGAATGTTCAAAGACGCGCGCAAAAGAGGAAAATACTTCTATCAATGTACTAAGAGTTACACCGCCGACAACGGGTTCAAAGACGGTAAGGAATGCAAATGGTTTGCATATGCAAATTTCGAGAATGGTCCCTCTCTTACAGATGATGAAGACCACTGCTCGACCTGGTTAGCAGACGATGATGTTGAAGCCAAGGAAGCGCAAAGAATTGAATGATTGGTCAACTTCAGCGCTTAACGAAGTTCACGTGATAACAAATAAAATGTAAGAATTATTGTAACTTTCTCAAGTACCCTTCGCACTCCGATGACATGAAGTGTGGAAAAGAGGAAAACAAATGGGACAGATGGCCACAGAGCCAAACGTTCTACCGCATATTTTTAGGACAAGCAAGATCTTTGATGATGTCGATGCTTCTACACAGTCTGAACTAGATAAAAGCATTGAGAGTAGAGTAATTTCAGGGTTGGAGTCCGTTGCTGGTCTATTTGATGACGTCCATCTCTTGAGAAGCCTCGGAATCATTGGAGAGAATAATTACTTTTACAGAAAACTAAACAAAGGAGGTGTTTGCTCCAAGGTCTGGCTGGTGTCTTTGGTTTTGTCTCTGAGAAAATACTTTGCAGATATCTTCCAACTTGCCGTATCTAGGTCAAGGCTAAAAAAAGAGGAGCAGCATTTCAAGCACTGCGCTTCTAGCCCGCTACGGAAAGTGCTGTGTGAGAAGATTTCTTTGAAGATCCAAGAAATTGATAAAAGGCTAAGATTGACAACTCTGGAGCTACTTCAAACTGTAGCATACCTCCTGCTAGTCGTTGTTGATGTATTTGCCATAAAACTAAGCGAAAAGTGGAAGCGCATTTTGGACAGAAGTTCAGGATTCTTTACGGTGTTGAAGTTTCTAGTTTTGAGCGTTTCCTCTACTGTAAGTTAACGCACAATGTTGAGCTCCGTAAACAGGTTTGCTATTCTTATAAGGGGCTTTTACCAGGAGCAGAAGACCAAGTGAAACAAGCTCTCTAGGTCAGTACAGAGTCACAGCTGAGATGCAGCTTTCATAAGGATGTGGGAGCCCTCAACGCTAATGTTCTCAAGCCGAGTTGTGCCTTGTTGTCCGGATGATAATCTACTATATGTTTGTATTCTGTTAAATGCACTGTGACAGGAATATCAATATGAGAATAGTGATAAACGGCAAAATGCGAGCACAGCTCCTATTAAAGTCCAAGTAGTATACTATTAGGAACAGAGCAACACGCTAAAGAATACGACATAACTCAGCAAAGTTAATGTGTAGCAACCGAGACCCGGATATTGTAAACGGCAAGAAGATGGCTGCAAGTACGTTAAGAGAGTAATCAGTCGACTGAAATATGGTATGCTCCCTTAACTGCACAGTTTTCGACAAAAACTGAAGCCAACGACAGTGTATGTCGGGTTGAAAAGCACGCGTATATAGAATGCTTTGTACTTGACCAATCAATCGAGATATAACATTGTGGTCACCCGGACTTTGAGACAACTATGCGAAAAATTTTGACCCATAATAGCTAATTAGGATAGTTTTAATAGTGATAGTAGTGTCTGCAAGACGTCTAAATCCTGGACTAGCGCACTATATTCAACAATGTCCGAACAATTGAAGGTATCTCCAGTAAACAGATCGCTTCTTAACGACAAATGGGACGTTGTTCTATCTAACGTTGTTGTCAAATCCGGTCTTGGATTGGGTGCTGGTGTGGTGGCCTCTGTGCTATTCTTCAGACGTCGTGCATTCCCAGCCTGGATTGGACTTGGTTTTGGACTTGGAAGGGGTTACGCTGAAGGTGACGCGATTTTCCGTTCTTCTGCCGGTTTGAGAACTGTGAAAGCTTAAAAATGACTTATTTGTAGCAATTTTTGCTACATTCAGGAGGCCTTGACCTACCACCAATTACTCATATACATTCTTTACGTACCCTGCAATAATGTAACATACCATATTACACATGTTTGAATATCAAGATTGCTTTGTAGAGAGCCCTGTCGTTTGGGTTCGGCGCTTATAAACCTGTGAGGTTACCGCGAAGGTCATTTTCAGATTAAAGTATAATTAGACCTTGGCGTAAATTTTCTGGCCCTGAAACATGGAGTTAGGGGGGGATGACCAGTCAAGCTCATTTTAAAATGTGTCCAAGTCAAAAGAGCCTTCAATTTGATGTACGATCGCAGACGGGAGCTGAAATTAGGTCTCTCTTGCACACTGTAGTGCACTCACATTTCCACCTATAGCGAAAATCCCGATATCATTTCCAGTTGTCGTAGCATATGGTCGTCGGTATCCTTTTTCTGTTTCTCAAGCGTTTGTTGCTTATGATGGTCTTTCTCTTGATCTCTCAGCAGAGATTTGGTCTTAAGAGACTCTAAACCAACACCTTGTTTCTTCTTGTGCTCTCTCTTGTTGAGGTCTGATATCTGGAAGGATTCTTTGTTAGCCTGTTCAACTCTTATTCTTGTTCTGATCTTTTGGTGCTTTTTGATTCCACCTCTTAAGCTGGCCCTGCCGGTGGATTTGCCTTGCTTTTTGTCCGAAGTTTTGCCAGCCATAGTAAGACTAATTCATTAATTGATCTTGGAGATCTTTGGTGTTCAAAGCTGTTTTGTGTAAGCCTCTAGAGTGCAGTTATTCAATGCGAGGAGCAAATTTACTGGTGCATGAAGTTCACAGTGTCAAAATTTCAAAGTTGGTTTGGATAGGCTCCAAAAAATTGAAAGACTCTTTAGTAAAAATAAAATAATATTGAAAATTAAAGTAAAATAAAAAATAAAATAGATACCACGTGATATCGAAATCTCAGCGGATGAAAATTTTCCATACTCATCGCAGGCTATCTCATCTCATCTCAAGGTTGAACGAATTTTAGCTTATTAGAAACTATAGATTCAGAGTTCTGCATATTTTAAAGAAGCTTACAGTTGAAAGGTTGATCTACTTCAAAAGAAGCCCGCTAAGTTTTCAATGGTCTCTACACATAATAAAGATAAGCCATGGGATAAACCCGATATTGACAAGTGGAAGATCGAGGAGTTTAACGCAGAAGACAATGCTACTGGCCTGCCATTCTCGGAAGAGTCAAGTTTCATGACTTTATTTCCCAAGTACAGAGAAGCTTACCTGAAGTCGGTGTGGAACGACGTTACGAGGTCGTTGGAAAAACACAGCATAGCATGTGTCTTGGACCTTGTGGAAGGTTCGATGACCGTGAAGACGACAAGGAAGACGTACGATCCCGCCATGATACTGAAAGCGAGGGACCTTATAAAATTGCTCGCGCGTTCCGTGCCTTTTCCTCAAGCAGTCAAAATACTACAGGACGACATGGCTTGCGATGTGATCAAGATTGGAAACTTCGTCAGCAACAAGGAACGGTTCGTGAAGAGAAGACAGCGTCTGGTTGGGCCCAACGGTAACACGCTTAAGGCATTGGAGCTGCTTACGAAATGCTACATCTTGGTGCAAGGTAATACAGTCAGTGCCATGGGTCCTTTCAAGGGTCTTAAAGAAGTGCGTCGCGTAGTTGAAGACTGCATGAAAAACGTGCATCCTATCTATCACATCAAAGAGCTTATGATTAAGAGAGAGCTCTCGAAAAGACCCGACTTGGCCGAGGAAGATTGGTCGCGGTTCTTACCAATGTTTAAAAAGAGAAATGTGGCTCGTAAAAAGCCTAAGAGCATCAAACATAAGGAAAACAAGGTTTACACCCCATTCCCACCAGTACAATTGCCTAGAAAGGTCGACCTTCAAATTGAGAGTGGTGAATATTTCCTCAGTAAGAAAGAGAAAGAGGCCAAGAAACTTGATGAACGTAAGAAGGAGCAGTCTGAAAAACAAGTTGAAAAGGATAAGCAGAGGGCGAAGAATTATGTTGCTCCTGAAGAAAACGAATATCGTGGCTCCTCAAAAAAGAGAGATAGGGATATTACTGAATCCTCAGGTCGTTCCAAAAAGCCAAGGAAATAAATCGCGGAGTATCAAAAACTTTTAACACTACATAACAAGTATCAAAATAGCATCATACTAATATAATTGGATACAACTTCATCCTGCTACTGATGGAGTTGCAATTTGAAGAAGAGACTTTCAATTTTTTTCGAGAAACGCCAAATACGAAATAAAGTAAAAAAATGTTAACGCGTTTGAACGATTAAGTGTTTCCAACCACCAGTTCGAACAGTGACAGCGCCTATTAGTATGGATCTGATTGATCATCTCAGTATTAAGAAGCCGAAGAGAACAGCTTTAACGAGAAGACTAGAAAATCTTGATACTGATGAGGGCTTCGCTATTGCTGGAGCTGGGTTCTTGTTCGGTAATTCTATATTGAAGCGTGTGAAGGGCAGGCTTGAAGGTGATCATTTAGATGGAAAGAAAGATTCGGACGAGGATTTGGTTTGCGGTGCTCAGAGCAATCTAGCTCCAACTCAACTCGTGAGACCGACTTATGATGGAGAAGACTTGGAACAAGATTTCCCACAAGTGGTTAGGCCGTTTGTGAAGACCAGGGAACATCAATCAATTCATGAAGACACTGCCAATAGTCCGAGAACTGAAAAGCATCTGCAGACCCCAATCTCTAAATCGTCCCAACCGCTTACAATGGAGGCAACCGAAAATCTCGAATCAAATGAACAACATTATGGCTCTGCAACTCAACTAGTCATGGACCAACCCGTCACTATACCGGTTACTGCCAATGACGAAGAACTTGATACTCAGTTGTTGCCTTCCGATTTCGATGCAGAAAATGGGTTGGAACCAACTGCAGCTGACCGAGAACACGTCTTGAGCAAGGGCGTTGAACCAACCGTTGCCGACAGAAGTGCTTTTCAGTCTACAATGAACGATGCAGAAGTTCCCTCCGGCCTTTCCTTTGGCTCTCCAAGAACGGCATTCACGGATCACATGTTAGATGACGGTGAGATTGAACGAGACCAAGAAAGAGACAACCATACACAGAAATCCACCACTGATGAAAACAAGCAAGCGACCAACACAAGATTCGACGCTCGAGCTTTTGCAGATGCGTTTGATGAGGAATCCGAGGAAGCTCAAAGTGATATAGAATCAGTGATCTCACAAAACGAAACGTTGAGAGAAGATGCACTTTGCGGAGTGGAAGAACCTCCTGCTGAACTACAAAACAAAGCTGGATTTAGTAATTCGCCCGCTTTGAAGTCCAAGCAGCCTGACGAACTCAAATCTCTCAAACTGTACCATGGAGTCATAAGGCAGAAACTTCAAGATCACAAAAATCTCGCGCTATCAAGCAGTTCAGAGGACGAAGCTTTGATCGAAACCACTTCGCTTTCTTCTAAAGCTGCTATTCTCGATTTGAAAGCACGTCTCTCGAAAAAGAAACAGAAGTCCAAAGCAGCGCTTTCTGGAGATGCCCCAAACTTCACATCAATTAAGAGTTTATTCAATTCTCTACGAAAAGCGAACAGGGAGCAAATTTTAGAATACACTAAGGGCAAATTTCAGCTGAAGGGTATAGATCTTGCTGCTATAGAGGAAGAAAAGGAGTCTATCGAATCTCTGCTGGAAAGGGAATTAGCTAGAAACAGAAAAATAAGACTTCAGGAAATTCAGCGCGAGAAACATAATGATGAAAAAGAGTCCCAGGATGGCTCTTCAAGTGAATTAAACTTCAGCAGCAATGAGATTGCTTCAGACTTTTCAGATGACGACCAACATGATATTTTGAGCAACGATAGTCCTACTGGGCCTGAGCATACTGATACGGAGTTGAAACAGCCTGGGGATTTGTTTTCGGAAGGGAACTTGGATGATAGCGAAAAGGACGAAGGGGGAGAAGAAGAAGAAGAAGAAAAAGAAGAAGACGAAGAAGAGGAGGAAGAGGAAGAAGAAGAAGAAGAAGAAGAAGAAGAAGACGCTATCAAGCTCTCAAGAAATTTCAAGAACCGCCAGTTCAAAGTCGACGAATCCGAAGATGAAGATATCACGAATCAGAGTGAAAGGAACCGCATAGATTTAGGTGCATACGGCGCCAACATACTGAATAGTGGTACAGCTCCTGCTAACAAGCTCCACGAATCCTCTGATATCAAAGTAGCCGAACTTTCTTTGGGCATGGAGTTAGAGCGAAATTTTACAAGCAAGCCAATATCGTCAATGGATGCAAAGAGTGCTTTGGACGAAGAAGCCGTGGCGACAATGATACGCAAGTTAGTTGAAAAGCGTAAACAAAGAGAAGCGCGCCGTGAAAAGCGTGCGAAGGAGTTGAGGCGAAGTAAGGCACATAAGTTGATGGAGATGGAAGCCGAGGAGTCTGAGGATGAGTGGCATGGAATTGGAGGTGCTGATGGAGAAAGGTCTGATGAATACGACTCAGAGCTGGAGAACATGATTGATGATTACTCAAACGCAAACTTGAATTCCGACGAAATTCGCAAGAAGCTGATAGAAGAGGAAATAACCAAAGATAAGGATATGGTCAACAAAATATTGCATGATATTGAAAATGGTGGTTTTCGTAAAAGAGGTCGCAACGCGCTCGATATTGAGCTCAGTGACGATGAAGACGAAGATCTGCTTAAATATCATGCTAGAAGAAAAGAGATTCTGCGAGAGAGGGCTGCTGGTAATAAGGAGATTGGAGCATTGGCTTCTAATCCCAAATCTAAGGCTTTTTTCGACAGTGTTTTCGAAGATCTAGACTCTAAGGTTAGTTTTCTAGAGGACGATAAGCATAGCCATGTGGTGGACGATGAGCAATCAAGTCGTGCCGAAATAGCGATGCCATCGAAGGAGGCGAAGAGAAAAACAGTCATTTCAGAGGCCTTTGTACAACAGACTCTTTCATTTTTGACTTCTCGAGACGAGGACCTGGAGTCAACAAGCTTAGCTACAGAAACAAACTTCCAAGTGGAGGTCGACAGCGACTTCAGCAAGGGGCAGGACCTCTACTCTCTGAAACAGAAAAGCAGTATTAAAAGCTTTACAGCAGCCACGGCAGATGCAAAGAATGCATTTGATGAAGCCCTAGATGAGGAGTTTCCTGGAAGGCACCCAATTTCGTTAGTAAGCCGATTCGGTCGCTTGAATGACACAAGCGAAAAGTTCAAAGAAGGTCAAAAAACTGTGAAGACGACGAACGCATACAAAGTTGCGGGGTCCTCAAAGGCTTCCATAACTTATTTAGGAAGAGCTAGAAAGCTCGCTGCGCGCAAGAAGAACTTGCGTCCGCGGCTGGGTGCGAAGCCAAAAAAAGCAGGAACTGTACCCGGCCTCCCGGCTAGTAACATTAGTAACTTCGATGGTTAAAACCAAAGTATATTCATTATTGACAGTTTAACTCAGTATTTAGGGCCTCTCGCAGTGCGTCGTGCGATATCTTGAAGTGAAGTTCAGTCTCTCGGGGTGCTGTAATGAATCTTGACCCACTGGAACCGTGAATCACGATGGTACCAGACGCTCGCGATGGTCGTGTAGTTTGCAACAACGGTCGCGCCTGTCTCAACACCCTTGTTGCCTTGGGCCCATCGTTCGTTTCAAAGCCTGTTTCCGGAGTGACCAGCACTTGGTTGTTGAAACTTTTGATTGACTTAAGGAACGAAAGACCAGAACTTTGAGTGTCACTAAACCAGTTTTTGGTTTTCTTCTTTGATTCTGATGCTGCAAGCTTGGCTAACAATCTTCTGGAATCATTTATTTTGTTAACTGAAGATTCGGTGGAACCCACTGGCCGATAATTGATAGATGTAAGATCGCACTGCGCCATGGTGAGATTTTTAGGTAATAAATGCGGAAGATGAGAAGTATGATTTTGGGGCTCCTCAAGTTTGAATGATTGTCGAGAGGGCGGTGATTCTTTCAGCATCATTTTTCGCAACGAACTCGAACCTGCGCGTGTATTGCTTTTCAAAAAAGGTGTTGCCACTGGGCTTGGCGATATGACTGTCTCCTCATCTGATGAGTATTCATCATCCTCAATGAACGATATTGATAGTCTTTGTCGGTCTCTGAAAAAGCTGAGCCTATTTTCGTGAGGGTTAGTCTGTCTGTTAAGGCCGGCATCACAAGATATAGCACCCCTTATGAACCTTGGCTCCAATCTCTCGGCTATAGAGCGTGCCGGACTCGACTTACAAGAATTTGGTGCTGATATGTGATGGTTGTAGTAAAAGCTGTCAGGAGTGCTGCTTATGCTTTTGCAACTTTTATCTGGGTACGAACAGGCACGAAATGATGTGGTTTCAATTGGCGAGGGCGCCCGCTGTGCCAGCTTGCGCTGTATAATTTTGAGTGGTTTGGGCTGAAAGGAAAGAGTGGAGCGGGGAGAAGCATCAATATCCACCGTGAGACTTGTTCTTTCCTGCAAATCTCTTGTTAGGCGCTCGAACTCGGCAATCACACTTTGAGCGGCGAACGAGAGACCCTCGTCACTCGCGTCAATGCTACACCCACCGCTCTTCAGGCTCTGAGTTTTGAAATAAAGTGCATTGAGCTGGCCCAAATACGTGTAATGATGCTCGAGGTTATTCCTGGAATCTTCCGAGGCTTTCTCGCTCACATTCCGACACTCATACAATCTTCGCTGCTTATCTATGCACCCGTCTAAACGTTGCAACGTCTCTTGTGATCGTACCAGCAACAGCTGGCCGATCTCATTCAACTGTTCCATACCCTCTATTACTGGTAAATTTTATACTTGGCGTGTATCAAGCACTCAAATCGATGAGTTATAAGATAGCTAATTCTTTTTTTTTTTTGTGATTATTTTTTTGGCTCTTCTCTTCAAATCAAAGTGTATGTACTTCCATGTTTGTGTTTCTCTAGGGTATTTTCCCTCTAGAGTCACAGTAGGTCCCAAATGTAAACACAAAGGCTGCAGAAAAACAAAAACTTGGAGAGTGCCGCCGAAGAAAAAAACATGTGCATGAATGATGCTGTTTTTAATCATGTGATGAAAACGGAGGTACACTTCCGGGCACCATCTACAGACGGAGAAATATGTCCGCAATTACCTGAGAGGCCATTTAAGAGGAAATGTATGTCCGCATGAGAATTCACAATTAGAGGAGGCGGATAAACTTGTCCGCTTCAAAACTGTTTGTGCTAGTATTGTCTAGTTCGCGTATATAAATGCTTAGAAATTATCCGTCAAGCTGTTTGCCGACCTTTTCGACAATAATCAACCCGGCAATGTCATCTGCTTTCATCAAAACACCACTGCTCGAGCAAGCTTTTGCTTGTGCACGGAATTTGAGCGGCGAAACTAGCCCCCGCTTCTTTCTGAAATATGAGTTTCTTCAGCCCAGCGGGAGCTTCAAAAGTAGGGGTATTGGGAATTTGATTTCGAAGAAAGCCGAAACGATAAAACTTGGCGGAACAAAAACTCCCCACGTCTTTGCCAGTTCTGGGGGGAATGCAGGCCTAGCGGCAGCCACTACATGCAAAAAGCTTTCTATACCATGCAGTGTGGTTGTTCCTCAGACAACAAACTCTCGAATGGTGGAAAGAATAAAGAACCTTGGTGCAGATGTTTTAATACATGGAAGGCACTGGAAAGATGCTGATACTCATTTGAGAGAACGAGTCATGAAAAATCTCGATATTTCAAGGTTTCAGGCCATTTACGCGCATCCATTCGACCATGAACTTATTTGGGAAGGACACTCAACCATTGTGGATGAAATTTTAGATACGTTGAAGCAACAGCATGTTTCTATCGACAAAGTAAAGGGTTTGGTATGCAGCATTGGTGGTGGCGGACTTTACAACGGAATAATGGAGGGTTTGAAAAAGCACAGCCTTGAATGGAGTATACCTGTGATTGGTGTAGAGACAGTTGGATGTCAAGTGCTCAATCATTCTCTGAGTAAGGGCAAGCAGCTTGAGTTTGACAATGTTTACTCGATTGCGACCTCTATTGGAACTAATTCAATATCAAAAAAGACCTTCGAAAATGCTGTTCAATTTGGATTGCGCTCCGTTGTGCTAACAGACGCGGAAGTCATTGAGACCTGTCTCAAATTTGCGGACGACACAAATATCATTCCAGAGCCTGCATGTGGCGCGGCATTACATCTCGCTTATAATCCACAAATACTGCATAGAGCGCTCAAAAAGCAACTATCATCGGAAGATGTTATAATCGTTATTGGTTGCGGGGGGTCTGCAAGCTCTTACAGTGATTTACTGTTGCATTCTAATGCAAGTAGAGTTGTGAAGTCAATCTCGTGAAATATATTTAGATTTCTGCATCAAATCACTTTTTACATATTTGGCATAGTTGAAAATATTTATCATTTTATACATAGTTGTCGTTGGTGTTGTTTTAATGTTGTTCTGATAAAGTGTAACATTCAGAAGATGAAGGTGCCCATGTCATTCATTTATTGTTTAGGACATGCGGGGGTGTTTTCAAAAGGAAAATATAAACGAATAACCACAGATCAAGTCGCAATAAGAAAATAGTATGAATTGGTTTGCGATCCAAAATCATGTACAAACTGGTATGATAGAAATAGGAGATGGAAAAAACTAATTATTGAAGGTCTGGCATTATTTGAAAACAAAACAGTAAGGTGATACGGTGAGTTCTAGGACGTCAGCTGTAATAAAAATTAATCTGCCAAAATTGAAATAGAGGAATTAAAGAAAAAGGATTTTATATGAGAAAGACGTCTTCAATGTTGGCGGAGCGGAGGGCGAAGGTTTGTATAGGTTTCTTCTTCCTGACCCTACGTGTAGCCTCCTTGAGAGAGAATCTGCCACAGAAGGCCTTGTACGTTTTCTTGCTCTCCATGGCTGTAGTGTCTGCCGCATTGGTCAGCGTTTCGTAACTGTAGGTTGATGGTATGCATTCTCTTCCAATGGCTTCGGTCAGTTTTTTAAGGGAAAGAGATAGACACCCTCAACTGCCGAAATCAAACTGTGAAGTAAACGGAAAAGGAGATGAAGAGTCCGCTGAATTAAAAAGAGGATATGTAGACTTAGAGAGGAATTTGCAAGCTTAGAGAGGGATATGCAAGTTGATACAAGGGACATGGCCAGGTTTTTAAAATGGCAACAACTCCTTAACTTCCAAAATACTTGACGGTGGTTGAGCAAGGTTATAGCAAAGTTTGTTAAGAGAGATGTATGCTGCAAGACACAGACAATAAAATGTGCTCCACCAATCTTGAGAAGAATTTAGTTGACATTTTGTTCCATCCTAAATCAAGTCTATTCAAGGAGGCGTTCAAGTGAAGGCTCAATAGGGTTTCTTTTGAATTTCCTCCTGCGATTTGAAACCCAATTTCGAACTTGCTTAATCGTTAGGCCAGTTTTTTCAGAAAGGAGATGAGCTTTAGCTTTCGTGAGGTAAGGATCTGAGGAATTTGAAATGAACCAATCTTCTAAATAAATGACAGTACTTTGCGTAAATCGCTTTCCTTTTCCCAGTTCCTCAAAATATAAATCGGAAGAACTTAGCAACACAAGCCTATTTGAAATAGCCTCTGCTAAAAGGGTAATGTCATTAATCAGTTTTCTCTCTCCAGCATCTAGGGTTTCATGATTTAGTTTTAGTAGAGTCTGGAATGGTTAGTAGTATAATAAGCAAAATCAATCAGGCAACATACAAGCAAGGTGTTTTGTAGTAGAAGCTGTAAGCCTTGTAAGTTTAAGGAACTGTCTAGCTCTAAATATGTTTTGTACAAGACATTTCTTTCCACAGTTAAACTGAATGATGTTAATAATTTGTATACATGAGACGATTATACAGAACATACATTTCAGTTGAGAATTCAACATGAGAGTGATTTAGTAATGAGAGGATAGAGATTCGGGTCATAGTACTCATCGATGCTGTAGCGAGGAAAGTTTATCAAAAGCATTTTGACAAGTGTTCAATACATTATTAATATATAGTTGGCTCATACTCCTTTGCCAGTCAATGGAGTACAGATGCAGCGTCACATAATCTAAAGACGAAACAGTTATCTGAGACAATCGGGGTGACAACCCTCCGTTACCTTGCAAGTAAGAATAAATTTTAAAAGAAATAAAATTGCTTAGCGATTTATGTAGGAACATGTTTTCATTTTGGGGTTACCAGAGCTACTCATCAGGATTCCTTAATAACAGGTAATCATATAAATTGTGTACAATAAATTTTAGCTTAGAGCACTTTATCTTAACATATCGGGGATCCAGCAATCATGAAATCCTCGAAAGCCAGCTTCAAAGTAACTCTCACACATACGAAACATAAACTACAAAAGTCTCCCAAAAAATTCAGAAGACATTTACAGACTAAAGAAAACACATGTGCATCAACCGGGGTCAATTTATACATGACTTACGCCAAACCTAAACTGATACCCAAGCCTCCTCAGATAATACTAAATTTAATCGAAGTGACGAAAACCTCACTAAAGGGATTGGAACCTACAGAAGATGATCAAGGTATTAGAAAAGTGACAACTAATGAAGGATGTACTGGCGTAACCTCGAAGAGTTTAAGAGAAAGGGGTAAGAAAAAGAAGCTTAACCCTTTCATTGGCTTCAGAAGTTATTACGCAAACTGTGTCAAAGGAAAAATAAAGCAGCAAGATTTATCTATACTCCTCTCGAGCTATTGGTCAACTAACAATGATGTGCACAAGACCTGGGAGTTTTTCACCCAACATTATAACAAGCACGACACTGGCATGTGTTTCACGGAATGGCTAGAAAAAAATTACAAGTGCGAACATCAATCACCAGCAGAGAGCAATAGTACCAATATCACAAGAGAGCCTTTTATCGAGGATATCTTTTCTCAACCTGATGATTTCTTAAAAAGATTCACGTCAAGGGAACTATTAGATATGACAAACCTACATTTTGAATATCAAGATTTGCTCAATATTACTTTCGAGGAGCACTTTCAAAGTAGCAGCACAAATGCTTTAATTGGTAGTTATATGCAAAGTGATGACCCAGTATACTTTTAACAACTTCATAAATAGCATTCAATAAAATATGTCTACTCTGAACCCAGTATTGAAAATGGATACGAAAGACATACTTCTCACTTTGGAATCAATAAAAAAAGCCTGTGGCGCTTTATGCCGCCAAGAGCAAAGAAGGACTCTCTTATCGAAGGACACTAGACTTTTTTTGGAATCGGTTTTTGAGAAAAAGAGATCTCCTAATTCAAGAGAACGTAAGGCAATAGCAGACAAATGCGGCTTAACGCCTGTTCAAGTTAGGGTTTGGTTTACGAATAAGCGTAGGCGCTAGATCTAATTGTAGACAGCTTTTTGCGTGATTGTTCCAAAGCGTTTTCCAAATGCACAATATGCGCCTGCAGGTCTAGCTCTGAAGTCGGGATAGTTTCCTCTGGAGGCTCTTGCCTCATAGCTTTCACCGCCGCCGACACAATACGACTGTACTGCTCCAAGCGTGGTTGGGATGGCGGATTCTTTACCCTGCATGCAGCCACCAATTGAGCGGTGGAAGCCAATACCTGATTAGAAGCCACGGTGAATGTCTCGTACGTGGTGGCGGAAACCATTGATGATGTCGCTTTTGCTACTTCCTCCGCAGCAGAAACTAGACCCCGTCTCCATCTGTTTTGCTTTTTGTATGGGTCGGGGTGTTGAGTGGTGGCGATTTCAGCTTGGCATGCTGTTGAAGCTTTTATGAGGTTGATAATGGCTTTGACTGCGTCATTCTGAGGCAAGTTGATTAATTTTTGAATGGGCGACAGCTTGGTTTGCAATCCAATGTTCAGATCTATTACTTTGTCTGTTATCTCTTCGGGGCTTCCACTAACTTCTTTCAAAGTGTAAAGAAACTCTTGTCCCTCTAGGCGTCCTGCCAATGCTATACTAAGCTATGCAATGCTCACTAACATTGGAGACAACTACCGTTATAATCAGATAAGTGGTACTTTTCTTGCGCGAGCACTTCTGCGCGGTCAGCGATGCGACGCTTGTGGCTGCTTTGTTATTATATGCCCTTATTCTACTCTCGCGGTGGGTACTAGAGCTCTACAACTCGGAAGAAAAAAATAAATACCTCACGTGATTTACAGAGATATTTCTTGACCGTGTGGCAATCTGTAGCGCGCGAAGCACTTAGCTTCAAGGCAAAAATCCAAAATCTAGACTAGTTTTCCCAAGTATTTACTTTTGAAACTGCGAGCAGGCTTGAGATATACTGCAGGACCAATGTTCCAATGGCTCTTGCTTCTAAAAAATCCGGTGTGTTTTCATTAGTTCTTGCGCTCAAAGGAATTAAGCACAATGGAATGAATAAATGGTGGCAGCTAGGTATTGCTTATCGGAATTAAGTGTTTGATCGTTCTATCTCAATAAATGACACTTGAATAAGTAGACCTTGAAGATCAATATGAGGTTGTCAAAACACATGGCCTCAAGAACAAATCAGCACCTGTGGTCAATTTTCCAAAACGTAGAAGGGTGACTGAGCTTCATTTTCAAATCAATAGTGCATCTCGCTTCGTAGAAAAGACTTTGGATGACACCTTTCGAAGAATAACCGGTGTTTACTGATGGGCAGTAAAATTGATTTTATTGCCAGTCCTGACATCCCGTTTTTGATTTTTTCTCTGCCTAAAGGTAAATGAGCTTTGCTAGTTTGCAGCTCAAAAGACGAAATTGACATTGTCAGGCAGCGAGTAGCGGGTATGAGAGAGATCTGCTTGAGAAACAAAAGGGGACAATTTCAACGAAGTAACTATTGTAGGTAGCCGTCTTTTAATCTAATATAAGTGAAGCATTATTCGTTCGAAGTGCGACCAGCATGGAAGCTGATGAGGAGAAACGAGTATTTTGCGTGGGGTGTTGGGAACAATACTTTTCCATTCTCCATTGTGCTCACCTACAAGCTGACCGGACCATAAGCTTGAAATTGAAATGGAGAATGTTCTGCTCTAGACAAGACCAAACTCCAGAAAAGCATACACGAGTCTGAGACTGAACACCGTTGACTGTCAGAAGTCTCCGTCATATATGAAAGGCAATGGTACGAGTCGATAAACACGATCGTCGGAGTGTTGTGCTCTCAGCGATACAAGTGGAGTAGCAATCGTCCGTCTACCTGGTGTAAGCCTGTTTTTTCGCGTTCGGTGGGTACTTTGTGAATATGAATCCAATAAATTACCTTCATAAACCACAGCCAATGGGCTTTCAATTTGCGTTTGATAACAAGCGCGCGCGTTGGAAGTATTAATAATCAAGATATTACCATGAACGTCGACCAACAAGAACTGTAGGTGACAGAATTGTCGAATCGAATCATTTTCAATTTTTCAAGAATTTAAAAGCACTCTTCACCCTCACCTTTCAGCACAATGAACTTTGGAACAGCACTTCATAAATTTTCGCTTGATATACTGGGGCACTGTTACTCCAGCTCCAATTGCTCTTCTGGTAAGCTCAACGTGATCTCAAAGTCTACCTAATGATGCGCAATGCTTTATTAGCATGTAGTATTGTAGAACAAGATTGCAGATGAGCTAGCTTGAAAAACCGCAGACGGTACTTTGAATTAGCTGAGAGCAGATGTTAATTTTCCAAAGAAAAAGAGCCACTAAGGAACTTCGAAGCGCATGTAAGAGGTGATTGAGCTATCGTCGCCAGTACTAATTCTATCCTTCCTTCCTCAACTTTTCAAATATTCTATTCTAGGTTGGCTCTCTACGGCAGAAAGATAAATCACAAATACCTGGCATATGCCCCCCTAAAACATAATGCTAGTGAAGAAGGTAGGAAGGTCACATATTTTTCTTCAAGCAATATCGTCAATGTTTGACCTTCACCACCGTCAATTAAAGAACCAGTATTCTTAGTACTACTATTCAAAGTAAAAGCGATGCACTATGCCACAATTTTAAGATGCGAATCAGAGTTCTAAGGTGATTGCGTTTACTTTATTATCGCGTAACGAGGAATTCTACGATACGAGCTTCGCGGGTATACGGACATAGGAATGTTTAGAGGCGCGTGTAGCTTCTATAAGATCCAGTTATAATCTCAGGCCTCGCAAAAAAAGAAAAATGGCTGTGATCATCCCGTTCTCCCAGCCCTTATTGTTCGAAGCACGGGTAAGAAAAACATTTAGGTCGCGTCACCTTTTCATATCTCGCGATTCGAACCGATAACATTCGCACAATAACCATCAAATAATTTACCACGTCGAAAGGTTTGCCATTGATCAAACTACAGCACTTTGTGCTATTAAATCAAAGTACCGGCCACTAAGTGACCCGAAGACAACTTGTTATTAACTTCATTCAAAGCAATCTCCCTATGCTCTCTCTCTGTTGGCCGACACTGACTACCTTGATTTGCTTAAGCTTCAAGTGTTGATCCGTTCAAGGCAGCTTAAGTTCCGCTTTTTTCATTATCGAAGCCATGCGACATATTTAGTTCAACATTCAGGTGCAGTTGTGCATATCTCAATTCGCAGTAGTAAAGCTGATTAGAACTATCGACGTCAGTCTGCTTAAAAACTCTTGAGATCAATCTTAAAAGCACTGTCAAAAACGATCTACTGCACTTTAGGGCATTCTTTCGGCTCTCCTGCGCGAGACTGCATCTTCGCCAAGTACTCGTTTTTTCACTTCTGATGCAGATTTCAAGCAAAAGTAAAGGCTGTTTTCTACTTGACGTACTACATCGGTTTCCAGGCCTGAAAGGGATATGGAACTTGTACTCACTTTCTTAGAATAATCCTCAGTCATGAACTTATAACGCAGATACTGAACATATGTCATTCTTACCATGTCTCGTTGAGAGATCAAAGGCTTAAGCCTGATAAGTCTCCGATAGCACATTTTTAGCGCGTCTTCTCGCGGGTACTCGTTCGCCATGTTGTTGGGAGGGAGGTACTTGTGGTGATTCAAAAGCAGAGTTCTGTGGGATGTCGTAATTGCATTTCTAGTAGTTGCTGTGATACCTGGAGCAGACATTTTCAGCGTCCCATTAAGATTTTAGCCACGCATTCGAACAAAGCACAACTGCAGTTTACACTCGAGCCCAACTGAGCAGTTTGGTGGCACAACAGAAGTTGGATTTCATAAAAATTTGGCCGCGAGATTTTTACCTTTAAAGCGCTATTCTCTTGCAGATGCGAAACATCGTACTTGGTGGCAAAGACTTGGTAAAGACATACTTTCTTCATGGCGGGACGATTCTGTTGATCTATCTAGACAATTGTGCGATGGTTCCTCTATCATGATTGTTTGCTCTTTTGATACTCCTGGACAACTCAGCTTGTACTTAACAAACGCTTGGCTTTCGTTAACGTTACTTGTTGTTACTTTAACTGATAGGAACTGTGCGGAAGATAAGCTCATCAGCGCATTATCGTTACCCCTCGTCCCCTCGGCTGCGATGCCGATTCTTCTCGAAGCCTTAATCAAATAGTTCGTAACCCTCTATCATCCTGCAAAGCAAAGAAAATCGTTGACTAATGAACAGCCCGCTCTTCATGATCGATAGAACCGGTTTCTCGTCGCAGCACCTTTGCAAAAGTGAAAACGCCACTTGCTCCGGTTGTGCGCTTCTATGTCAATTTACGCTCTATTCTGCGCAAGGATATATCGCATTACTTTGAAATTATCGGCGAAAACTGGATACAGCGTTACACATGTCTCTCACCCACAGTCTTGTCGTCTATTCAATGTGCGGCGAGGAATTTCTGCCGTCTCATTTCATGCAAAAGTCTTTTTATCAAGACGAGAAATTTGCGAATGACCAATTTTCTGCAGATAGCTAATAGTTAATCGTGACCTTCGTTTTGATAAAAGAGATTAGCATAAATACTCCAATAGAACTGCCTTGTAGCCTTATTCAAAAACGGTAATTCAGGACTTGACTTTTGTGCGAGACAAGTGTAGCTAGATCGAGTGTTTGGAAAGCTTCTAGCTCGCTGTCATGTCAGAAGAACTTACGATGCCTCAGGTCGTGGACGACCTGACTGGCCAACAGGATTATCGTAGAACATTCAAAGACATTGCGGCAGGCACAGCAGGAGGAATCGCTCAAGTCTTGGTTGGCCAGCCATTTGATATCACCAAAGTTCGCTTACAGACTTCATCTACCCCTACTACTGCTGTTAAGGTGATTCAAAACTTAGTGAGAAACGAGGGTCCAAAAGCGTTTTACAAAGGCACAACAACACCACTTATTGGCGTTGGGGCATGCGTCTCATGCCAATTCGGTGTCAATGAGGCGATGAAAAGGTATTTTCACAGAAAGAACAATTACTCCAGCTCTACGCTGAAACTTCCAGAATATTATGCTTGTGGGTTCATTAGTGGGAGCGCTAATGGGTTTTTAACCGCGCCTATCGAACATGTCAGAATTCGTCTACAGCTTCAAACCACGTCCCTCACGCGAGCCGAATACAGTGGCGCAGTCGATTGCATAAAAAAACTAGTAGCCTCCGGAAAACTAATGCGCGGTCTCACTCCTACACTTCTTAGGACATCGCACGGATTTGGTGTTTATTTTTTAACGTACGAGGCTCTACTGATATCGGAGGCCAAGAGGGGTATCGCAAGAGGTGATATTCATCCATGGAAACTGTGTATGTATGGCGCCTTTTCAGGTGCCCTCTTATGGATGACGGTATATCCTCTCGATGTGATAAAGTCTGTGATGCAGTCGGATAACCTTCGCCAGCCCGTTCATGGGAGTAACCTGGTACAAGTGGCCAAATATATTTACCGCGAAAGGGGGCTCAAGGCTTTCTTCAATGGCTTTGGTCCAACCATGATAAGATCTCTTCCCGTTAATGGGGCGACATTTACTACTTTTGAACTTGCAATGAGACTAATGGGTTGAAGGCTGATCTACTTCCTTATTATGAAACCCAAGACATCATAGCGCTGCCTCTGCTGTATGGTATTGGGTGTTACGGAAAAAAATCACTGAGTGTGTATATATTGATATGATAGATTAAAAGTGAAAAAAGATTACAAAGAAGAGGGTGTAAGTTGAAGGCCCTAGATTCATATTAAACTTAATCTCCAACCCTTGATAGGTCGTGTTATCGGTTTATAGTAATTGAGCCCATATATCTTACTCCGTAGCGCAGATAAAAGAACGGCGTATGGAGTATTTTATGAGCATGCGAAAGCATGTCGTCATATAAAAACAGTGCTTTCATAGATCAAGAGGTCAACGCCAAGAAGCTCAATAAGGCTTAGCTCGTTTATATGCAAGATGCACGCTCGAAATTTATAAATGGTCTTTCAATTCTTTCAGTCTCAAATGACTGTTTTTCCAGTCCACCAGCTGCATTAATTGCGACTTAGGTCTCTTTCGAATGAACAGCAAAAGCGCAAATTGTGAGAAAGACTATTGGTCACTCCAGACACAAAAACCTGTAATCGCTCTACTTTGTTACAGTTTACGCAATCCAAAGAGCTAACATGTAAATGATACAATCCCATGGCTCAATGAAGAACCCTTATGCTCTTTGGGCTCTTTTTAAGGAAGTAAGACCTTTCCAACTCAAATACAGCTGTACATGAATGGCAAACTGTTAGAAGCAAAAGACTCGTTGCCTGAGCTACAACCCTTTGCTTGCCAAATGCCATGATGGAGTTCACAGAAACAGTTCAACGGAGTTAGAGAGGCGCAAATGATTAATTAATTTCTTCAAAACCCGAACTCTACATTCATTTCATTAGAAATCGCCCCTTTCCTTGCTCACGAACATTTCTGAGTAAGTTCAAGGTAACGAGGAGTGATAGGGACTTTTTCGCTTATACGTCCGTTTATCACTAGAATTCAATCTTTTTGTGACAGGCTCTAGTTGCCAGGTTCAGCTGAAATCACGACAATTGAACAGAAAAGTACTTAGTAATTCACACTAATAGGTTTCGAAAAGTTCTTGCATTTCCTTGAGGAATGAACTTTTACAGATAAATGATGTAGTTTTTCAGCTGGTTTGAGTTTATACCTATAACTTTGCAGCGAATCAACGGAATTCGAAGGATCGGTATTTCGAAGTATTCGAATTATCATACTCCTGTATTCAGGTGACGATACACAAGTAATTAAGAGATGTTTGTCATTTCAGAATAGAAAATAATAGTTTAACCGCTATTCACACCGAAAGATAAACAAAAGACTTTGAATATCTAAAAACAAGTACAAAATCGCGTGGCATAGCAAGTTCGGTGCTATGCCAAAGAGAATATTGTTCGGACAGTAAAGGCTCAAATAGCTCCATAAGAAGCTTGAAGATGAGACAGCAAAACTGTAACACGTCAATAAATGAAAGGTTCCTATTATAAGTGAGGAGATAGTAGACAGTTATTTTCTATACCAGAGCTTGATGCAATTTCATCCTCACAATGCTGACCATTCAGACAGGAACCTAAACTTGAGCAAAATAGAATTGTGAAATTATTGCCCAAGTTTTATAGTCAAATCTTCAAAAAGGTACTTATGCGGATTTGTATCCTGTGTAATGTTACCGAATTGTATCTTCCGTGGTAAGAAGGGAATTAAAGTAGCAGTTTTTGCGAATATGAACAAGTTTGTAGGCTTAGAATCAAGGGGGTTTTCTATTTGTACTTGTTGTTACTCGTTAGATTTTGTGTCAACATTAAACTCTGTCCCTGTCTTTTTTTATATATCTATAATGGCTCTAAGTAAATAGAATGCTTGCATAATTGGGTTTATTCTACTAATGTTTAATTTTGTCCCAAATTTTTTAACACAGATAATTTGGAAGTATTCAAAATATATGGTTTTGTTGTGTTTTGGTTGAAATATTCGTGTTTCAACTTTCTGAAATTAGCTACATACCGAAAGTTTGTGATTTCAATTGACTGTGCCATCATAACCCAAGTTTTTTGTACTGGCGGCTAACTCAGGCCATCAGAAACAAAGGGAAGAGAACTTACGTGGGAGGACGAACACGTTTTATACTAAATGAGAATTTGATTGGACGTTCTTTGTAATATGATAGAGATAGCGCAACCGAATTGATAATGTCTACATACAATACGGTAGTAAATTTCCCCAGCTTGCATTCTTGCATAAAGATATAATTGAATTGAGAAAAGAGATACGCATGATGATTGAGAGTTAGTACCTAGGAGAACGAGCAATACCTCTTTATTATGAATACATGATATACAAATCAACAATGAATATGCATATCAGCACGATTCATGAAGAAAGGGTAACTATAATGACAGCTGCTTTATGTCATATTAGAAGGCTCAACTGATTCCGAAGTATCAGCTTTTGCAATTTTACTTAAAAAGGCCAAAATTGATTGATACTCCAGCTAACAAGCTATTGATTAATGATAACAGAGCGAAACCTCGGTCTACACATGTTTCGACTTTGTCAAGAAGATGGAATTATGTGATTGGAGATATTGGATATGTCACGCTTGAGGAAATATTATGCTAATACTTACAAAGATATAATCTCAAATTGACCATTTTAAATTCAATGTGCATTTTCTAAAAAGCTAAGTTACCGTATCATTTCCGCACTACAACCTAGAGAGCCTACCGCATACCGCAACTACGTAAATCCAATAGTAGCAAATCGCCGCAAAGAAATATCAACTGATTACGAGTTAACCGGCTACTAGAAAAGTCTTTTTACTCTTAGAATCAACGCAATTATTCATCCTACATGATCAGCAAGAAGTTCATATCTATTATAACTTCGGAAGCTAGTGTAAAATCAGTACCATTCATTTAATAAGAGTTTAGATAGGGATGTTGAAGCTGTCTTCTTAAGTGACACCAACATGAAGATCATTCGTCTTTCTGATGCCAGAGATGTCAGGCAGGTAAAGGTAAAAATCAAAATTACGTCCCCAGTTCTACGACAATAAGTCAAACAATAGGAGGGCCTAAACAGCAACTTACCTTCAGGAGGCACTAACTGGTTTATTAGCTCCATTGATAGTGTTCGAGGAAAAAGGGGTATACCTTCTGAATAGAAAGACGGCAAGGCCATCAGATTCATCATCTGGATATTTAGTATTAGTTTCATGTAAGAGCGATTAAGAAAAAGCTCAGAGCAGAGTACAGCAACAGAATAATGAGGACATTTGTGATAAGCATAGTATAAGAATTTGACATATCCGTGAATGGTTTTTAATTCAGCCCCTAACGGGGTTGCTAAAAGTCCAAACTTAAAACTATCAAAAAATTGCCGCACATAGCTCCTCAAAATAAACGTTGAAAAACATCTACAATTTCATGCTATTAAATTTGCTTGCATTGGAGGAAGCGCAGATTTTTTCCCGCCAATAGATATATCAACATAAAGCGAAGCTGATCTACTACTAAGACAATTATATAGAAACTCCCACCAATCGGCACACCGTGTTATGTTCATAATTGCATAGTTATGTAACGCAAAAAGGCAAGCGCGGTGAACAACAGTCCTAAGAAATTCTGACATATCAAGTGGCCTTCTAATCCATGTTCGGAGAAAGCCTAATCTCGTTGCTATCAAGAGCGTCGTTTTTAAAAAAAAGCGGGCATGAAGAAATTGCCGAACGACGAGTAAATACTTGACATAGCAGATGACGCTTTATTACTAAATCAAAATGGCAGAAATGAAGATACGGCAGAATTCTAGTTTTCGACACGGTTTCGCATGATGAAAATGCTAGACAAACTAGTTCAGAGGAAAAGGATACCTAGGTAAAAGCAGCAGAAATTAGAGGCTAACTGAAGGCAAGAGGGGAAATCATGGCACAAATCGAAAGGGATAGACCACCTACATTACCAGCATTCTTTGATAAAATACTGCAAAAGAAATGAGCAGGAGGCACTCGAAACGTCGGTCGAGAAACTTAGCTTAAGCGAGACGAGAGAGAATGCTAATTACATCAAATAATTGCCGAAAACACATGCCGTGCAAGTTTGTAACTCTCAACTCAGATGACAACTCGACTTAACGTGGGAAAGCGGTTACACGGAATAAAGCGCTACCCAAAGATTAGAGAAAGAAAAGGCCAGACTCAGAATTCATCGGCTTATAAGAAAGTGAAGGTTTGGGACGATACTAATCGTATCAACATTTCAGAGATACCAAATAACAACATTGACGACACTATGTTCATATTTAACGCCAAGAGGAACGGCACAAAAAAGTGCAGAGGGGCGGCGAGAGGAGGTCGACAAACAAGGAGTCATCTGATCCAAATGACAATGTTTAAAGTGATCCTCATGGAGCATTAATGACATGTTTATCAGTTGCCCTAGAGAAAGAATGCGTTGTGAAAAACTTGGATAGCACATCTGTATGCGTCCTTTTAGGATGAAACTATTTCAAAGCACCTGCTCGCTAAGGGTAAAGAGCTTAATAATCCAAACTAGATAAACATGTTGCGAACCAAAACAGTCCGGACTAATCGGCATAATTAGTCAAAGAATATCTCACAAACAAGTACAGGTTGACCAAAATTAAAATTTTGCCATGCACATTGACCAAAAAAGACAAAGACTAACTCTAATACTATCTTTATTTCTCAAAGAATGAATCTCATGACAACTGTACAATATTTATACGAAAATCTGCTCAAGCAACTAATATTGGTCTTCATATCCCAGCCAGTCGGAGATTGTTTTCCTGTCACATGCGGGCATGCTAGGTCCAATGTTAGAATCAAACTCGAATACGAGAAAGCAGAATGTAAGAAGGTTTTCATGAAAAAATCATACTCAATAAATTTCCTTGCATATAGGCTTCCATTGGAAGAAAAGAAAGAAAGCTTTTTGCTGCGGAAAGCCTATTTTATTACTAAAATACAAAAAGAGATTAACCTAGAGCTATCAGATAAAGCATACACGAACCTAGCATACCAAATGCAAAATATATTATGACTAATTTCATACCAGTGGTATTTGTCTTCAACGACCAGGTTAAAGTATCCGAGATTGCTTCCAGTGCTGTCAGTGGTATTGATTAATTGGCTCTCACTTGTAAATAAGCGTTAGCAAAATATACTTCCCAGTTATCTTTTGTATGAGAATAAAATCTCGATGCCATAACAAATCATCGGTATTTATACACATTTTGGTCGGCGGATGTGCCCGTCTCATCAACCCATGCTAGCAAAACATTTGTGACCACTCTGATGAAATACAGCTAATTTAGTGCCGTTGCATCTTATTGTGAGTAAAACCACGCTGTGTAGGTATTTACAATATATCAAATATCACTTCGTACTATTATGACGCTGTGTTGTTTACCACAGCTTAATTTTTGGACTCATGGGCCCTGAAACATTATGGCCATATATACCACTTTATATCCATGTCTAGACTCCATTAGTACAACTATAATCTACATGTTATATTGAGTCTAACGTATAACTTCAACTACTTTTTTAAAAGTGTCTTGATCAGTATTCGATAAAAGTCTTCAATATCTAACAGCTCAAATGTCACTCTGCACACTGTCACAAAATTAACTATTTCAAACGTTGTAGACACCAATAATCGGATACCCTGATGTGTTAGTATCTGTAAAAATGACTCTAAAGTTATGACGAAAATCTCGCGAGGCGAAAATTTTATTAACGAAGCATTGCCAACGCACTTGACAGGCTTTATTTTGTCAACTTTCCTACCTCCTTTATTTTTATATTGTTTCTGAGACACGGGCTTTCGGTTCACAACCGTATGTATCTTTAGATTGTTTGAAAAGACAGCGTTTTCGGTCCAAGAAAAACGTATAAATTTTAATCTTTTCTTAGAACTATTGCGATTATACTGGTAAATATGATCAATGGAGCCCCGGAGCACACCTTCGCCTAAAGTTCTTTTACTATTAAATAAAAGACATTGCGCCCGCTGATGAGATGGCTAGTCTCTCGCACCCTGCGACTCGAACGTGGGACTGTGTTGATATGTTTATTTTGTTCGTTACTTTTATCTCTATCACCTAAATTGACAGCGGTGAAGGCACTTTTGACAGTGCCATTGGACATATTGTAATATCCGAATGACATTAGCTCGCTATGAATAAGAGTGTGCTAATGCTTTTACTTTTTTTCCCCAGATGACAACAAAAATTCCTCAATATGAGCCTTTAAACTTCTTCATCTTCACCGACTATCCGCATCCATTATGTGAGCAGCGAACTTGACGTATGTCACTTCATACCAAAGTGACATATCTTACATCTACGATACATTTAAGGTGAGTTTTTCTCGCAAGAATGCGACTATTACCTTTTTACCTGAGAGGATAACCCAAGCTTAAATTTCAACAAAAGCAGTAGTACGTCTAAAGAGTACATCAAGTAATGAGATGATGAAGAGACATCAGCAAAATACCCAATTTGGGTATTTGAAGACAAGAAACCTGAAGCGGGGAAAGCACTAACAATCAGTCCACTATGAGCCTTGTATCACATTATTATACTTCAAAGAAATCTGTCGTTTTTGTCTAGCAGCGTAAGTTGCTAGACATGAAATGCGAGGACATGAAAGAATGAGAAAATGTAGAAAAAAATAATCTAAAAGAAAATATCTTCGTTTAAACGTTGTTTTTTTAAACGTTGATTTTGAGATATAAACAATAAAAGATAAACAAAAAGTCTGTGCCGAAAGTCATTCGAACGCAGAAAAACATTAAAAAGCAAGGAAATGATCAGAAAAGCTCAGACGAAATTATATATTTCTCCACACGCCTACGCTTATTCGTAAACCAAACCCTAACTTGAACAGGCGTTAAGCCGCATTTGTCTGCTATTGCCTTACGTTCTCTTGAATTAGGAGATCTCTTTTTCTCAAAAACCGATTCCAAAAAAAGTCTAGTGTCCTTCGATAAGAGAGTCCTTCTTTGCTCTTGGCGGCATAAAGCGCCACAGGCTTTTTTTATTGATTCCAAAGTGAGAAGTATGTCTTTCGTATCCATTTTCAATACTGGGTCTTTGCAATATCTCAACCACCGTTTTAAAAAATGATCATTATTAAATAACAAAGTCCTAATTGCCGTTCTTTCTGTAGTATAACAGACAGCCAAACAACTATGTAAGCTGAAACATCTACAAAGATTTATTTACGGCAGTTGAGGAAAGCATGCATGTCGAAAAAGAAGGGGTTAGTGAAAACAGAAGTTGAGACAATTTCAATACAGGCTTTGAGAAGGATTTGAGGCAACATCCCCATATAACAATAGGAAGGAGATTTGAGGAAATGAAAAGGAACTGGAAGAGAAAATGAACAATATAAATTGAACATGAAAATATTAAATCGGGAAAATTCGGAATATCCCAAACGCCAGACTGAGGTACGGGATTTGTTTTCAAGTTTTTAAATTGAATTCCGAATAAATGACGGAAGTTAAAATGACGAGAGGATTTATGGAGTGTGAGATACCAAAAAAGTACAGAAAAATTACAAACAAAAGACTGAACGACGTACGATTAGTTAGATCACAGTTCCCATGTTCAGGAACGCAGAAAAATGTATCAAAAACATGCCAGTTTATCACTGATAGCACTGAAAAGAAGATTGTCAAAATCTCTAGTAATCGCTCGAAGAACAAATTTATTCTCATGAGAAGCTTGTTACACAGCGTGGTTCAAAAAATCAGCAGCTGCTCTAGCAGTAATTCAAGAAATCAATCTAGTGTGGAAGAAGTATCTAAAATAGCTTCCTGGTTATGGAAAAAGAACCAAGGGGGATTCCAATCATATCATCAAGTTCTTGCTGTATTCGAGGAAAACAGAACTGTGAACAATCCCACCATTTCCCTTAAAAAACTGACCGAAGCCATTGGAAGAGAATGCATACCATCAACCTACAGTTACGAAACGCTGACCAATGCGGCAGACACTACAGCCATGGAGAGCAAGAAAACGTACAAGGCCTTCTGTGGCAGATTCTCTCTCAAGGAGGCTACACGTAGGGTCAGGAAGAAGAAACCTATACAAACCTTCGCCCTCCGCTCCGCCAACATTGAAGACGTCTTTCTCATATAAAATCCTTTTTCTTTAATTCCTCTATTTCCTATATACTACTCTCGTTACTAGTGATATAATATATATCTTTCCCGCCATAATGTGAAAATCCCCTTCGCTCTCTCTTTTTTTTCTCTCTCTCTCTCTCTCTCCTCTCTCTCTTTTTCACTTAGGCCTTGCATGGGTCGTAGAAGGTGACCCATTATAATATATGCATCACATGATATTGGTCCATGATGCTACGGGTGATATAAAGTATTGGACGTTATGCTTCAAACTTATTATCACAGTTTAGGAAAAGCTCGTCAGGACATTCAATGAATTCATGGCCTTGATTTGATAATAGTTTTGTAATATTCAGGCATGTCTGCGCTGGTAGTAGTTAGCTTGCTGCAATGGTCATATATGGTGTGTCTTACTGATTTGTATTATAATAAAGTATTCTTTTCATTCCTCTGTGGATTTCTCTGCTATGACGCTGATTACTGAGTGGAGCAACTGGTCGATGCTTATATAAAATAAGCTGAGCGGAAAAGAATCTTACACGACCTCGAATGACTGTACAATATGTCATAGGATACATCAGTTAAGACCCAAGATGTCTTTTACAACAGACTACCAGATTATCTTAAAATACATTCTGGTACTTGTCTCAAATTGGTGATGATGCATCGACTATTCATCCATCTACTATTTTTTTGCTGACATCACTTTGTACTATTGTATCATAGTTCTTGATTCCAGTTATGATCCTGGTTCACTTAACTTAATGATACAATTGAAGTTGCCTAGCATTTTCAGTCTCTTTAAAGCAGAAATAATATAATTGAAATTCTAAGAATGGGAAAACAATTTTGTCGAGGAGAGTGCTAGGGTTATATACCATCGACGTTGCGTCGCACAGATGATCATCGAGATGAAGAAAATCTTAATGGAAAAATTCTAGCGTGACCACATAATATTTGGGGCTATTTGAGGCTTAGAGCATGGAGTCGAATGTAGAAATCTGTGATTGCTCTTGAATGGGGCTGGAACGGATGTGAGGAGAGAAAGACAGAATTAAGCAACATTGCAGTATATTTCGAAAATGACGTCATAAAAGAAAGCGAGACCCAGACTCTCAGCGTCTATGAAGAAAAAGAGTTTACTTTGAAATATGAAAATTTGGAAAAAGGTACTCGAGAGGGTAACACTAGGGGCCTATAATGCAAAGGTACTGTCGTACTAAGGGATATAAGATGAGACTGTGTAGAAATGGTAGTATAGTAAGCAGAGTTTATGGTTATTTGCTAATCAAATTTGCGTACCACTTAATCTCAGAGGTAAAAGTTATTATATAGATGTTGGAAAATAGTGATTGCAATGCTCATAAGAAAGTTGTCAGGATCTATGTGGTACTGTTAAGATAGCGTCAATTGCATGGTGCAGAGCCATGACATAGTAGTTCGAAGTGATATCATCAATCATTGATCAGTCGATGAATTATCGGTACATCTTCTCGAACTGAATACAAGTGCCAGATGGTACTCTATAGTGGTCTGATAATTGATTGGTGACTCATTGGTTATTACTGATGTATCGTACGATGTATCGTATGATTATTACAAGCTGAGTGAAAGCTTCTATGCCCAGCCGATTTTTATATAAATACGGACCAGTTATTCCACTATACAAACTGTCCTCATATCTGAAGAGAATCACGAAGAGATAAGTAAAATCTAAGATTCCAATAAAAATGGTTCATTACATCATGAACGACTGAAATGACGAGTTCAGCAAGTTAATCACTACTGGCGCAGATCTGCCTGAATAGAATTACACTAGCATCGGTGAAGGAGATACGTTGAAGTAAAATACTATGTATACTGCCCGTACAAAGAATATCAGAATGCGTCGGTGTGGAAACGGGACTAAAGTACCTCAAATGGTGGCTTTCGAGACCAAGTAGTGGTTCATACTGTATAATCTTAGCTCTTATACTGATTCTGTGTGTATTGATGACTAAAGTCTGCTATAATCGTGAGAAATGGGGTAATGATGTGGATTTTGAAGTATTTAGCTTAGATAGATTTTGAGGGAGGGCACTAGGAAAGTTAATCTGAAATAGCTACTCTCTGGCACCTTCGTACAAAGCGATACTAGGCTGGTAAAAGACCTGATTTTGTTAATTGTCGGTCTATCAGAAAGACTTAACCACCGGATTGGTCGAGTACCTTGAAGAAAGTATGCAGTCATTTGGTACGCACCTTCATCCAACTCTAAGGTAAGTTTTAATTTCATGTTTTTTACCGTTCGTCTGTAATTCAGTTCTCACCTCTTCGTAAACTGACCGTTTCATGACACCCTCGGGAGGGGGCAACCTTTAAAGACGAAATAGTAAACTTCTTTGAAGTGAGTATAAATCAGCGATAGTAAGCTCGGTAGTATTTTGTTTAGCTCTTCCTTGAATAGTTTACAGACCTGTTCGTGATCTTTCAAGACATGAAAAAAGAACTCCTCCTCTAATGAGTAAACCATAGGTATACACATTTTGGAGCAGCTGGTATTACCGTAGATGAAAATCTTGACAATAACCATGCATGTGCAAAAGGAAACTTTCAATTGTCAGCGTGTGAGCTCTAAACTGTTCTGCTCAGACGCTTCTTATCGTATCATTTTGTACTAATGTTGTGTCGTATGACATAATTAATTGTGTCATTTTGCGCTTTTTTCACTCATATCAAAAAAGTCTCTGTTCAAGATGATGTTGAGTATTTCTATAACGGTACTTCTAGAGCTATTAGCACGCGCTTACTCGAAACGGCTTTGGCACACTGGATGGCGCTCTAGGATAAAAATGAGAAGAAGACCTGACAAGTGGACATCTTTCAAGCCCGAATAGTTTTTTACTGAGACAAAATCGAGCTCAGTCTAAACCAGCAGCAACTCTGAGTGGATAATATCTATCAACTACACCTGAGATTCTACAGCATCCGCTTCCAAAGTTATTCCTGGTGCTCCTCTGGTAAAGTTCCGGAAGGTGGTGCTACTGACAGCCACAGCCGTAAAAGAAGGGCTAGGGAGACCATTGGACTTTTTGAATCATGAGGACGTCTATAAACGGGATGCCATTGCAACATGTGGAAAAGAAAGTCAAACAAGGGCAGCTCGATACTATTGCTTTGCAATACGTAAACAACAGGAGCAGCGGATAATGGTGAGAACACTTCTTCTCTTACGAACCAAGCCCTACACGTATAACTCATAGTCCTTCTGCCTCTCTCGGCCCCTTCTCTATTCCATGCATGGAATAGACTATAGATAGTTCAACTCGAACATCTTTCTCGCTAAAAGGAACTGGTGTACCTTATGTCTCATGCCGAAGGTTACCTGTATCTGCTGGGATAACACTGTGTTCGTTGCTAAGCTGGGCAGTGATGTCATGTGCGTTCTTCGAATGACATACGATGGTAATCAGTTTGACGGCTGGTACAGGCGGTGCTAGAGTATAGGTATCCAGAACTTGATGGTGGAGTTTGGAGAGCAGAAGGACTTGCTGAGACGTCTATTTATGCAGCGCTATTCGAACCACGTGGCGCTGGTGGAGAAGCAGGGTAAAAAGCGGGGACATCTTTTCTTACATGGCTCTGTTACTGCTCAGACAATGTATAACAACACTTGGCGCAGACTTGCTACGAATCAGGCAGACGTACTGATACTTTTCGGGGATGGTTGGAAAGTTGCGGCTTGTCCTGAAAGATGGAGGTGCAGAAAAATACACGACATGTGTAGACTACTGGAGTCGCGGCGAAAAGATATGGTAGTCTGCTCCTAATGAAAAAGGACGAGTATCGCATGGGTTTCTCCTGGCACAGTTTGAAAGTGAGACAATTGGGAACTTTGTGTTTCAAACTACCAGGGATACGTATATCAGGAAAGACAAAGGACAGAAGGTGGCGCAGCCGCTAACATGGGAGTTGTTCCTCTTGATGCCCTTGTTTCATGATGAGAGTTTCCGGAGACGAGCGGAGGCTACGTTTCCAGAGCTTACCAAAGCAAATATCTTTCCCCATTGGCTTCGGATGATGTCCGTGCGTGTCGATGCTCAAGCTAGAGGTGTGGCGGGCTATCGCTAGGTGTACTTTATGGCGAGCGTGCTGTGGAGGAAGGAGTGTAAGAGTACATAGGGAGTGGGCAATCTAGTGAATATGAATAAATCTATGTATAGTATGTGAACAGAGAGTTGAGCGAGGCTAGTTATAGTATCAAAATAGGGTGCTAGCACTGCTTGAGCTATAGAAGAGAAAGTACGTCGAGATGGATATTAGTCAGAGATAACACAAAAGGGGATGCTTTTCAGAAAGTGAGAGTGACAGGCTTGACATCTTCACAGAAAGGGAGTACGATCTAGATATTAACCTCTGTGAAAGAGGTACTTTAGGCGTAAAATACTGGGGGGTCTATACTGCTGATGTATGATCGTATAAAGTGAGAGGAAAACGGGAGTATCACTATTATAATGGAGAGATAGTACTGTGAAATGGTACTGTTCGCGACATATTAAAAGCTTCTATAGTAGAGATAGGTTCGAAACGTCATTTGTACTTCGTAGAAGTGCTGGATAGGATGTATTGGCGAAACAAACTATAAAATACGTTGATATGGGTACTATTTCGTAGATGGATAGGGAAACGATGCCTTTAGCGGACTACAAGTAATACTCCTGGTATTATTTGAGAGAAAAAATCTATTTAAGTCTCGAATATCGGTAGAAGAGATGCTTTAGAATTGAGATACCAGGGGTATATACTGCTGATGCTCGGTCGTACAAAGTGATATACAGCAAAAACCAGTGGGACGATAATGGATAAAAAGTGCTGTGAATATGAGCTATTGGAAGATTCTAAAAGCTTTTCCCATGGAGTAAAGTTTGGGAAAGATGTGGATACTCTTGAATTTAACTCCTTCTTTAGTGATATCGAGGAAAAGATCGAAATAACAACATTGGGTACTTTCTAGATATATCTCGAGAGGTAGGGTGTTAGAGAACGTGAAACTAGCATACTTGACGATTTTGAGGAAAAGGAGTACGATTCAGACTCTACTTTCGGTGACAGGGGAACTTCTCTATTGAAATACTAGGGGTCTTTACTGCTGATGTTCAGTCGTACAAAGTGATGCGTTAAGGAGAAAGGACGGGCTTACAATTGAAAGACAATACTGCGAATATGAGCTGTTCAAGAGTATTTAGACTTTATGTATAACTATTAGATGTAAAGTTTAATTAGCGCTTCTATTTGCAAGCCGAGTATGGTGTGGTGGTTGGTTAGCCTGAGATTGCGACTAGATTTGATATTTTCCGTAGATACCCCGAGAAGGAGGCGTTTCAGATCGTGAGAGTAGAAAATCTCGTATTATTGAGGTAAAAAAATATGATCCGGACTCTAACATTGATATAAAGGGTGCTTTAAGAGGGGAATGCTGGGGGTCTATACTGCTAAGGCCGGTTCGTACAAAGTGATATATGAGAGACAGTGACTTTATAGTGGAGACATAGCATGCGGGCTGTAAGAGAGTGGATAGAGATTATACAGTTTAATTAAGTGATAACTGTCTCTCTTGGCTCTAAGATGAGCTGAATATGCTGAATTGCTGAAATAGACAATGATATACAACAATAAGTGGTATTTTTGAGAAATATCTCGCGAGGGATGGCTTTAGGGAAGGTGAAAATGGTGTTTTTAACGCTTTTGAGAGAAATGAGTGCTATCCAGACTTTAAAATTGGTATAACCGTGCTTTTATACTGCAATACTAGGGCTCTATACTGCCGAGGTATTATCGTACAGAGTGAGGATGAAGGAGAAGGAATACTATAATGGAGATATAGTACTGAAAATATGTACTTTTGGAGCCTGGTGAGAACTTTCATAGTTTCATTGGATGGGAGCTGTCTTTCTTGACTCTAAGGCAAGCTGAAAATGCTGCGTTGCTGTAATAAACGATCATATACGACAATCAGTGGTACCTTTGAGAGATATCTTGGGAAGGAAGGCCTACGGAATAATGGAAGTAAGGTCTTTCGTCTTTTAAAGGTCAGAAAACATACTAAAGACCCTAAAATCTGTACTAACCGTGCTTTTGGGGTGGAACACCAGGGCTCTATACTGCTGATGCTCGATCGTACAAAGTGATAGAGAGACGAGTACACGGTATAAATACGAGCTGGTATATTGCGGAAGGAGAGTTCCTGGTTCATTCGTGATACAAATCAGTAGGTCGAGAAATAGAGGATTCCAGATGAGTGAATAGTGGAGTGTCATGAATCTTGTAAGACGAATTGATAAGGGGAGTACGTTGCTTTGTGGTCGCAAGCGGCTGGAAGTACCGTTGCTCTGTGGTTGGGCTATGAAGGGTTGACTATCGTACTGGGAGGGTTTAGTAGCTCTGTGGTTAGACTACTGAAGGTTAAGAAATGCTGTGTAGTTTTGGAGTGAGTGGATGTACCGCTGTTCTGTGATTGGATTACTGGGCTACGTGTTACTATAATGTGGCTGGACTACAGGGTTAAGTAACGCTGTTTTCTGATTGTAATATGAAGTTGAATAACACTGTTGGATTACATGATCGAGTAACTAGCTGAGAAGGCCAAGTAATGCTGTGCTGTGTGGTGGGCTATTGGGGCTAACTATAGCACTGCTGTGTGGCTGACATACTGAGGAACAACGAGGTATGGAAGAGATTGGAAAAGAAGGAAGTGGTGATGTATTTCAGTACTGGAGAGATGCTAGAGTGTCCGGGGGGAGGATGCAGCGCTACGTGCGTGAGACAGGCAGTACAAGAAGGGGAAGCTGCCCCTTGGTGCTACGACTTTCCAATAACAAAGGGGTATTTGCAGGCACAGATGGAGAGTAAAAAGGAAAACGTGTTCATCTACAATTACTCCCAGGATATGGCGTTCAGAAGGGCAGCTGGTGTGCCCTTGTATCATTACAAACTGATGCAGTTCGGGATGTTCTACAATAAGAACTTTAGAGATGCTGTATGGGAGCGGTTTCCCGAGCTGCCGCGAGTAGGGATGTTGACTCACTGGTTGCGGCTGATGATGATCGAGGTGGACTGCAAAGGAGAAATGGTCCCGCTCTATGTGATAGTCGGGGAGATGTTTTACCGAAGTGTATAAAGAAATAATATGTATCGAGCACAGGTTCAAGGAAGGCCGCTGATGATAGAGAGTTATATACGATAAAGTTACATATTGATACTATAGAAGATGAGTTGTGACTATTCTGGAAGAAACGGAGCTGCGGTGCGGTGCGGTGCGGTGCGGTGCGGTACAGGATAGTCAGGATACCTTGGATGTCATATTGTATTAACGTGACGCTACGAGATCCAAGCGATAAGCATGTAGAACGATCGAGATAAGCTATATGTCCGAGATAAGATATCGTTTTGAGATAAGATATATATCCGAGATAAGATATCAGACAAAGATAAGATATCAGTCGAGATAAAATATCAGTCGAGATAAGCTATATGTCCGAGATAAGATATACGACCGAACAAGGTGAGTAGAAAAAGGAGAAGAGAAAAGGGTTGCAAAGGAGTGGACAAAAAGGTGGTGCATGAATGTGCAGCTCCTAATAGGGGAGGGCTTCTCAAGCAGTGCGCTTTTCCCATATTGATACCATGCAATCGTTAAGTTTTTCGCCTAACTACGCGTTTTTTTCAACTACATTCGTTTACCAACTAAGTGTTTTTTCTTCCCAACTTGTTTTAAAACCAATTTGTTTTTTCAAGTAATACCACATGGATCCTGTTAGTGGTGGCACTCCTACGTTAGCTTCTAGGTGGTGACAATCTCACATGATTTTGTTGGCGGTGACGCTCCCACAACAATTGAGAATGAAAATTGAAGGATAAATTCTGAACGAATTCTTCTTGTTTGGACGGATAATAGCAACTAATGCAATTTGAGGTCTCCAGTTACCAAGAAAAGGGCTGTTGGTGTCTACATGCAACAACTATCGCGATCTCAGGACAATGCAGGCAAAAATGATACCTCAAAGTATCCTTCTTGTGGTGAGTTTACGGTTATCGAAGGGTATATAGTAAAAAACTATGTATGCCATGCTGATAATAATGGCGATAACAACAACAACCATGTTGATAATAACGGCAACGGCAACGGCAACGGCAACGGCAGCAGCAGCAACAACAACAATAGCCAAGAAGAGGACAATAAGCCTTTTGTCTACACTTCTGGCCCTACTGCCTCGCACCTTCGGGTGCCCACTCGTCTCTTTTTTGAAACTCAACATCTTGTCGACATCTCTGGATATCATAAATCACCAGGAGATCTCTTTACATGCAGTTCAAAAGCATTGTTTGACGTTGTACCTACTCTGGAGCGCAGATTCTATTGGGAAGACAATGTCTTTAAAAAAGAACGAAAAAAGGCAGCCCGAGATCTCTCTGGAGCGAAAGCGCCCTTGTTTGCATTACAAGTTATTCCAATTTCCTTCAAGCACAACCGAAAAAAGTATTTGGTTTATGTCCCAGAGCTGGATGATGCCAAGTTACGCCCTCAGCTAGAGCTCAAGACAATTTCGTTTATATCTCAAGATCTTAACGGGCGGCAAAACACTTTCAACCAGAAACAACAGAAACTTGCTTCCGACAGAGTAAACACCATATTCAAAAACGTGTTAATGGCGGATACCATTGAGTTTTGTGAGTCAGATAATAAGATACTAGAGAATCTCGAAGAGTCATTGGCTGCGTTCCGAGTGGAATGCACGTTTGTGTTTAACCGATGCTACAATCTGACTATCTCTGCTCGGAACTCAAGAATAATGCAGCGTAAAAGCTTTTCCAGTTTCCGAGGTGGATCTGTGGTCAAACGTTTTCAAAATTACTACTATAAACAGCTATGCTCGTTCCTTTACCCCATTTTACTATCTGCTTCTGCACGCTAACAAACTATCCTTGTTTCCTTACGAGTGCAAGGAGTATCTAGAGGAGCTGCTTCAGCCACTCATGCTAGACAAGCCCTCTGATCAGCAAAAACTCACATGCATATCTAAGCTATGCTACAATATGTTGACCGACACAGATGGCTTAGGCTCGATACTGGAGACATTAGTCAAGATGACTGTGTTTGACTGGAAAGTAAGGGAACCAGGTATACCATATTTCAAGCCAAAACTGGCAACATTGAGCAATACCCGTCACTCACTTGACACTCTAAAGTTTTTTCTGATCAATGCCACTCTGGCGGTCGCTCCTACTTCTAATATGCATTCGCCATTTGACAAGAACAGCCCATCCGGAAACATGTGGAACTATGTGACAAGCATTTACCATGAGGTATTCAAGGAGCAAAGTACAATCGCCAGCTACCGCGTTCTTCTACAGAGGCCCGACGGCGTGTCTGTTTCGGATAAGCTTTTGAACAAAAACAAAATACAATGGTTTTATGGCAATCGTAAAATGCAATGTGACAAATTGATATGGGGTCTTAGAAACTACTTCCGGTTGCCCACTGTCGAAGATCTTGCGGTTGATCTATTGCACTGTGATGAGATATCTCTTACCGAGAGCCGCTTCAATCCTAAAGGCTCACTTCTTGATCTCTTCCCTTCCGAGTATTTGCAAAGCCTTTTGCCTTCTTTTGCGAGGTACGAGATGCTCTCAGAAGAGCAGCAAGCTTATGTATTTGAGTCAATTGATAAAATAACCGAGAACCTTATCTGGATGGTATATTTGGGCTGTGGGTATTCCTATCGATTTCCAGAGCTGGTGGATATTACTTATGCAGGACCAAACAGAGCGCTTTTCATAGACAATGATACCAGGTGTCTCGTTCTCTTTACGACTTACACCAAAGGAGACAAGTCAACTAAGCCACTTACTAAACGGCTGGATGCAACTACTTCAAAGTATCTCCTGTACCATATTGTGATTCTGAGACAGATACAAGCCAACTTGCTTGGCCCCGAATATTGCGAGGTGAACCCCGAACACTGGCCTCGATTTCATGGAAGCTCCATTGAACTTTCCCAATATATTCTCCACCAATATGTGTTTTTCAGCATAAAAGAGAGTACTTTACTGCGCCAGAAAGGGTTCAACGACATGCTAGTCAAAGAGTTAGGCTTCAATACTCGTGAGCTGCGTCAAGCAATGGTAGCGATCATGCGAAACTATGTCAAACGTAGTTCCGTGTCTGAGGTTTATCACACAATGACTCAAGAGCTCATGTTTGGACATTCTGTTCGCACAGGACTTGAGTCTTACGGACTTGATTCCTTTTCATTTGACTCTGTCACTGCAAGTACTGCTACTTACTTTCAAGCTGTTGCATCTGAATCATGGCATAACTGGATAGAGCTTGAATCCAGCTTCCGCACACCGCAAGTTAACGGTATACCTTCGGAGCAAGACATCCAGGAGCTAGAGGGATATGTCGATACACTCAAGACTGCTTTGCATAATATTCGGTTTTCGGCTACAGCAAAAAAGTTGCGAGAGCTTCCTTCAATTGTGCCGACCACTGGGCTGTCGGGTTATCTAGCATCCCAGAAGGCTGCTCGGAGACCGGGAATTGCAACAACCTTAGATCAATTGCAGCAGGTTGCACACGTACTCAGATCCAATGCTGAAATGTGAGGCTAGCTTGTACTTCTTCAAACATTAGATAGACGAAAGTCGGATAGATAGACAGAGAACATAAAAAAAGAGTAGCATGTAGCTGATTGTCATAGTGTAAGTACTATGCGTTTTTGGCAATTCATACCCTTAGGCACAATGGGGGACATATATTTTTTAAGCTAAAAAGACATTCATTTCATGTCTAGTCTTCAATTAAGAATTCTCTATGCTTATCTGGAGTTCTCGAGGCTTATCTAGATTCTCCTATTTCATGGAAATTGTCTAGTCATATGGTACGCTTGTGCGAGGAGGGTAAAGTAAACTTTTGCATGCATATACGCGCATGATTATACATATAGGTATGCATACGCATGGCCATGCGCCTGATGAGGTGCCTGCTGATGTGCCTGTGGGCTTGATTGTAACTCTGATGTATTGAGATAGAAAGCGGTGATAGTTTTAGGATTCTTCAGGCTAAGAGTGCTGTATTGGTGTGATAAACTATAAAATATGTCAATTTTGGGAGCCATTCGGAGATATATCGAGGTGGAAAGCCTTTAAGACAGTGAGAGTAGAGTGGCGATTTTATTGTAGAAGTAAGGTTTGTTCTCCACTCTAGCATCGGCGGAAGAGATGCCTTGGGAGTGGAAAGCCGGGGGTCTATACTGCTGAGGTGCTGTCGTACAAAGTGATAAATATGAGAGGCAGTGATTCTATAGCTTAGAGATAGTACTGCGAATATGTGCTGTTCGAAACTAATTAAAGCTTATACACTGTTTGTTGGGTCGGAATAGTTGTCCATGGCTCTGAGAAGAGCTGGGTATGCTGTATTGCTCTAATAAACTATGATATACGACAATAAGTGGTATTTGTGAGAAATATCTCAGGAGGGAACGTCTTTCAGACAGTGAGAGTAAGGTTATTGGTGTTTTCAAAATAAAAGAATACACTCAAGACTCTAACACTAACACAAAGCTTGCTTTTGTGGTGGAATACTGGGGGCCTATACTGCTGAGGTACGGTCGTACAAAGTGATATGGAGGAGAGTACGCCGATTGTGCTGAGTACACGGTATGAATACGAGCTGGTATATGGCAGAGGGAGTGTTTCTTGTTCAGTTGTGATAGAAAACTGTAGGTCAAGGAATAGAAGATCCCAGAGGAGTGAACAGGGTTGCCGGAAGTACTGTAAGACGAATCGATGAGGGTAGTACGTTGCTCTGTGGTTGGGCTAGTGGTACTTGTGAGATATATCTCGGGAAGGGAACTCTTTCAGACAGCGAGAGTAGGGTTTTGGTGTCTTTGAGATAGAAGAGTACACTCAAGACTCT